GGGAGTACGGGTACGACACGAGCTCGACGCTGTACACGCTGATCTCGAAGCTGAACCGGGTGCGCAAGCACGCGTACACGCTGGACCCGGAATACATCGAGATGCAGACGATCCCGCTGTACCAGGGAGGTAGTGAGCTGGCGTTCTGGAAGGGCGCCTTCGGACGGCAGGTGGTGATGTTGCTGTCGACGCAGGGCAGCACGGGCAGCTCGTACAACGTCACCCTGCCCATGACCTACGGGGCGGGCATCGAGGTGGTGGAAGTGCTGAACTGCGTGAACTACACGGTCAACGACTACAGCCAGCTGATCGTGCCCATGGACAAGGGCGAGCCGCGGGTGTTCTTCCCGGTGACGCTGATGCCCGGCAGCGGCTTGTGTGGCTACGGCTCCAACACCACCTCGCTGAGCCATCTGCGGCTGTCGGCGGCGGCGGCAGCGCTGGGTTCCGCGGCCAGTCCGACCGTGGCGCAGGTGTCCGGGGGTTTGGTTGCGATGATCACCTTGTTGAGTAGCTTGTTGCTTGTGCAGTTTGGGGTGTGGTTTTGAAAATGGTGCTCCCGATTACGGGTTTTGATTAGCTTTCTTTTTCTTGCTGCTGCGGCTGCTCCTAAGCAATTTCTTGATGTACATACACATTTTACATACCTTGGTGTTCGTTCCTCTTTCGATTGGCGCTGTCCCTGGTTGATCTTTTCCTCTCTTTTTTTTATTACTATTATCTTTTATTTTTGTTTTTTTGTTTTTGTTTTTTTATTTTTTTTTTTTTTTGAATTTAGCCACAGGCCCTTACTTGAGTTTAACTCCTACCTTCATGTAACCGGTAAGCTAAGCTTCATTATGCTCAACCCTGCAGCGCAGTCAGGGGCATGCATGCATTTTCCATCAAGTAATCTCTTCAAGCATTTAATCTCCAATGTCTTCGCCGTAGTGGGGCGACAATCTGGAATGTCTTGGACACCACAGTTTCGCTCCGTCACCGAAGCTTGCGTCTAAAAATGGATTTCCCTCGATTTTTAACGGCAGGCCCCATTTTTCTGTTCGACCGGCTTTTGAGGGTGACTCCACATGGCACTGAATGATCGAATATTCTTCCGCCGGAGGGTCGGTAATTACCCGCCTGATACCGGTATTGTGTCTCGCTGGGCCTGTCTTTGCCCTGAATCGCGTCCTTCCAATGGGGCAAGGCGGTCACAGCCGTACCACTGTACCGTACCCGGGCGGCGTAAGAAAAGCTCCGCGGGATAAACACATGGACTAATTTAGCTTAGGCAGTCGGTGGCTGCATTGAAGCACCAGCAAGAGCACAGCAATAGCACAGCAATCAGGGGCCAATCCGATCTCCCTGTATGTGTATGTGTAGGTGTATAGAGCACAATCGCCACCAGATATACACTTCCAGGTCCATACACCAGTACAGTACACACGAATCACCCCAGCACAATGGATTCCTTGCTGTGGTGTTTCCGCCCGCGCAAGCGAAGAGACCTCCATGACTGGAAGCAAATAGAGGGTTCGCTATCCCGCCCTCCCCCCCCCCATACATAGAGCGATATATATTGAACGTCATGCACATGCACAGCCAAGGCCGACAACGTGGAATCCCAGCCTAGCTGGCACGACCCCAACGACAACACACTCCTCTTCGAAGGCTTCGAATGGCACATCCCGAATGATAACCGCCACTGGCGGCGGCTGCAACGCGCCCTGCCGGCCCTGCACGCCATCGGAGTCGACTCCGTCTGGCTCCCGCCCGGCTGTAAAGCGATGAATCCGTCCGGCAACGGGTACGACATCTACGACCTGTACGACCTGGGCGAATTCGACCAGAAGGGCTGCACCGCCACCAAATGGGGCTCCTTCGCCGACCTCGAGGCCCTGATGGAGGACGCCCACACCCTCGGGGTGGGCGTGTACTGGGATGCCGTGCTGAACCACAAGGCCGGCGCCGATTTCCCGGAGCGGTTCGAAGCGGTCAAGGTTGATTCTCAGCGTAAGCACCCCCTACCCCCGATCCCCCGAGATATACATCTGTTAAGAGTGGTGAACCAGGACGCGATGTCGAAATCGCCAACCCCACCGAGATATCCGGCTGGACGGGCTTCACCTTCTCCGGGCGGGGTCCCGTCCACAGCGCCCAGGAATACCACTGGTACCACTTCAGCGGCGTCGACTGGGATGACACCGCCAAAGAGAACGCGATCTTCCGGATCTGCGGCGCGGGGAAGCCCGGGTGGGCGCAGGACGTGGGTCAGGAGCTGGGGAACTACGACTACCTCATGTTCGCGGACCTGGACTACTCGCACCCGGACGTGCGCGCGGACGTGCTGCGCTGGGGCACGTGGATCGGGCAGCGGCTGGGGCTGAAGGGGATGCGGCTGGACGCGGCGAAGCACTTCTCCACGCGGTTCCAGAAGGAGTTCACGGCGCACATGCGCGCGACGGCGGACCCGGAGTTTGTCGTCATCGGGGAGTACTGGACGGGGGATGTGCAGGAGCTGGTGCGGTACGTCCAGACCGAGATGGAGGGGACGGTCGTCGCGGTCGATGCGCCGCTGGTGCATAACTTCTCGCGGGTGTCGTTGGAGAAAGGGCGCGGGGATCTGCGGCGCGTGTTGCGGGGGACGTTGGTGGAACGGTGTGGGGGGAATGCTTTGGTATGTTCTTGCTGTTCGATTCTGAGGGGGTAGAGGGTAGATGAGGGTGCAGTGGGTGAAGGTGAGGTTGAGGGAGTGCTGACCTTGGAGCATAGACATTCGTCGAGAACCATGACACGGTACGTGCAGCTCACCATGCATCCTGACGATAGGACCGCTAACAGCAAGCCAGCAACCCGGCCAAATGATGGAGGTAAGAGCCTCCCCACCTCGGATATCCAACCACGGCCTTATCACTTATCAATACTGACCCCTGCACAGAACACCATCACCCCGGACTTCAAACTGCTCGCCTACGCTCTCATCCTCCTCCGCCAGGAAGGCCGCCCCTGTCTCTTCTACGGCGACCTCTACGGCATCTGGGACGCGCAGAAACAACAAGCTCAGCGCGACCCAGCCTACGCCTACCACCTGCCCATCCTCACGCGCACGCGCAAGCTCTTCGCCTACGGCGAGCAACAAGACTACTTCGACCAAGCGCATTGCATCGGTACGTTCCCGCCGCCTTACCATCCACATTAATGGCCAGGTGGCAATGCCCCAAATTCCCCAATGGAGTGATGACTTCATGACTTTGGGACTGAATCCATCACGTGGCGGCTTCGTATCTGACCCACCCGTGTGCAACCGCAGGCTTCGTCCGATACGGCAACGCGCGCCATCCGGCGGGACTGGCGTGTGTGCTGAGCAACGCGCCCGGGCGTGCCACGAAGCGCATGTATGTCGGGCAGCGACACGCGCAGGCGACGTGGATGGAGGTATTGGGAGGCGACAGCAGCAGCGTCAGCAAACTAGGCACGGTGGTGATTGACGCGCGGGGGTATGGGGAGTTCCCCGTGGAGGGCAGGGGAGGGCCTGGGGCAGTTGGGGTTAGCGTTTGGGTTGATGCGGCGGCGCCGGACCGCGGGAGGCTGGATGACCCGTTGTATGTGTTTGCCCCTGCTTGGTTGTTGGGTTGGTTGTTTGAGTGACTGACAGTTGCGGATGCAGTGATCATGAAATCTACGGATAGACTTGGGGAGACCGGGGGATTCCTGGCCCCAGGCTGGGAGTGGGTGAGCAAAAGGTAAGCTGGCGCCCATGGGTAACACCCACCGGACCGGGCCATAGGCTCCCCCCGATAGACCGGGATACGAGGGCTTGCTCGCTAGCTAGCACCACTGCACGACCAGCACAACCAGCACAAAAAGTAAAATAGAGTCAATGAGACCCAAAGAGTCTACACACCCCAATCAGGCAATTCCTCATGAAGTAAACACTAAGTAATCATCATGCAAGTGGGGCAGTGCACTGAAACATTATTGCCAATAGGTCGGACTGCTGTTGACTGACTGACAGACAGAACATGCACCCAATGCATCTCATCCCATCTCATTTCCACTCATCACCACCTTTTCCCCTGAGAACTGAACGGTCAAGTCAATTCCCCCTGTCCATCACTGCATCACTGCAGGGGTGTCAATCCTTCGATGCAAGCAGATGTAGAGTTCATTTCCCTTATCTCAGTCTCTAAGCGTGCAAGCCGGCTATTCGCCAAGCCCCATCCACATCGTATCGAGCAACCCGCGGAGAACAGAGCAGGAAAGAGCGCATCCCAAGCCTGTTTGCATGAGTAACTCCTCCCAGATCCGAAAAACAGATTGAGACATGATGGCGGGGTCTTGCTGTTCCTGGCAGGAGAACCAGCAAACCTGAACCTGAACACCTGAGAAAATGTCTCGGAAGAGAGAATCCGGCGTGGTTGAGCAGCAGCAGCAGACCAGGACTGAAAAACTCTCGGGGCTGCACTAACGCCCTTTCCGGCCAGCCCACCGTGCGGTTCCGGATGCAGTGCGTATTTTTCAATACCCATCCATACGCGAGGATAATCAGGGTCCCGAAGGCGGTGGATGCCGCCCTTACACCCTTACACCAATAAACTCTGTCCCATTTTGCTCATTCCACTGCATTCGGCGGTGGATGATGTCAGCTGGAGATTCGCTGCTTGCACCTTTTTCACTCCAAAAATGCCGCCAGCATGTACCCCCGTACCCCGTACCATGTTTTGCATTCGGTCGCACAATCAATTCAGGAACAGGCAAGCGACACAAACATGGGCCACGATGCGACCACTGGGCACTATTTTCCACAGTAATGGTAGATTGTTATGATTCTAGAAACAGAGCATGGAATAAATAAAACACACAGCAAAACGAAAACCAATTCACTCCGACACGATCCAATTAATACAGCAATCTCACTTCACGCGAAGATCGCCTTTTATGTCCATAGTAGTAATTAACGTATTGCGAAGTGGAAATCAAATCAAGGCGGGATCCGATGATCCGAATGGGTGTCCACCGGGTGCGGATCATCTCTCGAGTATCTCTAGGGGCATGCTTGTTTACAGAACAAGAGCCATGGCGCCCATGACCAGACCGGCGACGGCGGTCAGGGGGGCAGTCAGGGCGGAACCAGCTCCGGGGACGACCGAGGCCGTCGGGGCAGTGCCGTTGGCCGTCGAGCTGGGGGTAGCGGATCCTGAGGGCGACACACTGTTAGTACTCGCCACTGCGGTGCTGGCGCGGGCACTCGACGACTGAGCGCCGCTGATGATGGAGGAGGAAGAGGTGATTTGGGCAGTGGTGGTTTGGGCAGTGGTGGTCTGGGCAGTGGTGGTTTGGGCAGTAGTGGAGATGAGGGTGCTGGCAGTACCGGTAGAAGAGCTGGCAGTCGAAGTGAGGGTGGTCGAGGCGGAGGAAGCGGAGGAAGCGGAGGAAGCGGAGGAAGATGAAGACGAAGAGGCCGTGCTGGTGCTGGAAGAGCTGGCGCTGGCGCTGGAGCTGGAGCTGGAGCTGGAGCTGGAGCTGGAGCTGGAGCTGGAAGAAGCGCCCTTCACGTCGAACTGCTGCGACTGGGCGAGGATGCCGCTGTTCTGGGGTTCGTCGGAGACCAGGTTGATCTGGTAGCCCTTGCTGTTGGGGATGTTAGTCTGCGGCGCATAGAAAAATGAGGGCACAGTTTCGGGGAACGTACCCATCGGTCAGGCCGGACAGGCTAGAGACAGTGTAGGAGCCCTTGGAGGTCTCGACATCGCTGGCAATCTTCTGCTCAACCGGGGGGTAGACGGCGTTGTTGACAAGGTAAAGATTGAAGTTGGAGGCGTCGGTGCTGACGGAGTCCCACTTGACAGTGAAGGACTTGGAGACATCAACATCCTCGCCCTTGGTGGGGGAGGTGACCTCGAGGGCTGCAGGCAGGCGTTAGTGACCATCTTCCTCGCAGACCAAGAAAAATTACATACCGCCAACAATGGCAGCCAGGGGCAGAACGGCGTAGGAGAAACGCATGATGGCGGATTAAATTGAGCAAAAAGTTGGGTTAAACGGGTGACTGGGATGCAAAACGAATGCGAGGGGTCAAGTCCAGAGAGAACGAGTGTGTGTTGGTGATGGTGATAATGAAAGAAGAAAGCCTGCAGCTGGATAGACCGGCGGAGGAGTTATATAGTACAGTACCACCGACGAGTTGGGATGTCTCAGAGATGGGGAAAAAAAGTCTGTCTCCAAATCTGATGATTATTCTTTTCCCAGGTGGCAATGGGGCAAGGACAGAGGCATTCCACTGGACAGGTCTGAACATGTCAACGAAAATAGATAAGACAGCAACCGCTAAAGCACTGGAGGGGCCAATAATACGGACGGTCCGACTGAGTACAACCTTTTACAGCCAATTCTGGAGGGAATGTCCCTTTGTCTCCTCGCTGCATCCGTGGTGATCAGTTGGCCCAACTGGGAACGGTGGATCAAGCGGACCGGAGGAACAGGCAGTACGAGATACAGTACGGAGTACGGTTCGGGATCAAGTCATCAAATGCCCTATCGAGTTGTCGACATCTTTGGTCCTCCTCAGGAACCAACCACCAAATCACACCCCAACCCAAAACCGAAAACAATTACACACAGACAGCAAACAATGGTTACCGTACTCAGTACTTGACCTCCGGGTACACACTAATTATAGCCGGAACTGTCTCACTCGGGGCGGCAACAACAGCGCGTGGTTGGCCCTCCAGGACCCTTACCTGGTTGTTGGCAGGCGATGGCCCTTCATGAAGGACCAATGGGTCACTCCGACAGGTTTTCCGTCGCAAACATTGGGGCAATAACTAGTTGATGGACCCGTTATCTTCCCGAAAGGCCGAGAGAAGAGTGTGCGACGGTGCGTGCATTCGGCGGGTGCACACTGCACACACACACAAAATGGGCACGCATTCGGCGGGTCTTGGAATGCAGGGCATCATCGTCAGACGGGTTTGGAATTACATCATTATCATCATTCACTAGTTGACTACTCCGTAGCATGGTGTCAAAGCATCCAAGCATCAAAAGCAATGCGCTGGGCAGGCTCGAAAGGGAGAATCCTCCGAGGAAGTTGTCTTGCTCGTGGTGGCCACTGACATAGCACAGCCATGTAAACAACCAAACCAGAGCTGAGGAGGGCTAATCTTAGCATTCACTGCAAGTTGGCCGACTCGCTTTCTCGGATCCCTCGGTCGGATATAGGTCACGTGGTGTGCACGCTTGTCGGTCGCGGAACAGTACCGGAACAAGGTTCTTCCTTTCTGCTATGCTTGCATCAAGTGTTTCGCTCAGTAGCGATATCTCCGAGGTCATAAATGTGCACCTAGGTACGGGTCAGAGATTGCCTGTGTAGGTATCTGCTACATGGTGGCGATGTTTGTCGAAACCGGTACTCCCCACAATCTTTTAGGTGGGTGGAGAGTAAAGTGAGGTAGCATCTACAACCCACCAGGTAGTGGCAACATATACCCGTGTAACTACCTCGGCCTCCCACCAACTGAAGCTCTCACCACCGAATATACTCCGGTATTCCACATCATCAAGACACTCACTAACACAGTCAACTTGACGAACATCACCCAGTTCCTCAGTCGTAGTTCGACAAACGCCGGTCTTGGCCGTAGATCAGGGGCCACGCAGTCAATAGCGCGAGTCGAGCAGCAAATGCATCAGCCCAGGAACAACTGCAAGGAGCAGCGATCGTCCTGCAAGGCAATCGAGAGTTGATATATCGATTGGTTCCTGCAGCGATAAGGCAAGCCATCGCCATATGCCTACGCCTATCTAAAAGTGGGGGCCTTGCACTCCGTATGGAGACACTTCTGGCTATCCATTGGCTTCAAAATCGAGCGCGGTCGAAGGACACTCCAGGATGTTAGCCAGGTACATTACTTGCTGAAATGTAGATGGTGCAACAGCCTTGGTCCTGGGGCCAATCCGTTCTCTAGAACGTGCTACTCAAGAGGCTATTGCATAAGCTGATAGGACGTATCTAAGGGTACTTCCGTTTCGGTCCGAGGGACGTTTCCAACGGTCAGATTGAGTTGGTATCATCCCACCTATCACCCCAGTCGTAGGGATACCAGCCATTACCCTCCGGTCATTGGTCTTGCCCTGCATATGGACATCCATACAGGAAAGACAGGCTCGGACCTTGGGCTCGATCCGCAATATTGGTCCTTTTGCCACTTTCCCGGCCCGGATGTACTGCAGGACCGAGAAACAGAACCAGATATACCTGTATAGTACCAATCTTGCGCAACACACTCATATAAGCCTGATCATAATAGACTTTCTGATATATCTGTCATGGAGCTGCTAGGCTGCTTGAGATGAATGTCTACTGCAGACAAATTCGTGTGGTATATTCCTTTTACTGTAGAACGATCCCGATCCGGCATGCGCTGAGGTTATATATCGAGGTAGGAAATTTCAGAGACTGTAGTTTTACATCAACACCTATTGTGGGCTGGGATCTCATACCAGTGGATTCTCCTGCGCGACAGACCTGTGCTGCAGCCACCATCCAGTCGATTGTGAAATATCGCCTCATTTTGAATGAGTCGGAGTCGGTCTGATCTGGCCACCAGTAAAACATTACATACGTGAAGTCGAACCAGATGGGTTGGCAATGTAACACTTGTGTAGATTGACCTTCATGCAATCAAATATATTCATAGCTTCCGTGCATACATCAAACAACAACCCGAAAAATTCACTCCCACTTCTTCATCAGAGTGTTCCCCTCGACCTGACTGTCGAATTCCACGATATGCGTGGAATGGCACCAAGGCTTGATGGTCTCCTCCTTCCGGATAATGTCCGCGAAGAACGAGCACCAGCGCTGTCGCGGGTGCGCCTGGTTGACCTCCTCCCGTGTGGTATCGTGCAGGATCCTGCTGAAGTCCTTGACGTGGGGGTGGTCACCCACATTGTCATAGAGGGTCGCTAGTTGGATAAGCTGGCCGAAGAAGGTGATAGTCCCGTCTACGCCCATGTCCTGGTGTCTGATAATCCCTTCGGCGACTGCTTCGGCCTGATCAGTCGTAGCGCCGAAGTCTTTGAGGACCTGCAGAGCTTTGATGCCCCCGTAGAGATCGAAGGACATCCGGGTGGCCGTCAGGTTCTCCTCGGCGGTACCGAGATCGTGCAGAAGACAGAGCAACGCCCAGGTAGCAGGACTGAAAGTAGCGGCTTGCTTGGGGAACTGTTGTTTGGCGATGGCCATCCCTGCAGATCGAGATTAGTTGCTGTGCCCATCGTTCTTTCAAAGAGACTTACCATAGTAGTAAACTCTCATCGAGTGATTGAAGGTCTGCGGATGGAGAACGGCCTGAGCATACTCCTGAGTCTTTGCAACAACGGGATCGTCGGAAGGAAAGTTGATCTCGTCAATCGAGAGAGAGTCAGGTGCGGTGATGAAAGGCTGATCCTTGAAGATGGCACCAGCGTTGACGGGAACGCTGGTCCAGCCGTTGAGTTCAACTTCGTTGTGGCACATGTTGGCAGTGGTGAGAGTAGATTGACTTTAGGTCAGAAAGCAATAGATTGGAGCTTGAAGAATGTCTGGGTCACTGAGGAGAGAAGAAGTTGAGGATCTTTATAGTCCTCTGCGACCCAGCCGCCATGTGCTCATGGTGACGATTAATAATCCCCATGCTGATAAATCGCTCGTTTTCGAGGCTGGTCATGCAATGCAGAAGCCACTCAAGGCAGAATCACCAATCTTGGGACGATGATTGACTGTCCGCGGGGATATTCGATGTCTTCTTTTCCTTGCGAAGCCTCAGGCCTGGAGATGACTCTAACCGGATCAGGAAGTCTTTTGGAGTGGGGCATAGTCTGGCCAATCAAATGCCGCTTAGTGCGACCGGCGGGCAGCTCCAAATGACGTGGACGGCTTCAATGGCGCTCCGGTCTTTGAATGCTACTGCTATACTCACTCAGCACAATCATATCAGAAGCCAATCCCCATCTACCTGTCCCATGCTGAATATCCAGTTGGACCTCGAATCCGGTTTCTGCTCGGCCTCGGCCCAGAATCTCTGCAGAATCTTCTCCGCATTGATCACGTTGATACACTTGGTTTCGAACCAGAATCTGCGAAGGCAATCACCCACCAACTGCCTCTGGTACGCATCCTGAGATTCCAGGCCTGCAACGAACAAGGGCCAGAGGATGCATTTGAACAGCGCCTCATTGCCCCGTAGCGCAGCAACAGTATCGATCAGCTCCCCGACTATGTCATCCAACGGAGTCGAGTCTCCCGTGAACACATCGCAGACACGCCAACCGTAGATCAATGTCCCCAATTTATAGGCCTGACCCAGCTTCACCAACAGTTGAAGAGATTGTGCTGGCCCAGTAGAAGTCGACAGAGAAGGCTCAAGTTCCGTAGCCCAGCCATGGCAGTCAAATCTCTGCGTAGACTCCAGTGAGATCTGGATGGTTTGGAGCAGCGAATACGCATCGAAGGTGTCAAGGCACTCGGGGCTCGCCAGGCAGTCCCTAGCTGCCGAGAAAGAACGAAGAGCATTCAGGAAGTATTCCGGACAACCAATGTAAGCCTTGTCAACGCTCATCTGGAGGGCCGTGGACGGCTGCTTGGATTCGGAGGTGGCTAGCAATCCAGGACGCGTGAAGGTCGTACCTAGAGTATCAATTCTGCGGTGATACCACAGGTCAGCCTATCTCAATCAGACGGAAGCGAAGCTGTTGAGAAGTATCGTACAAGTAGACCTGTCGCATAGCGAATTGACACATCCCTTCGATGGTTGTTCCCAGCTCCCGCGAGCTCGCCGGAATCTGAATCCCCGCAATGAGTTTCTTGACCCCTTCGATGTGAAAATTCCATTTATCATTGCCCGACTCGAATAGGTCCAGAAGAATCAACAAGAATGCGCTGATGATCAAGATATCGACCGAAGTTGTCCCGTCGCTCAGGGCCTGCGAAAGCCCTTTGATCGCCCGGTATTTGTATAATGAAGCGTTGTAGCGAGGCTTCAGTGCCCGTGAGTAATCTCTTGCTTGGACCTGTTCGAACGTCTGGGGAGCGTTTGCTCGGTGTCGCGCTGCGAGAGCGCTGACGGACGCCATCAGCACGGGATGGGCGATTGCCGCGGGAATGAGCTGTCTGAGGGGATTGCGTTGGCTATCGAACATGACAAACAGCTTGCATACGCATTTGCTGTCTGCCGTGGATGTCAGACACACCTCGCGACCGAATGTTGATCAACAGCACACTGACAGTAGTTCAGGTAGTATCGAGAATCCTCGTCCAGACCTCGAGTGACGGGTTCGTCTAAGCTGAAAGGTATGCGGGGGAGGAAACTATCCACGACTCCGGTATGCCGCATGTCTACCCCATTCAGAGCCTTGATTTCAGACTCAGACTGAGGTGGGGATATCTGCTTGAGTTGCGGTGTGTTCTCCGTGGACGTGGAAGGCTTCGCAGTGCCGCGGAAAGTTGCGCCCTTGACCCAGCGAAGGGGCCTCTTTTGGAGGCATTCGAGCCCAGCCTTCTGGCACTTCTTACACGGGGGCTGGGACATTTGACATTCGACATGTCTGCGACGACACGTGTAGCAGGAACTGTTCATGATGCATGATCGAGGAAGCGTTGAAGGAACAAATGGATGCAAGATGGACGTGAGAAGGGGGATTGTCTAGAAGGGACAATGCGGGGAAGAATTGGGGGAAAGCCCCGACCGTGGAGGGTCATGTGACCGTTCTTATCTTATCGCTTTCCATCTCTCGTATCAACACAGGACTTGACTGACATCTCACCACCGCCCTACATGACTTGGAGTACAGTACCACAGACTACCTGTCCTCTCGATTCGGTCAATAATCTCGGTCGACTATTGAAGCACTCGATTTGCACACTGCCAGTCGCAAATATTGACGACATGCGATCTTTCCACCGCGTACAAGCTTGTGGCTGGCTAGAATGCTCACCCACGTACTGAACGATGCTCGATGTCAATTTCCTCGATGATGTCGATCCCATGCTGCGCCTCATATACCGCCAAGCCCTGCTGGTCCTCGTCAGTGGTCTGGGTGGTTGAGACAAGCAGATCCACGCTCTTTCGAAGCCCTTTTCGAGACGATGATCCAGTGCTGACCTTGGTCTGGGTGGGTTCATGATCGATTTGATTCAGGGAATAGATCCCTCCCTGCTCCGGTAACCGCTCGAAGGTCTGGCCATCGGAAACTTCATACTTTTTGTCCTTGGTAGAAAAGATCCTGATAGGACGGACCTGAGGAGCTGCAGGTTCGCACAGATGATTGCCAACTCGGGCTCCAGAACAGAGATCTTAGCCTTGACTCTGTCAGAGTGAGCAGGGATACACACCAAAGCGGCAAGTATCAGGTACTCCGGCGAGCCAGGCTCGACTTGGCGTAAGCGCAGGGCTTAAAAGCGCAACGCGGTGGCAAAGTGGCCAGAGCACCGAAGACAGTGACCACAATGACAGGATCTCGCGAGAGTGCGGTATTCAATTCATAAGCGATCACCATCTCGAGGCCTTTGCCAGCAACTCGTGAAAGGAGGTCAGGGAAGAAGCATCACCGCGGCTACATGGAAAGAGAGAAGGTGAAGCACTTGAGCCCTATCATCTGAGGGTATGATCCAGACATGCTGAAATGCAGGATCGCGCGGCATGAGGAAGCAATGCAGATACTTTACAGAACCGGCAATTGAAGCCGGACAGCAAGCCAGCAGGATGTTGTTTTATCCACTCTGAATCCTTCGAGGCCGAACTGGCTCTTAGTCTAGGGCTGGTGTTACCGAATCGGGATGGATCGGCCGTGCATCGCTCGGTCCGGCGTAGAGACGGCGCCTTCAAGTGCGACGCTTGCCATCCCCCTCTCCCGTTGATGAATCGCACGTGGGACCGGTGCAAGCCAAGTTATGCTTAGCAGATGCCGAAAATTTGCTTCATCGCTGGCAGTTGACTCGAACAGCCTTTCGGGAGGGGGCTGCGAGTGGATAGTTTCCTCGTCTGAATGCCTCTCACGGCAGTTGTCCGGGGGAGGTTCTTTCGTCCCATTGCCTCCTAATGACTATAAGCTTCAGTGAGGACTCCACTTATATCATGCTCCATTATCATGGCCGCGACGAGGCTGCGGAGCAGAGGGACGAATGCTACCTACTTACGACCCCCCCCCCCCCCCCCTCCCCCAGCACACGTCTTCTGACCTCCTCCTTTCGAGTTCGACTCGAACAATTGCCCAAGACAGGATGACGACCGATACTGCCTCGCTTTCGGATCTGCGTCAGACCTACGACTATCTCGTCGTGGGCGGAGGAACCGCCGGCCTGGTCGTCGCCAACCGACTGACCGAAGATCCCACTGTGAGCGTGTTGGTGCTCGAGGCAGGCAGTAATCGCGTCGATGACCCGCGAATTGCGGTGCCTGGACTAGCAGCCAGCACCTATTTCGATCCCGAGTTCGACTGGTGTCTTACCAGTCCCCCACAGGTAGGGAAGATCTATCAGGTCTCAAAAGAAGCCGTCTCATGCACACTGACACTCCTTGCGTGGAAACCAGGAAGCCCTTAATGGCCGATGCATTGCTGAACCTCGCGGGCGCACTCTGGGTGGTTCATCAGCCATCAATCTAGGAATGGCCATCTACCCCAGTCGCTCCGACATCGATACGTGGGAGCAGCTGGGCAATGCTGGATGGAACTGGGAGTCGCTGTCGGGCTATCTACGCAAATCGCAAACCTTCACCCCACCGTCGGACAAGATCCGCGATCAGCTGTCGCTTGGGTATATCGACCCGGCGGTCCAGGGCACCGATGGGCCTATCCATGTCTCGTTCGGAGAGTGGCCATTCCCCACCTTCAATTCGGCCTGGCCTCGGACTTTCGAGACGCTCAGCCACCGCATCACCGGCGATCCGATGTCAGGCCGGGCTAACGGAGCCTTTGTCAACCCCGGCACAATCCACGCGACCTCACGAGCGCGCAGCCACGCCGGCGTCGCTTACTACAATCCTCAGATCGCTCGACGGCCGAATTGGCGCGTCGTCACTGAGGCCCTCGTGGAGAAGATTCTGCTCGAGAAGACCGAGCACGGGGAGGTCAACGCGACCGGGGTACAATTTGTCGGGAAGGACGGGGAGCGGCGGACCGTTCACGCTGGGGCCGAGGTGATCCTCGCGGCCGGCGCCGTCAAAACACCACACCTCCTCGAACTGTCGGGCATCGGCAATGCCGACCTACTCCAGACGCATGGCATCGAGGCCCTTGTCGACAACCCCAACGTCGGAGAGAACCTGCAGGAGCACGGATTCGTGCCCTTCAGCTGGGAGGTTGCTGACGGGCAGATCACCGGCGAAGCACTGCGCGATCCGGAAAACGCCCAAGCCGCCATGCAGGCATGGCAAGCCTCGGGCGCTGGGCCGCTGGGCCTGTGTCCCATCTCGTCCGCATTCTTGACCTCGCCGGAGCTGCAAGACAGGGAGCTTCAGGCCCTGCTGGATAGGTATCTCGACAATAAGGAGGTCTCACCCAACCGCGTCGCGCAGTACCGTCTCCTCCGGCGGCTGCTGGAGGACCCCGAGGAACCGACGGGGCAGTACACGCTCGCGCCCTTCCAGATCACACCCGAAAAGGGCCCCAGCCCCAAGGGAATCTTCGCCATGACGGAACCAGAGTGTTTCGTGAGCATCGTGGCCGTGCTCAACCGACCGTTCTCGCGCGGCAGTGTCCACCTCGCCTCCGCCGACGCCGCCATCCTCCCCACCTTCGACCCGCAGCTGCTGGCGCATCCACTGGACGTCGAGCTGCAGGCGCGCCATGTCCACTGGCTGGAGACCCTGGCGGCGACGGAGCCGATGGCTTCGCTGCTGAAACCCGACGGTCGGCGACTGCACCATCCGGAGCGGGTGGGCGATCTGGAGACGGCGCGGAGGCTGACGCGGGACCGCATCGTGGCCCACTACCATGTGGTCGGGACCACAGCCATGCTGCCGCAGGAGGTCGGGGGCGTGGTGGATGACAAGCTGAGGGTGTACGGGTGTCGCAAGCTGCGTGTGGTGGATGCGGGGGTCATTCCTCTGATCCCACGGGGAAATATCCAGGCCACTGTTTTTGCGGTGGCCGAGAAGGCGGCGGACATCATCAAGGAGAGCCGACAGTGGATGCAGGATGGTATTGGCCAAGAGGACGAACTAACTTAATAAGACACGAATAAGAGCAGATCGGCGCAAGTGACGTCGCACACACACATCAACAAATCATAAATTGCCACCCTCTATGCATATCATATCATATCATACACTCTCATATCGTACAGTCCACGTCACATCGCTCAACCAAGAATCATCGCTCAAAACCTCAAGTCAACTACGCTAAGAAGAAAATCGACAATAATAGTACAGTACATCAAGCGTCGGCAGGGTATCGAACACTTCCTCAGACATGCCCTAAACCACACACACACACGGTCCATCAGCACCAAACCTCAACCCTCCAAGCCAGGTATACAGCACGGCAACGAATCACTTACGTCCCAGCGGCTTGGCCCGTTTCGTAATCGACTTGACCTGGTCCTGTTTCATCTTGGCGGCGCGGGCTCTGCATTCGTGAGTTTCAATAGAGCCACGACATAAAAGTGAAGGAATGTGAAGGGAAGGGACGGGAAGAACATACTCGATGCGCGCCTCCTCGTCCAGACGCCTCACGTGCTCGCGAGCATCTTGCACGGCCCGTCGGGAGGCCAAGAGGGCGCGGTCGGCTTCACGCTCGGCGGCCTCAGCGCGCGAGACCTGCTCTTTGGCGGCGAGGACGGAGGGGTCTTCCTGGTGGCGGCGGCTGCCGAAGCTGAAGCGCGAGTGGCCGTGGGTGCTTCCGCTGTGGCTTCCGCTGTGGCTGTGGTGGCCGTAGCTGTGGCTACTGCTGCGACGGCGGGAGGAGGAGGAAGAGGAGAGGCTGGAGCGTGGGGAGGTGGAGTGGTGCGAGCGATGGGAGCGGTGCGAGTAGCTGTGGGTGTTGGGGTCGTCGATGCTGCGGTCGGACGAGCTGGAGAGCGAGTTGCGGTGGAAGAGAGGCATGTTGGTTGGTTTTGTTGTCAAATCTGAGTGCTAGGTAGGTAGTGAACGCTGAGCGCTAGGTGCTTGGAGGCTGAGTGTCAAGAGAATAGAGTATAAGCTTGTTGGAGTGGATCTGGATAGTGTAGTGGAGAAGGGGGAGGCTGGGGTTGAGACAGGCGTATATATCCTCAACCCCATGCTGAAAATACCATAACGGGCGTACGTCAGTGGCGCAACACACCTCACTTGTTCTGCTGTGTGAGGAGGCTTAGAATGTCGATCGCAAAGTGCGGTGGAAGGGTCTTCTCGCTGTTTTGTGCGCGTATACTCTTCTCCAGCAGCAAGGGTTCGGTGGGATGACAGCATTGGCGGGCAGATAAGCAATCGTTAGTGGCGATGATGTCAAGGGCGACTGCAGCGCGGGATGATCCCTACGCGGTGGCCAATGCCTGCCCGACTCGCATTGGACGTGGCATCGCCAGCTTTCGTATTCGAGGGGGTGGCATTCTGATTCATGACCGCAATGAGGTGGATTTTCTGGTTGCTTTTGCTATGAGTGGTGGACGGCGAGTTGGACACGGGATGTTGTTTAACTGGGAGTTGTATTGTGATTTGTTGCTCTGCGTAAACCTTGGAATAAGATGAAGTGGGTTCTATGAAGCCGCGATAGGTCGTCGCTAGGATAAAAGTCTTGTCAGTGTTAGGGATGGGGATGTGGATGGGGATGAGGACGCTGGTGCAAGGATATATCGGCCGTGATATATCACGGCTACGTAGCTTGTGTGCGCTGGGTGCTAGAAAGCGTAATGACGTCTATTCTTGAGTCTTTTGAGTCAATCCTACCTTTTACAAACGAGGACAGCGTCATCATATTGATGGGAGAATGAAATTTGGCGACTCGATGAGATTGGGATATATAATGGATAAGTTGGCCAAAGGGTGGAGGAATTGTTTGTTCACGGTGGATCAAGGGAGGGAGGGTTTGTGATTGTGGTAAATGGTAAAATGCCATAGTGCAAAGCAGGCAGAGGTTATCTCATAGAAGCATCATTGGTCTAGTGGTAGAATTCATCGTTGCCATCGATGAGGCCCGTGTTCGATTCACGGATGATGCACTCAATTTTCTTTTTTGGGGGGGTTTTTTTTGCCGTTCCATGGGCCATAGCACACCATTTTCCCCCCTCAGAAGACATCACGCAATCAGAGCCATGGTTAGCTAAAGCAGTAAGTACTATATAGCCTAATTTAAAGGTGTGGTTACTTCAAACAATGACCGGTTCTCTCCGCAGGTCGAAGTATTTCACCTTCCCGGTCGGCTGCAACTAACTGTGTCGACTACATCCCCCCAAGTTTAGCCACCAATCTACTCCGTCTCTGCAGGAGATCGGCACGATGCTTGGTCTGTGGGCCAATGGTGCACTCTGGAGCATTCCGACGCCACAAACATATGGGATCCAATGGTCGCCCACGCATAGAGTGGAGGGCGGTTGGAGGTGCGGAGTCTAGATTAATATCCGAGCGTTCGAGCGGGGTCATCCACTCGACGTCGATCAGGGACTGCTTGTCTGTCTACCAGGCCTATACAATATCCGGGGTAGCGGAGACATTACCTTCTCAGCTCAGCCTAGAACAACACTAGGTCACCTGCCAACCGCCCGATGGAAAGGCAGCCGTGCAGAATTGACTCATTGGAATCACAAGTTTCTACAGCCAGGTTGACTTGGCTATGTCTCGACCTCGGTCGGATCTAGTTCAGGCTCCTGGGTAAAAGCACATTTACTGAGCATAGCGACTGTGGGTTATTCATGCTACATCGCAGCAGAAGAATGTCTGCTCGTAGAAGACACACTCGTTAATATTGACTAGAGGAACGACCTCGAGAGTACCCTCCCAGGGTCAAGCTGAAATCTTTCGAATGGCCCGCAAGAAGATCCACATAAAACGAGCCCAAACAAAGGAGACACATGTTGCTGACTGGGTTGTTTGCGTTCGCAAGGCCATTCTGCATGATTCCTCGGCCCTCACCGTCAACACGTGAAAAAGGTGTTGGCAAAGGAGCGAAAGAATAGATTAATGAGGGGGTTGCATCAACCTGCGGCGCTATTGCGGAGACTGAAGCATCGCAGGCTGGAATGGCGACTTCAATCTCCGTGGCTATTCTGTGTTAGCGGTCGACTTCCCCTCGCAATGAGACGACTAGAACGAGGGCATGCTCCAACATCTAGGGATATTTAAAGGCGATCGATTCCCACGAAATCATCACGGAACTCAGCAGCTCAAAACAAACCAGTCTTCTCATCTAGTCAAGCTTTACTTCATCATGCTCTGCAAGTCTCTCCTCGTTGCTGCGTTGGGTATCCTCGCCCAGGCAGGCCCCATTGCCCGACGCGATGCGGCGACGGTTCTGACGGACCTGAAATCAATCTACTCATACGTGTCGACCCTCAACACCGACGTGACCGCCTGGAACGGAGACCTCTTGGCTGCCCTGGGCATCCTGACCGACTACAACAACGTCAAGAGTGCCCTCGACACGGCCATCACCGACACCGTGGCTGCCTCGACGTTCAGTACCGCGGACAGCTCGAGCATCACGTCCGAGGTGTCCACTCTGGCGGTGCTCATCGTCGCGACCCTGAATGAGATTATTGCTAAGGTAAGCCCATCGCACGATGATAGAGAAGACATGGTGAGACTAACCACGCATACAGGAATCTACCGCCGCGTCCGCCGGCGTGGCCTCCACCCTGCTCTCGTCAGTTGAGACCCTCAAGACCGAGACCGACCAGCTTGGTGCGGACTTGGAGGCTAAGGCCACCTCGACCGACAAGACGACCATTGCCTCGGCTATTGCGACGGTTGATGCTGCCTTCGCCAGTGCGATTGCTGCTTATGAGTAAATTTGAGTTATGGGATGAGATCGAGCCGGTTGCTGGACTTGGGCAAGCCGACGTGACCACGTATCAGATTTGGAAGTGGGATAATCATCATAATGCGAACCTATGCAGAAAGAATTGAAGATTATCCGACTGGAAGAGCATAAACGCAATGATATAGTAGAATGTAGTCAAGCTTCCACCCGGGCCGGGCCGCGCGAGATTCCGAATTACTCCGCTCGCTCCTGAAAGTAATAAACGGCAGCAGCATGTTCATTGTAGATGGACAAGAGCTGTAGGAGCTGGACGAAATCGTACTGATGACTACCACCGAGGAGAATTTCCTCCCGATTCACAGTCAGGCTCGACGACACTGGCAATAGAACATCACCAGACTTACAAGCTGCAGGGCTGGATTGCATGAACGCAAGACGCAACACTGCAGAAGCTCAAAGTTATATAGCAAGAACACTGGTTTATCCGACTTCGAAGTTTCTTAGGTGTAGTTTTGGGTCTAAAGAGTGGAGCGCGCGCATAGAGGAAGAATAATCGTCCCAACAGGAGCAGCTGACCTATCGCATAAGTAGACAGTGCAGTACGTGACTTATGGTGCAGTTGGTTGATAATATACCTAGCAAACCACAGCCAGCTCATTACCTCAGTAACCACTCCACGTCGACCACGTGGTGACTGTATATCTGGTAATGTACAGAATTAGATTTCCTGAAACAATGCTGCGGACCACTCGCATCACCGCGCGTTAGACAGGCATCGATCCTCTTACCTTAATGCTATGTTAGACATCAAGTTCGGCCTCTGTAACTGCCTTGGAAGCATGCAGATCTTATCTGATGATCGATTTTGTAGGATCTCTGAGTTCGGAGTAGAAATCAATGTGAGTGGCAGGAGCCGGAGCAAATAACACATTGCTTCCAGTTGTTGAGTCTTGGGGTGGACTCATACTACCACTTCAGATCTCTTGTGACCAGCTGCCAGAGGTATGCTCGGTAATGGTGTGAAGTGCTGGCAAATTGAGGTGTCGCAGGAGGTGTTGGAATCAATGCAGCGGTCAATCAACAAACCGAAACCCCGTTAGCGAACCTTGAAGTGTGGTGGGAGCTTGAATACCATGAGTCGTTGATACAGCCACCCCGGAAGGCTGAGTGAATCTTCGCCTCACTCTGTCTCACACACACTTTCTCTCACTACCTAGTCGCCGGGGAAAGTCATCTCTCTCTCTTTCTCGAGAGACAAACAGTGTGTGCGTTTCAGATCTCTTGGGCAGAAAGTCAACTTTGTGCTTACCTCCATCATGGCCTTCAGTTTGAAAGAGAGAGAGAGAGGGAGAGTGTGTGTATAAAGAACCGAGCCTTTCAGGCTAACAATGAGCGACAACAGCACAACCAGTTCCTAAGTCTGTATCTTCAAGGCGTAAGTTTGCGGCGCGCACTTCCTCGCAATCTACGACTGCTCGACGACTTTTTCATTCATCTCGACTGCGCTCACGTCTCTTGTTTCCTCCTTCTGTTCTTGCTCTCGAGGATCATTTTGTTAGACCTTGTCTTTCCAGCATGACACTCAGGGACCGACGCAGGGCTCTAGGGCCGTCAAGCATGGAGCGCAATCCCGTGACTGAGAATTTCAGCAGAGAGGATTACACGGTGGGCTGGATTTGCGCCCTGGCTCCCGAATTGGCGGCAGCAGCAGCAGCGATGCTGGATGAAACGTATGCACCACCTGCGGTTTTCCAGCAGGACCCCAACGACTCCAACGTCTATTCTTACGGACGCATGGGACGGCACAAGGTCGTCATCGTATCACTCGGTGCTGGGATGCCCGGTAAGGTACCTGCAAGTACGACGGCGACCAGCCGCTTGCGCAGCTTCCCGAAAATCCGATTCGGTTTGATGGTGGGCATCGGTGGTGGAATCCCAGCCAAGATCACTGAGGACTCCGCCGATGATATCCGCCTCGGAGATGTGGTGGATTCAGTTCCCCATGGCGAGTCTGGTAAGCTGCCGCTTTCTTATTCTCTCTAGTTTCTCGCTGACCTCACCCTCTTTGTTTCGTGGACGCCTCACACATTCCGGCAGGAGGAGTTGTCCAGTACGACCATGGAAAGATCGTCCATGAAGGTCAATTTGTTCAGACCGGATCGCTGGGAAAGCCACCGACTATCCTCTTGAAAGCGGCTCAGAGAGTCCAGGCACAACATGATATGCAGGGAAGCAGCATCCCAGAACTACTCGGAAAGATCCTGCAGGATCGACCCAAAATGGCCGTCAAATACCAACATCCGGACGCAGAAGACTGTCTTTACCAGGCCCAGTATGAGCATCCCCCCGATGCAAAGAATTGCAGCCGATGTGATGCACGTCACTTGGTGCAGCGGCCGACGCGGGACAGCGACGAGCCCGTCATTCACTATGGACTGATTGGCTCCGCGGACCGGGCCATGCTCCATGGCCCGACTCGCGACTATCTCCGCACAGCCAAGAACATCATCTGTCTGGAGATGGAAGCTGCCGGGCTGATGGATAACTTCTCCTGTCTGGTGATCCGTGGGATCAGTGACTATGCCGACACCCACAAATCGGACCAATGGCATGGTTACGCTTCCATCGTGGCCGCCGGTTACGCCAAAGAGTTATTGACTGTCGTGCCGGAGCTGACCCGGGAGCCCACGGCGGTGGAACTGATGCCGGTAAGTGATTGATGGACAGAAATCACCATTTCGTTTGTGTCGGGGTGTAACGTGTGAGATCTTTCTAGGACATAGCCAGGACGCTGGATCAATATCCAGCGCAAATGACGAAGTTCAACCAGGTATTCAAATCCCTTGCGTCGCCTCGGCAGCCAGGCGCGATTTATCCTGCCCCATATCAAAAAGATGGCCTTCCATCCAAGGCGCCAGTGTCCCGAAGCGGCGCGCAACACCACGGCGCATTCTCTACCGCATCGGCAAGCCAGGCGAAGGGGAGACGATTTTGAGTACTATCCGGATCGAACATGTTCGGGCGCGCAGTGAGACTGAGACAGCTCACTGGGGTTAGGTCCCGCAGAAGATGACATCAAATGTGCAATTCGCGCACGGCGTCCGATCGTTCTTGACCCGTCCGACAAAAATCATCTTCAGTCTCGAGTCAAGGGAACCTTTGGTGAAGATCAGAGTTAGTGATCAGGACATCGCGTCGCTTCTCGAGACAATGTGACATGGCTAGGAGGCCGCTATGATCGATCTGATGAAGCTCAAAATGGGCGGTATGGAATGATATCTTGAATTCACGGTGGTTGGTTGGTTGAACTATCGACGACACCAACATGTGAAGCAGCCTGGTGAGCCGCCTGCATCACGTGGCCGTATTACTCAGGAACGCCGACAGCCCGCCAGAACCAAAATTGTCGAGGGGAATGTGCAGCGCTTGAGAAGCTGCTTTCATGCTGTATGGAGATTACCAGTGCAGATGGGCATAATAAGGTGATTCGGCTGGTGGTGCATACCACGGCCTACAACACTGTCGACCGCTCGCGTTCGTCGCACATCTCTAGAGAAGATTAAAGTGTCTCATTCATGTGCTTGACATATCTTTCCGTCAGAAATGCTGATCAAGGCTGGTGTGACACGCGGTTCGAGCGTTACTGACGTTGTTGGATTGGAAATGGGATCATCCAGATTAATCGTACAACACTGTTTTCATCCTTTGACTCTCGCGGCTTGCAGACGTGGTAAGACTACTAATGCAGGAGCATGGCGCTCGCCTAGTACATGAGCATATATCATATCTGCATCTTTTGACGTCGTCGGGCGTGTCGATGAGACGGTGGTCTGGCTTTTCCTGTCAAGTGATGCCGACCCGAATAACAGCAACGGCAGGTACCATTCGTTGTTACATGGAGCCTGCCGCGAGCAGGAGGAAATTGTCGAGTTCACTGCTGGACAGGATCAGTATCTTGTTCTTCTACCCATTGCTGCCTGCTCATTGCTACCGTGTCACGGGGTCATGAGCGCGTAGTGAGGCTTTTGCTAGAAAGTGGTACCAATCCTAGCCTTCACGGCGGCAGCATCCATCTTAACATCTCTGTCCAGAGAGGACACCGTGCCTTCAAGCTCCTTTTCAACAGTGGCGGCACTTAGATTGAGCGAATCGACTTGGTCGGCGACCCTTGTCTCGGTCGTTGCTCGCGATCATGAGGCTGCCATCGCGTTTTGCTGTTTGCGAGGCGCGGATCAGAATGCCAGAGAGCGGTACGGGCGCAAGCCTTTGATGATCGCAGCGGCAGCGGCATCTGGCAACTTGTCCACAGACCAGTATTTGTTGAACGGTTCGGATATCGACCGTGAGGCTGGCAATACTCGCAATCAGAATGCTCTTTCTTGTGCATAGGAGCGTGCCTATATCATGCGATCGTTCAGCTCCAACTCGAGGCAGCGGATTCAATGGAGCTGGTTAAGAGTGATGCTTTAGGCTCGTGATGGGCACATAGTGCTATAGGCTTGGGGCATGTTGTCTGATTGACGGCCATATCATGGTGAAAACATGGTGAAAACATCCATGATTGATGAAAGCGGTGCGTTTGTCGTCCGAGGCTGGGTGAAACTACCCCGGATAGAACCGGAGTTAGGGTTAGCACCAACCCACCCTAAGTCCGGCTTCATCGAGTATCTTCCTCACTCGACGGCCTTATGAAATTTGAGTCGGGAGTCAAGGGCCTGTTGATGCTGACATTCTTTGTATAGGTTTAAGAGCTACTGAACGCGATATGCATAAGCTCTGCTGGGTACTTCATCGCTTTCAGTACAGTACATCCCAATGTTGCTGTAAGCCCACCGTTGCCCGAGTACGCAAACCAGCGAATAGCCCTAACAGAAGGGACCAACGTACTGTTAACTCATCTTACCCCGCCAGAAAACTCTACGCACTACCACTACGAACCCCGATAGATAGGCTGCTGTCACACCCCATATTTTAGTGATATTGAACAAGGTGGAACATGCAATAGATACATTCGTCAGCTTCATCATGTCATCTCCAAATCATGATACCACATATCAACATCCAAAGCACATATCAGCATTCAAGAAACACAAACCAAACTCCCGATTTGCCTCCAAACCCCGTCCAAAAATGCACCAGAAAGTTCAAATTCCCAAGTTCCGTTTTGTCTCCACGACTCCGTCCAAATCTTTATGCACCGAGAACTCCAAATTTACGCATTTTCTCCAAGACTCTCCGTCCACAACATTCAGGTCCCGCAATTCGTCGAGTGCGACAACGCTTGAGGATATGCCACCTGTGGGTAGTATGACATATCCCGCAATCAGTTCCGAGTCCGACGACACTTGAAAACACACCACCTATGGTTGGTATGGTATGTTTTGCAGTTCCCGTATCGTCCGAAAAGCTCAGTTCCGATTGCGACGGCATCGCTCGCAGATCTGGCGTCCGCACTGCAGGCACTCCAGAATGTACCACCTATGGTTAGAATGGCACAGTTCACACTGGAAGCCGCGTTCGCCCCCGTCGTGTCGGCGGCGGAAGTGTCCCAGTGCCAGGCATCCGCGCATATGCAGTGCAATGTTGCGGAACTCTCGCAATTCCTGCATTGTATCCTCGAGTTCGCGCACGCGCTCCTCGAGATTCTGGCGGGGGGGAACTCGGATTGCGCGCGCGGCGTTGTTGCGATTGTGATTGCGTCTGTGACGGACAGGGCCATGATCGCGGGCGAGCGGCGGCGGCATCACCCACTCCGGCTCCGCGAAAGGGTGTCCCTGCTCCCACTGAGCGCAGGCGCAGGTCCGCCACCTGGCGCCGCATCGGTAACAGAACTGTGTACCGCAATGGCACCTATCACGGAACACTCGATGTTAGCATACCTGTCTATCGGGGAGCAGTTTCAAGGGGTTATTAGTCTCAGGGATGCACTCACGTCATGTGATTACAGCCCCGATCGAGCTGCACGACTGTACGGCACGAGGGGCACCGTTGCCACCCTTCTTGGTTCGCGAGCGCGAGCGTGTTCTGGATGGCCGGATCCTCGGGACAGTCGGCATCAAAGTGGTAGGGGGACATACACATGGTACATGTCAGGTTCAGGCACCCGGTGCAACGGGCCCTGTCACCAGTGATCAGTTCTGGACGAACAAACGCGCCACACGCCCGATTACCGCAGTAAACGGGGTGGGCTGTGGTATGTTCGATGTGGCGGTTGTTAAAGTTGTCAATTTCCTCCTCGTTCAAGAGGCCCTCGACGAGTGCCAGCTGGATCTCTTGACCGCAGCACCTCGGTGGGAACAGGGTCTGATCGTGGAGCGATCTAACGAACAGCTCCCTGATGCAGCCGTGACAGTAAGTGTGATCACATCCAACACGAGTTACCTCGTTTTGTTGGAACTTCTCGAGACACACACAGCAGTCGAGATTTGTGGTGTTCTGTCCTCCCCTTGCATCCTCGCCATGGATATCGTTGTTTGATGCCACAGAGCGCGGCTCGCCGATGGATAGAGTTGTCATCGTGGTGTGGATACGATATCGATGGATGAGATGAAAGGTTTGATGGTGGATTTCTTGTTGTGTTGTATCTGTGATAAAGGACTCTTCGTTAGATGGATGATGGAGGTGATAGTTGATGTTGGAAGAATGATGAACTCACGTTGTTAGTTGACACAAGAACAGAGTTTGATGATGGAAGAGAGGTGGTTGAAGGAAGAAGGAAGAAGGAAGGAAGAAAGAAGGAAGGAAGAAAGAAGGAGGAGAAGAGTTGGTGATGGTGAGAAGTTGTTTAAATGTTCGAGACTGCCTCCATCTTGCTTACAAAGACTCCTGGTGATGAACAATGTGAAGAAGAGCGATATCATGAATCTATTCAAGGCCTACACTGACTGAGCTACGAGCTTGCACCGCCTGTCACCGGCGCAGGATCACATGCAAATCCCAAAGTGGCGAACATGAAGCTATACCAGCTGAACCTGTCAATAGAGACTAGGCAGCCACGTAAGCTCATGAATAGGAGACAATAAGAACGTTCAGTTCTTGATACGTAATCGCAAACGTGTAGGAAAATCTCTGTCAGCCATGTGGCGATGTGATTTTTATATCAAGATGGTGCCAGCCCAGCTACAATGAACGAGATAACGTGGTATCAGCCTCGATGACCCCGCAGGGAGTCCTGCCGAAGGTGAAGAAGGCAGCAAAATGCCCCTTCTTCCTTCGATCAACGTGTTAATTTGGTGATTTCAGATGCTTGATGGCTACAGAGAACTTTTGGATACGAGGCTAGCAGAGAGACCATGATCCTTGGCTATATCTGGAATGGAGAAGTTGAAAAGTGACCGAAACAGTGCTAATCGATAGGAGGAGGCTCGCAGTGAGCAGCAACAGCGAAGACTTCAGTCTGGGAATACTTTCGTCCCGTCAAGACGAGCCCATATACAAGAAAATGGTGGTTGCAACGCTTGATGAAGACCGGCGTTGCCTGGCCAAGACGAAGACCTCTGCCCACATGCAGGAACGATAGGAGATTACGAGAGTGACTGACAATAAGGCATCCTCTGCTATGGGAGAGCGTATGGCCAGGGGCTCAAGGAAGGACATAGCACGATGAAGACGACTGACAATATGTATCATACTACAGGTTGAATCGAGTGCACCCCCAGAGTCTGATATAGGAGGAGCGGGCAGAATGGAGAATCTTACTGTGAGTTGAAATGGAACTATCTGGAGGCACATATCCCCATCGAGAGCTCACCGGCAGAGCCTCAAAGAAAGATATGAAGCTTTTCAGACAACCTTGGCGATGTCTCCTATACATGTTATCACTCCCTCGCAAGACCTAAGGATGAAATCATTACAATATCACTACGCGGCGCCATACAGCACGTCATCGGCTTTGATTGACTCGTTACCTTTACACAGCTAACACAGACTGCAACAGACAGAGCAGAGAAGGGCTTTACGATTCCATCATACCTTAACCTAATTCTACTCAGGTATACCGCCTAACACGCGTCAACAACTCTTTATGAATACTAGGGTAATGCTCCGTGGGCGTGGCCATCAACGGCCGCAGACCCGCGGCGACTCGATTGCTGCTGATGTGACGATAGAGTACCCCCAGCGCAGGCCGGTCGTAAGGTGACCGAGTCTCCAACTCGCTTTCCTCACTCAAGGCGACAAGAAAGGAGGTCATCCCATTCCACAAATACCCGTTATTTTGAAGTATAATTGAAGCAGGGACAGGAGGAAGCACATCCTGGTCAGGACCGTGGCCCATGTTCCCGAGCGCAGGTGAACTTCGGTGAAAGAAATGGACCGGAGTGTATCCTTAACAGCCTCCAGGAGACGCAGCAGAGCGTCCGAGGAAATTTCGATCCAGAACAAAGAAAGAGTGCGGAGGCGCAAGGATGATGGAAGGACGACGGTACCAAGGTGCAGGGACCTCGCTATGATAGTCAGCGTCTCGAGATTAGGGGCGAGCTCTAACAGACGAAGCACTTGAACTGCATTGGGCTGGGTTGCAGCAGCAGCAGTAGGCTCGGGCAGTGCTTGCGCTAGTTCGTTGACGTCGACGAAGTGGGGGGCATGCAATATGAGGTGACGAAGACGAGACAGATTATTGTTGGCACGGGCCTGTGATGAGGAGAAGACGGCGTCGAGGATACGCCTCAAGTAGTGGGTGTAAATGAGGCGGAGGTGAAGCCTGGACAAATTGGGGAGCTCGACGTCGCGCAAGGTCCCGGCGACTGTGTCAAGATATTGTTCTATATCCACTGATGGAAGGCCGGTATTGGGCTCGTCGAACACGATCTCTTGCAGGCCTTGAAAGCGGGAAAGACAATCGTTGATGGTATATCGAATATATCGAATGTTGTCGTTGAGGGCAGCAGGGCTAGCTTGTCCATAATATGCTAGGTAATTAGATTCAAACCTGGGGTAACGAACACAAGCAGCATAGGGGCTGTGCGATAGACGGTCAAGGCGCTCCAGAGAATATGAACAATGACTATCTACGATACAAGCCTGGAAGAGTAAGGGCACTGCGATAGAAGACACGGCCGGCAAGACGTAATGCAGCCAGCTGTTGCCTGGCTGGAGTAGTTGTTGCGAGAACACGTTTTGGATTGCCTCTGTTCAGGCAGGACATGCTTTCATGAGGCTTCGGCAAGAAGAGCTGCACTACGAAGGAGAGGATCTAGACGCAATGACTCAGTTTCAATCTCGGGACATGAAGATTAACGGGCTTACTTGATCCATGATCTCCGTAGGGAGGAGTTTCAGTTTCATCGTGGATTTGCAGATAGACCTGTGCGTGAAACTTGAGGTCGGGGGTAGTGAGAAGCTTGAAGAGGAATTCTGACTCCGAGGGCTGCAGGAAAGATGAGGACTTGAATCTTCGTAGAATGTGTTGTGAGGGAGGAATCGAGCGCTGAGAAAATGAAGCTATCATGTGGGTGTCATCTGACACCTCCAGCCCACGACATCATGGCGTAAGTGTCTTGAATCAGCGATATCAGATCATAAATTGCATTATACACATCGTCATCCCAAGGCACAGCGAGAAACTGCCTCTCCAGGTCGAAACAGAACAAATCATCACATCATCATCAATCAAAAGATCTCCTTCTCCGACAAGACTTCAACAGTACGAGTCCCCGCCAACTGCGCATACCTCCCCAGCGCCATCATCGGAAAGTAATGTGCATAGAGCGCATATCCAAGATAGAAAAAGTTCGGGAATCCTGTCCCAGTATACTGGCTCTCCTCCCACGAGGCTCCTTTCCCACTGCCTTCCTGCTTCGATTGCGTCTGAATGAGGTAGCCAACACCTCGCTCGATAGCGGGAGCACTCGGAGCCAGATAGGGCAGCAATGCCATCACTGCCCATCCCGTCTGTGACGCGGTGGAGGGATGGTCAAATCCGACCCGACTGCCCGACCGATAGGTCTGCAGGCTTTCGCCCCAGCCCCCGTCTGGATTTTGAATCGACAGGACCCAATGCACGGCCCGCGATGTCAAGGCGGGGATGCGATTGCTGTGCTTGGTGAAATACGTCAGACCACAGAGGACATTACTCGTGCCATAGATGTAGTTGCATCCCCAGCGGCCGTACCATGATCCATCCGGCTCCTGAGTTTGCGCAAGATACCCGATGGCACGATCGGATGCAGCGCGCATCTGCGACAGCAGGTCTAAGCCCGCGTATTGAGTCACTGGACTCCGAAACAGGAGACCAAACGCTTCCAGCACACGTCCCGTGACATCTGCTGACGACGGATCGCACAGACTGTCCATGTCACTGAATGGGATCTTGTTCAGGAAGAGCGCATCGTTGTTGATGTCGAATGCGCCCCAACCGCCGTCTTTGTTCTGCATGCCCAGAATCCAGAGCACCGCGCGAATGGTATTGTGGTGCGTGAGGTCGGTTCCGTGCTTGAGGAAGGCGATAATCGCGGCCGCAGTGTCGTCTACGTCAGGGTACCAGGTGTTGAAATACTCGAAGCTGAACCCTCCGGGGATGGCCTTGGGGCTGTAGACCTGCCAGTCGCCGTAGGGCTGTGTGAGCTGGCGATTCTGAATCCAATTGATGGCGCGATGTAGTCGTTTGCTGTCCTTGGGGTGGGAGGCATCACATAAGGCAATGGACATGAGGATTGTATCCCAGGTTGGGGAGACGCAGGCCTGCATGCGCCGGCCTTGCTGGTCCTCCCATGCGAACCTCTCAATAGATTCCAAGGCCTTGACAACGGGAGCATCAGTAAGCTGGAAGCCTTCCAATGTAAGTGCCAGCAAGCCGAGATGCATAGGCGGGAAGATGCCGGCCCAGTCGCCGGAGTCTTCTTGATGGTCGAGGATCCAGGTGATACAGCTGCGACGACTGTAACGTCTAGTAGGAAAAAGTCGAAGTCCATTCAGAAAATGCAGGACACGATCAATAAACAGGAACATTGTTACCAGTAAGTTCAGTCCACTGGTACTCGCAGGCCGTTGGTAAGGTACCGATTTATTCCCAGGGTCGAGCCACAGCTCATCCAAATATGTACCGTCCGCTGCACTTCCCGGAGGAAGAGGGTAGATCGGACGATGATGCGACACAATCAACAAGGGTACGATCGTGCTGCGCGCCCACGAGGCGAATTTGTAGATGTTGATCGGGGCCCAGGCCGGCATGAAGATGAGCTCCGCCGGCAGTTCCGGCACCGCGTCCCAGGGGAACAGCCCGAACATCGCCAGGTAGAACCGAGTGAATATGCGGACTTTGGCCACGCCCCCAACACTCCGAATATACTCACAGGCTTTGCGCATCGCCGGGTGTTCTGGTGGAACCTGGAGGATTTTGAGAGCGAAGTACGCCTCGGTCGAGGTCGAAATGTCACCGGGATAGTGGGGCGCAATTCCCCAGGAGCCGTCTGAGTTCTGCTGCGTGAGTAGCCATTGAATCAGGGGCTTTGCTTCTTGGGTGAGGTCGAGACCAAGGGACAGTCGCAGGAGAATATATTCGGCTGTGATGGTTGCATTGGACCGTAGCTCGCCACACCAATGGTTGTCTTCTTTCATTTGCTCTATCGAGTACTGAGTTGCTTTGTCAAGAGCATCGCGTGCGGCGCGAACCGTTGGCCCAGGGCTTGAACCTGGTAAGGTTGGTTTAGCCGCAGGGACTTTTGCGTGCATGTTTGCTTTTCAAGGCTCAAGTAGTAACCGGCAAGCATAGAGAAAATGTTCGGTGAGCAGGATTATCAAACAGGGTGATATATACCGGACTTTATCCCTCCTTGTGCGCAGAGGTGTCATTGATCACACGCAGTTGAGCAAGAATGGACCTATCTATGACGCTACATGTATATATGGATCCAGGGATAATCTGATATTCTCATCACATCGGGTTTGCCCCATGCGGCGCGAACGAAGGACCAATGGGCTTTGGGATAACCCTATATTTGAAATACTCACCACCATTTAAAGTGGATTTAGAATCGATCGTGACAACACACATGCCCGAGTGGAGCCAGATATGACCAATGACCGGTGTGACAAACAGAATTGCTGCAGACAGAAAGAGAATAATGTGGGTGATATCGTATTTGCGGGATTGATGAGGTGATCCAAATATGATAAGCCCTAGCCGGCTTGCCCAATCCCCTCATGATCGACACCCGGCGATTCGGTCCCAATCACTTCACATGATGTGATTGAAATGCCTGCAAGACCTAACACAAACTTTCGCATCTATCATAAGTCTCGTCATTGCTAACTCGATGCCGCGAAACTTGATTTTTTCTTTCACCTCAGTCGCGTGCTCGGCATATTAGTTGGTTGAAGCCCGTCAACCCACCTAGCGACGGTCGTCAATAAACGGACAACATGATGTTGATTCTTCTGGTCAGTACCGCTCATCTTTGTTGATAACGCAATCTGACGATATTCGTAATCAGATTGGTGTGGCGATTCTAGCCGCAACTGTGATTTACGATCGATACTTCCACCCTCTGGCCAAGTTTCCGGGCCCGGCAATTGCAGCAGCGTCTCCGGTGTGCAGCCTGCCTCCAATCATTCAATCACCAGACTAACCTTGATCAAAGCTATGGGCAATGCACGCGCGCTACTCAGGGAAACTTCTCCCCAAGCTACGAGACTTGCATGAGAAACACGGTACGCTTCAGATTACCTATTCTTCAGAACCGGGTACATGACACCACACAGGCCCGGTCGTCCGAATCTCCCCTAATGAATTGTCCTTCGCAAGCCCGCGAGCGCGAGACGAAATATACAAGGACGAGTATACGAAAGGGTTTACCCCAACGCAGAACAACGTCAGTTTCGCGATCGATGTCGTGATCGGAGACACCACCGCTCAGTCGGCCACCACGCGGACGGATCATCGCAGTGTGCGGTCGCAAGTTAAGGGGATTCTGGCAACCTATCCCGCACAAAGCCAGGCGCAGATTCATCGGACCTATTTGACAGAGCTGGAGAAGGAGCTGGACACCGCAGCCCTGAAAGGGAAGCAATTTAATCTGACGACCGGGATGGACCGGCTGATCTGGCAGTGCATGGGACACTTTTTTCTCGGCCATTCCATTCCCATTAGCACGAAAGAGACATTTGACTACTTTCGGCGATGGGATAACGTGTACACCGCGGGCTTGGATTTGATGTTCTACATTGGTCGTTGGCCGGGGGCATCGGCTGTCGCGGCGTTTCTGCTGAGGGCAATTCGAAATCTTATGACGACGGATTGGGTGCAGGTGAACACGTTTAGTCGGATTCAGGAGTAGGTTTCTTCTAGAGATTCTATACTGGAAACATGGCATGTCTAAATGTTTCCTACGTCTGGCAGACTCACCGACCGCAAGGAGTTCGGGGAAAGCATCGTCGGGCAAAAGCTGGGAATCGTGGACGGGGTCGACGGAAAGCCAGAGTTGAAACGCGCCATGGCGCATATCAGCCTTCTTGTGTGAGGATATCTTGGACTTCCCTTTCAATGTTGCTATGCTATGGAGCTGACAATGCTTCAACAGAATCGGTGGATATGACCCCGTCTCAGCCGCCGCATCCGCCGTCTTCTATTACCTACTGCAACATCCGAAAGCGCTCGTCAAAATCCAGCACGAGCTCCGCACCGCTATCTCCAGCGAAGAGGTTTGCACAGATGATAATTTGTCCCAGGTCGCTTATCTGAATGCCTGTATCCAAGAAAGTCTCCGACTACAGCCACCAGTGAACGACGTGGGCGCCCGAATCTCCACCGGCATAGAGGTAGATGGCGTCTACGTGCCCAAAGGGGTGAGTCTAGCATTGGGATTACAGCTGTTCATGATTGGTAGTAATGCTGTGCGCGCAGGCCAAAGTCTTCGTCGATAAGTATTCGATCCACCGATCTGCAAAATACTTCAAAAGTCCCGATCGGTGGGACCCCGAACGGTGGCTTGCCCCAACCCCCGAGTCGGATCTGGCTGCTTTCTCGGCATTCTCGGTGGGCACCCATGCGTGCCCGGGCAAGACCATGGGACTGCGAGTGTTGCGTCTGACTATCGCAAAGCTGCTGCTGAGCTATGATTTTCAGCTGGCGGGCCCGGAGTTTAACTGGGATCGCGATGCGCATTGTTGTCATGTGTGGCAGGATTTTCGTGTGGATGTGAAGGTTAGCAAACGAGGGTCTCTACATTCGATTTAGATCCATGGACGGCGATAGATTTTACATCGACGACTGATGGCTCATCTAAAATACTAGTCGACACCGGGAGGGGGCGCGGGAATATGCTTGCCTGCATCCACATAGCTAACCAGGGGAGTGGATAGGGACGAAGATTATAGGAATACATTTATGAATCTGTCCTGCAGATTGTATCCATGCCAGATGAATTTGTCTGACCATCTGAGCTCTGTAAGCAGTTGTCTCTGATTCTTCTTCGGATACTATGTACCATGCCCGCCGAGAAGAACTGGGTTCTTGAATGGGCTGACCCGATGACAATCGACACAGTAGTACAACCAACATCACATTCCAGAGTTATTCTAGAACCCAACGAGTCCCCGGTCAACCCTCCTTCCCCCTTACAAACGACCGCTCCACCTCCTCTAACGACTTCCCCTTCGTCTCCGGCATCCACACCCAGCAAACCGCCGCTGTGACGAGCGTACACCCCCCGAACAAAAAGTACGCTGCGCAGCTACTCTTCGCCAGCAGCACGGGGGTGATCAAGGCCACAAAGAAGTTTGAGATCCAGTTGGCGCCGTGCGCGAGACAAGTGGCCGAGGCGCGGGTGCGCTGGGGCTGGATCTCGGCGGCGTAGACCTTGCAGCTGACGGCCCAGGAGACGCTGTAGATGGCCGCAAACAGATAGATGGCGACGATGACGACCCAGCGGCCGGCGCCCGTGGACTTGTGGACGGCGTCGGCCGCGTACAGCGCGCCGATCACCAGCATGGTAACCGTCAGCCCCAGTCCGCCCAGGATGACGTTGTGGCGCCGGCCCCAGCTGTCGGCGTAAATGAGGGCGGGGACCGTCACGGCGAAGATGACTATCCCCGACACGCCCGAGGCGAGGAAGCTGGCTTGCTCGGAAGTCATGCCTGCCTGTTCGAAGAGGAGCGGGGCGTACTATTTTCCTGCATTAGTATGCGTGGTGAGATAAATGTGGCGGACAGGGGAGAGATCATACGTAAAGGACCCCGTCAATCCCGGCAAGCTGTTGCATGGACATCAGGAACAGTCCCAAGAGAGTCCGGTTGCGCACGTCCGGTTTGAATGCGTCGAATAGGCTGGTCTCATGGCCACCCTTCTTAGGGATCGATCTCTCGCTGCGGCGCGAGAGGACTTGTTCAAGGGTATTCGGGGCTAAGGTGCTGCCCGTCGGCGCCAGCGGGTGCGTAACGGCCTCTTCGTGAATGTCGTCGTCGTCTTCCTCGCTCAGCTTCTCCCGATCCGCCGGGCTGACTTGGAGATACTCCCAGGCGCGCGTCGCCTCGTCGGAGCGGTTGTGCAGGGTGAGCCACCGCGGGGACTCGGGCAGCCACAGGAACGCCGCGATGCCGAAAAGGACGGAGACGCAGGCCAGGAGGATGAAGGGGGTGCGCCACGCCATGGACGAGGACAGACGCTCGCAGCCGTAGCAGGTGAAGAAGCCGACGACGAGGCCCACGGTGATGAACAGCTGCGGGCCAGTGGTCAGTGGGCCTCGCTGCTTCGGAGGCGAGATCTCGCAGATGTATCTGTGCAGATCAATGACTTCATTAGTAAATGTGACAAGCAAACGAGTACCCGGTGAATAGTTAGACTTACACGACTAACGTCCCCAGATACAGACCCTCCCCGAGCCCCTCCACGACACGGCCGACAATGAACATGGCCAGATGCACGGCGCCCGCTTCGATGGCCGCCCCGACCCCGAAGATAAGAGCCCCCAGACTGATGGCCCTGGGCCGTCCGATCCAATCAGCTAGTTTGCCGCCGAAGAACGAGGAGAAAGCGGCGGGGATCAAGATGGCGGAGACGACGAGCCCGTGAACGATGGATGAGAAGGAGCCGAATTTCTGTGTGAACTGGTCCATGACGACGACTGATCCGATGATGCCGGTGTCCATCCTATCATCGAGTCAGTGTTTGGCAGCTGTTCCAGTTCAATGTGAATCTGCAACTCTGAGGGCACACAACTCACCCGAACAAGAACCCTCCCAGGGAGCATAAGATGCTAGCCCAGACATAGCGCGACAGATGCGCAGTCAGCGACATGGTTGCGGCGTGGTGTTCCTCTCGCTCTGGAGAATGGTACTGAGATGCCACTTCGCACCAGCGAACCGAGTCTGAAGAGGTCGTTTATAAGCCTCGAAGACTTGAATAGCTGTGAAGAAAATTTTCGAGGTGGGATCTACATGTTCGCACACCATCGTCACCGCACTTCGAGACCGCGATAGGCGAAGGAATTGGCAGCTCGGGAGGGATTCCTTCACTCTCGGGAAGATCGCCTCTTTCTGTTCGGTTCGGCTCTTATCGTTTATCGTTTATCGCTTGAACACGAAGTCGGTGGGGAACAGCGGATTGATTAGATTAGTCCAGCCAATGGGTCTAGACCTTGTCGTCTTCCAGCTCGGGAGAATTGCCTTTCTTTGTGGGTATCTTCACTACTAGTGTACTTAAGTGCATTGCAGCTTCACGTCATCGCTATTTGTAAGCGATTGCCAGCGCATCGAGGCGCTCAATTCTCATTGCTGCAGGTTGCTCTATGTGAGACAAGAAAAACGCTACAGAGTCTAAGTCAAACAAGGCACCGCAAAATTTGCGGACTCAAAGGGGCTGTAAAGCTGTCTGTACTGTACCCGTCATCCGGGGTAGGCCCGCCAGCCCTAACACTGAGCCACAGACACCTCTACCGATAATACCACCACCGAGAAGAAGCGCCACTACATACAAATCCATCACACCAGCGCTCCCCCCGCCGCCCACTGCCGCCGTAGATCCTGCACGCGATACTCAGTCGCCCACGCCGTCTCGCACTCAACCCGTCGCAGCAGGTCCACCACCAATCGCCGCTCGGGCACCCCCTCGAAGCACTGGCCCGCTACGAACAAGGGCTGCACTGTGTGCGGGAGCACGGCATCCGGCAGCCCGGCCAGACTGATGCCGCAGAGCTCGCGGGCGTGGCGTACCACCTCGCCCGCGATGCGCCGGTAGTTGTGCAGGCGGGCGGTCACCGTCGACCGAATAGCGGTGGCCTCCTGCGGCATGTTGCTCAGCAGCAGGATGCGCGCCATGTGGTAGGTCTGGATGGTGACGGCGCACATGGGGACCGTGAAGACGATGGCGTCAATGGTGGTGTTGTTGTTGCCGTCGGAGTCATCGGCGTCGTGGTGCTCGGAGGCGGGACGTCGGGCGATCGGTCCGGAATCCGTCGATAGAGACAGGCGGGTCCGCGCACAGGGAGTGAAGGAGGCCGGCAGGGAGTCGTGCCAAGCGCGAAGCTCGAAGTCGAGTCGCTGCCACCGTTTCAGCAGGTCCTCTTGCGTGGTGCCGAAGGATGGTCGTTGGTCTGGGGGGCTTTCATAGTCGCCCGGGTTGATTCCGTCGCCGCTGGTGATGTAATTGATGATCTTGCCGGTGAGCCAGATGAGCGCGTTGCTGAGCGTGTCTTCGTCGAGCCAGGGGGCTGGGGAGGAGATACGAGGGGAAGGGGGGGCGGAGGGGATGGCGGGGGTGGTGGGTTTCGACGGGGGCAAGAGGTGACCGTATGAGGAGATGCTGAGGCCGAAATTACGCCAGAGAATGAGATCGGAGAGATCCAGACGGGTTTGGGTCTCGTTGATGACTGGGTTCGCGCCATTAGAGGAGTGTGTATTGGGAACAGCACATGGCAAGAAAGAGAACCTACATGCGGAGAGACAGTCCTGCCGGTAGAGACTCCAAAACACGGATCGCGGAATGTGCAGCAGGGAATCAGGCAGCGTCTCTGTCGACCTCCAGGCATCGGGACTGCCGCAGTACAGGAAGGGCAGGGCGCTGAGGTGAGCCCGCCATTCGGTGCTAGGGGCATCACTCAGCTCGTACATGCAAAGGATCGCGACCACGGCGAACATCTCCTCGCGCCGATCATCGGGGATTTCCAGCGCAATGGCCTCTTTCAGGTGGTGGATGGCCTGGTCGTAGAGCCGCACGGATTCGTACTTCCAATCGATAGCTCTAATAGTCCACTGCAGCGGGGTTTTGCGCAGGTGAGGGAGCTGGGATATCCGCACGGAATCCCCCTGGCAGAGCCGGTGCAAATGTTTGGCGGCCAGGGCACAGGCAGCCGCTCTCATCATCGGCCGCGTAGCCGCCATGATGGGCACCTTGATGGAGTAATACGCATTAGAGTCGAAGCTGTCCAGCCATTGACCGGGAGCTGCCTGGAAGTGCTGGATCAAGACTGCTGTCAAGATTCCATTTTGTTCGGGTGGCACGGGGCTCCGAGCAGGAGTCGACACTATACTCTCTTCTCCAGCAGCGATTGTCGAGGGCGAGGCGACTACTAGGTGGGGTTCGTGATCAGGATGGCGTTCATCCACCGAGGATGTCAATTCTTCGTCGGCAAATGGGTCTATGACCTGAACAAAGGTGACTGTGGGGAAGAGTCAGTGCTGTTCGCTCGTCCGTGAGACAGGAAACCACTGTACGGGGCGAGGGAACCGGGACCCATATCTGAGGCCCTTGCGGAGACCAACCGCTCCCCAGATCGCGGCAAAGATCGTTGACGCTGGAGTGGCGAAAGATGCAGTTGTTGGAGAAGACACAGTTTCGCGAGGCTTTGACACAGGGGCCGCATACAGGCCTTGCTTCGTCACATTTAACCTTGCGCTGTCGACATGTCACACTGTGGAGGGAGATGAGACGTTACAAAGTGGTCGCTTTCATGGCATTGGGGGTCAGAGGCATGTTACCAGCCAAAGTAAGAGCGCATATCTGCCCGGAGGCGATCATATTATGTGTCTCGAGGGCGAATATGGAAGATATCCAGGGCAGGACACCACAGATGCAACAGTTAAGATGGAGGAAATGGCGGGGTAAAGAGGGGAATCTTGCCGAATTTCGCGGGGTGAAAATTTTTACTGTGGTTCAGAAAGCGGAAATGTTGGCGATGCTCCACCCACGGCCGGGAATAGTCGGAGTACTACGGAGTATGGAGTATGGAGATACTGTTATAAGTTATAATAATGTTAGGATATATAGCCAACCTCTTCTATCGAGGATATACCCAAGGAAATAGGCACTGTACCACTGCACGAAAGCAATCAGGCGGGGATATTCCATTGATCATCGTTAAGTGAGTCAGGGCTGAAGGATGCCGAGCAAAGAGGGCAGGCAAGCTTGCCGAACAACACAACAACACAACAAAGAATACTCAAATTGCCCTCGTATCGTCTACAATCGGCTAGACCATGAACTGCAGCTAGCTTTATCAAATCACACTGTCACTATCACTCTTCTCCCTGCGCAGCATCTCCCTGGACCTCTATCTCCCCTAAGGTCCCAAAGATCTTCACCACCCAGTCAGCGCATTGACATGCGACCCAGCAATGAGATGCCCTCACTCACTATCAACAGCGCGAGCAGTGTTTGGGCCTGTGGAAGACCTTCTCCGTGTCACGACACCTTTGATGTAGTCATACATAGATTCCAATATGGAAATGACACAAAGATAAGGTAACTAGAAAGGACGGACAAGCGGAAACCGGAATCCATCCTGAGGCAAAAGCAATAATCACGTGATCAAGACAGACAGGGCTGATTGCCTGACATGGGCAGACACTCGCTTACTCGCAGTCACATCCTGTACTGTACATGTACGCAGCATAACAAAGTGAGCATAAGGTAAAAGAACCAAAGACTTAGAATTCAGATAAGTTTCCTGAAGTGAGTTTCCGAAGTACTGATCGATGTGGTTTCCAACAGCCCTGAGATAGCATCGGCCCTCCGACACAGGCAACCACCAATCCCCCAAACCCCTCCGTTCAATCGAGCGACAAGCAGACCAGAATCTCAAGCAATAGTTTTTCCGTAACCACCAACCAGGGACCAGGCGCCTTGGCCAGGAAGCTAAATCTAGACCGTGGACTGGAACGGTCACTTCCGCTTCCGCGGGTCTCACGGGGATCCACTACACTTGAGTGATTTCTCCGCCAAGGGTCTGTGATTCGATCACCCCGGCAGCAGCACAGCTTGGGAGTGTCGGCACCGGTCACCGGTGAAGGAAAGAGTGCAACATTTTCCGGATTTTCAGTTGACCAGTCAAGCTGATAAGTGAGAGTGATTTGTTCCTATATACGTGAATCGCTGTGGTGGTCAGACTGTATTGTGGAGGAAATGGGCGATCCGGGAGATCCGGATATCCCGCGGCCTCAGGCATGGAGACCCACAACCAGTCAGTTAAGGCAGGAATGGTTCTGAAGGGAGGCACTGATGGCACTGGCTACTGAATTCAAGTGAATATGGATGACTCTCTTATGACAGTTCAACATGCTGTGTACAGCACTACTCTCCGATAAACACATTAATGCATTAGTTAAGTTCTATCATGCATATATACAAGCTTCCATCTGAGTCCTCCTAAATTGCGATTTCTGCACCCAAAATCGAACGCCATCCTACAGTCCACTTAAAGGTAGACGTAGCAGAATGGCCCAGCAGTCGTACTCATCAAATCGCGCATGGCAATGGGCTGACCGTTGGCATAACCAATGTCAATAACAGTGTCGAGCGTGGTATTCGCCGACGGGGGGTTGTTCATGAAGGTGCCGGTACCGGAGATGGCATTCTGGCGGTGCTTACGGTCGAGGTTCTGCCAGATCCACCAGACGCGGTCGATCATGCCGTGGTGGTGCCAGAAGGCCACATCGCCGGGGCTCACGTAGACGTCACGACCGGGATCGCCGCCCATGGAGTAGTGGCCACCCCCGTGGACACCAATCGAGCCGCTGCCGGGAATGCCTTGCATCGTCATCTCGAAGTCCCAGACATCGTCGTTGTCCAGGATCAGCGAGACGATCTTGGGGTAGGTGTTGTACCGACTGAGAATCTCGGTGGTCAGCGACCGCTTTAAGCACCGGGGGTTGTAAGCCAGCGGGTTAGCCGCCATCGAGGTGTTACCCCCGGGCAGGGAGAGAACAGCCGGACCCAGGTTGACCTTGTAGTCTTTGAACGGGCCGCTGGTAATGCAGCCGCCGCCGGTGCCGGGCGGCAGGTCAATGGCCGGGTAGTCACCCAGGTACAGCATCACGTCCGGCTGATCCGCGATGGGGGCTCCGTTACCGGACATGGAGGTCTCGCTACCGTCGAAGACGGGCGAGTTCTCCATATCGTAAGCGTCAGCACCCCAGTCCCAGTAAGGGTAGTCGCCGGTGTAGCCGCACTCATCGCGCAGGGCGGACTCAAACTCGAAGATGAAGTAGCGGTGCCACGCCAGGAACGTGCCCGTGTAGTGGATCTCCAACGTCTGGTTGATGTGCGTGGCCACGAAGTCGTCGTAGCGAGTGCGCGCCCCCGGGACCAGGTCGGCCGGGGTGCGCGAAGGCAGCTTCTGCAGACAGAGGACAGAGTTGATATACGCCTTCTTCTGGGACTTGGAGAAGGTGCGCCACTCACGACGCACACGAAGCTTGTCCAGAGTGCAGGTGCCCTCGCTGCGCTTGGTGCTGTCCGAGGCAGTGGACAGAGTGTCGGTGGTGAGGTTGTAGGCAAAGGAGTTCAGCTGGTCCAGCTGCGACGAGGCCACGTCAGTCGAGCTGGAGGCACTCGTGGGCAGGGTGGCCGTTGCTGTTTCGGCTGCGGGGAGGGCCCATGACCCTGAGAGCAGTAGGCCCAGAGTAAGAGCCTGGAGGGCGACCATGGTGGCGATGGCAGCTGTCACACCACTCCTGATCAGAAGGAAAACGGAAGAGAAGGGAGAAGAGAGGCAGGAAGCAAAAAGAAAGTTAGAGTTAAGGAGGCTGGGCGGGGAGAAGCAGGTTGAATGAGGGAATGATTGTCAATTTAACGGCGTCGCATCGCTCGCTATCAACATACCGTGCATCGATCGGCCCACCCAACTAGCTCTCTTAGCTGCATACTGCACTATGGCTCGGTCTAATAGACAAGGAACGGAATTGTTAAGACCGAGGAAGAAGACGAGAGAACAAAGTCCCCACCCACTCAACCCCCACGCACTCAGCAGCATGGCGACCAGAGTCAATTAGCAACAACGTGCTGACTGGCTGGCCTTGGCCAGGGGAAAGGATGTAATGGTACCTCGGAGGAGGACTAATCTGGATGACCGGGATTTGAGAGGCGGACTGGCGAGCACTAACCAGGGATTATAGATTGCATCACTTTGAATTACTGGTTTGGTTAGGGTTGGAGATGCAACCGGCGACAGCACAAAATCATTGACATCCGTCTCTCCAGTCAACCCTTGCTTGGTCCCTGTCCCCACTGCACTCCACCCGGGTCCACTCCGGCCAAAAAGTTAATCAATCTGGCCATCCACCCAATTTTAGGGGTGCAAGGTGCGACACTGCAAATCACCTGCCCAAGCCGAGGTTGAAGCGACTTGGCAGGTCCGGTGGCACTGGCCGATCCACCCTAGGCTGGCTGGCCCTCCCTTAGGCGCACGGTCCATTGGCCAGGTTTTTGGTCATCCATGCGTAGCTTGAACTATGTTGCTGGGGACTAGGATAGGAACAGTAAATGAACGACAAGGGCCAGAAAGAAGCATCGGTGCAGGCACCAACTTGGGTGGTGCATTGCTGCTATCAGATGGCCACCGTCCAGGGTCTGCTACCGGATCCTGATCCTCGCCCGAGATCGAACCGGCAACCGTTGGATCCGGAAATCCGGTCGCGACCGGACACCCATTTTTGTGAGATAGATCCTGCGAAGATCGAATTCTTTAGTCAAGCCAATGCAGCTATTCATCCTGAGGGATCTTGATCCTCGTGTTCCTGACTCTTCCATGGTCGCATGGCGGACCCGTAGTTCATGCGCCTATCCTTGGCATGGTCGTCACACCAGCTCGGTCTGCTCTTGGATATTCATAACCTGGCCAAGGTCAAGCATCGCCCAGGAAATAGCCAGCTAGCTCAGCTCAGTCCTTCGTTTTCCTGTGGTGAGCATGTCGACCATCGTGCATCCGGGGGGTGCGGGCCTTCCTAATGACAATCAAGGGCCACGCATCCTGGCGGCCACGAGCATTGTGACTGCTGGGGCTGCAATCACTGTGCTCGCCCGCATGTATGTTCGCATTTTCCTCATTCGCAATGTGGGGCTTGATGTAAGTGCTGTCTCTGCTTTGGCCCATACCAATTCACTCGAGCTGACCGACCCGGAGGATTATACCATGCTGTTGACAATGATCTTAGTAAGTCACTCCGAGTCATCCCTGACCAGCCGGATGGTATTTGCAGTCCTGACATTGCGGCAATCAGTCACTCTGCGGATGGGGGATCATCATTCCAGAAGTCATCTACGGCGCGGGCCGACATACGGCCTACGTCGAAAAGACAGCTACCAAAGCAATGCATCTGAACTTTGCTACCCAGGCGATATATATGTGGGCAATCGGACTCGTCAAGATTTCCATCGGACTGTTCCTGCTACGGTTCGCACCGCGCAAGGGCTATCGCATTTTCATTTGGGTGGTCATCGGTCAGTGTAGCTTTTTCCATGTCCTAGTTCTTATCCAACTGACGGCATATAGCTCTGATGCTCATTTACACGACAATTTGTTTCTTCGTACGTGGTGCTGGTTTGTCTTGCAGATGACGATTTGATGCTGACTGCTGCCAGACACTCATTTTCCAATGCCATGACATGCGGAGCATTTGGGATTTCTCGGTCAAGTCGAAATGCTTTGCCCCGATACAGCTGTTGAAATTGAGTTATACAAATACAGGTAAACATGTTAATCGAGAGATCCTGCTTGTTCTTTATTTAACAAGGCTCTAGCCTTGAATATCCTGACCGATTTGATCTTTGCCATTCTCCCGATCTTCATGCTCAGGTAAGTCTAGCGGATAAGACTGGACGCTGGCATAGACGGAGCCCTAACGTCACCACCCGACAGACATCTCCAAGTCAACAAACGAACCAAGGCTTCTTTGATTTGCATTCTAGGATTGGGTATTTTGTAAGACCGCGCACTCCATTTTGAGATAGTACAGCATCAATGAACTAACCAGATCCAATTGTATGTACAGTGCCTGCGCCGCAGCGATTGTGAAGCTCACCGTGCTTCCCAACTACGGTCGCACGGGCGACTTTCTCTGGGATTATTCAACTCTCACGATCTGGGTTGTGTCAGTCCTCCTTCACTACCCTGCACCTCAATCCTCATACGCTAACAATACCTTGTTATGCAGCGTCGAATCCAACATGGGCATCGTCGCCGGCAGCCTCCCGACCCTGAAACCCCTCTTCAAGCAAGTGCTGGGCAGCTACGGCTCACGCTACAAATCGCGACCGTACAACTACCCCCATCATAACACCTACGGCAGCAAGGCCTACCGTCTGCGCTCCATGTCCCGATCGCAGCAGCACGGCCAGTCGCAGACCCAAGCCAGCCACCACGACCCCGAGCCTTTCCCCAAGAAACCCACGGCCACGACCACCACAACCACGGCCACAGCGACCTCGTTCCCAGGCCACGACAGCAGCGATAATTCGAGCGAGGAGTACATCCTCTCGCCGCATGAGCATGATACGATCATGCTGACGACGGAGGTGACCGTGTCGCATTCGATGCAGGCCCAGGCGGAGCGGAGTCGCGCGGCGGCTGCGGCGCAGGGTCGGGGGTTCGATCGGCCAGGGCTGGGGATGGTCTAGACTTCCTGGATCCTTGCATTCTCCTTTTTCTCTTCTTTGTTGATCCCCACCTTTTCATTTTAGACACTTCGCTCATTATACATTTTCTTTGATAATTCTTTTTATCCGGTTCAGGTGGATAGAGAAATGGAGTTCAAGGGGTTCGATATTCCGTTAGGGCGTATGGGAAGCTTGCCCTATCCCTATAGAGGTAATGGGGACGAACGACAGTCAAGCAGCAGCAGGGGTCCTTCTAACCAACAAAGAATCTTGTTTCTCTCCGAGATCAGACCACTTTTAGCCAGGGGTCGGAGATGAGGGTTGCGAATCGCCGACAGATGGTCAAGAGATTTCGTTTGCTTCATTCACCTATCGGGAGTGAAGGCAAGGATCTGACTACTTAGCAAGGATAGACGGGAATCAATGTGGTTGTTCGCAATATATGGGTGGAGATGAAAGCATAGCCTAGCAAGGGCCAAGGTTCGCTTGGGTGGCGGAACATCAAATCCGACGGGGAAATTGCGGGTCTGACAGGGACGATTACGGCACGATATGAACTGCTGTGCTTATGCGAAGAAGATATTAACAGGGTACGGACGGCCTTATACTACGACCTTAGTGCTTACTGGGAGATTCCTGGTGTAAAGCTAGCCTATGGATGAGATTAGGCTAAAAGTCTAGATTGATGCCAGTGTAATCCCCACATGATGCTTCATCCAATGCAAACAAAGGCCCTCAATCAGAAATAGATACCGTTGCACTCTCATGCTGCGAGCTACCTATACCTATTTGTGTGTAGTCTATACAGGACAGGACAGTACTCGCAATGTTCCGATCATGCCTCGTAGCGGGAGACCAACCCTAGCAACACCCACAACCATCCTCTCACTGAGTGTAGTATCCTTGAACATTTCGTCGAACCTGGCGCATGTCCACGTAATCCGGCCAGCTGCTGTACCACTCCAAGAACTCCGAAATGGAATCGAACAAGGGTCTGCGACCGTACAATGTGGTAGGGTTCTCCTCACTCGCCTCGAAGAAAACCACCCGCCAGGCCCAATCATTATACCTGGAGTCCGCTTCCTCATCCCCAATCACCCGACAGTAAGCATAAGCACTATACCATAGGTCCTCATCTCTCCAACCACCACTCCCAGTCAGAAACCCGACCTTCACCTCCAAATCATCATCAATCGTTCCATGAAGCTTCACCTGGCCCAGAAGACTATCCTTCAAATACCCCCTCAGCGCCTCCCGCTGCGCCTCCACATCCCTTAAACCCTCCACCCCCTCTTCCTCCGCATACTCCGGCACCCCAATATAAAGCCCCGGCATGAAAGACGCAATTCCCGAGCGCCGGAAATCCGGATCCGAGACCCCGTTCGCGTACTTCAGGAACAGCAGTAACTCCTCACACGGGGGGATCTCGACCGCCTCCCGGCCTTGGCTATCATCAGCCACCGCCGCGGAGCACACCTCGTGGAACGTCTTCTGGTACATCTGCCGCCACGACTCCGTCCGCAGACGCGGGGGACACACCCCGTCCATGTACTGATGATACAGCGACAGAACATCGGCCAGACGTTTGACGTTGCGGACCTCGCGCTCTTCGCGGACGGGTCCCGGCCCCGCGATGCTGTTCCAGTGGGGATCCGGGCCGCCCTCGCCCAGCTTGTCCCAGTAGTCGCGCATCTGCACAAGTTTGTCGGCTTCGGTGGGAAGGTGCAGGGCTTCGATCTCGGCCACCCGGTCTTGGAGGAAGCGGCGGTTGGAGGATTCCATTTTCTGGCGGAATTGGGAGAGGGCGTCGCGCATGGCTGCGTCTGCGTTGCTTCTGATCTCTGACATTGCTGAGGAAGAGGTGTCATGTAGGTTGATGGAAAGGTGGACTTGTAGAATGAAGCACTCCAGGGGGAAGGATTGTTGGGGATAATATATCTGGTCAGTTATCAGTGCGTATTGTTACAAGATAAGGTGATAAGGAGGTAGGTGGTTTGCGCCAGTAGTCCACGATCCCTTATGTAGTGTACTGTAACTTGTTTCTTATCAGCAGCTTGCAAGGCTCATTACCCCGCCATGTCGATGTCAGATTGCCGGTCGGTACCTGAAATAGGCTACAGCCTGCCTGTTAAACAAACTCCTTTGGTTTTGTTGGATGCTTTTTGCAAGACACTTTCTAGCTCTGCCTTATCAGATAATCAACGATCCTCGAGCCTCTGGTGCGGCGCAGAAGTCGTTTTCTTCATTTCCTTGGAACATATAGGACCCCGCAGCCGCACTAAGCCGACACAAGGATAGGTGACCGGAAACAAGCACATTGCTCGGGCTACAAAGCCCTAACCAACAATAACAAGGTATCTGGACTCACATCTGCAGACTTACACAAGGGTTTTCTGTGTAGCCCAGGAGAAAAGCTAAATGGATCGAATCTTGCGCGGTCGCGGGGTAAGATGACGATCGGGGGCCAATGCCCTCATCCCCCGCACTGAACCCTTCTAGACAATGCCATTGTTCACTGCAGTTTTCATTCTAACAGTATATGCACAGCATCTCATGGGCTTGTTCCTGATTGCCATTGGGTATACGATGCCTTGACTGCGTTTATTAGATTGTTCCCCTCCTCTCGCATGTGGCGCGTTGGCAGATTAATCCTGTGCCTTAAATGAGGGGCACCATATTTAAGTGCTGAGAGGCCTGCGGTCTATCATAAAATAATTCCCATCCTCCTGCTCACAAACTCTTCGATCATCTACCATAAGGAGGTAAAAGCATACACAGTTTTTAACGATGGCAACCCAGGTCCAGGTCGAAAACGCCCTGCTCGTCAAGGCCCGCGCCAGCGGCAGCAAGGAAGACTGCATGGCGCTCTACGACACCTGGGCGACATCCTACAACCAAGACCTCACCGATGCCTCCCAGAGCTACGTCGCCCCGTTCACCGTCGCCCAAATCGCACTCCAAGTCAACAAGACCCCTAACGCGCGTATCCTCGACGCTGGCTGCGGCACCGGCCTCGTCGGCGAGGGCCTTACCCGGGGCGCCGGGTATACAACAACACTAACCATCGACGGTCTAGACCTATCCCCGGCAATGCTAAAGGTTGCCGCCAATACCGGAGTGTATCGCACGCTCACAAAAGCCGATCTGACGCAAACGATCGACCTACCCGGCGAGACCTACGACATCGTGACCTGCGCCGGCACCTTCACCCACGGCCATGTGGGGCCGGACCCTGCGCTCCGCGAATTCATCCGGATCCTAAGGGCAGGCGGGTTGATCGTGGCAACTATCCTGGACGAGGTGTGGGTGTCCATGGGGTTTGATACGGAGATCGAGAAGCTGGCTGCCGAGGGCCTGGTGCGTGTGGTCAGCATCGAGCTCACCGACTATCGGAAGGGGTGGGACAAGGCGCGGTTGGTGGTGCTGGAGAAGACCGCGACTGCTTGATTTCTTTGCCAATGCGCCAAACCTGTTGACAGAAATTGCCTGGAACTCGCCCAATGCGACATTGAAGCGACCGACAACTTGGCCCCAGTGCGACAACCCCAATGCGATCCGTTTCTGAGTTCAACGCCCATGCGCAGCAGGACTGGCGACCCCAACGCAGGTTTAATTTGCCCAGCGCGTCTGAATCTAGTCTTCTTAGTTCTCACACGCACCTTATAAACTGCTTTTCATATTTGGCCTCGCACAGTACTCATAACCTGGAGTGGTGTATTAAGAATACAATGCATTCAAATAGACAAAGCATTTCTAGCCTAGGTCAAATAGTCCTATTCTGACCAGGTAGCAAGGTAAACTGATAGTGTTCGATTAATAGTGGCTTCAAAAAATGTAGAGAGTCCAACGCTGCTTGCCACCCTTAGGGTCTTGTTCATCTACCCTGGCTCCCTGAACAAGGCGCACTACAGCACCCGTTCCTATGTACATATATCCCTGATAGCTCCATCAAACACCCTACTCGCACTTAACCTGCAACCGCTGAAGATACTCCGCGTCCACGGGGTAGCAGGTGTGCTCATCGGTGACGTCGTAGGTAGCATAGAGGGTGCTACCGCAGTTGTCATAGTCCTGCTCATTGTAATCGGTCCAGGTGTACAGCACGGGCGTCTTGGTGGCATCGCTGCAGGTCGTCCCGTCGGCGAGGTAAGGGGCGAGGGAGCCCCAGGGCCAGCCCTCAATGCCGAAGCAGGAGTTCTCCAGGATAGTGTAGGTGGTGGGCTTGTCCAAGGAGCAGGTGGTGTTGAACAGGTAGAAGTCAATGGAGACTTCCGCCAGAGCGGTGGCCGTGGCGGCGGTGGCGGAGAGGAGGGCAAGAGTCTGTACGTTTTGGTTAGTGCATGCATTTCTCAAGTCGAGTTGTTACGATGTAACAAGCTCCAGGAGGCATCTGACCTTGGACACGGTGAGCTTCATTGTGAAGGTAGGTACTGTACTTGCGAGTGCGGCCTGCTCAGGAAGATTGCTTGTTGGGGAACCGGAGAGCTTGATGAGTCTGGCCTCTCTTTTTTTTTTGGTGGAGGTGGACCCCCCTTTTATACCTTACCGAACCATCCACATCTTACCCTCCAACTTCCATCTCATCCTCCGATGACGGGGCGTTCTTCAGCTCTTCATGGCTTCTCGGAGCCCGACGAGTGATGAAGATAGATCTAAAACTCCGAAAATGGCCTAGAGAAACCGTTGATTCGTTGCTGGCTTCGAAAAGGCTGACGTACATTTGGTGATTAGTGAACTGAGGTCGAAGGCCCCACATGGTTCTCTTCGCAGGGTATTTGTGGCGGCTTACTAGGTATACTACACCCAACCACCGGCCGCTCCGAGAAAGAAACATGACCACAACAAGGATAGTGGCATGCGAGCTAAGACTCCATCCAGCCGCTAAGTCTCCAATTTGGTGTAAGCAAGGAAGGGCTGAGGGTACCGTGACGAACCTGGATGCAATGACTTTCCCGGAACAGGGTCCTTGAGACTGGGTGTTTGCAACCTCTAATTTCGTAAAAACTGACCCCAGCATAACAGCCTCGTCGGAACCTGATAGACATTGTCTACCATCTACCAAGTTCTCTAGCTAAGTAAGACGCAGGAGAGCAAAGATGGGGCGCATGAAGAACCCGCCCACGTCAGCCCCCGCTCGGGTCGGGATGCCTTCTTCACGGACTAGCCCGCTAGCTTGCCCTTCCAGGGGCGTCAGCGGTTGCTTTCGCTTATTCCTACGACTGCAAACAAGTATAGCTAAGTACTCGATGTACAAACTGCTTCTCGGCCCACCCCCGATTCCTCTTTCTCCATAGTCTGACTGTCATACAACTTCTGCTCTGAAACATTTGTTCATGTCAACGTGATACAATACATAAAAACATGCTGCAAGTAGGGCGAGTGGCCCCTTAATCTACCAGTACATCACAACCCTTGACTCCAATTCGTTCTGACAACAGATCGCCTACCTGCAATTCAGCTTGTTCTCCTGCAGGTCATATCACGTGTCAGCACAGGAGTTACTTCGGGTCCCCCGACATGCGAAAGGGTGAAGAGGGATGCATACCCCAAAGCTGCCCGAACAGCAGACACGTGCGGATGCAGCCGAGTCACATTGGCCTGTTGTTGTATTGATCCGATTGCCTGGATTCATTTTGTGGGTGTCAGCGTCACGCGGGTGGGCGCGATAGTTATCTCAGAGACTGAGGAGGGAATGAGGAGGGCACGAGGCTGACGCACAGTTAGTTCCGACGGCAGCACCCGGGTCGGTGCCGGTGCTCTGAATTTGATCGTAGTTGCTGGTGCCAGGGCCGTCGACACCGGCGCAACAGTACAGATTGGCTGGTTTGCATGACAGGGACTCAACCGTGGGTTTGAGCACAGTTAGGAGATCACCCACTGTACTACCTTGAGCCAGGGCTGTGAGCGGGTGGGCAGTCAGCGCCAGGAAGGAAAGGATGGCTGTGTAGCGCATGGTGGCGGACTGAGTGTGATTGAACGTCGAGGAGGAGGAGGACGAGGAGGACGAGGAGGTGAGAGACAGCTGGAGGTTAGGGAAAACTGGGGAAAGAGACATGGGGACGGGACTATTTGGGGATTTATACTTGCTAGCCACCGGCCATGGTTGACGATTATATTAACCGATCTCCACTATAAGAATTCAACCCCTGACAATCATTGCTGGAACTGCTGGCATGACGCCGATCATGACCTTGAAAATCATCAGCCGGCAACCGGCATAGTTGACAATCATCGTGACCGATCTGCAGCCCCGAACTCAAACGCTGCCAGGCTACGATAGGAACCGATGCCATGCGTTAATCATGAGTCATGATTCATGACAGTGATCCTCACAATACATGACTAGCGGTAATATCGCCTCGACATATATGCATACCCTAGCGATTGGACTGCATTCCCAGGTTGGGGATGTCGAGGCCTTGGGTCTCCGGATACAGTCACCTTAATCTGTGCAATGAGACTCAAGCAGACAACCTATTTTATCTGGTTATATCTATGGAAATGGAAGGTGAAGGAATTCACGCTTATCGCCACCCAGAACTGAACCACTAACGGGCAGTGGACCAGGGCGAAAAGGCCAGACCTTACCCCTGGCGACTGGTATCCAGTAGTTTTCGGTACGGTCGGAAATTGTTGTGGACTATTTTGCTGGCATAGTAACCCAAGCTCTGCTATTATAGTTACTTGATTCTCTGCTAATCTGGAACCAAGAAGCGCTTTACATATATTGAGGAAGCAAGGTGGGAAGAAAAAGGCGTCATGGAAGTTCTACCCGGAGATCCCAGTAATAATAGGCTTTACAACTGATGCTTGTACGGCACAAGTAGGGCTACTGCCCCATCAACTCGACCCCAACTCCTGAACATTTTCCACTCTTCCCAAGTCACAATTTAGTGCAACCAACTTCGAATATCTGTACAGTACATAAGATCACGGGTCAGCGCGGGCGATCTTGGCGCGTCAGCGAAGTGTGCGGGGAGGGGGATCCATACGCCAATGGTGTCCGTGCAGGAGACAAGGTTGGGTGCATTAGAGTCGCATTGCCCACTTGTGTTCCTGCGGCCTTTGATTTCATTCATCCGAGTCAGCAGCTGGCGCACTTAGAGGGATGGGGCGGACGGCAAAATTCTCGCATCAAGTTCACTCGGTGCCACAGGAAAGGAGTATAGCTCACAGTTGGCTCCAACAGCAGGTGTCGGGTCTCTGAACTGCTTGATGAACTTGTAGGCGGGGGTACCAGGGCCCTCGAGCCTGCCACAGCAGTACTGGTTATCGGTCTCGCGGCGTACTAGTCCACCTCAGCGCACAACTTCCCCGTTCACACGTTGAGCATATGCTGTGAGAGGGTGGGAGGCTAGCGCCAGGAATGGAAGGATGGCTGTGATGCGCATTGCGGTGGGTTCTAGTGCTGTAGAAGTCGAAGAGGCTGATTATAAGTGTTGATGATGGAAATTCGAGCAGGCTAGAGAAGGAGAGATGGGAAGTATCTTGAATTTATGCTTGCCGGCATCCAATGGTTGATGATCATCGTGGCCGATCTACATCACGGGAACCTACATCCAATTAGCTTCAGGGAGGATCCATGGTATGATGCCGATTCTGATCCTCATTTCTGTCTGACTGGCATGGCTGAAGGAAACTAGGCATTCGTGCTTAGACTCCCTACCTCCTATTTATTGATCAAGTAAAGCTCTGCACGCGCAGACCTGAGGTGTGAGCTATTCCGAGGTTTGCATATCTCCGACAGCGTCACTCCTGTGTGCAAGCTCATTTAAAGCTTGACGTTTGCAAAAGTTCCGGAAACCCTTATTGCTAGATCTGTGTGACAGCTTCCATCTACTCAGGAGCAAGTAATGCCAAGTCCTCTTCCGGTTCACTAACTTGCCGATCATTGTCATTACTAGAAATTGTACTACGGAGTCCCTCGTAACAAAACTCAAATATCGATGGTCAAATCTGATCTACAGCAGATCTACCGAGCATTCCTTGATAGGGCAAACGAAGCTAGTCTCTCTTACATGATTCACCTGAGCAAGATATGGTAGACTATAAATGGCAGCCCTGAAAAACCCGCCCAAGTCAGCCCCCGTTCGGTTTTGTATGCTTCTTCACGCACTCGCCCGCTAGTGTCGCATTCCAAAGTCCGCTCTTGCAGTTGCTTACTTCTCCGCTGCCTGGGGCAAACAGGCAGTTCGGTTTGTGTTTAACAAAGGAGAGGAGAATGGGGAGACTGGGACATTCCCGCTGGAGAAACATTCGGTTTGCATCAAACTAGGCAGTTTAGTACAGTACGTGGATATGCTAGAAGAGCGACTAGCCCATCAACCACTTATACATCAAAACCCAATTCCCGACTTCTGTCAACTGACCCGCTACAAAGACCACTGATTGGCTAATCAAGTCACTGTGGAATGCAGTTCAGTTTGTCCTCCTAAGAAAAAAAAATATTAGTATCAGATCGGTCACCTGGCAGCGAGGTGTGAGGGAAGGATTTATACCCCAAAGCTGCCCGTGCAGGAGACCAGCGTACGTACACGTGAGTCGCAAGTTCCCGTTGCTTCATCGGGACGGTTACCTAGATTCATTCCACGGAGTCAGCATCCTGTGTGCATGAGAGGAACAATCCTCCATAAGAGAGTAGTTCGGCTCAAAAGCTGGACAAGGCCCTAGGCGCGGGGCTGGCTTACAGTTGGTTCCTACGGCAGCACCCGGGTTGGTATATCGCTGCACTTGCCGGTAGGAGTTGGTGTTGGGGCCATTGACACCAGCACAGCAGTACAAGTCACTAAGCTCGCGTCCTGAAATTCTTGTCCCAATAGCCCCAATCGCGTCACCTAAATTACTTGGTGTAATCACTGCGAATGCATTGAGTGGATGAGAGGCTAGCGCCAGGAAGGGAAGGATGGCCGTGAAGCGCATTATGTGCGGGTTAAGTGTAGTGGAAGTTGAGGAGGAGAGAGACAGTGGGAGATTTGGGCTGTAGGAAACCTTTGTGAATTTATGCTTGTTGGTGAATGGCCTTGGTCGACAATCATTGTGACCGATCTCCGGCACCCAAATCCAAAATCTGGCAAACATAGCTGGAACAGCTGGTATGACGCCGATCACGACCCTCAGGATTATTACACCATTCGATAGATGATGCCTGAGTAGGCATCCACCTCCGGACTCCTCATATTCAAGCGACGATCTTCCACAACCGCAGGTCAGCAATGTGAGCTACTGCGTACTATGTACTGAATTTTCTGATAGAGTAAGTACTCATATATGTGAGATTCTCAGATAAGCAAATACCATTCTTCACCTTCCTCTGCATTTGCCAAGTGCCCAGTTCCCCCGTTCATGCACCACAATCAGTACGGGAGGCCCCTTCTTCAATCTATATGCCACCATCGATTCAATGGCAAAGAGAGAGAATCCGGAATTACCCCACATGACAGGTGAATGCTACATACTGAATACTGTCTGTCTGTCTTCATCGGGCCGAAGAGACAGATTTCCTGGCTTGGGGCAAATCCGTGCCCACCGTGGAGAGATGCCCCCAGCTGAATACCGGAAAGGGGACCTTAAGAACATTCAAGGCTCCATGTATCGTTACCTATTGCTATAGGTCTAATGATGATACCCAAGTATTTCGCTTCAACGTTATTCACTAAGTCACACTTGAACCAAACCACAACCCGACTTCCGATTGCTTGCTCCTTTCCCACAAAGCTGAAATCTTATAAACTTTATTCAAGCCGTGACTTAGAGTGCAATGGGTTTTGTCCAACTGCAAGTCGAATCACGCATCAGCATGGGGGTCACTCGGGGTGTGGAAAAACGGGAGAGAATGAATTCATACCCCAAAGCTGCCTGTACAGCAGGCAAGTGTAAGTGAAGACGAGTCATACGTGCCCGCGCTATTGGGAGGCTCGCTTGATTCCAGTTCATCCGAGTCAGCATCATGCGTGCACAAGAGGGAAAGGTGCGCCTTTCGGGAGGAGGGGGGCTATTCCCAGTGCTGGAAAAGGCTTACAATTCGTCCCGACGGTGTTCCCTGGGTCAGTGCCGGTATTCTTGATTGCGTCGTAGTTGTTGGTGCGCGGGCAATCGACACCGGAACAGCACCACAGGTCGACTGGATTGTAGGGCGAAGTCGAAGTCGAACTCGTCGCTCCTCAAAGTCCAATAGTTGACTCAATTTCATCTACAGCGTCGCCTACAGCACCCATCACATCTTGAGCAGATGCGGTGAGCGGGTGGGAGGCCAGCGCCAAGAAGGGAAGAAGGGCTGTAAAGCGCATAGCAGTGGGCTGGGTCCGGTGGGAGTCAAGGAGGTTGGTTGGCTCGAAGTGAGGTCACTCAAAGCTCAAGGCTTGGAAAGACTCGAATTGGAGAGGTGGGAGCAGCTTGGAATTTATGATGGTTGTTGGCACCCGGCAAGGTTGGCGATCATTGTGACCGATCGACAGTACCCGAACCCCAATGCTAACAGGCGATGGAAGCAATCGGTACTAAGGGCCGCTCATGACGCTGGTGCTCGCAATGGATGGTATTCATCGCCTCGATGTGTACTCCTCATGCATCAGGGATCGATGATCCTGCAATCGCACACCGGCAAGGGGAAGCATGAACATGCGATATTCCAGGATGTCGAGATCTCGGGTCCGGATACCGTCTCTTCCAGCTGCACAATTATTCAATTGGTCCCCTTTTTGACACATATGACAGGACGCCTTCCCTGTGGCCGCACAAGAATTATGACATGTATTCTCGCGGTGCTATGGCTTCCCGATCATTGAACTCAATAGCAGTACGTTAACTACACCGAAAATGGATGGTCAAATTTGAGTATACCGCTAAGGCAAGATAGCACTTCTTCTGCTCCCGATTGGCAATTCTCGAGTGGTACATGAGTGAAAATACCTATGTTATGTCTCTATAAGTAAAGGGAAGAGAATTATACGCTTGTTGCCACTCCCAATTGAGATAGTCGCAAAACCATGATCCGACTGTGACAATGACACGTTCATGGCCAGTCAAATCGCCTGGTCAATTGACGACAATCATCGAAGACATACTTGTAACTTCGAACATGTCACTGATGAGCTCACAAGCTGGTGCTCAGGGCTTCAAGCTTGGATTCGGATTCAATCCAGGAATGAATGGGCTGGAAAGCGGGCCGAAGCGATAATATCCCGATTTGGCAATTCTGTGGAGAAGGTGGACAATGAGATTGAATGCCTTCAAAATCGGCATAACCCCAGCAATGCCGATTTTCTAACATCAGGCCTTTGTTGGGCTTTGGGTGGTGGATTGCATCTCCCAACAGCAAGAGAAAATGAGATCTCACTCACACCCACTGGATGTTTCAAAGTGTCGTCCTTAATCTCCACACCCTCTAAGCGAACGCCTCCGGCGGTTCCGGCATCTCGGTTACAGGATTCGGCCCATCCCGATCCATCAGATTCTGGGGAAGCCAAGAACCACGAGTCAGAGCGACCACTGCCGTGACGATACGCCGAAGGAAAACGCGATCGGTGATTCACAATCTCCCTCAACAATGATCTCGCTTAGCTTCTCCAGGATCTCCCGATCTGAGCATTCCTTGTTTCAGATCGAGACTCGTTTGGATATCAAAGCAGTGCCGATGGTTACAATGTGAAGAGTGCACGATGGCTGCTGTGTCTCTGAAGGGCATAAATACCAGACAACCTTCTGAGCAATGTGTCTTCGTCTATCGACAATCATCCGACCTCTTCTCATTCTTCCAGGCTAGTCCTGCTGTCATTCTTTATATTCGCTTAGGAAAGTTGTGCCTGTGGCAAACAACGTACCTTCTCGCTCGTTAACCGTGTCAATTGTCCGGAACAATTTGACCTACTCTTGCCCACCGTCACTTCAACATTTATCTCCTGTTTGTTTGAAAACAACATGTTGTTCACCAAGCCCAGTGTGGTTGCTGCATCGGTGCTCTCGGCCTCGATGGCCCAGGCACACATGATCATGGACCACCCGGTCCCTTACGGGAAATCCACCCTCAACAACTCGCCCTTGGCTGCGGACGGCAGCGACTTCCCCTGTAAGCAGCGCGACGGGGTGTATGACTGGCCCGCCGCGGACGAGATGAACTATTTCGAGACTGGGGTGTCTCAGGTGCTGAACTTCACCGGCATCGCCGTCCACGGTGGCGGTTCCTGCCAGGTGAGTTTGACCACAGACATGCAGCCCTCCAAGGACACCGTCTGGCAGGTCATCAAGTCTTTTGAGGGGGGCTGTCCAGCCAACGTGGATGGCAATCTGGACGGTGACGCCTCGACTCCGGACCCCTACCAGTTCAACTTCACTATCCCGGCCGACTTTTCGGCTGGCAACTACACGCTGGCGTGGACCTGGTTCAACCGCGTCGGGGCCCGCGAGATGTACATGAACTGCGCCCCGATCACCGTCATGGACAGCGCGGCCCAGAAACGCTCCGTCGCCAAGCGCAGCAGCTACCCTGACCTTTTCGTGGCCAACATCAACGGCTGCACCACGACCGAGGGTGTGGACATCCGCTTCCCCAACCCCGGCGATGTGATTGAGTACGACGGCGAGGCCTCTCGTCTTGCGGCCACGGATGCGGCTGCCTGCACGGGAGTGTCCACTGCGTGGGGAAGCAGCGCTGCGACCGCGGCTGCATCTGTCTCGTCCACGACCACTACTGCTGCTAAGATCACTGCCACTGCTCCCGTTGTCGCGGTGGAAACATCGGCTGCGACTTCGTCCGTGGACAACTCCGCTGCTATCACCACCGCCGCTGCCCCCGCTGCTACGATGACCGCAGGCCGCCCCAACGGACACCAACAGAACGCCGTGGCAACCACTTCCACCGCTACCGCCAGCTCTGCCACTGGCACTGCCCTCTCTGGCGTTCTCAGCGGCGCCTGCAGCCCCGAGGGATCCTGGTGGTGCAACGCCGGCACTTCTTTCCAGCGCTGCGCCAACGGAGTCTGGACTCCTTCCCAGGATATGGCGCCCGGCACGGTCTGCACGGCGGGCCAGTCGTCTGATCTCACAATCTCGCTTGCTAAGAGCCGCCGTGATGAGCAGCGTATGCGTCGTCGTCAGATTGCTTAGGGGGTGACTTCTCGTGGGTTTAGGTTTGCGTACACTCGGAGGCATGGCCTTCAATGTTCGTCTTGTCTTTCATGAGGGGGATATGAGGAATAGCTTTAGCAATGTCCATCAAGATGCTAGGTAAAAATACTATCCATTTGTCTCATCTCATCTTAAAGAAACCTCTGCATATAAATGGTCTGCTTTGCACATACCGTTGCTTACTCTATCGTGGCTGCTTTCATGATGACGGCACGTGAGTGATCCGTTACTGAACCGTTGTGACATCTGCTTTGTAGTTCTTATTATCCCCGCCTAATCGGGGAAACCAGAAAGCTAATAGTCCTCATGTTCTACTCACAGGGATCTAGTTTGGTAGACCGGCTAATGTCTAACCCATAGTACTGCTACCGCACGAATTAGCCTGAAGCTGTGTGTTCAAGACCCGCACCCCCGAGGGAATTGCCCTAGTGAAGCCACCAGAATGACCGGGCTACAGCCTTGACACACGAGCGCCAGTCAATCTACGGAGCCTTGCAACCCGTCCACCCCCCTGCGTTATCAATCACCTGGCAGTAGACGTCAGTCAGCCTTGAGGCCCAGGCGCGGGCAGGAAGCTTGGCTGTGGCCGCGGGCACCAATCCTCTCCGCCATGCAATACGAGGCGGCTATCATCTGATAAATGTCATGTCCAGCCCTGCGATTAGATGGGAAATATATATACTGCTCCTCTCCAGAACATCCCATCTCTTTCTACAACACCTCTCCGTCCTTTACTGCACTGCACATTCTCTGGCCATTCATATTCTCGTATCATCACCCATTCTATTCTTGATTTCCTTCAATTTGAGCGAAACAAGAGACAGCCACAATGTGCAAGACCTCGTACGATTGCGGGTGCAGCGTCAACAATGGCAGTGGCTGCAACTGCGGCACGGTGACCCAGCGGAACACGGGGTACTGCATTGCTCACCAGTAAGTTAATTTTTTCTCCATCGGTTCTTTTTTTTTTTTTTTTGGGTGGGAAGTAGAAACGAATATGCACGGCCAGACTGACAGTCTTCACTCGGATCTAGGAACGGCGGCGGTGGTGTCTACACCCGGCCACGCGGACAGCCGCGTTAGATATAGGACATATAAGGCGAGTATCCGCCTGGCTCTATTGGGCAGATTCCTTGCTGAGCCATTGTGTTAACACCAAAGAGCAGGGTCGATCTCAGCAGCGAGATGCCATCCGTCCATCACCCACGTCGGAAGGATTCTGGCATCGTTAAATCTGCTATACGACCTAACTGGGATGGATAAGCTGTTGGGATTAGGATGGAGACAGGGATTAAGAAGTAGTTGAAGACCCAGGTGGACATTGCTATCTTCTTCATATGATTGTAATACCGCAGGCCCCACCGTGGGCAGAGCTGTCACCCGCAATGCCATATCTATCTTCATGAACCTCAGGCCTGTAAAAAGTAAGTCCCTTTGGCGACGCCCATGAGCACATCCGCTTTGGTCTGGATTATGTAAATCTTGAGCTTGCATATTCTCAACAGCTGGCCTGCTGGCCCAATGGTAAGGCGCTTGACTACGAATCAAGAGATTGCAGGTTCGAGCCCTGCGTAGGTCATTACTTTTTGCCCTCGCTCTATACATGCATATTGCATAGAAGAATTCTTTCCCGAGCGTTTTTTCTATATCCCATACGGATGTGCTTTTTCATCTCGCATTTGCTACAATTGTATACTGACTTTGAAGGGCGTGTGGTGGCGGATAATAAGATGAGTGTACAGTTTTGAACGTACCAAGTGAGGCTGCAGCCCCACCCCAGCAAATGGGATATCCACAGGCTTGGCAATGGAAGTCTTGATACCGTAGAGGAAGTCAATTATACACGTAATTGTAATATTCCGGATATATTGATGTTCGGTGGTTGAGCGATTGCGAATTTGCCTTAGTTCTGCACCTATTCCAACACCTTTCTGACAACCATCGGCCTTGTAGGTCGTCAGAGGCGCGAATGATGAGGATGTTGTGGACCATTGTAGACAGTTAAAGGTAAGTGGGTGTGCAGAGTTGAATTCAACTTTTATTGAAGGGGAAAGCAGGCCATAGTCATCCGTGACTGTAGCGTTCATCGAAGCCTTCAGCCCGTTCATTTCCAAATGCTCAATGGAAGCTGAGGGGTAAACAACCTCACCATTCTCGGCTGCTGTGCGTGAATCTCTGCTCCGTGCATTCCTATTGGCAGCCACGCAGCCCCAAATCCTTAGGTACTAAATCATTTGATATCTCCAGCCAGGACACCCTGGTCAATGCAGATTCTGTTAAGAAGATTACACCAGCGCTTTTGGTTATGACATGGGGATCTTCGCATCTCATTGCGCCTGGGGAATAGCTAAGCGTAATGAGGGCAAGGCGTTGCGCGACAAGTGGCCCTTGCCGTTCACTGCTCGGCAATGTACTTTCTTGGTTGGCGCGGCTAGGTACAACTCTAACTAGTAATGATGCTATCGTAGATTCGAGAGGGTCTTGGTAATAGTAGTAGCGGTGCTGGTATTGCTGGTAGCCTTTCTGCGTGGGGGCTAGAATTAAACCAGAAGAATAGATTCATCGTGATGATGTAATGAGGACCCCAATGCAGCTTCCCGGATGCAGCCAATCGGAACCGCCGGTCCAGCATCGCGATCTGAACCTCTACGGCCATCCATGCGTGGATTTCAAGGCTGTTCGTCCGCGGTATATAAAAACATATTTGGATTCTTGCAGGGCAAGGTCCGAAACAAAGAATTCTACCTATTGTCCTCTATACAGGCGGAACATAAATGTCCACCTCACTCGAGCAATACATCTCCCACTTCGATGGCCTCGACGGCCTCCGAAAAGTCAAGGCCCCGCTGCCATCCCCGGGACCGGGAGAGGTCCTCGTCAAGACCAATGCCGTGTCTCTCAACTACCGCGATATGGAAGGTAGTACCCCTTACATCACCATCCAATACCCCGTGAGACGAGCAGAAACCATCACCCACTGTTCTACTCCAGCAGCACAAGCTAACAGCCTCCCAGTCATCCGCGGAGAATACACGCATCACCAATCCGTCAACCAGGGGTCCGAGATCGTCCCCTGCTCCGACATGGCGGGCACCATCACCGCCGTCGGCGCCGGGGTCACCAGATGGCAAGTCGGCGACCGCGTGGTTTCCACCTTCGTGCCCGACCACAAGACCGGGCAATTGACCGAGGCGGCGTTGAAGTCGAGTCTGGGTCTCCCGAGGCCGGGGGTGTTGGCCACGCACCGGATCTTCCGGGAAGGGGCGCTGGTGAAGACGCCCGCGCAGATGAGCGACGAGGAGGCCTGCACGCTTCCGATCGCGGCTGTCACGGCGTGGATGGCGCTGACGGGATCAAACCCACTCGGTCAGCCGGAGGCAACGAAGGGGAAGTACATCCTGCTTCAGGGGACGGGAGGCGTCAGTGTGGCGGGGCTGTTGTTGGGGAAGGCATTGGGTGCGAAAGGTGTGTTCACAAAACTCCCTTGATGACATTTTGCCCATGGATACATACTGATAACCACAACAGTGATCATCACCTCCTCGTCCGACGAGAAACTAGCCCGCGCCAAGGAACTAGGAGCGGACTTCGGCGTCAATTACAAGGAGCGACCCGACTGGGAAAAGTACGTGATGGAGGTCACCGACGGCCACGGTGCGGACATCATCCTCGAGACCGGAGGGTCGCAGACCATCGGGAAGACTTTCGCCTGTGCCGCGTACGGCGGTCTGATCAATTGCATCGGGTATACCTCCGGCAAAACCCAGGTCGCGGGCGAGCAGCCGAATGTGAATGTCCTGACGATCAGCCGTTGCCTGACCCTTAAAGGCTTCGTGAACGGTCCCAGGGACCGGTTCGAGGAGATGGCGCAGTTTGCGGAACAGCATGGGGTTCATCCGGTCATCTGCAGGACGTTTAGGTTTGACGAGGCAAAGGATGCGTTCAAGTATATGGAGGCTGGGTCGCATTTTGGGAAGATTGTTGTTAGAATTGGACAGTAGATGTTGCGTGTGTCTGTAGGAATACTCTACCTGGTTTATGTCAGGTATCTCAAGGGTTTGGCGAGCTGGTCGTAGGCTCATATACGTCCGTTGATTGAAGGAGACAGCCTGCCCTGGCTGGAAAGAGGAATGTTCAACTACTCACAGTGTCTGATCTGTCTCTATTGCCCTTCCCCAAACATGTAAGGGAGACTTTGCCCCTCGGCGGCAAAGAAAGTTCTCCTTTTCGCCCCCTGAGGCGCGGATTATTCGTCGATACAACTAGGGTATACTAGACCATGCTTCTTGGTAATAGGCATTAACGTGGATGGCGGGTTCGGCACCTATGCATGATAAATAGTGCTGACACCCTTACAGATCAAGAATTTGGCAGTGTAATTTCCGCCCCATCCATGAACGCTTCGCTTACTTCCTCACAGTAAGTCGACCAGGAATCCCAATTGATCAGATCCGCCCAAGCCCAATGTGCCTCCCCATGAACATCCGGAAGCAGAGTTCCCTCGGCCCGAACAACCGGCCACGCAGGGTCCGACAACATGTCATGCAACGTTTCACTCTCCGCGGTCGGAGCAGGTGTAGGTTGACCGGGACCGAGAACCTGAGTCAGGGTATCAGCCTTAGTGCAGAGATGTCGCGTGAGAGCGGCGGCTCGTGCTGCGGTAATATTCTCACTGCCGGCGGAGTCGAAGATTTCGAGGGCCAAGTCGAGGTGCTCTCTGGCTCGGGCGCACCGGTGGCAGTAGGGATACGCTAGCATGAAGCCGATGATGGTCAGTACTGCGTTCCACTGGTATTGGTATATTTCCGAAAGGCCGTGCAAAACGTCGTGTAGGCCCATTCGATGATGGGTGGTTCGGATCATTGTCAAAGCGTGGTTGAGTGCTGTTGCGGCGTGGGCGTCGGCTTTGGGCTGCGACTTGGGAACGAATGGGTAGGTCGGAAACTGGATGAAGACGCGGTGAAGGCTGATGATGGCATTATGGTATTGAAGTAGTAGCAGTGTGCTCAGCAAAGTGACCATCGATGAGTGCTCCTCGGATCGACCTTCGAACTCGTGTGCATCGTGGGTATCGGGTGGTGCATCGGGTACCTCGAAGACTAAGCCGGGAAATACTTGTGTTTGAGACACCGCGTCGCACCAGTCTTGGAGATGGTATAGACTATCGCACAGACACTTGGCTCGTCTTTCGAGGTGCGCGGGTTCCACCGCCCCATCCAGCACGGAGCGGTGACCCATGGCCTCGTTCACGGCCAAGGCTGCAGCTGTCAGGCGAATGGACTCGGTATGATAGAGCAAACCATTGGATAGATGGACGTCTTTGGACTCTCTGTTGGGCATCAGCCACATGAGATCTTCGATATGAACAGTGACCGGCTTCCCGACATGCCGCGAGCAGCGGAAGTCGAGGCAAACTAATGTCCACCACAGACGCCGGAAGAGCTGGCATACTGGTTGTCCACGATGCCGGGCGTCCATGTAGTTCATTGACTGGGCGATACGCAGGGCCAGTCCCACCATATTGTATGCTGCCTGGTGATGTCCCGCATCGAGGAGGTATGAAGTCAGGTAGCAGTAGCATTGAATGACGGATAAGGAGGGTGCGGCGAACGTCGTCAGCTGGGTGACAGCTGCCAGGCTGCGTCGGAAGTAAGACATTCCGACTGTTGATTGCCGGCGCTGGAACTGTGGCCAGTGCAGACCGACAAGTCTGGTGTGCAGTCTGGAGTGGTAGACATAATGGAGAGCGAATGCCGTGACGGCATCTTGCAAAGGGGTATGTCGGGAAGAAGGGATCAAGTCCTTCCAATCCACAATGGGCATTAATGGTCGAAGGCGCGACCAGAATATTCGCATCAGATGGTTAATCTGAGATGGAGATAAGTCGCAATCTGCGTTCGGCGGTCCTTGTAGAACAGTGGATGGGAAAGATGATATCTGGTCCAGAGATGGATCGCTGCCCGGTGCAGTAGCGGTGGGGGACAACTGTGATTCACCGCCACAGAAGGCATTGATGCGGGCAATGAACCCTAGAGTTGAGTCGGTTTTGTGGGAAGTCCATGCCAGATTCGCCGATGGCGATGGCGATAGCGGAGGGACTGACTCCCTGAGCTGAGGGTCGCTGACTGGAGTTCTTTCTACTGGGTGACTGTCCACTGGTTGCTCAGGAACGTCTTGGCTAGTCTGCACAGGATTGCTCCTCCGTTGAGCTTTCTGGGGAGTATTCACCGGGCGAGATCGACGACAGACTATATCGTTGGCAACACAGGGGGGACACGGCGTAGCAGCTTCGCATCGCACCCGGTGCTCGCGGCAAAAGTCGCAGGCCTTGGTAATCCTCCGACGCCGGGAGGCGAGTGTCGTACTAGGAAACGCATTCATTTGGAGATTACAACCAGTCACGAGAAACGGAGGACACTTTGCGCCGGTCTACGGTCTACACAAGTGGTGCAGTGCTGAGTAGTGCAGTGTTCGGAGAGGATTCAGTGGCGGGGGAACACATTCTCGGCCAATAGGAACTCACGGGTCATCAGTACGGTATCCCTTAGTCACTGTCCAAGTTGTGCAAAGACCGGTTCCACTGGGGGAATCTTGCATTAAATCACGCCTAATTCATGTTTGGTTTCACTTTTAATAATCAAAGTAGAATATCTGTAGCATCACTGAGCCATTCTAGAAATGACTAAGCGAGATCGAGTCCTTAATGCAGGCGGTGCCGGAGGGCAGTATACTCCATCATCAGTGCGGGGTCATCCACCAACGGTGAAATAGTGAAAATGAAATGTTCCCCATATAACCATGAATCTAACTACCTTAAGTAGAATCCTGCAATCCGTCTCCATCATCTCCTTCCTGTCTGCCAATAGCATCTGGCTATTCGACTCTCCCATATATTGACCTTCCCAAAAACACCCAAAATGGAGAAGAAGACATGGTCAATGCTGGGTAAGGGACCTAAGCCCTCATGGCCCACTTGATTTGGGACAGAACCTCATCGCAAATGACAGAAAATAACCCTGGTGTAATGAATCAATTGGCAGCCAAGCTGGGTCTATCGTCCGAGCTCCAGTTCTACGACGTCTACTCCCTGGACCCTGAACAAATGGCACATATCCCTCGCCCTGCTCTGGCTCTACTGGTCATCATTCCACTTACCCCAGCTTGGGATCAAAGTCGCAAGGCCGAAGACGCTAACACAGAACTATACACCGGATCTGGCCCGGACGAGCCAGTCATATGGTTCAAGCAGACCATCGGCCACGCCTGCGGCTCCATCGGTCTACTCCATTGCTTGATCAACGGTCCGGCTGTCGACTTCATCCAGCCTGATTCCGACCTCGCAGCGATCCGGCGCCTCGCCATACCGCTCGATATGACCCATCGCGCCGAATTGCTATACAACAGCGAGCCATTCGAAATTGCTCACAAGTCGGTTGAACAGGCCGGCGATAGCCACGCAGATCCGACGCGTGAGCGTAATGGGGGGCATTTTGTGAGTTTTGTCAAGAGCGATGGAAAGCTTTGGGAGCTGGAAGGGTCGAGGAAGGGTCCTCTGGAGAGGGTAGGTCTGGCCGACGACGAGGACGTTCTCAGCCCACGGGCGCTTGAAATGGGTATCAAGAGGATCATTCAGTTGAGCATGGGTGGAGAAGACGAGAGCATCCAGTTTAGCTGCATTGCTTTAGCTCGCAGGCCTTAGACTCGAACTGGGGTTTGGCACACACGCAGTCCGCATATACCATGCTGTGGGCAATATGATAGCGAAGCCTGTATGAGACCAAGTCTGTCAGCCGTCGAGAAGAAAGACGACGGTTCGCCCTGGCCGGAGGAAGCGACTGGGTTCTGTCCGTCACAGTGAACTAGAGGCTGGGGCTGAGATATTCCATGTCTATTGTATCGATGGCATCCATAATAGTATGCAGATACTCCCGAATTTGTGATGGTTTGCTGGATCTTGGATGATGACAGAGTGGATCCTCCCATTGACGGGCAGCCTCTCGGAAGCCCTGGGCTGATTCAGTCCCCGCATCCGGGCCCACCGACTAACCGAAGCTCATAAAGACTATGCGGTAAGTCGTCGAGGATAAAGAGGGCCTGGAAGGGGGAGGCTATACTCCTGAACTTGAATGAAGATCATCTACGTCTGTAATTGCGGTTCACTGAAGCTTGTCTCATACCCGCGGCACCATGTCCCACAACATCTTGATTACCGGAGTGTCGGGCTATTTGGGAGGGACACTCCTCGCTCGACTATCGACCCTGCAGCTACCCGGCCTCAACAAGACCTTTGCTCTGGTCAGGACAGATGCGCAGGGTGACGCCTGTCGACGTTATGGTACAGAGCCACTACAGTTCGACGCATACAACCAAGCAGCCATCCGGAAGGCGATCGTCGAAAACCAGATCACAATCGTCTACTTCCTGATCGACTGCGACAAGTTCGAGAACCAGGAGTTCTTCATTCAGGCACTTGCTGAATCTAAACGTCTTACGGGGCTAGAGAGTCACTTCATCTTCGTGCGTTCCATGCCCGACTTTCCTCATCGGAAGATATCTCTCAGTTGACATGTCTCGGGGTTCTTCTAGACCACCGGAACCAAGCAATTCGGCAGCTACTGCGGTGCACCCACTGATCGGCCCCTGCTAGACATTGATCCGGGATTATATGATATACAGAAAGCACAACGCAGCGAGCATCCATGGGGGCAGATCGTAAGCACTTCTCTGGGTGGCAACCGGAAGGTAAACGTTCAACTGATATTTGCTAGTCGGTCCAAGTGAACTGCAGCGTGATCGAGACGGGAGAGGAGTATGGTGTGCGAACATACATCTTCTCTCCTTGTATGGTTTGTAAGTTATGTGCCTTCAACGTCGTCATTCCAGCAACCCTAACGTTCTGATTCTCGGCAGACGGAAAGGGAGAAGGATTCGGAAACCAAATCTCCATCCAGGTGGTTGATATTGTTCGGGCCGCGAAAGCCGCGGGCCGTGTCTATGTAGTCGAATCCGAGCCCAATGTAGGTATTCTATCTGCTTAACACGCATGGTGAAGTTCGTCCCTGAGGTACTAACCCACGACAGAAATGGCCCGTATGCCACATCACCGATAACACGAACCTCTACATTCAGGTCTTCCAGTCGATTGTACAGGGCGATAATCCCGGGTACGGCAGGAATGGCTACTATCTCGCATCGTCCGGCCGCGTGGCTTGGAGGGATGTTTATGAAGCAATGGCGGCTGCCTTGGCCAAACGTGGTGTCATCGACGACGCGACAGTCGTTCAAGCCGATGATGCAGCGCTGGAGAAAATGGCCTCTGCTTTGGGGACATACAAGTCATTCGTGGGTGCGAGAACCGGCGGACTGTAAGTCATCTTCAACCCTTATAGAGCCGCTACACACTGACAACCCCGATTGCAAGGTCTACATATACCGCGGAACATGGGAAGAGGATTGGGTGGGCGCCTCAACACCCGCCTCAGTATATCGTTACAGCTGCGGACGAGGAGGTGGACTTCATACTGAAGAATCTGAAGTAGTTGGGCCAGACGTGACGGTAACCGGGATGATACCTTACTACTACCTTGACCCGTTTCCCACGATGTATCTCTACCTCAACACTTCCCATCAACCCCAACGACCACCCGCTGCGCCTCCAAACTAGAACTGCTCCCCGTATTGCCCTCTGTCTCTTCCTCCCGATCCTCTCCCTCAACCCCCACATTCCACTCCCCAAACACCGCCAACAGAGTAAACGGCACCGTAACCCCCCACAGCACAAACCCGAGCACCATCTGCTTCTCATTCGGCCAATGCGTTGCCCCCACCGCATAAGCAATGGTACTTCCAATCGACTCCCACGACCGCAGAATGCCCGTCGTGCGCGCGACGTCCCCATCGCCGCTCGCGCCCTTGATCTCCGCCATCAACCAGTAAATATATGTCTGCAGCACCTCGTAGAAGAACTTGAAGAACATGTACACCGTGAAGGCGGAGTTGAAGAACGCGCCGTCGCCCAGATCGAAGGTGGGCGGGTCGGCCATGCGCGCCAGCCGGGTCTGCACGATCGCATTCCAGGTCCAGGCTGCCGTCACGAAGACGAGCACGAAGATGTAGACGCTCTTCGAGCGGGCTTGGCGGGACAGCGAGGGGAGGTCAAGGATGAATCCTGTCAGGAGGTTGGCGGCGGCGCCCACGACGGCGGTTAGGAAGGAGGCTAACGCGCGGGAACGGACGGTGAAGTATGCTTTGTCTGAATTCAGTATGTGTCGTTGATGGGGGTGGGGAATGGGAGGAAGGGCTGAGACGTACTGGTGAGATAGTTGCCCTGGTACGTTGTGCCGAACTGTCCAGCCAGGAAGACCGGGATCAGGAGCAACATATACTTATTGTGCAGCTGCTTCCAGATGGCACGGGCTTCGATCTTCAGGCTGGTGCGCCGCATGTACGGGATCGGCGTGCCGTTGCTGCGGACCACCTGCTGGGGCTGGGAGAGGAGCAGGGCGAAAGGCGCACCCAGAGACGAGATAGCGACCAGCCCTAAGTAGGTGGTGTAGGTGACCTTGCCGGCGTGGGCGGTGTTGATGTTCAGCGCGAGGGAGATGGCTCCGCCGACCAGGGGGCCCATCTGCCGGATCCCCATCCAGATTCCGACGTATCTACCGGAAGTGTTAGTTGAATGCAGTGGTCAGAGGGGAGGGGTGATGTACCGTCCGCGTTTCTCTTCTTCTGGATACCCAACTGCGATGGCAGCTTCGCTCGCCCAGAGAAGCGAGGCTCCGATGCCACACAGCGCCGCCCCGAGGAGCAGGAACCACTCGTTGCCGTAGCGGTTGTTGCAGTACAGCGCCGCCGCGTACGGGGTGTAGAAGGCGGCGCCGATGAAGAGCGTCCATTTGGCGGTGATCTTGTTGGTGACGCCGCCGGCGAGAAAGCAGCCCACGGACATGAGGCCGTATGTTAGGGCATTGGCGGCATTGTTGAGAAAGGGCTGGAGGTTACTGTAGTTAGCCACGAGTATCTGGGAGGCGGGAGGTACTCAACGTACACTAGCATTCCCCCCGGCTCCAAGGTTGTTCAACGCAGTCCAGATGCCCGGCTCGCAGAAGGCGACCAGTCCTACGATGATGATCTGGAAGAGACAGGAGCGGTAGAAAGCTACCAGACGGGTGAATGCCATGGTTGCGTCGTTGTTCCACTCAGTGTGACATGTTTATCCATTGCAGCTGGCGCGGCTATATAAAGTGTGTCAGTGAAGCAATGAGAGCACGTCAGGACCCAATTTAATCGCGATGTTTGGTGATCGCAAGTGCCAAGCTGTGCGGGAAGGCTAGCGCTTGGTCCAGGTACGAATTACACGCTGTTCTGCCCTCAGTCGGCCGATAGATAAGATCGGAGCACGCAATGCTGCAGGTAGATGATGTATATCATGTCGGCAGATGTCCGAGATCACAACGTGCCATCTCTAGTCACCGAAGATGGAGTCTGGATAGAACTGATATGGCTAGACCCTCTCTCTGCATCACTTGGCGGACGCATTGCTTGTTGCCGATGACATATATGCATTCAAGACGGTACAACACCCAGGTGAAGCAAGATCTACACAAATGTAGCTCGACTTCGCGAGGCATGGAAGTAGGGCAAGCGACAGCAAACCCTGATTAATCCAGAATATATATACATATTCAACCAGTTCTCTTCCCCTCGAGCGCTCTACAGCTCGTCAGCATTCTCATCAAGGTCAAACCCCCGCCGTCTCCCCCTCTGCCTGCACTTCCCCCTTGTCCTCCCCCCGCTCCACAACAAGGGTATGCTCCGACTCCAGCGCCCGATCCATGCTCGCATGCCCGATCCCCAGCGCCAGCAAAAAGCTCAACCCCGACACGGCCGCAAAGAAAATCCAGAGATCGCGAAACGCCTCGCGAAACACAGCAACATACGCCGCCTTAACCCCCTCCGCCAACCCCCCCTCCTTGCCCCTCAAGACCAACGCAAACTCAGCAGCCATCCTCGCAACCTGCCTATCCAACCCAGCCTTCCCCAGTCTCTCCGCCAACCGATTCTGGAAGAACGTCCCCGCCACCGCAACGCCAATGCACATCCCCAGCGACCGCATGAACGTGTACAGCCCCGCCGCCGACGCATCGCGATTATCCTTGGCCAAGGCCTGCACGGCGAAGTTCTGCGAGGTCAGGATCAGTCCCTGGCCCGTGCCGAGGGTGAGAAAGATGAAGACCCAGCGCACGGCTGAGATATCCTGGTCGAGGAGGGTGAGCAGGGCGATGGCGAGGGTGGAGAGCAGCCAGCCCGACCAGATGGCCCAGCGGTAGGTGCCCAGACGGGTGAGCAGGGCGCCGGTCACGACGCTGGCGGGCAGCATCACCCCCAGGATGACCATCAGGGCCAGGCCGCTGGTGATCGGGGTGAAGTGCTTGACCGTCTGCAGGCAGAGGGGGATGAAGTAGAGGAGGCCTAGCATCTGTTCCGTGGATCAGTCAGTAAACGTATCCTAGACGGGTCAGGAGGGTTTCAGGGGAAGGGCTAGGGCCACGAACGAGAGCACCCTGCAAACACGCGCAGAGATACGCCAGCACAGCCGATATACTCCCGAACAACTGGAGATGGATGAACGGCCGCCTCGCGCCGTACGCCTCCCACAGCAGCGCCACCACGCAACCCACCCCACCCACAACAACCGGCACGATCGTATGCCAGCTATCCCAGCGGAACTGGTTCCCACCCCAGGTGATCCCGATCAGAAAGCTGCACAGGCTCCCAATAAACAACACCCCGCCGACCCAGTCGATCGACCCCAGCCGCTGCATGATACTCGGCCGCTCGGCGCGCAGCCGCACCGTCAGCGGGACCATGACGAGCCCCAGACCGCAGAACGGCAGGTTGATGTAGAAGATCCAGCGCCAGGAGATGTCCTGGGCGATGGCGCCGCCGACCACGGGCCCCGCCAGCGTGCCGATCGCCCACGCCATCTGCACGATCGCGTAGTAGGTCGGCCGCTGGCGCAGCGGCACGATGTCCGTCGTGATCACGATGCAGCTGGCCATGATTCCCCCGCCGCCGACGCCCTGCAGCGACCGGCCGGCCAGAAACAGGTGGAAGTCGTGGGCGACGGCCGAGAGGATCGTACCCAGCGTGAAGAGGATGACGACCCCCAACAGCACCTCGCGGCGGCCGAAGACATCCGACAGATCGACGATGAACGGTTGACAGACTGCGCTGGCCAAAAGGTAGGAGGTGCCTGCCCAGAAGGCTTGGACCGTGTCGCCTTTCAGGGACTGTTCCAGGACCTGCGGACATCAGCTGGAGCTCTTGTGGGTGTAGACGGGGACAGGTACCGGGATGGCCGGGGTGATGATCGTGGTGTCCAGCGAGATGATGAAGGAGAGCAGCGCCAGGCAGCCGAAGATCAGCCACTGGCCCTTTTTCGGCTTCCAGACGGGGGGTTCGGAGGGGTCAGGCTCGACTGCGTCCGTGGCATGGCTGGAGGTGAGCTCGCGCGTGGAGGGGGTGTCGCGCTCGTCTTTGGTTGTCGACATCGTGGTGATCGTGGAGGTATCGCTCGTCGCATTATTGTAGGGAAAGATACTGGATGAGGAGGAAGTGCGAAATGCGATTGTTTTGTTATTCCTGGCGCAGGATCTCAGCTCGGCTCCCAAGCCCTAAGCCACCCTTGCAGCAGCAAGAGCTGAACAAGGGGTAAAGTCAACCCGGCAAACAATAGTCGACATGCACGAGACAGGTCATCCATCAACAATCACAATTCGCCGATCGCTGCCGGATGCAGAGGGGAGCAATGCATCTCCATGCAGCGCATTCCACCGTATCGGGACATGATTCGAGGAATGCCGGAGCCCTGCAGCTGCCGATACGAGGCTATCGAGAATGAATGGGTGAACGGAAAAGCAATTATTCTAGATGACCCTGAACTCATGGAGAGGGAACAATCATGCTGCAGGGAGTTACCTTTCGGCTCCGCGCTATAATTGCAAATATACCGGTGGTGGAGCTGAAGATACTGCACGGTCCAGATGTTCGCTCTTAATCCAGAAGCAGGGATGCCGGGATCGGCAGCGAGAACGGCTAACCATCAAACATCGGGTTTTGATCTGCACAAGGGCTGATCATGATTCCTTCGGTGAAGTCCGACGAATTCAATGGTAAGAAAATCGTTGATTGCCTCACGTCCACTATCTTTCCGCTGTGTTGTGAGGGGCGCGCAACAAGATACATATTTCAGGGTCGAAAAAGCACCAAACAGACTGTAGCATCATTAAACCCAGCTTTGAAGCAAATTAACTCTATAAATTTATGTATGAGTCTTCTTTATATACATTACTTAACTCTGCACTGTATGGCAATTACATACAACCTCCACTCCCCCTCACCCCTCACGCAACAGGCGCATAAAAGCTAAACCTGTCCTCAGGATCATACTTCGCCTTCAACGCCTGCAACCGCTGCTGGCGCCAGTCCTCGCTCCCATACAACTGCCGGGGTGACTCCGTGCCATACGCATAGTTGACATACGCGCGGATCTCCGGACGGCCGGTCGCATTGAACAAAATCTCGCGGAGCTGCTGGCCCACACTGTTGGCCTTCTGGTCCAGCTCGTCGCCGTCGGGGAAGTAGTTGATCATGGGGGCGGCGAGGAGGTTCTCGGACCGGAAGGCGAAGGCGCTGGAGGCGCTGTCGACGGCGTGCACGCCTTGGACGGAGTAGCCCTCGAACATGAAGATGGAGTTGTTGAACGGGGAGGCGCCGCGCGTGGCGTCCGCGTAGACGTCCCAGGCCTGCTTCTGGGCCGCCACGTCGTACGCCTCGAGGTAGATCGGGAAGCGCGGGTTGGCCATGCCCATCTTCTGGCAGGGCGGGGAGTCGACGGCGATGCTGGTCCAGCCGGCCAGGTCCTTGTACGTGCCGTTGGCGGGGGTCACGGAGATGGGGCCGAGCGCGTGGAAGGGGGCGCTGTAGGCGGAGTCGACGGCGGTGACGCCTTCTTGGATGAGGTAAAAGACGATGACGGGCTTGAGGGGGGTTAGTTTGGAGGTCTGATGGGTGAGATGGGAAGGGGACGTACGTTGTTAGGGTCAGCGTCGGCGTTGTTCATCCAGTAGGACCAGTTGATCACGCCCTCGGGCTGCGTGCCGTTCTTCAAGAGATAGTCGTTTGTCGCCTGGTAGATGGCCTCGACCTGGTCACCGCTGAAGATGATGGTCTCGATGGCCCAGTTTTGGTGCTTGATGTCGTAGATCTTGGAGGTCAGCGAGGTGACGATCCCGAAATTGTGGCCCGCGCCCTTGACGGCCCACCAGAGGTCGGAGGTCTCGTCGATCGTGGTCAGCGTGCCGTTGGCCAGCACGATGTTCATCGACACGAATTGGTCGGCGACAAGGCCGTGGTGGCCCTGCAGCCAGCCGTGGCCACCCCCGAGAGCGGGGCCCAGGAGACTGACACACTCGCAGGTGCCTGTCACCGTCTGCTTGCCGGCGGCCCACAGCTCGTCCGTCACAATCTTGGACATGGTGCCGCCACCGAAGGTCGCGGTCTGGCCATCAGCGGCGACCTGGACGCTGCTCAGCTGGCCCATGTAGATGGCGATCCCGTAGTCCATCTTGCCCAGGGAAGTGAGAGCTCCGTGGACGCCATTGTAGGTCAGGAAGGGGATTTCTTTCTTGTTGGCGTATTGCACCTATACATGGTCCTGGTCAGTATATCACTCCCTGGTAGTGCATGGATAAAGATAGGCGTACGATCTCGGCAACATCGTTCTCCGTGCCCGGCACAAAGACAATGTTCACCTCGGGCTCCTCGAGAACCGACCAGCGGGTGGTCACATTGGTGAATTCACTGGAGCCCGGGCAGTAGACCTGCGCGGTGCTCGACAGCTTGGCTCCGAGCGCCTTGAAGTCGGCATCGCCTGAGTGGCAAGCCCCCTCCGAGCCATCGGCCGCACGGGGCAGGGAATGACAGGCTGCCGACAGCGCCCACGTGGCGACGACCGTCACGAATTCCAGCTTGAACCGATACATTGTGTGCAGAAGCCGGATGGCAAGCCAAGTGTGAGGGGAAACAAGCAAAGATGACAACGGACGACGGGTGTTGAGGATCGTCGCTGGAGAGAATCCTCCCCGGGGGGCGAGGCGAGTTTATTTCTAATATTCGTGGCCGCAAGGCTCCACTCGACAAAGATTGTGGGTTTGCCTCAGGATTGTGTTCCTGACTGGATTGAGTCATATGATGCGGGTTCCTGGAGTAGCACCGGAGATATATCTGAGTGTGTAACCCCCGATGACCAGGATTAGGCTGAAGGGTTCCCTGTGGGATGGTGGTGGATTGGGGGGGGGGTGGATGGAGGCCCGGATGTGGTGGTGGCCCTAACAGACGATGAAAGTGGCATGCTCCACCCTCTCCATCCAACCATGGAACAAATCCCCTCGGGGGTGACGGAAGGCAGCGGAATTGGTCGATCACTTGCGTTTTCAGGACTCCTGAGTGGACACCTTATCTAATTCTGAGTGGGGCGATGGATTCTCCGTGATTTAACCTTGTGCTTGTGCCTCCAACCGAGGTCTTTTCTGGCCATTGTTAAGTTGCACAACTGAATAATCCTCCAATTTCCAGGTTATAGACTTCATCCTCAAACTTTGATCTCCGGTGCTGGAACACGGCCAATCAATGCACAATACTTCTCAGTTGCAATTCAGCTAGGCACAGGATACAGTGCAAGCCCGGGCCCAGATGTATCCTCTCGCAGCCGAGTGGCCGTCCACACGGAGTTCAGGCTCAGTGTTGAGCGTACCTGGCGACTCAAAAATAGGACACGACACCCATGTTCAGGGTTACATTTGCCACCAGGTGTTCCTGAATTTCGTGATCCAATAGCCGAGTTCAAACTCCGAACCACACACTCGGCTTGTGTAATGCGGGCTGCACAACAATATCCACATCCGTTCTTATACTAAACAGATCGCGCTTCTCTAGTCTCCTTCAAACAGATGGAGACGTTTACCCTGTCACCACTCTCTCCAGGGTCTTACACATCGCCTTTACATTGTAGATCGAACTCCGCCCGCAGGATATGTGGACTCTTCTGGAGGCGCGGGATGCGGCCTCCAAGGCGGCCTACAACACCAACGTCCAGCTCTGGACCATGTACGCCATTGGTGTGTCCGTGACGATGCTGCGGACCTGGTCGCAGGCTCGAGTCGTGGGATGGAGGCATCTGCGCCTGGATGATTACCTGGTGTGGGTTGGAATTGTCAGTACAAGTCTTTCTGTGCGCTTGAATCATACGCTGACATGAGTTGCAGTTGTTCTACACGGCGCAGGTCTCTCTGGCCTACAACGTGGGCGCCATAGCTCATGGATTGGCCAACAACAGCATGACCGACGCTCAACGGGCGGCGTTGGCGCCAGAGAGTCCCGAATATCATGCCAGGTTTGTCGGTCGATCAAAGTCTCTGCTGCACGGTTCACTAATCTGTCATGTCAGAGTGATCGGCTCGAAGATCCAACTGGCGGGCTGGGCCACCTATTCGGCATTGATCAGCTTTCTTAAGCTGTCCATGCTAGCCTTCTATGCACGATTGATGGTGAGCATCACCCACTGTCGTCCTCGTCTGCGACCATAAATAATGTTTGTGACTGTCACAGGACGGCCTCGGGCGGCGATATCGCATTCCCATCTACATTGGCTTTGTACTTGTCGTTGGGAGTTTCCTCGCGAGCATCATCACCATCCTCGCGTCGTGTCGTCCATTTCACAAGAATTGGCAGATCTACCCCAACCCTGGTAGTGAGTCTCGCTAGAATCAAAGTGTTGCCAGTATGAAGTGCACCTACTGACATCAACCATCAGACGTCTGCCAACCCGCCATCTCCATGCCCGTCGTCGCCATAACCTTCGCCTCGAACCTCCTCACCGACCCCTACCTCATCCTCCTTCCGATCCCTATGCTCTGGGGCTCCAGCCTGAAAGTCATCAAGAAGATCGCGGCGACCATCATCCTCAGCGCGGGAATCTTCATCCTCGTCTGCGCGACTCTCAAGGCCGTCTTCATCATAGTGGTGAGTCTGGCCCTGTTCTCCCCCTCCCCAAAGCCTCCCACAAACCCAACCCTAACATGCACTCCTCCAACCCAGGAACAGGACAAAGGCGCCTCCCTAGCCGAAGAATGGGGCACGCGCGAGACCTTCGCGGCGGTGATCACCACCAACCTCCCCATGGTCTTCCACCTGCTACGCACGTGGCTGGCCCGCGCCTTCGGCAGCGCCTTCCAGTCCTCCCAGAAGAGCTACAAGATCCCGTCGGGGTTGCAGACTATCGGGGGTGGCGGGGGGCCAGGCGCCTCGTTGAGCCGCAACCGCGGCAAAGCGTCGGATCCGATCACGATCGGGCTGACCTTTACCGAGAGCGAGGAGCGCATGATGGACGATATGAAGATGCAGACGCTCAAGGCGTACCCGGCGCCCCTCGAGACTCATCCGGATACGGCACACGGGGCGATTGTGGTTTCGAACCAGATCGAGATCACGCATGAGACGCGTAGTGCACATAGTGACGTTGAGACGGCGGGGAGGACGACGCCGCATGCGCCTGAGGAGAGCTGGTTGCGCTAGGCTGGCCTTGTATATGGTCCTTGACCAAGACACTTTCTTTTCTTTCGTGTACATACTTTTCATTACACAATTTTTTTCTATCTGCTGTAAGATGCAGCGCAGACTACAGCACGAGCGGAGAAGGCAATAATTGCACCCTTAATCAAGTCTGTGCCATCCGGTCCGCGCCGTCAGCACTAGTTTAATCTATCCGGCGGGGCAGCTACACTGAAAGCAGTATGGATCGTTGCGATCTCGCCTACGGCACCCCACCATACAATTCAAAAATCTCTGGCTCGTTTCCGCCTGCTTCCGGGGTTATTTCTGTGTTGTGCTTCTCCGGGAGGTTTGCTTCGGCCGGAATCTGCGGTATCGTTCATATCGGTTGGGGTAGTCTCGTGCTGTTCAGTGGGGATGGCCCGCGCTGAGACGAAGGGCTTGCACTATTCACATTCACAAGTAATCGCACCAAGGCTTCAACAAACATGAAAATAGGATGGCCAGAACGTGGTGTGAAGACACGCCACAGACAAACTAGCCGGGATGCTGCATGCCGCAGAGTCTATTCCATCTAGCGCGAACTCTCGACGTTCCTTCGTCTCGAGCCCAGTGCCACATGTAACCTTGCCCGGCCGTTGCAGTATATTGTCCCCTAGATCTCTGGGCAGTGTTTACGACTGCAAGGTAAGACCTCTACTGATGGCTAGACTAGACCATATGGTGGGCGCCAAGGACAGTCTTGGCGTGCAGCGGACAGGAAAGATTTCTGTGCGCCAGTCCGAATACACACTGTGGCGGACGGTGGGGCACATTCAATGGTCGATTTAATTGAGTTTGGTTGGTGAGAAGTCCAGCAGGCGGCCAGGATTTGGTCAGGCCAGTAGGTGCATTAGGGCAAAGCTTGCATCTGCTTGCTGTTTTGGAGGCGACGGGTTGGTTTTTAGGGACAGGGGCGGTGTCTGGGTGCTTTCCCAACTTAGGGCTTGAGGAGTTGAGGAGTGGGTGTAAGGTGTGAGGTGCACCCTCCGGAGTCTGCTAAACCACGGCTTGTCCAGAACCTCACGTAGTCGTTGAAGGCAACAAGAGGTAATACATGGATTAAATACCGATCGTTTAGTATGGGGCGTGGTCTGTATAAGTTGAAAGTTTTTTTCAAAGCTGTTGAGATCAACTATTGTCGATTTCGTAGCGAACTTTGATTTATGTCGCTGGGTTGTAATGAGCTGGCCGAAGTCGGTAAAAGCATAGCCCTACCTGACCAGCCTCTGAGACCTGACGCCTCAGGTAAAGAATATATGAGATTTTCGAATCAGCAAGCACCCTCTTGACTTCCTGAGGCATCAAAACATACAAACGATCACAAATAAAGGAATTGCACAAATCAAAAGAGATAAAGTAATAATAAACCCATTTCAGGGTAGTTTTTTATTTTCTGTTTCGAATCCGCCCGAGACCACCCGGACAAAACCACAACCCCCTGCCCCAACCCATTCTACCGTGGATCCAAATCCTCCTCCCGAAGATTCAGGAACTTATTAGAGGACAAGCGCGGCCGGTAGGGCGACGAAACATTGGATTCCGTGTCGCTGACCCCCTCGATCTTCTCGCGAGGGACGCGGTCGCGCCACTGGCGGAGGACCCAGAGGTCGTGCTCCTCGTGGAAGAGAGTGCGGCCCTTGAAAGTGAACTGCTCGAGGCCGCCGTTGCCGTCCTCGCGGTACAGGCAGATCTCCTTGCCGGCCTGGATGACCCCGTGAAGGACCTGGGCCGTGTGGTTTAAACCCCGCAGCGTATTGAATTCATACCCCAGGGCGCGCAGGGGCTCGCCGTGCCAGTTGATGGGCTCCGCGCTCTTCCACAGGATGAGCACGACGAAGGTTGTGGTGCTTACATGGGCGTAGTAGAGGTCGAACAGTTGCTCGACAGTGGCAGGCATTGTGCGGAGTTCGTACATCGTGGGCCCGCAATAGAGGGGGCCGCGCCGGGGTGGGGGGTTCGCTGGGCCTGGTTCCGGGGCTGGTGAGGGCTCCCGGTGGGGTGGAACCTCCGTGTCGAGGAGGAGATCCTCGGGGGGCTCGAAGGGGGAACCCTCGGAGAACACGGGCACCGCCGGGGCCCGGGGAACTGGTATAGGAGTACAGTCGAAGAGCCCGGGTACATTGTCCTGCGCGGTGGAGCCTGAGCTAGCATATCCGGAGGAGCTGCTGCTCTCGGACGACCTGCACGAGCTGCAGGTGCACGAGGTACACACCGACGAGGTACAAGTGCAATCCGGCCGCCGGGGTCTGGTACGGTACTCAGACCCGGAGGTGCTGCTGCTCTCGAACGAGGAGCACGAGGTACATACCGACGAGGTACAAGTGCAATCCGGCCGCCGGGGACCGGTGGAATACTCCGAATCCTCAGACCCAGATGCATTTCCGGAGGGGCGGGGTGGTCCGCTTATGTACACATTGCCGTGGATAACAAGGTTGCCATGAACAACGATACGGGGAACCATCGTGGCTACCGGTGAGAGAGTCCGGTCTACAGAGATGGTTGCGGGTGTGGTGGGCATGGGTGTCGTGAGGGTGGTGGGGGATCGATCCGAATCATGGATGGCGTTGGATTATTTATAGACTGGACTGGGGTCCAAGCGAGCTGGGTCTGGAGGTGGTTTCTCTGTGATTCTCACAGAGGGTGTTCTTTGACTGTGTCTGGTTTCTCGGGGATATTCTGGAACTTGTGCGGCTTTCTTCGATCACAGCGCATCCCTGGATATGAGCTTGGTCGTCACAAAGGGCTTGTAAGCTACATATTCCGGATGCTATACGACAGCAAAGAAAGACTTTCCGAGCATTTCAGAATGTCTTTACGCAGCCGTCAACCTTCAGAAAGACAAAGAAAATAAGAGGAGGACGTAGGATTATAGAGCAGTATAGCTCTCGATATTCTCCTATTGCAAGGCAATTCTATTTTTGTCCAAAGAGCTGCTTATTACCACAGGGGCATAGGGCTGTTACAATTCCCCTCGATAAAGTCTTCAGGCATTGGGTGCAGAGCGCCTGACTAGTCCAAAGAGAAATGAGACAACATGAAACGATTGGTCTTTTTGACAAGAGTATAGGTATATCAACCATGGAGGCACCTTTCCTCTCCAATTTGCCATTAGTGACTTCAACAACTACCTTATCTGATTTGGTTGAGCTTTGTATCGGTGGTATGTATCATTATTCACGTTTATTATGCTGTGGTCATGAGATTCGGTTAATTGTGTATGAGATATCTCGATAGGATGGCTTTTACTGAAACAAATGTATGTGTGTGTATTTTATTCTTGTCAACATCTGTCCAGGTCTGTTCCGCATTCGGCAGCATAGCCGTATCCTCATTTTGGAGACATCAAACTCAGCATATATCAGCAAAAATACGTCCAAGAGTAAAGGGTTAGCTTTTGTCTTTTCAAGTTGCTTCAGGCTAATACATCCTCGACCAAGATATCCTAACAACAGGTCTATGCTGCTTCCATGCTGGGCTAGAATGTCCCACTCTAGTCAACTGCTCACTATTGTGTCCATCAGTTCCTGCGTTGTACCCGCGATTCTTTCGAAGTCGCCGGTTGCAGATCTCCAGCAATATTCGTTTGATTGGCATTCAATGAGCAACATTGTATAACGAGCGAGGCAATTAGCCCTAAATCTTCACTTCCATGTGTCAGTTTTTGATATATCAGCTTGGCTTCGAAGGTAGACCCTAAAGCCAGGTGAAAGGCTCCTGATACTCATAGACAAGAGTGAAATCTGTTTCTAGAGGCATATCACTGCATTATGCTTGAAATAGAGACATATCTCCTTATATTCCCAGTTGAAAGTCTCCCTGAAAGCCTTTCACAGTGTACAGTACTATATCACTTATACGGTGATGTTTGTAAACTCCGGTACTGGTGACTATCAGTGATCTATATAAGCTTCAACAAAGAACAAAGCCGATATTACTATCTCCTCTAACCCTACCGACAAGAAAACAAAGACACTCTCCCCACCACCCCGTATATAACCTCATCTAATCCCGTTGTACCACCCATCCCAATATCCACTCCCCATGGATCCAGCCAAACCAATGGCCAACCCCCTACTAACGCCACCCCACGCACCCCGTGACATCAACATGGCCACCCAGTCAAACCCCTGCCGCACCGACTTCACCCTCTCGCCCGGGGACATGCACCTCATCACCAACCCCTTGCCCAGCTATGAAATTGCCTTCATCCGCCTCAACCTCGCGACTACCCTGACCGTCGTGACAATGCGCGACCCCGCCCCTTCCATCATCGCGTGGGAGTCAGAGCCGCTGTGCGCCCTGCTCGCCGAGTTCCGGCGGCAGCGGTACCACCATCCGCGGGCCAAACCCCTGTACGGGATCATATACGCCGGCGACTGGATGCGTACGTATCGCGAGCGCATTGTGCCCGAAAGCTGCCAGCCCTTCGAGCCGGATTACTTCCATGTGCAGCTCGTCCCCGGGCGGGACACGCTGCATCGGGTTCATGATGCCGAGCTGCTGTTCCGGTGGGTGCAGAAGATTCCGCGGAATGAGGCGGAGTGGGTTGCTATTCCTGACGATGAGTGGGTTTGTGGGACTGTGGGGGGGAGGAAGAAGGTGTAACATCTCACTTTAGATGACGACCTTGCTGTATATCTAAATACGAATCCAAAAAGAAGGACTCAGTGTCTTTGAATACAAATTTGCGTCTCTCCAATTGTCCTCTTCCAATTCTGGTGCTGTAGCTCCTGAAGCAGTATCAGCAAGACATATTAATAATAATGCGTCTGGATAAGTATGTATCATGCCCGACTCAGTATGCCGCATGGGTCGATGACTGGCCCCGTTTGATCACGTGATAGAGAGACGAGGCCTGTTATTCTCCTAGACACAAGGTTGAAGGCGGGCCCTGGAGCTTGCGATGAATAAAATAGCAACTTTATGTCCTATGCTTTTTAGGTTATCCATGTCAAGGACAATCAAGGCACTGCACGGATTCGTCAGTAGATATACTGTACATGCAAGTATCGGGCACCGAGGGCATTAGCAGATGAAACGGGCTGCAGGGTTTTCAAAGTCAGTCGATCGAGTTATCTCGACAATGCTGTCCATCAGGCCCGTGAAGGTATGATAGACATACACACTGAAGTATGCATACTGCGCTTCAGGCCCAGTGCGAGCAGGTCGTGGATGAGTTGCGCCGAAACCTTTACCCGTACGATCGAATGCACCCCTCGACGTGGTGCGGGCCTCAACCTTCGCCGCGCAGGCGCTGGGAGACGACATCGACCAGGCGTGCAATTCGGCGGCGACGAGATCGTCACCAGCAAGCAAGGCGCCGGAAGCGCCACGACGTGCATGGCGTATGCAGAGTGCCGGTTCATCAAGGCAGTGCTGGCCGGGCTGCGGGGTGAGGATGTCACTGAGGATGCGTTTGTGTATTTATCTGGTATTGAAGGGGGGGAGGGAGATGGCGGAGGAGCTTGGGGTTGAGTACTTCGTTGTGCGGACGGTGCTGGGGAGGGGCGGGGCGGAGGAGGTTCTTCCGTTTGGGGATGTCGATGGGAAGGAGAGGGAGATGCTGGAGGTTGCGGTTCGGGAGCTGAGGAAGAATATTGTGACGGGTTTAGCGTTTAGGGGTTGAGATGATCACTTCTTCAGGGGGCATTGATCGAATTCATAAGATGATAAATTTCACCGTCATGTACTACTATCCAAAAGCGAAGATGATGTGGAGGGAGTATATTGCAGTTAACCAGAACTAAAACTCAAACCCTATTGCAATCACAAATTGTCAATACCATCCACCATCCTCCACTTTTCTCCCACCAACTCGTTAAGAAACAGCATGGCAGTTCCCGGTCACAGACATATACCGAACCGTCTCAAACAGCCCGGCTTCCTTGGATCAACCGCGTCCAGACAGGACGATGCCAATGCCACAACTGCCGACTAAGTCAGACAGCATTTACTGGGTGTACAGGCAGCCGTTGGGGTCGTTGGTGGTCTCGACGCGGGCGGCGATGCCGACGCAGTCGCTGTTGCCGGCGGGGTTGCTCACGCCGGCGCTGGCCCAGATGCTCCAGGCGCCGTCGATGCTGTTGGGGCAGGCGATGAGGTCGCTGCCGCCGAACTGCAGGTGGTTGTTGTTGTCGATGGACCAGCCCTGGCGCTCTGCGTTCTTGGGGGCGGGCTGGGCGCCGGTCGTGTAGCCGATCTTACCCTGGCCTGATACATAGAGATGTTAGTATTGATGAAGAAGTGAGATGATAGATGCAGAGTATCGGAGAAGAGACGAAGAAGACATACCCATGCCCGAGCGGTCGACGTAGAACTCCTGGGGAGTGGCGGACTGGTCGTACAGATACAGAGCGCCGTCCTGGATGTAGAAGGTGGCGGTCTGCTCCTTGGGGCGGGCGCAGCTGGCGTTCTGGCTGGGGAGGCCGGCGAAGAGGCTGCTCTTGGCCGCGGTGAAGGGCTGGTACTGCACTGCGCTGGTGGAGTGGATGGAAACGACGCCGAAGGTCTGGCTCTGGGAGGCGTCGGTGGCCGGGAGAGCGGCGGCGGTGGCAGCGGCCGAGGCGGCGAGGACGATGTTCTTGAGCTGCATGGTGGTGGTTGGGGTTTGTGACTAGAAGGTAGAAAGTGTGGTGTGGTTGTGTTGTGTAGTGTAGTGAAAAGTGTTGATGTTGATGATGAGAAGGGAACAATGAGCAGGATGGACAGTCCCTTTATATCGTCTTCCAGAGCAGCTGTGAAGCCATGACCACCTCATCCAACCCAGCCCAGTACAGCCAGTCATTATTTCCCATTATTTCCTGCACCTGCAACCAGGACCTATGCTGTCACTCCCGTTTATTGAATCATTCAGGGTCCTCCAGCCCCAAAATTAGCGGCGGGTGGGGCGTGACCAAGGGATGCCCTAATTGGTGAGGATTCGGCCCATGTGGGCGAGACATTCGGCCTTGGGAAGTTGGGAGCCATTGGCATTTCAGAAATAGCAACCCCCGGTCGCTGTCCCCGTTCTTCTGCTCTGGCAAGACTTTTAGATCCGACCCACACTACAGACATTGTCTCATTTGGAGGGTTGTTGAAAGTCGATGGGCTGTTTTCCTCCCCCTCGCAGCCGAGGTTCGGTTGCTTGAGTCGACCGGTTACATGCAGCATTGCCTTTGTTGCGGTTATATTCAGCTCCGTTGGTAAAGTACATACATAGTAATAGTGATACCTGCCACGTGAGACAGCCACCGATGAGGCGGGCGTTTTCATGAAATCGGGGATTCCCGCGTTTTCCCCTCAAGGGGGTAAAATCCGGGCGAGATTATGAGGTAATAATTGCGGGACAGCCACCCCCACATTTGTCTCGGAACATCGAAGATCATGGATGAGTTACCTTTGGTGGCAACTGAGTAGTATCCGCCTCCTCTTTCTCCTGAAGAGGGTTCGGCCGGGGAGAGTAGTTGCCGTTCGACTAGAGTCAGCTTTGTTTTTCGATAGAGAAGCTACGTTGTGTCTAGGCAGAAGCGTAAACCTCCCTCAACCGTAAGAACTCACTTAGACCACCTTACCAGGTCACGTAGCCGGATTCAGCGTCAAATAGAATAGAATGAATGCGAATACGACAATCCTGCACCGAATATGTCCGTGTCTTTGCCAGTTGCCACAAACAACAATGCCATCGCCCAAAAATAGCATGCTGGCCTCATGATTCCTACAGGTCTTGGCGGGGACAAGTTGACCATCAGGTGAAACAATGACAATCTCCGCCCGGCGCCCTTTCCAATCTGTCCAAGTCACGGTGTCTCTTTTATGCATAATCTACTCCGGCGACGTCCGTGGTTTGTTGCATGAGAATAAGGTGCAGCATACTGACTTTCATCGCATGTGTGGCTTTCAGCTCTATGCGTTTGGTTGTGAGGAGGGTAGCTGGCTGCGCTGCTTGGGATACCTAGGGTATTCAGCGCACAAAGCTTCACTCTTCTGCCTTGTCCATCTCCTTGATGTCTTACCTCCTGATGAGTGAGGTTGAACGATTTCTCGACTGATATGTTTCTCATAGTCGGGCTGCACGACTGATTTCGACCAGCACATTCAACCCTCAAAATCACGATCACCATGACGCTAGCGACAGGTCGACCTGCAATCCTGATTATTTGATGTGCAATGTCTCACTCACCTTCTGCTCGCTGTCTTGGAAAGGAGAAACGATAGCGGCTGATTGATGAGCATGCCAAATCGTCCAATTCCGCTGCGCACCGCGATGTGACTAAGATGAATGCATATTGTCTCAGAATATCAGTCCTTGAGCGACACTTTGAAGGTTGGCTCTGGGGTTTTGGAAGCACTTACAGGGCTAGTGAGGCGGCCGTTTGGCAATAGTCTTAGACAACATGATCATGGGTCGGCCCGAGCGAGCCCCTGACTCCGTTTTGTGACGGAGTCAGCTTTCCAGAGTCAGACATCATTCCCTCGCCCAACGAGTGATTCTATAAGACTAGAACACGGTCTTGCTGGTACTTTTATCTTGGACTTGTCTGCCTGATGTCGCTATACGCTGGTAGTTGTCGTTGCTTTGATCGGCGACGAGTCTGATTCTTTTGAATTTCTGAGTATTTTACACAGCGTTCGCAAAGTTGATGCTGCCCAACTACTTTTCAAAGCTGGCCAACAGACAACAGACGGAACGATTGAAATGGCGATCGCGAGGACAGATCAAGCAAATAATACTCGTCGTAGCGCAGTACTGCTTGCTGGTCGTCGTTGTAGTAAGCACTCACACTGCTGTTCTGCTTTTTAGTGTATGCGTACTTCTTTCTAACTAAGCATGATGCATAAAATGTAGCCTACCATATCTGATGCAGACTCGATGTCTCGCCTAGCACGTCTATCTCGTTAGTTGCTTCATGATGGACGCACCTCAAAGCAATACTTGCCGTTCCTAAGATCGCCAGTGCCATGAAATGCATAGCAGGTACCGAAGTTACGAGGAATACATGCTTGTTGCACTACAAGCTTATCCAGGCTCCAGACCAAGTCTTCATTCTTCAGTATAGCTGGTCCTAACACCTTTGTGTGGGTAATACTTGCTCCCAACCCCACCACTCTTGTTCTTCTCGACCTCAACTCTCCGCCACATACTACAGTAGCTGATGCGAATACAGCACACCAAAGTCAAAGCTAGGGCACAACATCAACTTCACCGAGATGGATCACATGCAGCAGACAACCGCTGGCCCCCTGCTCTCCCCAAAATGGAGAAGAACTTACAACTGGTGTCGACTTAATACTGGTGCGTAAGCGGGCCTCAATTTGCCCCGGGCGTCTTGCTTTCCGACTTACCCGGTAAGCACCAACGCTTCACATCTAAGCAGTGGTCTGGCTTACATTTCATCAGCAGTATCGACGTGCACGGTCGGCCAAGTAAGAGGGTGTGCAGCTGCACAGTCAGCCGAGTCTATTGAACCAGATATGCCACCGAAGCTTCTCCGTCTGGCGGTGTTCCAATGCATGGAGCGATAAATGACGGACCAGTGCGTAAGTGATAATCAATCACCATCACTATATATGCTAACCCCTCTGCTCAGTTATTTCAGATGATAGCTCAGTGCGGCCCGGGTACTCACAACCTTACCGAGTGCGGCTTATCTTTTCCGATCTAATCGCACTACAACAATTGAATGCCGAAAGCAATCTGTGACCAATGACAGCAGCCGGCATCCGGCACGAGGAAGCCATGCGATTGGCCGCTCAACGAGTGAGTCAAAGAAAGACTTCTCCGAATTGGAGAAAGTGGAGACGCCGGTTTCCCCAACTCAGAACAGAATTTGCGCGTGCGGCGTTTGCTTTTGCGCGGGTATCGGCCGACACTCGTGCTGCGCTTGATATTCGATCAAGTCATCTTGCAGCAAATGCCATGATAAAGGCGAGCTAGGTCGGTGAGATAAGGCCGAACATCCTGCAGCAACAGGTCACTTGTATAGCGCTGTGGATTCTGCAAATGGGCAAGGAATGCGGAGGGAGATGCCAACTCCGGAGGGCAGCTCAGGCCTCATTATCTGGCGCCCTCGGAGAACATCCCGAGGGAAGATTTCTCCAATTTGGTGTTTTGTGCTTTTCCTCCACAAATCCACCGGCGTCATCCTTCTTAAATAACGTTCACATCCCTGCTCCCTCGTAGAGGTCTGGTGACGAGAGACGACGCACATGTGCTGTTACACATAAACATAACCCGCTCCGCACATGCACATGCTCAGCTACACCAGTGCACTCGGATACGGACCGTCATCACAGTGAAAATCACAAATGCCTCAATACTCCCCCACGGACACCCCGCGGGGTCCTCTCGACGATTCGGGCTCGTCGACCACCGGCACCGTCTTCCTCCCAGAAACCGGCTCCACCACGCCCAACGCCTATCTCGGCGAAGACGAAAAGGGCGTTGCCAGCTTCGACCCCTCGACGCAGGAGATCCAACACCGCTACCTCGAACTCGACACGCCGCTACCCACCCCGTGCATCACCCTCCCGCCCGGCCCTAACCAGTCCGCCCCGCCCGACCCCCCGAACCTCGAGCAATACATCTCTCCGTTCCTGTGGCCGAAATGGCGCAAGTCGATGATGACTTGGATCGCCTGCGCCGTCACCGCGCTGGCCGGATACTCAGCAGGCGAGGTCAGTCCCGCCTCGAGCGTGCTGACGGCGGAGTGGGGGGTTAGCGCGGTGGTCTACAACCTGACCATCACGGTGTTTTGTATCGGATTCGCCCTGGCGCCGATGGTGCTGGCTCCCTTCTCGGAGATCAACGGGCGGCGGCCAATCTTCGTGGCTAGCGGGATTCTCTTCACTGGTGAGTGATTCCCCTTCCCCTTCGCGATATACCCCGGTAGTGTATGCCGTTTCCCGCTCATCAGGGCTAACTTCTCGTCTCCCGCATGCAGCCTCCCTCCTCGCCTGCGGCGGCACACACATCTTCGGCGGCCTTCTGGTGGCGCGGGTCTTGCAGGGGATCGGGGCGTCGACTTTCTCGACGATGGTGGGCGGGGTGATCAGCGACATCTACCACGCGGAGGACCGCAACACGCCGATGGCGCTGTTCTCCGGGGCGGCGCTGTTCGGCACGGGGCTGGCCCCGCTGATCTCGAGCGCGATCGTCCACCACACGACCTGGCGGTGGGTGTACTACTCGCACGCGATCGTGGCGGCCTTCTTCGTGGTGGTGATCTTCTGCTTCTTCAAGGAGACGCGCGGCAGCGTGCTGCTGAGTCGCAAGGCGCAGGCCGTCAACAAGTACTACGAGCAGCTGGAGGCGGCGGGCCACTTCGGGGTGATGCTGGAGGAAGGCAAGGTCCGGCGGATCCGCTGGCGGGTTAAGAGTGACGAGGAGCGGGTGTCGCTGGTCAAGATGATCGGGATCTCGGTGTATCGGCCTTTTCGTACGTTGCCCTTTTCCTAGCTGAGGAGGGAATGTCTTGTGCTAACGGTGGCGAACAGATATGCTGGTCAGCGAACCGGTTGTCTTCTTCTTCTCGCTCTGGGTCTCGTTCAGTTGGGCGGTGCTGTACCTGCAGTTCGGCTCCATCCCACTGGTCTTCCGCACGAACCATGGCTTCAACATCGAGCAGACCGGCGCTGTCTTCACCTGTATGCCTTGACCCATACCTACCCCAGCCCCCCCCCCAAATCAGTTCCCACGCTAACATCCTCAAGCAATGTGCGTCGGCGCCCTCCTCATCACGGTAATCAGCATCTACCAAGACAAGATCGCGCAGCACTACAATCTCCTCCCGCGCACCCCGGAAGCCCGCCTCTATTTCGTGTGCGTGGAAGCGGTGCTGATGCCCATCGGGCTGTTCTGGTTCGGCTGGACCTCGTACTCGTCCATCGCGTGGATCTCCCCGACCATGGCCATCGGGTGCGCCACCATGGGCATCTTCGCCGTCTACCTGGCCGTCTTCAATTATCTGGCCGACACCTATCACCGATTCGCTAGTTCGGCCATCGCCGCGCAGTCGTGCTGTATGTCCCTGTCTCCCTCTCGTTTTCTTCAAAAGGGTATCCAGTGAGGGTTAAATACTGACGGAAATAGGCCGCAACCTCCTCGGCGGCGTCTTCCCGCTGGTCACCAACGCCCTGTTCACGAATGTGGGGTACCCCGGGGCGTCGAGTTTGTTGGGCGGTATTGTACGTTTACTCCCCACTTCTTTTCCGAATCGGTGGTTATAGCAGGAGTGCTAATTTCTTTGATATAGGGAGCCGTTCTGGTCGTCGTGCCCTGGGTGCTGGTCTTCTACGGGCCGAAGATCCGGGCGAAGAGCAAACTGGCCAGTCAACTGGCTCATTGAAAGTTTTTTGTTTTGATAAAAATGGGGGAGGCATTGGGTCTTGCATAGCGGTTCTGTTTCGCACATAATATACTGGTATAGAGGGGTGGACGGGGGTTCACTTAATAGATAGACGCATGGTGGTTACGATTAATGGTAATGAGATGGAGTGTTTACTGCTACGGTTAACTTACAGCTCCTTTGGGATATGCTGGGGGTGGCTGCATGGCTGCATGGATGAGGGCAGGCAAGGGCAGGGCAGGGCTTGTTGCTGGGATGACAGGCTTTGTTGGATCATGTGATCCAGTTGCGCCATCTCCTCTTGTGACTTCCAGAGAACTGACGACGTGCTGAACGCGGGCTTGTTGGGATATTGCCTTCAGCCTTATGGCCTCGTCCAGCCAAGATTCGACCCTTGGCAAATAAGAACCCATGTGTGTATCCTCGCGCACCGCACCGTAGCCGCACCCCTGACCATCGCACCGACAACTCCCCGTAGACAACACAAGTGGTCGACATCTCTCCACATGTGGCGAGTGAATCCTTACTTCAGGTCAAAAGTAACCTCCGACCACCGGTAGGGATAAAGAGAGATACGAGTAGAAGATCATCCAACAGGACCTGCGGCACCGCCCATCTCTACTACACATGCAGTGTATGCAAAGTTATCTACTTTCAGTAAACACAGCAACCCATCCCACCAGCAATATATGTATGTGTATGTGTAGAAGTCGACATATCACACCACAACCCCCCGAAATCGCACCAACCCGCCAACTCCGCACGTGCCTCCCCTGACCACCCATGACGGCCAACGTGCCTTCGGGGGATGTCGTTCCTGCACAGTGGCAATGGGGTCCGGGTGGACTTGACGTCAAAAACCGGGTCCAGAATGTTTGTGCGCGATATTTTTTTTTTCTGGTTATCCAAGCGCAGACCGAAGACGGAGTGGGAGAGTGGAGGGTTTGAGGTTCTGCTTGCCGAAGGGGAAGGATCGTCGTTGGGGTTGGTGTGGGCTGTAACTTACTCCACTTGGTTTGGCTGACGTCAAGGCTTCCTTGTTCTTAGGTTTACATGAGCATAAGCAATATTATGTGTACGTCTGTTGCTTGCTTCATTGGGGAATTGGAGCTAAATTTGCTCATACAGTATGCTTCGATGTGGTCGGACTTTTTGAGTTTATTGGTCTTAGGGCTGGTTGGGGAATAATCTGGGGGGGTTGTTTGGGGGTAGAAGTGAAGAGGAGGAACCTTCGAGGCATTTCGGTGAGGGTGAGCACTGAGCACCAAATAGCCGAAATTCACCACTCAGCCTTATGAGAAACAAGAAATTTACCCCGGATGACTCTGCCCCCCTTTGCTTTCCAATCAGACCCTCCATCGTCGAGGGGATGAAAAGGGCAAAGGGCGAAGATAACAGGGTCCAGGAACCCTGGGATGACCACCACGGCATTAGCATACGTACGCATAGTAACTTCACATCCATAGGTGTAGTAGCAGGACTAGATAAATTGATCCCTCCCGGATAAACCACCCGTAGTGGTCAGGCTGATCACTGGCTCGCAGCTACTTACCTAGTACTCGTACACGAACACCTCTTTGCTTACCCTGCATCAAGATTACGCAAACCCAGCCCAGCCAAGATCCGACCGACGAATCTGACGATCCTCATCTGCCTGCCCTGTCCCCCCCGGCCCGATACTTCCGTCCGTCCATGTCTCGGGCTCTGGTTGCTGATGACGCACCCACGCTTGGGTGCATGCAGGTTTGATGGCCGGCAGGACGCTGGAGCTGGAGCTGGAGCTGGAGCTGGAGCTGTCGCAAAGAGAAAGTCGACGTGGTTTGCACCACACCAGTCAGTCGGCGGTGGTAGGGTTACACGGGCTGTCAATGCTGGTGCCTGTGAGTGGCGAGACTGCGCTGGGGATCAACAAATGGTGTACACTTCGGGGGTTCCGTTCCAGTCGCAAAGTTTGAACTTATTCTTAGCTACCACCCACCAACTCACACCCTTTGGTGTGCTGCGTGTGATGGCTCACATTGTGGATTGGGGGAATGCCGGCCAAAAGGAGGCAGGGCAAGGCACCCGCCACAACCGTACCGCCACAGACAAACAACCCGGCCCTTTGGGGGTCTTGGGTCTCCAATGACGACGAGTTATCCCAGCAAAAGAAACCCAAAATCTAGACACATGGGCAACGTCATTGCCAAGCAGGGAAACAGGAACGCGGCAAGACACTGACTGCTCGCAATGGAATCATAGTGGGGCCTGGGCCGCGTCTCCAGCGCTGTGACTGGTCGAGCCACCCTTCACAACAGCCCTGATTCGTATGAGAGGTTGTCAACGTGGGGGAGCAGGATGGAGATGATCATGCAGTGGACTGGGCTGGGCTGCTATTCTTGTCGTCGACAGGTAAGTCACAGTAACTGACAGTACTTCTTGCGTTTTGCTTGTCGTGAGCCTGGTGGCGATGGAGGATATAAAGACCCTCGTCCCTCGCAGACATCTCTTCAGTTCTCCAGTTCTCTTGCATACATCCATCCATCCTCACTCCTCGGGTCAGGTACCATCTCAATAAAGTTATCGATAATCGATTACCGCTATCTATCTTATCACACCACACCACACCACACCACCACACAAACAAAATGCAGCTCCAGAGCCTCCTCCTGACCACCCTCCTCTCCACCGCCGCCCTGGCCTCCCCTCAGGGCGGCGTCGTCTCCGACGTCGTCTCCGGCGCTGAGTCGGCCGCCACTGACGCCGTTGGCGCCGCCACCTCGCTGGCCAGCGCCGCCTCGACCGCCGGAGCCGCCGGCGCCTCGGACGTGACCTCGCTGGCTTCCTCGGTCGCCTCGGAGGCCACCAGCGCGGCCAGCGACGCCCGCTCCGCCGCCTCCAGCGCCGTCTCGAGCGCGCTCTCCGGCTCCTCGTCCGTCTGGCCCGCGTCCACCACGACGCTGACCGGCACCAACGGCTCCGCGACGGCCACCTCCACCATCTCCGACAGCCTGACCCTGGCCAAGTCCACGTTCACCACCACCCACGACGGCACCACCTCCACCGGCACCACCACCTCCACCGGCACCGTCACCAACATCGCCTCCGCCTCCTCCGCCTCCGCCTCCGCCTCCTCGTCGACCGGTGCCGCCGGCGCCCAGGCCACCCCCGCCGGTGTTCTGGGCTACGGAGTCGCCGGTGTCGCCGGTGTCCTCGGTGTGATGGCTGCTTTGTAAGATCCGTCCTTCAGGATCAAGAGGAGTAGGGATTGTGAGATGGACTGAGTGGTCGGGCTGTGGATAGGGTCGCTGGGATTTGATACCATCCTTTGCTTTTAATGGAATGTTTATGTACATGAATGAGTTAATGCTATGATCCGATCTTTCTATATTTTTTTTTGGTGCTCTGTAGATTGTCAGCGTAATGGATTTCAGGACGCATGGTTGGAGTGAATCCTATGGAATGTATATGTTTTGGAAAGATTCTCGAGTGCTGGGGCTGTCGAAGCCATGTTTAGGATGAAATTAGTGTCACTAATCCGAGTGATCGTACTCCAGGTGATGCTTCTACCGCTCGATAACGTATCGCTATCTGGAACGGGAGCAGGGACCCTTTATCGAGACTGCGCGTGGGATTCGTACAAAATAGACAATACGTCACGTGATATCAGCTCGACACTCAGGACGCGAACAACTGACAAGGCTACGATAACTTTGGAATGATGATTTCTTAGGTGCTAAATGCAGCAGTAGAATGGTTGCTTGACGAAGATGACAAGAAAATTGAAACAAAGCACTGAGCGATCAACGTGGTTGGACGCAAGTAGAGTCTATTCTAAATATATTTCCGGAGTCGCTGACGCTGACAATAACAACAACAACAACACCGGGCACCAAAACAAACGCGCTCAACGCCAACCCAAATGACAGAAACAAAACACCCGAAATGAACTCGTGGCCTGTACAAATCACCCCTCAGACAGTCGGATTACAGGGTATCTATGCGCCACATCTTTTTTTCGCGATCATACAGTCTATAATACATGAGAAGGGAAGCCAGCGGTCGCCGCCTCAAGGTCTCGCCTCGCAGCGGGCCACCCAATCATTGTCTCTCAAGGACTTTGAGAACCAGCTCATACGTCCCGATCGTGATCGCCGCCGACGGAACCGTCCGGAGCAGATGCGCCGTCAACCCGCCGTACAGCGCAATCATCCCCTCCTCCTTCAGGATCAGCCGCGCGCACTGCAGGATGCTGGTGTACTTCTGCCGCCCGTCCGCCATGGGGGCCTGTCGGAGCCGGGTGCGGATGACCTAAAGTACAAAAGCCGTCAGCGGGATTCATCGCTGAAACCAATAGTCCAACTTACCTCGTGAGGATAGGCGATCAGACAAGCCACCATCTTCGACAACCCAGACGCACCGCTCAGCGCCAAGCCCTGCACGAACTGGTTCGACTCGGGCCCGGCTCCCTCCAGGTCAACCCTGGTTGCGATCAGCCCCTTGATGCGCTCGTACATGACCAGATGCAGCGTCGTCTCGATGGTGCCCAGATAGCTCGCCGTCAGACCCCGATACAGACCCTTGGGGCCCTCGTGCCGGAGGATCTGCTGCGTGCAGTCGAGACTGTTCTTGTAGCGGCGGGCGCCCGCCTTGTCCAGCTGCAGGCGCGTCTTGACGACCCAGATGGGGTTGGTGGCGCTGCCTGTGGCGATGCCCGCGCACGCCGCCGACAGGCCGTGCACCAGCGTCGTGTCCTTGTCGCACCCTAGCACCTCCGGCAGCAGCCGCTTGCAGTTGCCGTATGTGTAGAACTTGACCGCGCTGGCCGGCACCACGCCCGTCAGGCTGGGGCCCAGCCCCTTGAACATCCCGCGCCAACCCTCAACGCGGTGGATCGAGAACAGGATGCCGAAGGTCTCGCGGAAGTGGTTGACCGACGAGCGCACGAAGGATTGTCGTATCTGGTGGGGGTGTGGTGTGAGGCGGGTGTTGGATTGGGTCTGGTAGTAGTCGGTTTGGAGGCTGTAGAGGAAAGGGACTGTTAGTTTCTCTGAGAAAGGTGCTGGAAGGCGAAGCTAGCAGCCTGGAGGGAAGCGCTTACCGGGTGCGGAGAACGTCAAGAGGACTTGTCACGATAGCGGTCACCATCCCGCCGGTCCTGCAGGTCGATTAGCTTTCTCTTTCGGTGAAGTCAAGACCAGCTGCAGTAGATTACTCACGCGCCGGCGATCAAATGAGACCATGATCCCAGACTGGAGGTGTTCACGCGGTCGGGCACGGTGTCGGTCGGAAGTGTGGGCGGAAGCGGTTCTCCAGATGCACCGCCTGTCTTGCGAACAACGGTCTGCATCGTTGCCATGGAGGAAGTCGATGGGTGATATTCCGGTGTTGCTCAGTAGGTTTAAGAAGAGATCGACAGACAAAATCACAAGTGGCAAGAAACGCAGACGGGGAATTGTAGGAAGAGGAGTGGTTTTGCTCGGCCAGGGCCTGGGTCGATGGATTCAGGAAAGTTTTTTTTGCGGCGTTGGAAAGATACTTCCGGGCGGCGAACCCCAGGCGGTCAGCCTCTGTTGCTGGAATCATGTGATCCACCTGTCACTTCCCCGTCATTACTCATCCCTCATCCCTCATCGCTCATCGCTCCGCCGCTGACTCAGCCCTGCATGCTCTGCGCGATAAGGGGAATGCAATGGAGGTCAGAGCTGGTGGGCTTATCGTGAAGCAGATGTGAGGCACGAAGTACGAAAGATGACCCTTGCACACACCACACACCATGAGAGTCTGTGCCTGACTGCCTCTGCAGCTCTTCCTGCACGGCTATCCCGGCCATCGACGGCTTCTGGGCGACCAGGCAGTAAGGCAGCCACCAGCTGGCCAACGGCTCCACTTTCTCCCGCCGATTCTCCACCGACTGCATCCAGACTTCGACTTCCCCAGACACACTCACTGATAACAACATGACACTGACACACTCTCTCAACGCATCTCACACCACACCCAAAGCTCGACACACTCTTCGTGCCATGAGCGCAATCACCTCGCCATCTCAATTCTGATTCTCTGGGCATAACACACATTCTTCTCTTCTCTCACTCTCATACCCCCCGAGCCTCGTATTCATCCCGTTAGGCGCGGGTTAGGCCGCACAATCCGCTCAGCTCGTCCGGTCGCGCAAGGGTCCAATCTCCCGTCGACCCGCACTCCAGCAATGGCCAGCACGATCATCCTCAGCCTCATCCGCCCCTTGACCACCTGACACCAGACTAATGCACTGCACTAAAGCGTTCTTCAGCTAGTCCCCCGATTTTAAATATGCCTGATCGCCCCGGATTCGCGCCGACGGGCGCTCCTCCCCTCCCCTGCATCTCCGACCGCGCGCGCAAACCCCTCCGATTGCATGGCGGCCATCTAGCCGTACGAGCGCACCATGTCCGATAAGAAACCCAATCCCAAGCCTGCAGCTGCAGCCTCTGCGCCAACCCCGCCCACGGGAACCGTCGCAGACACCAAGGAGCCCAAGAGCCTGGACGACCTGTGGAAAGAGGCGCTCGATCGCATTGCGGCGGAAAACAATGTCAGCCTGGAGGAACTGCAGACCCGAGGCGATCAATGGTCCGACGCCGAGAGCGGGCTGCAGAAGGCGTCCAAACTGTTCGAACATTCGCGACGGCCCGGCGACCGCAAGGATAAGGTGATGAAGTCGGTGGCCGGGTGTCTGGACTGGGTGGACTCGGGGGTCACCTTCGTCAAGGGGCATGTTTCTGGCACGGTGAGGGGGACATTATTTTTGGCTGGGTTTTGAATGCAGGGACTGACGTTTCTTCCCATCGCGACGTCTAGTATGCGGTGCCTGCGCAGCTGGTGGCTGGGTCGATTCTGTACATGATTCAGGTGAGAACGGGACAGAAGTGATATCATCCCATTGTTGGGGCCAGTCGGCTGACGCATGCACAGGCGGCTAAAGATATGTCGGAGGATTTCGATTTGATCGAGTCGACGTTTGAGACGCTGAACATCGCGCTCCAAGACATCGGCGACCTTCGACACCGACAGTTCGATAAGTCCAACTTCTTGCGCCGATTGACCGACATTCTCATCGCCATGGTGGACTTTTGCTCCTTCAGTGGAAGGGTCTTCAGCGAGTATAGTCGAAAGCGTGGGTCATACGTTGCTTGCTGCCTGTGCCTGAAAGCTGATTCGCGACAGGACTGTACATACGGGCGCTTTTGAAAGGACGGAACAAGGAAATCATGGCCAAATGCGACCACGTGCAAAAGGTCATTCTGCTGTTCCGCGCCACCTTGCCGATCCAGATCCTCAACGTGGTGGAGGGCATGGGCGAGAAGATCGAAAACCTCCCCACTAGCTTCATTCAAGCGCTGCAGGACATGAAGATCAAATCTTCTGACTTGCAGCCGCTGTGGGGTAAGGCGAGTGCGCTGGAAAAGATCAAGGAAACTCTGAAAAACAGCAAGGACCTCGATCCGGACACCGAAGTTCGCGTCGAGACGCAGATGAAATTGGTGCGGAAGCATCTCGTGCCGGGGACCTTCTCGTGGTCCGAAACGGATCCGGCCTACAAGTCGTGGGCGACCGGCCACAAGAATCCCTTCATCTTTGTCTCGGGAGAAGCAGGCACCGGCAAGACCTTCTTCGCGTACCACTGCTATTTGTCGATTCAGGAGCAGAGCAAGCGGTACCGTATCGCCAATGACAAGAATAATCCCGACCAGCGACGAACGATGTTGGCGGCCTACTTCCCCTTTGAACCGGGTAGACAGGAGTCACAGTCGTTCCGGAATGTTCTTGCGTACATCCTGGTGCAGATTGCCGACCACGACATTAAGCTCTGCGAGTCAATCGCAAAGGACCTGATCGCCTCAAAGATCTTCAAGGGCGGACAGAACGACAAGCAAGAAGAGAAGCTCAAGTTCTTGTGGAACAACCTTCTCGTGAAGAAATTCGAGAAAACCCCTGAAACCTCGAGAGACGTGTTCATCCTGCTGGACGGCGTGGAGCTCATGGAGGAGTCCGACCGCAGACGCATGCTCGAGTTGTTTCAAACCTTGAACTCGGACAAGTGTGGCATCCGGATCCTCATGACCGGAACCACGGATGACTCGCTCTACGACACGGTCTTTGGGTTCACCAAATGTCCTAAGATCGATCTCATCGCCAAGACCAAGGCCGGGGGTGACTTTGAGCGGATCATCGAGGCTCGCATCAACGGGTCCGAGGTCTTGAAGTCGTTCAAGGATTCCACTCGTAGTGCTATTGAGCGCAAACTACTGCAGAACCCGAGCCGTGAGTACTTTCGTGGGGTCTTGGCTATGTGATTTGAACTGACGCCGCTCAGGAGTCATGTCCTCGGTGGATCTTACCTTGACCATGATGGAACAATCGGAGGGAGACGAAACATCTGCCTTGGCTAAGATCGATAACGTCAATAGTCAAGAAGGCTTGTACACCGCGATGATTGAGATTGTCCGCGCCAAACGAAGTGAGATGGACCGCCGAATCGTCGAAACGATATTTGCCCTATGCACATATGCCAAGCAACCGTTGACTGTGTATGATCTGCAAGAGATTATTGACCAGGAGCCTAGCTTTGGTAGTTTCAATGTAGCCGGCGAGATCGAGGGAACACTGTCCAGGTGTGTATCTGGTTAACGACGAGGAGCTACGCTGGGATTACGCTGACTATTATCTGCTATCCTAGTTTGTTGTATACAATCAACTATCAGCCGGTGGATGCGCAGACGAGCGCGGTGGCGAAGGAGGGGCAGCCGGAAGGCCCCATCACCGAGGCAGCTCGACTGGAGAAGAAGATAAGCGAAAGCAAGCAACAGCAGGTTCTCTTCCGCCAACCTGCCTTCCGAGATTATCTGGAACAGTCCGTGAACAACATGATCCCTGATCCGATCGAGTCAAGGGTGTTCTTCTTTCTGAAACTGGGTGGCATTCTCTGCGACCGAGATCCCCAAGGCGCGAACCTTCGAAAGGCTCTGCAAGAGTATGCCGCGCAGTGGTTCTTGCAGCACCTCAAAGACATCAGTGTGAAACATACCACGCCGAAACAAGGATTGCAGATCGTCGAGGCACTGGCACGGATTCTGACGAATGAAAACGATGTCTGTCGAGTCTTCGAAGAGCTCCGTCAGAAGCAGGATGACGACAACGCGGATGTGGACTTTGACCTTTACGACATGTCCACCGATCTCGACAAGTCAGGTGGCTATAACCTGAAGGTTCTGATGGCGTGGGCCCGGAAGATGAGCTTTCATGATGAGGAGGGATTGTCACCGCGCGCCAAGGCTTGGGTCGAAAAGATCATCATGCAGCCGGGAAGCGTTCTCGAACAGCTGGCCCAAGGGCATATCGAGAGCTGGACGGAAAAGGTGACCTACAACGAAGCCAAGATCCCTTATAAGTTCATTTGCAGGGCTTTGTGGCCGGTACGTATCTCTCTCGACCGAGCATCAGCAGTTCACACTAATAGTCTTGCAGACTGGGAACTTTCCAGAAGGGGACAACAATACTCATTGGTACTTTCCTTACGTTTTAGCACCAAGGGCCAGGCACATCCTGGAATATGGCAAGGCTGAAATGTTTACAACCCCAGTCAAGACCGCACGCTGTCGAATCGCCGCAGGACTGGTGTTGCATTCTATAGCGGACAGCGAAGAGAAGGACCTTGCGGCAGAGTTCTATCAGACAAACTTGGATGACAAGACCACGCCCGGCCCGGAGCGGTTTTATTCTTATTTGGGGCTTGCGGAGTACCACCGTTCGAAGCAGGACCAGGCCGAGAGTATGGATGAGGAGGAGATACGGGAAGGCTGGAAGCGGGTCGTAAAATACGCCGACCTTGCACTAACCGCCCGTACCGAGGAGAAGGGCGCCCTTGGCTCCGAGCTGAGCGACGAGCGATGTACCAATGCTTTCCTTCTCAAAGCTCATGCCTTGCAGGAACTGGGCGAAAATGAACAGGCAATCGAGACCTGTGAGGAAGCTCTGCGGGAGGGTCTCGAGTACACCCAGCAGCTCTTGGAACTTCTCACGAGCATCGTCAACATCCACGGCAAGAAGGGTGAATGGAGCAAGGTGATTGATGCCGTCCGCCGTCAGCAGCCGAAGATCCGATCGGAATGGCTGTGGTTCCGATCGACCGATTTCACCAATAAGAAGGACCTCTTCCGTCGAGCCGCCGTTGAAACAAGACGAGTCGATTATCTTCTGCAGACCTTCCAGGACTCTGTAGACTACTGGCAGAAACTGGATCCGGCCCGGGCGCAAGCCACACAGTTTGAGCTTGCCTTCATATACCGACGAGACGCACGTGCGACCAAGATGGCGGAGCACATACTGGACAACATGCTGGCCACTCTCACAGAGTCGCAGATTGCGATCCTGCTGATGAGCTCCATTTTCCCGGAGATGGTCGATATCCAACACGAGAACTTCACCGTGACACGATCGGCCACTGTCCGTGCGGAGTCGATTACAAAGCTGGAGAGACTGATCAGTACGTACGAGCGGGCTCCAATTCTGGAGTCGATCCAGTTGGCAGAGGCCTTTCTGGTATTGGGGAAGATGCATCGGGAGGTCGGGAACCTGGGGAAAGCCAGACTCCATGCTGACCGCGCATTCAATATCTGCATCGCTGATCTGGAAGACTCGATTGGGTCGAACGATGTCTATGCATTTCGCTTGCTGGCGAAAGTCCTTATGTTCTTGGATTTGGATGTGGATGCGCAGGTCGCTTTGTCGCTTCAGATGTCTGTGGTCGACCGGAGCTATGATGACTATGCTAATGCTAATTTCAACTCGACTGAGCAACCCGCTGAGCCAGAGGTGGTTCAGGGCGACGGGGAACCAAACACCGAGGTGGCAAATGGGGCAGAATGCCAGCCTCAGGCTGACTCAAGTGAGACAGGAAAGGAAGCAAACGAGCCATCTGCGGACTCGACACTTACCAACGTCGTCTCCGAAAGCCAAGGATCGGACGGCAACGAGACCTCGGCCACATCACTTCCGTCCGAGCAAGCCGAGGCCGCTGACACTGATGCGAAGGTATCCAGCTTGACTGTGGCGCCAATCACGCAGAAAAATGGAGAATCGCCCGCTGTAAATGGCCAGTCCACGTCCGAGGTATCAGGGGTCAACGGCCACACGACCGACCAGCCAGAGTCCACTTCAGCAGCCCCGCTGACAGACGGCTCCTCCACGAAACCCACACAACCCGAAATCCCCGACATCTCCGCATCTCAAGACACGATCGACATCACTAATGGGATCACCTGTAACGGACCCTGCATGGACCCGCCATTCGAGATGAAGACCTTCGGGCCGAAGGGTCCCAAGATGTACTTCTGTCTCGACTGTGCGACCGTGGATTTCTGCGAGGACTGCTACCGGAAGCAGATCGCGTTTTATGATGAGACCGGTGAGGGCTTTTGGTTCAAGTGCTGCTGGGCGCGGCACCGGTATCTGCCGCAGCCGATTGATGACTGGATGGGGGTGAAGGATGGGGTGATTCGGATTGGGAGGAAGGAGAAGCTGTGGAAGGATTGGATGATGTCGGTGAGGGATCGGTGGAAGAGGAAGATCAATGAAGTTTGATGGCGTCTATTGATTGGAATCTAATGATTGGAGCCTATCTGAGAACAAGTTATGATAATGCTTAATCTTGATATCTTATTGGATATTGAACGAGAGCTGCAACTGTTCAGCAACTGGCTTTTTGGCCCTTGATACGACTTTTCCGGGGGTTTCTAACTAATGGCTACGCTTTCAGACCACGATGCGGACCCGTCCGCTTGAGTGCACTCTGCACGATATGATCGATCATTTCCTCGAACGAGACGCCATTATGCTCGGCGATGAGCGGCAGCTGCGACCAGCTTGGGAGCAACCCCGCCAACGGATTGATCTGTGAGCGTCAGCAAAGGTCACCTAGATGGGAGCCTATAAGGTTACAGACCTCCATGACGTGAGCAACCCCAGCTCCATCCATGCGAACATCGACGCGGCCCCCATCACGGCACCGCAGCGCCGTCCACGCCCGCAACGCAGTCTCACAAGCCGAGTCCGCCTCTTTGTCCTCGCGGGTGACCTTGACCTCATCCGCCTCCCCATTCCAATCATCCGATGACTTGGACTTCTCCGTCGTGAACTCGACCGAGCCCTTGTCCCCTTTAGCTCGCGACCAAACAATCTCATCCACGCCAACCACCCACGCATCCGCCCCCGTCCCCAGAATCCCGACCGTAAACTCCCTCCCCGGGAGAAACGACTCGACCAAAACCCCCAAAGAAGAGGGACTCGCCGCCCGCAACACATTCACCACGCGCACCAGCTCTTCGTCCGAGGCCACCCGATTCCCCAGGGCAATCCCCTTGGACGAGCCCTCGGCCAACGGCTTGACAAACAGCGGCCACCGCCGGGGCCCGAGCAACGTCTCTGCATGCCGCGAGCGGCGCATCTGTCCTAGGATCTCCTCACCACTCAATTCTTCATTATCGCCCACGTGGTCAAAATGGACGACCGCAAACGGCGCCGTCGCGACCCCGAAATGCTCCAGCACCATCTTGGTGCGCCCCTTGTCCAGACACAGGGCCATGATCGCGGCGTCGGAGAAGGTGCGCGGGATGCGGTGCGCCTCGAGCACGGCGGCGACCTGCGCCTCGCGCGCGGGGCCGTACACGCCCTCGGTGATGTCGAAGGCCAGATCCCATTTTGGGGTTTCGGGATTGAGGTGGGCGAGCAGGGCGTGGATGCTGGGGATGGGGAGGACGGTGTGGCCGTGGGATTGGAGGGCGGCCGTGATGGCGGGCGCGGCGGCGCCGACTTCGAGGTGCGAGAGGGAGGCGGCGGGGTGCTGGTGGAGGGCGTAGACGGCGGGGTCTTCGTAGATCAGGGCGACTGTTAGGGGGTGTTTGGTTTTGGTCATGTTGGGTGGGCTGCGGGTTGTCAGGTGGGAAAGGGGTGTATGAGATAGTTCGTGGGGATGGTTTGGGATTCTGGGAGGTATCGAGGGGATGTGCAGCTGGCTTCTGTTCAGGGGCTTCTTTTATGAATGAGCAGTGGCGACAGAGTTGCGGTGTGAGATGGTTCAGGATCTACATGGTAATGGGTAGTGGGTTCCTGGTTTGGCCTGCATGTGCTGTGCTTTGTTGGCGGGTGGCTTCCGTGGATGCTGATCGATGGATTGAGACGCATCGGTTTGGCGCATGCTGCAAGCCATCCCTTCGAGAGTCGGGCTATTTACAACAATCGATAGGTTGTGAATTCTCGCCAGGGGGGATTGGTGTTGGAAGTTCCTGGAAAGCTAGAAAGGCAGCATGAATGCAACAAATCACAACGGATTTGCCTGCGTTCTTTCGGCGGGTTCGGATTGCGCATTGCATCATATAAATCCAGCTCAGTTATTGGAGAATACCAACCAGAAGTTATGCACAGAGGCATCTGAAATTGAGGTCAATTGAGGTCAATGGATTTCAAAGTCTACATGTAAACGGTCGCATCATACCTGAACGCAGGAAAGGTTGAATCTATCGCTCGGAAGAGCTGGATCTTGTTTTGTAGAGTAGAGGATTACATGACTCGAGCAGACCTAATAACCCCCTCAAGGCGTAGCACGCGCTGACTGGTGGAAACTGCAAACAAGCGTCATGTCCAGCATGGCAAGATTTCCTTTCCCCTCATCTTCCATTCTGCAGGACCGGTTAATTAGCGGAGGCTAATGCAGTGTGACGGAGAGGCATCAAGTCAGGGCTTCGGCTAATATTTGGCTTAGCCTCGCCAACTTCCCCTCATACCATGCAGTGACCTATACGCATACGGCTATAAAGGAGCAGATCTACCTCCGCATTCCTCCTCTTCCCCATACCCCGGATTCCAACAATGTCTGCCCTTCTCGCCGTGTCGCTGCTGTCGGCTGCAGCTGCAGCTGCACCGTCGCTTTACCCACGACTGCAAGATGGATTGGCCCAGACACCACCCATGGGGTAGGACCACACCCTCAGCAGACAAGACCTCCGCTAAAGCATCCAGATGGAACACATACAACCACTATTCCTGCTCCCCCAACGAGACCATCGTCCGGTCCAATGCCAAAGCGTTGGTGGACTTGGGCCTCGACTCGCTGGGCTACCGCTATGTCACCACCGATTGCGGGTGGTCGGTGGCCGACCGGTTGGCCGATGGGTCCCTGACCTGGAATCCGGACCTGTTTCCCCGGGGCTTTCCAGCGTTGGGGGAGTATATCCACGATCTGGGGCTGTTGTTCGGGGTCTACGGAGACGCAGGGATTCTGCTATGCGGCAGCCCGCCGAACAACACGGGCAACTTGGGTATAGCCCCACCCAATATTGATATGAGTGGGATTCTAACTGCTGCTTGTAACAGGCCACGAAGAGCAGGATGCGCAAACATTTGCCTCGTGGAAGGTGGATTCGCTGAAATGTAAGCCCCTGCCCTTAGTACACACCTCTTTATCAAGTTGCAAACACTTACATTCACTGCAGACGACAACTGCTACTCAGACGCAGCGACAAACTTCCCCAACGTCAACTACGCGCCCAGCACCTCCCCCTCCTCACGCTACGCCACCATGTCCCAGGCCCTCTCCCAACTGAACCGCACCGTGCTGTTCCAGGTCTGCGACTGGGGCGTGGACTTCCCCGCGCTCTGGGCCCCCTCGCTGGGCCACACCTGGCGCATCGGCAACGACATCATCCCGGCGTGGCGCACCGTCTACCGCATCCTCAACCAGGCAGTGCCGCAGACGGACGTGGCCGGACCGGGCCAGTGGCCCGACCTCGACATGCTGGAGGTCGGCAACGGGGTGCTCTCGCCGGCCGAGGAGCAGACGCACTTCTCGCTGTGGGCGATCCTGAAGAGCCCGCTGGTCATCGGGGCCGCGCTGCGCGACGAGGCCACGGCCATCAGTGAGAGCTCGCTGGCGATCCTCAAGCAGGCGGAGGTCATTGCGTTTAACCAGGATGCGCTGGGCACGAGCGCGAGTCTGCGGCGTCGGTGGTCGGAAGACGAGTATGAAGTCTGGAGTGGCCCGTTGTCTGGGGGCAGGACCGTCGCGGCGCTGGTGAACTGGCGCAACGAGTCGCGCGAGCTGACCCTGGATCTGCCGGATATCGGGCTGCAGTATGCCGGCCGTGTGAAGAATATCTGGGATGGGAGTGTGGCGGAGGGGGTGCGGATGTCGTACACGGCGACGGTGGCGGGCCATGGGACGATGCTGCTGGAGCTGAGCAATACTATCGCCGAGGGGGTTTATCCTGAGGACGTGTTCGGGGAAACATCCGGGTAAGTGGGGAGCGTGGTACCATTTTGCTGGACGATGAGCTGACCGTGGGATGCAATGCAGGACCACCACCACCTTCTCGCCCATCTACGCCCTCACGACCAGCAAGAACTACACTTTGACCATCACCCTATCCAAGCCGCTCTCTTCATCCACCGCGATCCTCATCTCCACCGGCTCCAACACAACGACCACCCGCCTCACCATCCCCGCCTCCACCACGAGCCTCACAACATCCGTCTCCCTATCCGCCTCCTCCAACGCAACCCTAACCCTGCACCACCCCTCAACCACCACCCTCCCCATAACCTCAATCACCTTAACCCGACCACAAGGAACCTACGCCCCCAGCACAGACTTCACCCTCTCGGGCACGGCAACCCTAACCACCTGCGGAGCAGGGTACTGTCTCCCGGTAGGCAGCAAACTAGGCTACTTGTCCCCGTCCGGCTCCGCCCGCACAACCATCCACGCCTCCTCAGCAGGCACCAAGTACGTGGAACTGGACTACATCAACAACGAGATCGCCTTCGACTCGTCGTGGGACGCGGGCCGCAACGCCCGCAACGTCACGATCAGCGTGAATGGCGGGGCGCCGGTGCGGCTGGAGGTGCCCCTGAGTGGTCGGCACAGCGAGCTGTTTGGGCCTGGACTGGGGTGGTGGGATCGTGCGACGCTCGGGGTGAGCGTGGACGGGTGGACGGTGGGCGGAAATGAGGTGGTGGTTGGGAATGTGGGCGGGGACGAGGGGGTGCAGAGTTATGGGGCGGATTTGGTGGGGGTGAGGGTTTTTGATTAGCGCTGTGAGCTTGTATATGTGGTTGTGGTGTGAATACAAGGGAAGGGGGCTGAGCTGGATGAGGTGCTGGAGGTGTGGGGGTGTGTTGAGGATTTTTTCTGTAAGAGTTGTACTCGCTACGTACGGTATAGTTAGTTTTGCTTCAGTCGTTGTGTAGAAGCTTAGTTTACTATTGAACACAAAACTTACAAACCAGTGACATAGATCTTTAAGAGTATATCTGGGAAAGTAGTTAAATTTATCGAATCATTAATTGATGTATATGAATTAATCACGGGACATCAAGCCCGGTATCCCCTCAGAAAGAGCCTACCAAGAAGGAGCCGACGCAAATCCCCAACCCACACCACCACAGCCCCTTACGACTACTGCACAACCCATATAGTCCCATCGTTCCTGGACTCCGCCTCCAGATCCCGCAACATCCCCAGCAGGTACACCTTAGGCGCCACGGGCTCGGCAGACGACGTCCACAACGGCGCCTCCCCCCCATACTGAATCTGATACCAGTACCCGGACGTGGCTTCATCCCGCCCCTCGGGCGTGACGACCGCATCGACGACCGCGTCCGGCCGCGGCTGGAACCGCGGCTCAATCTGGAAGACCGCCCGCGCCAGCGCGCTGGCGATGTTGTCGGCGTACAGGTCCGGCTCCAGGCCGGCCGGGATCCAGGCGCGGAACGCCCAGACGTAGCCTGCGTGGTCGCGGAACGCCTGCGTGTGGATGGGAGTGTCGTTGCCCTGGCCGGTGGGGTCCTCGAGAGAGGCGAGGCCGCCTTCAAGGATGGAGTAGGTTGCGCTGGAGGAGGATTGAGTTTGAGTTTGAGTTCGGGGTTGGGGTTCGGACTTGCGGGGCCTGCAGCGTGGGCGGCGTGGGGGTGGCATTGACATTTTGTTGGTGGGGGCGAGTAAGTAAGTGTAGGGATGGGCTAGGGGGTTGTCGATGGTTAGACTTACGTTAGGTTCGGGGTCATGGGGTAGAAGAGGTGGGTGGGTGTGAGGCTGGGTTGGAGGTTCTTATATATCCTCTTCATTGCGTGGGACTGGTCAATGGTGTAAAGAGATACCAGAAGAGGGACGAAGTGCTTCTTTCATGGGCAAGAACGTATGGAGTCTTCCGCTGGGATGAAAGAATGTATGTCATTCAAGAGGTGGTATATGGTTCTCGATGATATGTTCGAACTGAAGATTACAAAGGTACTGTACGCAATGTTAGAGCTGTTTTTTGGGTCTACAAGAACTCCGGCCGAATCCTTTGCTAGTCCGATGTTCTTATTCCATCTGTGTTATGACTAATGGGTTCCTCCGGCTAAACATTTGTCGAGTCTTTCCTGAGTGGGAAGAATAGATGATCGGGGTTTCTACTTGGTACAATTTCAGTCACTGGTAGCATAATGGCTAGGGTCAGCCTGAGGCTATTCCATCACGGTCAGCAGCAACTATCAAGAAACCCGAGGGCAAGAGGCGGAGCTCAGGTATCATAAAAGTCAGAGAAACTTACTACGATAAGAATGTCTCCCGATCTATCCGACAGGAAGTCGTCGCTATGAAGTGTATAGAGATGAATCTATCCCCCGGTCTAGGGTAACATCCTGTCCAGCCCTAGCCGGGAGGATTTATCTTCCTCGATCCCAACAGCTTCACCACCCAGCTCATAACATATCTATCTTATCATATGTAATCGCTGTGGCTAGTTGACTCGGTGGTAGCCTCTTCGACGACCATGAAATTTACAATTGATATTATCCACAAACCCGCGCTACAGCCCACAATATCAGAAGACAAACGAATAAATTGGGTAAATCTCAAATCATGTATTCCCTACATAATAGAACATACGAACAAAGAAGAATGACCTACCACTAGTGAGGCGGCGCATCCCACGCCCCCAGCTCCACCAAACAAGCCACCATCACCGGCCGATCATGATCCGCGGCATACGCCACCGGCCCGCGACCATCCTGCGACCTCAGCTGCAGCAGGATCGGCCGCATCGCCACCATCACGCGCACATACGTGGGGGTCGCGTAGCGCAGCGCCAGAAAGAACGTCTGATCCTCAAACAGCTCCTCCAAGACGAGGCCACACGCCAGCCCCCGCAGCACCATCTGCTCCACGAGCCCGATCTCCAGGTCCAGCGTGCGGGCCCGATAATCCAGCAGCCGCGGCATGGCGCTGTTCGCCCCGGCCGCCAACAGCAACCGGAGCACCGCAACATCCTCCGCCGTCGCCTTATTGGCCCAGCAGTCCAGCGCCGTCTCGAGCCGATTGGACGTGACATTGGGATCGGCGCCGTGTTGCAGCAGCACGTCCACAATCTGCGGGTGCTTGTACAGCACCGCAAGGTGCACCAGCGGCTGCGCCTGGAGATCGTAGCTGTCCGGGCTGATGTGGAACTTCGTGAGGGCTTTCTTGACAGTCCCCACGTGGCCGGCCCGCACGGCCTCGACGAGAGGCTGCGGCGGCAGCGCCCGCGCCGTGCGGTATGTGCGCGTCCGCGGATGGCCGGCCGGGATGGAGGCCAGGTACGTCAGCTCGTGGTAGTGCACCGCTTCGGCGAGGCAGCACTCGCGCATCTCGGCGATCAGCTTGGTGAGCACCGCCCTAAGGTCCATGCAGGTTAGCGAGAGCGCGAAGGCGGTCTTGGGGGTCATGTACTCTGCGCAGCTGAGGATTAGCTCTGGGGGCAGCGCGTAGATGCCGGTCTTATGTGTCATAGCGGTTCCACTCGGGGTGCTCGACATGGTAGTCGGCTTACCGCAGGAGGTGCGTATGGGCGTAGGAGTTGGGGCAGGCCTACCGGTTTGGCTTCTGGGCGGTGTAGGCAGAGATACGGTTCTGTAGGCTGTTTTCTAAGTATAGGTAATGTTGGTGGGCACTGGTTCACAGTGTGTGAGGCTCCGGGGTGGAGCATGGTCCGTACGTGTTTCTTTATATAGGTCTGGGATGGTGGTTCTTTGGAGCGGGAGATAAAGAGCTTGATGGAGAGTTTTGGGAGGAACTTCGGGTAAGCAAATGGGTAGATGGATCGGAATGTTGTGCTTAAGAATGAGAGGGAGTAAGATAGGGTCAAGATGGTTGCACTGGTGGCGACTTATTGTGAACCAGGTCTGGTGTGTCGTGGTTGCTTGGAAGTTCATGGTGATGCTGATGAGGTTGCTGGAGGAGGTTCTCAAGGGGACAGTGCTGTTCGCTGTGTAAGAGCGGAGAGTTAAGGGGCCATGCCATCATAATAAGTATAACAGCAGCATCGGAATAGTATAGCAAACTGCTAGGCACGACCCTCGAACTGTTCAGATAAAGCTGCTAAAGGACCGTTGTCCCCAAAGCGTTATACCCTCCCATTTGTGATGCTTTCACCTCCCGCTGAAAACAACAAACAACTCAAGCAAAAGGCTCCAGGGTACGCTCTTTGAAGTAAACTCTTGGTTTACCTCTACAACACCTGACGGCAACCTTTTGACGTCAGAACCTATGATAACCACCTTAAACTAATCTTAAACATCAGTACTTATGGACCACTTCCAAACATTTGCCAACCCGAAGGCAGCCGTATTCAATTGACAAAAACAACTGTCTCAGCATTTATTTGCCTGCGCCCTCGGAACGTTGGATTCGGCCGATCGGGCGCAAGTCCCCGCTTGCTGTGGATTGACTAACCTTCAAATGTTCGAGAATTAACACGCGGTGCCCACCTAGCTACCAGTACAGCTAGCCTCAAAGCCTCACTGCTCAGCCTTGACAACACGATGCATAACCATCCCGAGCCTTCAGCAACTAGCCTTGCCCTAAAGGTACCGAACTCCCGGTAGACGGACCCACGGGACCGGTCGAGACCCATATGGGCGGGTCCACTGTGGCTGGAGGGGCTTCTAGAAAAATGGAAGTTTTACCCGAAGATGTTCATGTTGCTGGATGTGTGTACTGTGAGCAGAGATTGTCTGATGGGCTGAGTTCTCGAATTATCATGGTGAGGGTCATCTCCCTTACGATCGACACCGTGGGCAGATTCTGACATAGGGGTCAAGGGTGGGAGGGCGAGCACGGCAAAGGATGTGACTTGGTAACAAGATACAATATGCGCCAAGTATACACATTGCGAATACATGGAAGATGTACATAAAATGATCTATGCAGTGGCTGAGGAGACAGCAACGCTTCACTCAACTCCGCTCGACAGGTGAGCAACGACTGGCTATGCCCGCCCCGTCAAGAGACGACCTCGCACGACTCCAATCCCCCTCATCCCCGCAAAGTAGACTACCACGCTCATCAGGGTCTGCGTTGCAACGTCCATAGGCGATCCAGCCATCCTTCTCTGCTGTAGCACAACCTCCAGCAAGCCTGCTCGTCCCATCACGCCTACCGTGAAAAGCAATGCATCCACCAGCGCATCCATGATCAGCGGGGAGTACGCTACCCCCGGCGCAAGGAGGTATCGCACCGCCAGCGTGGCGTACTTCTTCTGCATGGTAGGCGTCTGCTCACTCGCCACAAAGGTATCCATGAAGCTAGGTGTCGAATTCCAGCGACACCATTTCAGGATAGGAAACCCTGCAGACACTGGACGATGCTCATCCTTCAGGGTGGGCGAGAAGCTCACGATCTTCTGTAGCCATGCTGAGTCCGAGACCGCGATGCTCTGCGAGCCAGCATCGGCCTCTTGGCCTGTTGCGCGCATTTCAGTCGATAGTCCCTCCCAGGCGGTGGAATAATTGGCGATGCGCGTGTAGAAAGGGGGGTCGAGGACTTCGATGGTCACGGTCCGCACGGATGTGCTTTCGGCTGAGCAGGACGGGGATCTCATGTGAATGGTCTCATCGGAGAAAGCGCGGCAAGGGATGTAGATTACTTCCACTGGGTCGGGAGAGGAGGAGACACAGTGGGCGAGGTAGGCGCGGAAGAAAGGTTCGAGTTGACTAGCAACAAGTTGAGAAACATGCCTAGGGATAAAAGTCCAGGAACAAGCCTACCGTTCAGCCCGAGTTGGATGACGACCAATACTCCCACTGCGCACGGGGGTCTTCTCCATCATCTTCATCAACCCCTTCCAGCGAATCCGCAACGCCTCGAGCACGATATACGGGGTCGTCAACACGCCCGGCAACGTCCACCGCAGTACAATCTGCGCCAGGTCACTGAAGCTCATCTGCGCGGGATCGAGCGGCGTGCCACAGCAGGTGATGCGCGTGACCATCTTGACTTTGCCCTGCGGGCTCAGCGTGTTGGTGTTGAGCAGCGTGGCGTTGGGCTTCCACGGGGCGCCGTGCGCCAGATCCATGAACCGGTTGGCAATGGCGCCGTCGACCTTTTCGAACGGCGAGGCGAAGATGAATTTCTGCCAGGTGCCCTTGTAGTAGGTGGATTTGGGTTGGGAGGATGCGCTGCGGATGGTGCAGGCGTCATCGAGGAACTGCTTTTCCGTCGTCTTGCCGTTCGCCGTGGCAGGGATGGGGTTCTCGCCGCGCTCGACCCGGAAGAAGTAATTGCGCTTCTCGTCGTAGGAGTTGTTGATCTCCATGATCATCGCGTCGAGTTCGCGGTCGGCGTTGTAGAGATACCACCACGTCACGACACTGCGCGACCACCAAAAAAACCGCGGGACGGTGAGGAGGTACGCGTACGGCCATTGGGAGGGATCCTCGTTCTGCTGCCGTCAGCACTGACTCTCATGATACCTCACAGAGGGAGGATCGCACCTCTTTCAGCAAGTAACGATCCAATTTTGCCCGCATATCGAGATCCTGATCCCCGCGGTGAAGGTACCGCTCCCCGTCGACCGTGAGCCAGCACGTCGCCTGCGCCAGGAAGGACCTCCACGATGGACCATCATGCGTCGAGTCGCGGAGCGTCAACCGCTTGTCGTCGATCGCCAGCAGATTGCCGTAGCGCGCGCGTATCCCGACGGGGATGCCGATCATGAGGAATCTGTTGGCGAATTGGTCCTTGACAGGGTTGAAACGCACATGGTTGAGCTGCACGGGAAATAATAGAGGCTTTCCGAGGATAGATTGCGGTTCATCGGATAGGGGGGCCGCTTGACATGATACCAAGAAGAGGCGAAGAAGCATAAAGAGGAGAACCAGGCATGGTGTCAGTAGAAGCAGTGCACCCAGTGCTGTTAAGGCTGGCAGGAGGACGGCCGCATTTTGGTGCCTCAGGCCGGCGTATAGGGCTAGAGTGACAACGTCTTTGTGCGGCATCGTGCCTTGACCTACACCCTTTCAATAAATGACAACAAAGAATTGAGACTAGGTTAAAAAGAAGAATATGAAGGACTAGACGAAAGCCCGAAGAAAGAATTTCAGATTCTGGGAGCAGCTTTATACATTGGACAGTGATGCCTACAGCTGAGCTGTATCGGCAATGCCGTAACCAAAGAGTTTTGTTTCCTTCCGCTTGTACTGTACAGTACTATCGACAACATTTTCTGAAAACACACATACGAGAAATTACCACACTCTATCCAAGCTGCAAATACACAAACCGTGACCAGCAAACATGCTGCCTGTACAGGACCAACAGATCGAACTAACCGCAAAGGGACGCCTGACATGACGCTAAAAGAAATGTGGCTGAAATCTCGCCAGCCGAAGCGCGTTCAGCCAGCCAGCCCCAGCCCACAGAATGACACCTGCTCGGATCGCTCCGGAAGAACAAAAACAATCGAGAAAAAAAATGGAGAAGAAAGAAAAAAAAAAACTAGCTTCACCGCTCGTAGATCCAATCCGCAGAAATCTTCCAGTGTGTGGACCGCCAGAGGTGGAGAGAGTTCCAAGGGTAGAGGAACCAATTCTTACCCGTCAGCTTGTCGATGAAGAACTGCGATCGCCGTCAGTCATGTCCGTCATGCAATGAAAGTGGGGATAAGGGCACTGCGCACACTAGAGCAGGAGCTGTCATGAACCGTTCGATCGATCGCCGCATGAAGCTCGTCGGTATACTCCCTCTCACTCCCGACTTTGACCTCGACCAGAGCGGCCTGGTTCAGGAGCACCGGTCTGATCAGAGCGATGATCATATCCACGTAACTATCCACTTGGTCAGCGAGCCAGCCAGAGACACATAGGCTGCATGTGAGCCCAACCAACCTTTCGATCTGGAATGTCGTCGACGTGTGGACGCCACCCGAGTTCGGGCCCAGCACGTAGAAGAAATTCGGGAATCCACTCATGGCTATTGACTTGAAGGCGGCCTTGGATCCATACTGGTGCCAGTGCTCCTCACGCGTTCGGCCATGCCGGCCCCGAAGATGCGTCTCGTAGTGCGTCAGGGCAAATCCGGTCGCCAGAAGCTGGAGCCACGAGTCAGTCTGCCTCTTGCCGGTTCACGCTAACGAGGGACCAGTGGTCTGGTGAGAAGCTTACGATCAGGTCGGCTGGAATTTCCTCCCCGGATTGTGTCACGATTGAGCGTGGCTTGACCTCAGCGATGGGGTCGCTCGTTAGGCGAACATTGTTCCGATGGAGAGCTGCAGAGTAGCCCCGGTCGAACAGCCGTCTCTGCATGAACAAATGCTTCGGTCAGGTTCAGTTCAGCAAAGCCACAGCGCACGCCCCGCCCATACCTTACAGCCGAAGTCGTATTGCGGTATCAGCAAGTCCCAGTATTTTTCTGCACGAACCCGTTAGTCCCCTGACCCTTTCAATCATTTCTCAGATGGCGGAGATCCATACCCGGGGCAGTTTTGTGTACATACTCCCGACTCGATTTCTCGGCGCTTGCTCGATGCACACGGCCCTCTTTGCTGCGCTGGAACTGCGAGAACCCGGTTTCCATATACACAAACATCGCCCACCGGAGCAAACACAACAGAAATGGGAGGTAGCGGAAGATCGCTCGCCATGCTTCGGTGATGCTGTAGTTCGTGCTCGGGACAATGTGGTGCGGTGTCTGCGCCACAGTTTTAGCGGATGTTTTTTCAACCCCTACAAAAAGGAGTCGAAAGTGGAGAAGAGAGCAAACCCACCCTCATGAATTGGGTAATGTGGCTTGCCTGCTCACTAATAACAGGCACTAGTTGGACAGCCGATGCTGCGGTCGTGGTCAGCATACTTCTCGCGATGGAAGGGTTTTTCCCGTTCCTGCCCTACCTCCGTTGCCTATAACCGCCACTTTCTTGCCGCGCAGGTCCACGTCCTCACGCCATCTGGCGGTGTGAAGGATCTCTCCCTCGAACCGCTCAATGCCCGGGGCTGTAAATGGGAGCGGGTTGACGAGCGCTCCGACCGCCGAGATAAGGATCCGACATTCCTGCGTGAACTGCTGCCCGGTCGAGAGGTCCCGGAAGGTGACCACCCACGTGCGGGTGGTGTCCTGCCAGGCGGCACCGACCCAGTCGGTGTTGCCGGTGAAATGCGGCGTGACGTCGTAGCGATCTGCAACGCTGGTCAGGTAGTTCAGGATCTCGGCCTGCGAGGGGAACCATTCGCGGAAGTCGGGGTTCGGGGCGAAGGAGAAAGTGTAGCAGAACCCTGGCACGTCCACGGCACAGCCCGGATCTGCATTTCTTAGTGGGATGCTCAGATACATCGGGGAAGGGGCAACGAACATCGGTTCACCCACCACGTCCCTCCGACGCCGGGCTGTCGATCGTAGATACAGTAGTTGTCCAGGTTGTAAGTGCGTTTCAATTGACAGGCGGTGACCAGGCCAGAGATTCCGGCCCCGATGATGATAACAGTGGTAGGGGGTTTGGATGGTATAGACATGGTGTCTAGCTGTCTCGGGCTTGGTAAACGAAGATACTGTGTGGTTAGGGGCTGGAATGCAAATATCCATTGTTCGTGCCTTGACTCCACCACTATATATACTTCAAGTTGACATTTTGAAACGGGTCAAACTCCGAAGTCCCAAACATGCTATCCAGCTCTGCAGTATAGATCAGATAGTTCGGCTATCTCCTAGTAGCCCACCAACGACATGTTCTAGAACACCCCTCAGCAAAATGAAAAATACGCGTTCGTAATTTAGTCCACCCCCGTTATGTGGCGGACTAGCATGAAGCCGACACGTCACTCCATCCCCACTCCTCAGCTGTCGCTTAAACGCCCCGATAGCGCGAACCCTTCCATAAATCTCCGGCAGCTTATCACTCCCTCACCACTTGGCTATGGACGAACTACTGGTTTGGGAGCTTTATCTCGGCTCGGGAAATACAAAAGCATCCGAGTCAAGCCCGATTCTATGGTTTTGACAGAATCTCGAGACACAGCCCACAATCCACAGCGGGCACCAAAAGAAAATTAGAAAGGAAGGAAGAAAAAATGCCAGAAACGGCTCAGCCAGCCACACGACTTGCAGGAGGACGGCGATTCAAAGTGTTAGGCAACATCCGACGCCGCCTCCATCCGGAGCGGGCTGGGCTGAACCCTGCGTGCTCTAATTCCGAAGCCACTTGTCAAGAAGAACCAGAAGCGGAATGGGCAGTACAGCACTATACTACATAATGGATCTCCCTATCGCAGGAACAGCCACATGGGACAATTCGGCATGTTCATCCAAAGACTCAATACCTTGGACTTCACATTCTGGGCACCTGAGGGTAGCCGCCCAGTATCCGCGACGTGATTCCCGACGCAGTTGGGGTAAACAAAGCATCGAGACAGTGGGACCGGAGATCGCCGAGCAAGTGGGGGATTGGAGGATCTGGATGAGGACTCAACATTCATACTGCCGTCATCGGGAGAAAGCAGGTGATTTTGGATGCTATAACCAAAAATTAAGCTTGATACCATGGCGATTGACAACCAGCGCATGGCTTTCGACCACGGCGAAAGATTCATGCTCAGCACTCCTTGAAGCGACCCACCAAAAAGGATGGACTGCATAGCATGGTTATGCTGTGTAAGCATAACGTTTGTGCGGATGTCCCTATAGCAGTGTCTGTAGACTTATGTGTATTAGTCTCCAGATATGGTTTCACATAATGATATCATTTTTGAGCATGATTGGGCTCATTATAAGGATGTAGGTATATTGAAGAGGAGAAGAGCGATTGTGCGGAGACGGATACATGTTTAGAGAGAAGGCAAATCAGACGCGGCTCTTGATCGCTTTACCATATCCCCAGCTAACAACGACCCTGAGGTTATGAGCCAGATACTGGGCTGGATCAGCCCTCAAACTGAATGCTACCAACTAAAGAACAAAGGATTGTCATCGGTCAAAGAACACAATCGCAAAGATTGCTTTGTGTGCATATGAAGAACATCTACGTCACCTGGCCTTACAGCACTCTCGGTTTATAGTGGTCTGTGATAGTGACTGTAACCACTTGCAGGTCATCTTGTTCTCTGCTTTTTGTCAATGGAGTATTCAACTCACTTGACCTTCTGTAATATTGTGCTTGATACCATAGGAGAACCCCGGCTCCCCTGAAGGGTCAAGCTCTATCAAAGAACAAACACATATAGTTGCCAATCCTATAAACAGAACGAGTAGCCCCTGCATCTTCAGCCAAGGATAGCGCATGAATCATCCAGCTTGCATACGTCAAACACCACCACTATGTCTGAAACCCCAGCCAGCCATCGAATGCCCGTCGAGTTGCTCCTGGAAGTCGCCAAGTGGATGGACAATCAAACGCTGAGCCGCCTTTCCCGCACCTGCACAAGCTTCAAGGATGAATTCAGGGACCAGCTACGGAAAAGAGCCATCGAGTATGCCGTGCCCACGCTCAACCCGAGCTATTGGAGGCATGAGTTGGTCAACGCCGTCCGGCAATCACAGGGCCAGAGCGACGAGATCTCCGCCAGCACCCGCTCCGCCCTCGCCCGCTTGTACAGCGACGTGATCAGGAAGGGCTTGCGGCCTGAATACGCGGCCTTTCTGCCGCGCCAGCCCCTTTACGACGCCATCTGCCGGGGCCATTACCTTACCGTCGATCGGCTGCTGCGTGGCGGCGGCGTGGAGGTTGCCAATGGCCAGAACTTCTGGGACGAGCCAATGCTGCACATCGCCGTGAAGCTCCGGCGCGTAGAGGCCGTCCGCTTGCTCCTGCAGCACGGGGCAGACCCCAACGTCGAAGATAAGGAGCAAATGCGGGCCCTGGACATAATAGTGCCGCGGTGCGCGCACGCAGCGACCTACCGCCTACTCGTGGACGCCGGGGGCGTTCCCAGTTCTCTGCACATGTTTGGAATGGATATGTTAAACCTCAAGGGCGGGGCGTGCCTCTTGCTCGACGTGATCGAGAATGCACGAGGCACAGGCCGCTACGAGCCCCAGTGGTGGGTGATCCTCGTCAGCGCCATTCACGGCGAGCACCGGAACTTCCTGGAGGAGATCTTTGATCATCGACCCGAGCTGTTGCAGCTCTGGCGCGAGAGCCTCGCCTCGCCGAAGGTCACGCTATTTGATATAGCTGTCAAGCTCGCCCGGTTTCAGATCGCCGCGCTTCTCGTGCGAAAGGGGGTCCCCCTGCACGACGCGCCCGCGGATTACTGGTTCAACGACGGCAAGATGAGGCGCATCCATGTTCCGTATAGGGAAGTGTGGAAGGCGTTCCTTACCCGGGCTCCGGGGGTGCTGCTAGACGCTCTGCTCGAGCGGCCGGAGCTGCGCGATTACAAATTCAAGGACGCCATTCGTGAGAGAGCGATGAGGTTGAATGGATTTGGCTTGTCTGCTCACACCACCAGGATGTATACGGGATTTAGGTCGTGAATGTGAAAAGTGCAAAGCCGTTTTGATATGCAAATATTGACAATTCCCAAAAGTGTCTGTGTGTGCTGACGACAAGTCTTACCAAAAGATACAAAACCATGCTCAGTTGCGACTGACTGCCGTGGAGGCCCGGGACCGAGACAGATTATAGTAACAATTGAACCAACTTTCCACAGAACCTGTCACCCTTTGATGCGGCTTGTTGACCCCCGCAATAAATCCTAACTATATGGGCTCACCAGCCTCCCAGCTCCTAGGCAAGCCAGTGGCATGCAGTAGATATCTCAAATCATGCTAGCCATGTTTACCCTGCAATGCTATCATCTTCGAAAGAATATTCCACATCTGAAGCAAGCTGCAATAGTCCGTCCAAACACTGCTGCAGGTTATCTCTCATTATCATTTATTGAAGCTCGTAAGTAGCTTGGACTCCCACTGGCTTTTGGCCCGAGTGAAAAGCTTCTCATCGGTCAACATATCCCAGCCTAGGAGAGCCAACCCTTTGCCAACCGCTATGGCTTCTTGGTGTGCTTCATCCGTACCAGCGCATGCGGTGAAAGAGGGATGGTGGGGAAAGGACCCGTCAGGAGCTGGAATAGCAAACATCGAATGCAGTGTAGGAGCAACATAGCTCACGTTTCCTGTGCCTTGTCAGTCTCTTCCTGCATACTATCGATTTGAAAACCTACCAACATCAGACGACCCGGTCAGGACCTTCTCGTACTGTTCAAGGATCGATCTCCCAGACGCTGCCATATGCTTCGTGTATCGCTGGCATAAGACATCATTGAGTACGATATCGGTATACAGGCCTTCCCTGTTGCCATATATCTGTGAGCAACACATAGAAAAGATTTGGGTCAATCCAACGTACTCCACAATCTTCACAGTACAACCGGTGACGACAGCAGCCCCTTCAATACACAGGCGGACTCGCGCAATCAGCTTATTGAGCTGGTCCAGAGTGGGGCTGCGAATCTGCCAGTAGGACTTGGTGTACGCGGGAATCACATTCGCGACCTTGGGGACATCCAAGAAGGCGCCATGAATCCGCTCATCGGGGAGGATCTGCTGCCTCAGAGTCGAGATCCCGTTGTAGGCCGTGATCAAGGCATCCAACGCGTTGACGCCCTCCCATGGATTGCCTCCAGCATGGGCATTTTTTCCGAAGTATTCAACGAAGAGCTCCTTGCGCGCATTCATGAGTACACCAGCCACGCCGTCGCTCGGCGTTCCAACCAGATCCTTCGGGCCAGGATGTCCAGGGGGGAGTCAGCCATAACCGTGAACCCACGAGATAAAAAGTGTGTCAATGACGGGAATAGAAATTCTTACGCCATTAATGAGACATCAACTCCTTTGTAGGCGCCTGCATCGATCAACCTCGCCTTCCCTCCCCCGTTCTCCTCAGCAGGCGTGCCGAGGAGCTGGATGCGGCCGCCGATTCCATATTGTTTCTGCACATGGCTTAACGCCAGAAAGGCCGCGATGCTGCTCGTTGCGATGAGGTTGTGTCCACACGCGTGTCCGATCCCAGGGAGCGCATCGTATTCCGCGTTGAAGTTGACCAGACGACCCTCGGTGCCGCTGATACATTCAAAGGAGGTATCTACCCCGTACGCATGCCGCGTCACTGTGAACCCTTGCGTCTCGAGGAAATTGCAGATCGCGTCGTGAGCTTGGTGTTCTTCGTAGGCAAGCTCGGGGTTTGACCATATCTGAAAGCAACTTTGGTTAGTGATTACCAGCGCCTGAATGAGGACTGCTGAACTCCGCAGATTGAGCTGACCAGGTGATTGAGCTGACGCAGTTGCGATGCAACTCTCTCGAGAGCACTGTCGACTGCTGTGCGCACCTCTTGGAGCGGGACTGCAGTAAGCGGGGCCGCAGTCATATTGGGCGAGTTGCTTGATTGAAATAATGAAGTATGAAGACCTGGCGTTAGAGCTTGAGGAAAGTGCGCGATGAATGGGTATTTAACTGTGAACCCCTGGCAAGGCCTGTTGCTTCATCTCCTTCTGCGATTCCTCGCAGACGGTCTAGACACATCAGCAGCCGGGAAGAACGGGCACTTTGAGATTCAGTATGAGGGGTCCGGCTCTGAGAAGTCAAGGAGGTGATGCATAGTGCAGTGCATAAGCACAAGTTGCAGCATAAGAGATGCTGCCAGAATGCAGGGCTTATCTGTGCAAACGAGAGGATAGGACCAGGCACAGCCACCAGATAACAACCGACACGCGGGCACCAATCAGTCCTAGAACATTTTGCCGAGCATCGGTGGCTTGGCTTCATCTTCGCTAATCACCGTTCACGGGTTTGCCGACCTTCTATTATACTTCCCTATGCCTGGTCTTTGATTAGATCGATAATCAATGAGGCCTTTCCGCGGGAAAATCATGTCGCCCCCCTGATAAGACCTTGAAAAGGGGCCTGAACTATCATGTTTGCCTATCAACTAACGCCATCTTGTTGACGGCTTGCATACTCGTTGATAGAGCAGCTATTCAATACCTCTGAAGCATGGGGAATGATAAGCTTGTATTTATATGCACCATTGTGCAAACATGTAGGGATCTCCTCAAGAAACCATACTTCTGATAGCCACATAGGTTGGAAACCTGCTTTTCATTTCCTGTGCTATGGAGAAGTCTCCAGAGTCCCCTTTTAATGAGAAGCTGCCATGCTCTATTACGGAGACGGCGCAAGAAACTAGTGTCGGCGAGCTTGCCGAATTTCTTGCGCCATCGCCTGAAGCGGAGCGCCGGCTTCTATGGAAATTGGATTTGCTGTAGGTGCTCAAAGACGCAGCCGACTCGAAGCCACTCGCTCATCAGATCGCTAGCTTGATTCCGACCATGGGAATATGCTACATGCTTCAGTACATGGACAAACTGGCTCTGAGTCAAGCGACACTTTTGAACCTACGACAAGACTTAGTATGTATCCTTGAACTTTCCCCTGCCACAAAACGACGTGGTTAACTGGTATGGCCGTTGCAGGGTCTTCATGGCTCGCAGTATACATGGTGCTCGGCCATCTTCTACTTCGGATATCTAGCCTGGAGCTGGCCGACGTCTTACCTGATTGTCCGTCTGCCTCTGGGCAAGTATCTGGCAATCTCCGTGTAGGTCTCCATGCATGCCAGCAAGTCCCGATTGACATTGTTAATCCTACTGCCACAGATTTCTCTGGGGTGGTATTTTGATGTGCCACGCAGCCTGCCAGAACTTCCAAGGCTTGATCACAGCTCGATTCTTCCTGGGGGTGGGCGAGGCGGCGGTGGCTCCCGGATTTGGCCTGATAGTCGGGATGTTTTATAAACGGGACGAACAGCCCTCGCGCCAGGCGGCCTGGTTTGTCGGTAATTGTGTCGCGAATCTGATCGGAGGTGTGACTGCCTGGGGAATCGGCAATGCCGCGTCCAGCATTCAGAGCTGGCGTCTGCTGTTCCTGGTCCTGGGTGGCATTACTTCGGGCTATGCCATCTTTCTTCTTCTGATTCTGCCCGACTCCCCCTCCACGGCGTTCTTCCTCAGCCCGAATGAACGCAGGACTGCCACGCAACGAATGCTGAGCATTGAAACAGTGGATGTGGAGGAAGCCCCAGGGGGCGCAAATTTTCATTGGAGCCAGGTTTGGGAATCAGTGCAGGACCCCCAGGCGTGGTGTTTGGTTCTGTACACATTCTGTGTTAATCTTGCCAACGGGGGTCTTACCAGCGTAAGGTCGTCTCATTATATCCAGCTGGTGCAAGGGCTAACTGTCAGATACAGTTCTCCGCCATCATTGTAGAAGGCTTCGGCTATTCCAGCTTCAAGTCTCTCCTGCTCCAGATGCCCGTGGGTGCCGCGCAGCTTGTCTTCCTCATCATCACCGCCGCCATCGCCACGTTCATTCCGTCCTCTCGGATTCTATCCATGGTTCTGAACGTTGTGGTCGCCATTGTCGGCGTGGCGCTCATCTATACCTTGAATGATAGCCAGAAGGTCGTCAAGCTAGTCGGACTGTCCTTCGTCGGAGCTTTCGCCGTCAATATCCCTCTTGCGCTGAGCATCATCAGCTCCAACGTGGCCGGACGCACGAAGCGAAGTACCGTCAGCAGCGCCGTGTTCGCTGCCTATTGTGTCGGCAATATCGTCGGTCCGCAGTTCTTCCTGGCGTCGGAAGAGCCGGTCTACGCGGTATGTTATGGCGAGCGGAGTACATTCTTGATAACATGTTCCTAAATGGCTAACCCCCCCACGAAAACAGACCGGCATTCGCGCATCTCTCTGTGGTCTGGCCTTAGGTGTTCTCTTTCTTGGGCTTCTATCCACGTACTATGTCTGGGAGAACAGACGACGAGATGCTTTGTACGGCCAAGTCGATAACCTGCATCCTAGTACGACTCAGGCACCAACCAGCCGTACAGACAGACAGAATACGAGTTTTCGCTATGTTCGATGAGATGAACCCCATGTCAACCCTGCTTTGTGGGACGCACTGTGCTGCTGGTCGCGTGTTCGAACAGAATCGGATGGTGTTTTTATAAGATTAGTTTGAGTAACGCTTAATATTTGAACTTGTTCTACTCGAAGTGAAAACCTGGAGTGTATGCTGCTTGTATTTGACTGGATGTATATACCGTAAGCAAGAAAACTGGGTTTTTACTTAGACTGCCTGCTCTGTTGCCTTGAAAGGAATCAAGTTCCTTTCCTACGTCATTTCCAGAAGTCTCCATTTTCTTTGATCACTATTCAAGGCAGGAATTGGATTCCGGTTCGAGATGAGAGGTGCACCCCATGCGATTTTCAAGCTCTAGGCCTATTGTTTGACGGTTGGGGTATTGTTTCTACACAACCAGCTACGTTAAGACAATTTGATGTTTCAAGGAATCCCTGTCGACACATGGAGTGTATGCGCTGCTCTTGAGGCTTCTTGTGGAGTGCACGGGCTGATTAAGGACCAAACAACTTTATTCCTTGTGATGATGAACATTAAAGAGAAGAAGACAAAGTTATTGGGAACAAAGCGATTGTTTTGTTGTGATTGTCCGCTCTACTCTGTTATCCTTCCCTTCTTTCAGCAACACTTAGTTCCAATACAAAGACTTGGTATTGTCAGCAAAACCATAGAGCGCCGGCTTTTGTGTTCTTCCCTGCAGGGACAAAGACACATATACATCTATCCATGACCGACAACAATGCGTAAAGCAAAAGAGAGGCGTCTCCAATTCCGTCTCTCTCTGCGGGAAGGTTTAAATAGGACCTAGAATCCCCTCCTGTATTTTCCATCATGCTTATACTGTTCCTACAGACCTTCCGAAAAACGATTTGATACATTCAATCTCAAAGTCCTTACCATCAAGGCTCATCTTACGCGCCAACTTTTCAACAGAATCAACCAACATGTCTCAGAAACTCCGACCCCTCGACGAAATCGTCGACGTCCCCGATTACATGAGGAAATATTGCTCCGGTGCCTGGCGTGAGTCTCTCTCCCCTTTCTATCATCCTATTTTTACCCACCCTAAATACGGCTGACATGATATCCGCGCAGACATCGATTCCGCCGAACAATTCGCCGTCGAATACAACGCCCTCACGTTCCGAGAAAGAATATGTGACCGAAGAAAATATGGCGTCTCTACTTGTTGTGCGTCGTGCTTGTCTACAATATTGTGGCGCGACTCAATAGCGCAGAAATGCTATAGATTCTTCAAATCTGCTCGCAGAGAAGCCAGAGCGTGTGTCAAACGTCAAGCTTACATTCCCGGACAGGATTCGGGACATCACACGCGGGTTTTTGCGAGGCTCGCTGTTGGTCTGAATTTTCTGGCGGTTGAGACTAAGTGTAGACCGTCGTGTCCGAGATGGTCCCGGTCAGGAGCCCAGTCTCAGATCCAGTCTCAGGCCCTGGCCAAGGCTTCGACTGCGAGTAAGACGACGGAGCAGGAAGAGGCGCTCCCGAGTTATGAGGCGGCTACTGGGCTGGGACGTGGGTGTTAAGCCCCGTTTGTTATGGCCCAGATAAGCACGCTTCCCACGGGGGGAGGTACAGTATAGACATTCTAAGTAGCAAGCCAAGTGAGTGATGGTGTATACAGCTAACTCTTCTTTGTCTCTTCATTCTTATAGTAATTCGGTCATTCTGGGAGGATTCTGCCTGACACGAACCACCTCCATAGCTGGCTACACATAGACGCACGCACTAAGGCCCACATAGGTCGAACTCAATTGAATTAAACTCTGAAGGTAGATTTGCGAACACTAAGTCCCATCGCATGTATATACCTTATCACCAGAAATAGTACCTAGTAGCTACGAGGCCTCGCAATTAGGGAAGCAATATATACTGGCAGGAACAAACACAGATCACATGATAAGGGATGTCCTCGGCAACTTGGAAGCAGGTGGCTGTAATTTCCGCCCATTTACGAGAGCTCACTGCAGCACTTTAACGTGCTTCGCATTTACTAATCGAGGCTCTGACTTTAAGTTAAAATCAACTTAACCTCAGACTAACTCCTTTCCAAGGCAACCATTTTTTTTTTTTTTTTTTACTTTTTTTTTAGCTAGAAAATACCTTTTTAAGCTATGCGATATGTCGGGGAGCGTGAAGATGGTGCATTGCATTCCAGGCTATCTGGGCCCGAGGAACTACCTTATCTATACGCGCGGCTGGGGCGGTAATTGGAGAATCGGGGGACTCGAACGCCGCCGCCGCCGCCTCCCCGCCCCGGTCGCCAGCTCGGAAACCAACCCGTTTCCAAACAGAAATATTACAGGAATCTCACGGACGTGGTAAACAGAGAAACAGGGAGAAAGCTGCCTCCAATCAAGCAAGGAATCCAGCATATCAGTCAGGGTATCAAGGAACTCCGTGGGAATCAATGTGTCAAAGCAAGTGGGAAAAACAAGGAACCTAGCTCACTTAGTGCTTTCAAATCCTTTCCAGTTTGTATGTGTTTTCCCAGATGATCAAGAAATAAATACAAAGAATCCTCCAAAGCTGTTTTTTGACTGACTTTGTGGGTGGTTAATCAAGGAGTACGTCCACACAGGCTTGTCCGTACGGCGGCGGTGAAGAGAGAGGTTGGAATCGAGATTCGTCGGACTGCCTGGCTTGCCTTTCCATAGAAGCTTGTATAGGAGACATGTTGGTTTCGTCCGGTGCAAAGTGGTGTGAACAAGGTGCGAGCCCGGCTGATCCAGATCGCCCAAAATGCTTTGAACTCCCCGGCGTGCCCTGGGCTCGGTCCTTTGGCAAAACAAGTGTCAACGGCTGTAATGGGGGACACTTTTGAAAGATGCACGTGACTTGATCTCACGAAGAACTCGGTCGGATGTAGCGGACGTTGGGGCTGTTGTTGAGGCCGTTCTGCCCATCGGTAAAGCCTTTCGTGGCAATTTGCCTCTCCAAAGTGCCGGTCCTCCCTCTCTCAGCGGTCAAGCTTTACCTCCCACAGGCGGGGGCTTCCACATGGGCGTAGTTCAGGCAGAGATGGAAACACACCGCAGATACATGCGAGACGCCTTTGCAAAAGGCACAGCATCTCTCCTTCCCTTTCTCACGTGTAAACTGAAGCTTTCCAATCCACCACTTCTCTGTGAATCCCTGTATGTCCTCACCCTCTCTCGGGCGACCTTCCGCGTGCCGCTGGGCTCCGTTCTCTGTTTTATAGGGCTTTTGGTGATTCCTTTGCTGGTTGGTTTGCTGGTGATTCTGGGTATCGATTTCGGCACACAACATGGCTGTACGGGCTCTATCAAGATAGTCAAGGAGGCCAGTGGTGAGACGTTGATTCTTAGCCACTTCCGCGATGAAAAAGTCGGTCGAAGTAATGGAGAAGAAGGTCCCCGACGGTTGATTAACATCGAGACTGTCGGATCTGAGGGTGTTGAATAAAAATACTAAGGCTTAGGCCTTGCAATTCATAAAGGCGAGGCCATCTTGTTAAGAGGAATGATAAAAAGAAATCTGATGGATTAAGGTAGTGGTTTTTAAAATCCGGGGTAACGCCTAGCAATGTGGGTAGCTGTTTCCCCAGGCAAAACACCAAAAAGGCAGGGGTAGGGAAATCAAGAAAACAATACAAAATGATTCCTTTTTGGGCTTAATATCAGGATATCGATAAGTGTCAATAAAAATTCCAGAGAGAAATGACGTTGAAATATTAAAAAAACAGGTGGACCAAGTAAAGGGCTTATGACTTGTCGGGGAGTGTGAAGACGGTGCAGTGGATTCCAGGCTGACTGCGAGGAACTGCAAGGTAATTAGTTAGTCACTGTAACTGTACTTTAGCAAGTAGGGCAGTATCCCGCTACCTAGTACATACCGTATACATACGTGACGGCAACGCGCGGCGGAGGCGGTGAACTCCAATAGGAAGCCTCAGGGGTAGTCATTCCGGTGGACGTGACCGTGGACCTGACCCGACTGGAATGAGCTGGGCCCAGCCCAGGTAGGTGAGTGCTCATAACTTGCAGTGATGGCAGCATAAATCTATCTCTGCATTTCGCGCCACACGGCCGAGCTATCTAAGTCTATATGTAGGCTGTGAGAGCCAACGGACTGCAAGGAGGCGGCAGAATCCCGCCATAATAAGTACATACAGGCCCAAAGGTCACCCCCAAAGTAGGACACACCCCCCCAACTCTCTCAACCAAAGTATGGTATATTCACCGTCCATGTCCCTATATACGCACCCGGCGGCTGATAGGCCAGCGTGCGGAGCATCTCCACAAGCAGACATAGTCTCGCCAGACAATAGAGAGACGCTAGTATAAAGTCGACAGGCAGACACGAAATCAACATCACAGCCGAATCGCCAACTGCATCTAACCTTTCTCTACCATCACGTATGAACAGGGTGGATAGATAAACAGAGAGATGGGGCACACAGACAAATAGCGGAGTAAGAGTGCAGTAGAGAGCCGTAGTTCTCCAGAGAGTCTGCTCGAATGCAGAAGGGAAGGGAAAATTCCATGCGAGAAGATGAATCGAGCCGAATGAAAGACCGCCGAAAAGCACCATGAGTAAAGCATGTAGTTTCTGCCTTCCCTGTTCAGGCGATAATAGGAATTCCAAATATTCCATAAGCAGTGGATTTTGTTGGTTCTGATGTATCGTTGACGCTGATCTTCCAAGACCAGAAGCTTCGAAGACTTGCTCACCCCCGCCTGTAAACTCCATGATTGTAATGGGAACCCGGACCTTCTTTGGCATGTTCCAGGTGAGCACGCAAATCCAGATGGCACACAAGGCAAAAGCCAATGCAGAGACTTCCAAATGGGTCACTTCGAGGCTCGCTTGAAGCCGCACAGACGTCTGGAAACCCATCCACACAATCTGCAAGACCGTGATCGATCGTAACATCCAGTCTGCTTTCGATCGGTCTTCTAGCTCCTCTTTGGTAATATCCGGCAGTTGAGAGAGGAGCCCCGCTTTCCGAAGCCGCAAGATGTCCCTGGACTTGAGGGAGTAACGGTAACCCAGTTGTGCGGTAGCATTTCGGCCCGGAGGGAACACAGGCGTATAGCTGAAATCAATGTTCGATGATGATGATGTTAAGGTCTGCATGCTGACACCTCTTCGAGAAGCTGAGGGGGAACAAGGAGGGTCATCCTCAATGGTGTTCAATACACGTAGTATTTCCTGAAATTCGTGTGGCCGTCCGAGACGCGTTCCGAGTGGTCTTCGTCCAGGTGATGCCGAATCCGGCCTCATCACAAAGCCTCCCATGTTAGCAAAGAGAGAATGAGCGATTGTCCACTCCACTCCGTCACCTCGGGCGAAATCTTGCAGGTCGTCGAGGTCACGCTTCCCTTGCGAAAGAGCATACCCATATTTTGCGAGAAGCACCTCGGGCGCCAGAATCGTAATCACGAACCATAACATCTGACTGCCGTACTTGTGTCCCCAGTATTCGATACTGCCCTTGCGCCCAGGCCCGAAGACTTCCCGCGGTTGGGGAACGTCCGGGTGCTGGACCGTCCAGGTGCAGGAGAGAATCATGAACATGCTGGCCCAGAGAATAGTGAGGGTACCGCGCGTATTCGGGGCGGAAACATAATTCACTGTCTCCGCGGGAAGGGTGCAGTTTGTATCGAACTTGGTAAGTGCATGAGTGTAGGTGCAAAAGAGACTGAGAATAAGAAAAAGCATTGTGTCTGTAGTTGACGCGAGACTTGACTATAGGTACGGGATGCAAAACTTGGATAAGGATTGATGAACCTAACCTGGGGATGGGAAAGGGAAATCTCGCCTGGATATCTAATAACCAGGGCTACGCCAAACATTACCAAAGCCCTGAATAAGGCTGCTAAAGACTCAATCAGTCCCAGCATCATCGGGAAAGCGCATATATGATAAAAGTATATAACGCTAGCTGCCCGTGTTGTGTCAAACGAGAGTGCTAACATAGTAGCCACGCGGAAGAGCTTTTCCAGCAGGGTAGACTCCTGACGATAGATCAATACCTGTTGCGCGAGGTCCGCAGTTTGGCATCTCTGCAGCTGGACTGACTTGAGAGGTGTCGATCATCGGTAGCCTGAGTCTAATTATCATGTCGACTGGCCAATCCTGGCACGTATATCACGATTTGATTTCTGTAACAGAACCCAATTAATCTCTGAGAAGCTATGATTGGCTGGCGAAGAGTGAATCTAGAGCCTCAGCCCCGAGTACATCTTTCAAACTCTGGATACTCAGGCCATCGTGGCATGGGCATGGGCGACTTCCCCTCCCCCCTTTACTCTCCTTTCCTGGGATGTCGATAGATGCACGTTGAAGAACACTCTGGAATAACCTTGTTTCATTCACTAAGCTTGATATGATTGTTAGTAGCAAGAAGACCTCTTCACTGTATGCTATGTCGGAGCCTTAATGTCTAATAGCCTTTGGGTCTACCACATACAGATATAATAAGTCTGAGGTTGTTCCAGCTACGTTGAGCCAGGACGAGGCATAGCTATTTCGAGTTTGTAAAGGTCCATTCGTGGAGCCCAAGATCATTCATTATTTGTTGTGGTCTGAAACTGTAGGCGTCCAAATGTGCGAGGCGATTGTCAGCCTTCAGGCGCATCCTGTATCCATGTCTCGGATGAAAAAAGAAATCATTCGCAGTCTGGGCGTTGTGTGTATGCTGGGGTCAACAAAAGCCACAGTATGATGATAGGCTAAAGTTTTGAGCAAAATGATTAGTCCTAAATATAAGTGTCTCTTTACCTGTATCTCTTTACCTGAGCTATTATTGCCCGGTTTGGCGACTTCTTGTCTCACTTTCGCACACAAATCTGCTAGCCATATTTTTTTGCGCCCAGGGTTTCCGCAGATCACCAAGTCTAGCTATAGAAGAAACCACAATCAAGTCAGTATTATACTGAAGAATCCAGTAAGGAAAGAAAAAGTAGTATTGAAAGTAATACTGATATCAAGATTATCTAGCAACAGGGTCCACATAGCAACCATAACAATCTGTCTTATCAACTGAAGAAACCCGCTGGCTTTCTGTCGAAATTTGATCATTTGTTACGGTAGATCATCCAAACACACACCGGACGCGGAAATGAATGCTCACTTGCCAGAGCAGCGGCTTAATTAACACTATTGTAAACCGTTACATGCCTAAGTCCATGAACAAACTAACTCTGGTACTTGACCTTCCCGTGTTCCAAATCAAGCAATTTTCAGCGAGGACAATTGGAATTTCTAGGCAGAGGGTCAATGCTGAACCTGTCCTGTGGGTATCAATAGAGACATGTTGAAGATACATCAAGCGTCGTATTCAGATACTCAAGCCAGACTACCTTTCCGGTGGCTGCTAGAAGCAAAGAGCTGCCTCTTTCTTCGGTGAGAGTCAGCATACCTTGTTAGTTGATAAATGGGCAAAGTTTATGACACCGTGCCATGGGAACAATCACCAGACAAACAATCCAAACTGTACGGTCAAAGCATGTCATCCAAATCAATCGCTCATCCTCCACCGTCGATATGAGCGCACCGATGCCTGTACTGAAAGGAGGGCATATACACACGGGGAACAACGGCTTTGTCACGACACCTTTGTGGTTGTGTGGTTGTGTGGTTGTATGCCAAAGAAGCACTTGCTGCTCGACAAAGACGACCGCTTCCTTTTTCTTTTGCATCTAAACGAACCCTATCCCTATAAAACGAGCGTGTCCAGCTCTTAACCTCGAGCCCCATCTTGACCAACCCAATATCCTCACCCTACATACCTTCCCCAGATAGACATTTCCCGCCCCTCAACGTTGGCTTTCAGACTCTAAATCTAGCAGGCCCATCCATCTAAAACCCAAAATGTTCCGCCCCGACTTCTACTCCTCCCGCCAAGAAGCAACCGTCCGACAGTTCGCGCGCACCCTCTCCTCGACCGCCCCGGGCCGTTTCTTTGTCCACATCTGCCACGACCTCGACGCCGGGAAGTCCGTGGACTGGGAGAAAGCCGCGGGGGAGCTTGGGGCGACGTTCCGGGGGATGCGAGCGCGGGCCGTGAGGCCCCGCGTGCCGCGGTACGCCGGGCTGATCTACGATGGCTACGACGGAGCGGTCCGGCTCTTCACCGAACCGGCCACAGACGACGGGGATCCGGTCCCCTGCGCGCGCGACGGACGGGTCGAGTTCTGCGTCCAGGATGAGAGCGATCGCGCGGTCATCCAGCAGTGGGCGGCGAGCTTGCCGGTGTGCGCGAATCCGGCTGATCCCGATGTGGTGGGGCTGGAGACGAAGCTCGTGGTGAAAACGGAGAGGGCGCCGACGGTGAGGCATCTGGGGAGTCGGTGGGTTACCTGGGTTCATTATGCTGAATATTGTCCCTGTCGCTGATGGGGAGGTTGAGGAGATTGAGTAGAAGAGGTCGTCGAGCTCTGAGGGGTTTGTCTTGTTTGCAACTTCGAAAGCGCTACGGAGTGGTCACATGACTTGCGCTTCGCCGGATGGCAGGTCAGGCCCTCGCTGTTCTCTCGTTCTGTCAGGGCCTGGAAGGACGTTGGGGCCAAGCTGTTGTGAACAGTTAATTTCTATACTACCTCTATCTCTCTATAGCTCAGAATACCATACCTGTAAGCTCTATACTACCCTCCCTCGCCACGAATTTCACAACCCACCAAACATTTTAACCGATAATTAATCTCCAAATGACAAGGCTGATTGCTTCAAAAAATTTATCGAATAATTCCAGCGCATTCAATCAGTAATACAGTTAGCTCAAATGCCAATCAAGCAATTTTGTTGAGTTCTAAACAATCTTCGAAATTCAATACGAGTTGTGAAATTCGTGGCGAGGGAGGGTACAGTAGTTCATAGTATCCAACGGGGAACTTACAGGCCAAACAGAGCTCACGATCGTTCTTACAGTTCATGTATCGGGCACGAATTCTCTCTTGCTTTATTACGGGTTTATTTATCGAATCGTCAAATTCATATCAGCATCGAAACTGAATCAAACCCAGCCGTAGCTGATGGGGGCTGGAGCCGGGGCCTCCAAAACTAGAGCACACTCCGGTTCCCCTTCAGCTTCCAGAACTGAAGGCCCTCAACCCGGAGACACTCAAACTCACCCTCCACCAAGGTCTCCGGAGTCCAGCGCAGCTCGTCGGGCTCCAGCCAGTCGTCCATGAGATCCAGCCAGTCGTTCAGCAGGGTCAGGATATCAATTGGGGTCTGGGTCGCGTAACAACCCGGCAGAATGACCCGCACAAGGACATGGTCCGGGGAGGGTGCTTTGGACTCGATGCCCCATATATAGTCCCTGGTCATGCCATTCACTGCCGCTTGGAGCGCAGAGTGAATCTCCGGGCCCCAGAATGTGGTCTTCTTGGGGACCCACAGGTCAACGAAGAAGTGATCCCGAAGGAGATCCTTCCAGGTCTTCGGTGCGTCAGTCATAGTTGTGCTACGATGGTCAAGGGACGTGACTTCACTTGAACGCTTGCGGTAGATGTATGGATGGGCTTTTGTGTTGGGGGTTGGGGGTGTTTATCTGGAGGGGATGGTAGGCTGAGGGCTTAATATACCTGCAAATGAGCGGCAATTGACGCTGAAGCAAACGCCATGATCTGAAAGCTTCCAGAAGGATGCTTTGTTCTAGGGCAAGCTGAAAGAACCCAAGACAAGAGAACCGGAGGTGATGAGATGATCTCCTTCTCTGTCAGTAGATGGTTGCTACTCAGTCGGAGGGCTCCATTCCGCGCCTGTGAATTTTGGAAAGCTTCAGATGCTTGATTTGTTTTACTCCTGGGACAAAAGGATTGTGGAGCATTTCAAATAGACCATCGACTAGGAAGGGTAACATCTAGACTATGTGCGTAGTAGGTCTGCTGCATCGCGGAGATCTCCATCAGACTCAGTCCAGAGTGAATTTGCATTGGAACCACACACTAGGTTCGAGTCACCTGTCAAAAATGATATGATAGAGTAGCTGGTAATTTTGATGTAGCTTGCACATTTTTTGCCGATCGCGCAAGTTTTCTAATAGAAGACCGGGTCTTGCGGGATGGGGATAATTTGAAGCGCATCGGCGATCTTCCGCAGATCATCCCAATATATGAGGCCTGATTGGTAAGGCGTCGAACGCGGGCCGCGTTTCTCCGAATGCTTACCTGTCACGTGACTCCCGTCACTCGCGGGCGGGAATCTCTTATCGTTGCTTGTTCAATCCGGTCGCCGTTGCCGCAACAATCAACCTCAACCTCCATCCTCCAGAATTCTCCATCATGGCAGACACTACGACGGAAACCACGCCCCCCAGCGTGGCAGAGACGACGCCAACGGAGCCTACCCCTCAGCCCGACGCGGTCGTCAAGAAGCGCATCATCCGCAAGAAGCGACGCCCCGCGCGCGTCCAGGTCGAAGCCGACAAGGCCAAGGAGATCCAGGCCCAGTTCCAGCCCCAGTCCGGCACAACCTACAACATCTACTACAACAAATGGGCGGGCGGCGATCGGGAGGACTCTTCACAACAGGCCGCTAAGACAAGATGTAATCTTGCTCGCGACTCAGGCTACACCAAGGCCGACGCGCAGCCCGGCGCGCACATTTGTCTTCACTTTGTATGGTTGGATGATTTCTGGTTGCATCGGCGAAGAGACAGGTACTAATCGTGTCGGGTCTGTGATTCTTAGGCTCGAGGACTTTGCCACCGCGGTCAGGACTGCGAATACCTTCACCGCCGACCGACGATTCATGACATCACCCCCCCTCAGATGGACGTGTTCGGTCGCGAGAAGTTCAACGATTATCGAGATGATATGGGCGGTGTCGGTAGCTTTCTGCGACAGAATCGGACAATCTACGTTGGTAAAATCCATGTCAGGTACGGTCCTCATCTCATTCCCCCGGTTGCCTCCGCGCGCAGATGACTAACTTGCTTTCAGTGATGATATCGAGTAAGCAACCCCCAATTCTCTTGACACACCGCACGATCATCGGAAGACGGCGAGATAATTCCTGCTATGCTACAACGGGCTGGGATGTAATTCTAGGCGGAGGCTGACTAGAGGTACAACAGGGAGGTTGTTTCGCGTCACTTCGCCGAATGGGGCGAAATCGATCGGATCAGAGTCTTGACTAGCCGTGGTGTTGCATTTGTACGTGCTTCACCGCCCCATCTATTGCATCACGCTAACAGTCCCAGGTAACCTACAAAACCGAAGCGATGGCACAATTTGCGAAGGAGGCCATGGCCCACCAGAGTCTCGACCACAACGAAATTTTAAACGTCCGCTGGGCCACGCAGGACCCCAACCCTCTGGCCCAGAAGCGAGAAGCCCGCCGCATCGAAGAGCAAGCCGCGGAGGCTATCCGTCGCGCCCTGCCGGCGGAATTTATCGCTCAGATCGAAGGCAAGGATGCTCATGCGAAGAGACAAAAAACCAGCTACGACCTCGAGGGCTATGATGAGCCGGACCAAGTGCGCTTTGCTGTGGGTTTGCGAGGAACTGGAGATGGTCAGCACGAACAGCTTGCACTTCCGGAGCCGCAGGACCAGCACCCACCTGAGGAAATTCCGCAAGCGCAAGTCGCGCAGGGCGGCATTTTTTCCAGCAGTACTCTGGCCGCCTTAGGGGCTGCTCGTGCGTCGGTCTCGGCCAAGCCTCAGCAGGTCGCCTCATTACAGTCGCTGGTAGCCTATGACAGCGACGACGAGTGAGGTGGATAGGATAAAATGTGCCTACGTTTAATCGGGGCGTTCGTTGGGGACATTGTCGGTTTAATGCGGCATCAGGTCATTGCTGATATGTCAGGTGTTCAGGAGAGGTCTCAGCAGCAAGTGCTGACAATGTTCCTGGTCTGGTGGTCCTGGTATCCCCACCTTCACTCAACTCCGCTCACATCAACCTGTTCTCGATGAGCCCGGCCAGTCGCAGGGCGCAGGCGCCCTCCACTGACCAAGTGTGCCACGTCTGGTGGTAGCAATCAACCCTGGTCATCGGAGTGGAGTTGCGATCTTCAACAAAGTCAGGCCTAGCTCAAAACATGGATTCGGAAATTTGAGCATGCCGCAGGCACGGATGACACGCAAAGGCAGGTTGCAATGCGCGGCGAAGGTTCAATGGTATCGCGAGATCGGCAGTTCAGTCTGTGTCTGCTCTGTGCGCAGTGTATATTATGGTAGCTTAGCACAGTAGCCATTACAACGACTCGCTCCGACTAGGTTCGATTCAGACTAATGTCCCGTACGTTGTTCTTTCCTGATATAACGTTTCTTTTTCAGAAGAGCGCTCATCCCGAGGCTTGTTGCAGGTAGTTCGATACAAACCCGCGGATGCGGAGTCGGGCAAGGCCCTTCGTAGGACTGGAAAGAAATTGACTGAGTGAACCGGATTCCCGATGTGACTTGTCCCCAGTCATATGACACCGCCGTAGTCAGATATTGTGCTATGGATAACAGTTGGATTATGAGGCTGCAATGATCTGCATGTAATGTGTAACTTATGACGACAGGCTCACCGAAAAAAAAGCCATGACCAGATCAAAGTTGTGAGTACTACAAGCTGGGATGCAAGTGCAGAACCTCCACGTTCCTGTCTCAGTATGACTTACGTGTATCAGCAACCAGCAGGATAATGCTACCATAAAGGCATAATTTCTCAGCTGTAGCTGTTCTTAAAACTCAGCACACTGTGATTAGCACTGACAGTTCTCTGTTGTCCTTTCCAACTTAGAGAAGTGAATCTCATTGTTACAACACCATGAACACTCCTATCCCTCTGTCACATGGTGGAAATGTTCGGGTAATCCAGTAGGGGCCTAGCCTAGCTGCAGCTTGAGGTGGAGTCATCACATCTAGATTGCGGCCCCACCCGCTATCACATACGTAGTCCTATATCAAGATCACTAGCGGCAGTCTGTCCTGCATCACCACATGCAAAGCTGAGTCAAATGAATGGCTATTATTACCCCACAGTTTCCAGCTATTGCAGGAGTTGGTCACACTCTGCATTGATCGACACTGAAGACTCCATGGTATAGAAGCACGGAGAGTCCGTCTTTCCTACCGCGGAGATGCGCAGGACCTTCCATGCTGCATCACAGAAGGCTCACTTCGGTCTTCGCAGAATGCACTGTTGGGTTGCGATCTTCGCAATGAGGTGATCCTGTAGCAAGACTCACCACAAACCCCGAGGGCATAGAGTCGACTTCCATCCACTCATCGGCCTTTTTTCTGGGAACGCCGGAGAGGCGCATCGGCCATCGACTTTGTCGGTGATATCCGCCGAGATCGTCAACTAGAACCCCACGCGAAGAGAACCTAGGCATGCTTATGCATATTGCTTCTCAAATAGTGTATTGTGATAGCAGGTCATTTCCAGCTTACCATACAGTTGATGCGCTGTAGTTCCATCATGACATCAGAGACTGCTCTCTGATAACCGAACTATTACTCCGTACTCCGTTTCAACCTCTCTCTCTGAGGTATAAATATGCCCTCCTCGCAGCCTTAACTCCAGCATCCTCATCAACCAGAACCATCCATCTCAACGGCACTTCATCTAAACTATCATCGTCTACAAGACTCAGCCTTTTGTCAATCACCCACCAACCATGAAGCTCATCGCCACCCTCATCGCCACCACCCTGGCACTCGCCGCCTCCGTGCAGGCCGCGGACTGCACCATGGGCTTGAACTACTGTTCCGGGGTCCTGGACGACGTCGGTAAGCGCTGAATTCCTGGCCACCACTCAATTGCATCCCATACTAAGCCACCGATCCCACCCCTAGACCCTAGATACAATGCGATCATGCGAAACTTGATCGTACAGAGGAACGGCCAGCACTGGTGGACTGGTATCTCCGATACTCCGGACGACTACTTGTACCACTGCGAGAGTGGTGGCCAAATCACCATCGTCCAGGATTGCCAATGGGGGTGTGTCAATGCGGGGGCAGGCTCGAGTGATTACTGCAGATGGGCGTGAGGCCGGCCTCGGTCGACAACGTGGATCTGAGGTCAAATGTATGAGCCAGGTTTGAATGGTGGGAGGGCGAGCTGTTCCGTCACTGTGTGTTTGCTTTGAATTTTGCGTGGGGAATGGCGGTGGGGAGGTGCTAGGTAGTGTATAGCAACCAACATCACCAGCTTGGCAACTGCTTGAAATCTATGACACTACCATTTTGCTTGATCTTTGTCTAAATGCTTTCTCCGTGTGCTGCTCGGAGTGAGGCGCCTCTGAGAGCTTTTTCCCGACTCGGCTTTCGGGGATTGCTTTGTTTGTGGAGGCAGTTGTTCGATGGCGTCGTGCAGTCGTTGCTGTCTCAATTTGATGACACCTGCAAGAGGCTATCCGCAGAACTAGCTAAGGCCTCCGAGGTGGGCAGCCTGAACACCAAGGCCGTGGGCCGCCGTCACAACGAATTCTGTGGCTTTCGTCATGGACAATTCTTCAGATAATGAATTGACGGGTTCCAGGACATAGTTAGGGAGTTTGGAATTGAAGCAGCGGGCAAGGTCAAAAGCACGAAGACATCTGGGCCTTCGCTCTTTACCCCGAGATGGTCCAGTGGGCTCGCCAGATGCAGAGGTAAAATGCGGCTCGGGATCGAGGGACCAGAGATCAGGTCCTGGGAATAGGGTGAGAGTAGTGGTCGAGACTTATTTTAAACCGATATGGTGAAGGCCAGATTATCATGATCTGAAGGTCTTCCCTCCTCCCCAGCTGTCCTGTCCTCCGGATCTTGGAACTACGCGAAACTATAGCCCTCTCGCTAGCTCGCTAGAACTGCGAAATGCCCCACAACATGTAATAAGGTCTCTCTCTTGTACGTGTGGAGTAAACCAAGGAGGGAGAACACAACTAATCCTATTGATCCTAACGATAGGACTAAAGGACGCAAGCTTTCACCCACCCACTCATCCTGAGCCGACCCTGCCAAGGGCTTGCACTTTAGCTTCCGACTGGTGCAACAGTGGCACAGTGGCATTACAGCTAGATGTCAGCGACGCAAAGTCGCTGGCCAGTGAGTCATCGTAAACAAAAGGACTGGCCAGTTGCAAAGCGAGTCCACCTAGCCAGCAGTTAGAGCACTTTTGGTCAGTGGTGAGACTTTGATTCGACCACGATGCGATCAGAGGATCACAGTATTTGCCCGTGCTACTGTCCATTATGCAGGAAATCTCATATGTAAAGATAGAGTTATTCACGATGAAAGTGGCTGGATATGCCACAGTCTCCACCACAATCACATCAGTGCTGAGGGTACACGCGGCTGCGATGGTGGTTCGAGCAGCTTCCAGAGATGTATAGCAGCTGTAACAACCCAAAACCCGCCAAAAAAAACAGGTTGGGATTGGACCCGACCCGTAAACCCGCGGGCTGCCTTAGTAGCAGGTATTTTATACTAGTATTAGTAAAGTAATTAAACTATATTTTCTTCTCTAAGCTGAGTTTATTGTAAGTACTTAGTATTTTTTATAGTACCAAGACAACATTAAATATATAATTTCGTATAGTAAAATATATACTTTCAAGCCTTTGGTTTTAATTTATATGTTATAGCTTGGTTGGTAAAATACTACCTATACTCTTTTGATATGATATAGAAACTAAATACTCATAGTACTTTTCTAATAAGAACTTAATGATAATGATAAAATACGTCCTTGATCTGCTATGATTTAACGGTATGATCTGTTTAATATTCCAGTTGTAGAGGGCAGTACTTACTGGTAAGGGCGGGAATCTTACCAGTAGTAAACTAAACAGAATCTCCAGCTTATTCATAGACTTTCTGGTACAAGCTTTGAAAGATGCGAGGAATGCAGTCTCTCAGTGAGATTGTTCTGCGCGAACCCGGCACTGCCGGTGGATGGCACTGCAACCTAGAGAAACCGGGACACGCATTCAGTACGACGTAAAATGCTGTATTAGGGGATCACTTTGGATGTCCACTGCTCCTACTCTAGAAGGAAGGTGATGTGCCTGTTTCTACAAGACAGGAGAGACCTCAACATAACATTCCTTCTTAACCTCTGATCTCATAATTCGCGCAGAACAGCGGCCGTTTCTTAGATTGCAGGGTGATGATTGTCCGCCTGCCTTTTTGGCACCTAATGCCTCCCATTTGGCTGGGATGAACCACTGGAGCTGGAGGATCTGCTCAGTAAGCTTTTGCCCTTGAGTCGAATCAAGCCAGACGTTCGTGTCTTTGATATTTCACCCAAAGCCTCGCGCAAGATGGACGATGATTTGCTCAGCTGGATGACAACCGTATGTGTCGTGATGGTCCCCTTTTCGATGACTGAAAGGCGCGGAAAGATGGTGAGAGCAGGTTCCTCCTGGGGCGGCCGTCCACTTTCTGGCTTGGCCTGCTTGGCCTGCTTGGCCTGCTTGGCCTCGTTTACAGTGAATGGAAGCCACCAATCCTCAGGTCCCGGTTGGTCGAAGTCCAGCTCGTATCTGCGCTTCGCGCGACGTATCGGGTCCCAAACGGCAGCTGCCCTGCTCACAATCCTCTCCAAGGCCGCACGCACGGATGCAAGATGAGATTCTGGAACTGACCCCTCCAGGTATGAGAGTACGCTTTTGACAACGGTCTGAATCATCTTCGAGAGATTCTTTTCCTGGTCTGGTATGTTGATGGACTGCAGCACAGACCGGCAAAAAGATTCTTTCGCGCTGTCTGTCACGGCAAGGTCCAAGAGAACCTCTCGAATGTGCGTCTCCTCCGGGATGACATAGCATGGCTGAAATATATATTTGTCAATCTCTCGCGCGAGAAGAGCGAGAATAGTTACCAAACGGATGTGTTTAGCTGGCTGGGTATTGGAACACGGGATGGGGATCTGATGATGCTGAACCAGGTCGCAGCGTCTCAGATTATCCCACAGTGAATCATTCTTGAAGTGATCTTTCAGCAACCTTTACCTCGACATTCGAATTCTGGAACATACCGAGATAGCTTCTGTGGAGAGATCAACACTGAGCAGCGGGTGCAGCTCTGTCTTGGCGAATTCCCAGAGAGCAGTGAATCCATCGATCCTGTGGGATTGATCAGTATACTCTGGCTGAGACTCCGATGCAGGGATCGCTCACAAAGAACTTTCATCGCCTTCAATATGTCCTGCAGAAAAGCTTTCGATTGTGCTCAACCTTGTGCGAGTGTCGTTCAACGATCGCTGAAGCTTCGAATTCTCCTCCTCGAGGGATCTAGCCTGCGCCTTAGCGGTGGACAGACTATCTTTCAGTCTTGACGCCTCCGCCTTGAGCTGTTCAATCGTCGTTTCAAGCTCGTTCACCCGTCTCTGTGTGTTATCGTGGGACTGTTTCTCTTTCGAAAACGTCTCGAACATGCCAAGGATGACTCTCTCCTTGTCGTTAACAACTTTCTCAAGATCTACAACGTGCTTTTCATAATAGGTCAGTTTATTCAGTAGCTGACTGCTATCAATAGCCACCGCCTGAACCATGTTGAATCCATCTGACGGAGTGAGATCCTTTAGTCGGGCAAAAAAGGCAAGAATGGCGTGGGGATTAAGGTCTAGGGCCTCAGATGTTGCTGAGGGGCCGGTTGAGGTTGCGGAAGGCATTGTTTGCTGTGGAGGCTCGACTGATTTCTTTCGAAGGAAAACAAAATGAGTTGATGTCGATGGTGCATCGATATCAAGTTTTCGTCTTGACTATTCTCCTCCCATCATTCTTATAATGAGTTGTGGGTGTGGACTTAGTCTCGAGGCCCCTCAAACCTGCTTCCACCACCTCACGGAGAAGTACTAAAGCGATTGACCTGCTCGCTCAAAATGGAGCTGTTGTGGCATGGTGTGTATGGTTACCGATAGTGTGGCTACCAACCACCAGGCGTCCGAGTACCCCTCCCTTGCAGGGATGCGAGTCATTACATTCACGCCAACAGCCTGCCAGGTGCCACTCATAAATAGAATGAGGCGGTCGGGCGGACCTCATGCAACGTGTTGCCTGCCCTAAGGGCTCTTATCCTTCTGCCACCAGACGACGCCCACTATGCTACACACACTCGTCTTGGGATGGCTAGGAAGTCGAGAGACATTCCTCGCCTCCTCCTTTTGGAACCCACTCGCTTCGCCCGCTCAACCATGACATTTCCAATTTAGTGAAGCAGACGCGCCAGCAACCTGCCGGTGGCCACGAAGTCTGTCTAGCCCAAAACAGCTCATATTAGTCCTGCCGTGATACTGTGAATCGAACAGGCAGATCGTGTCATGGCTTTCTGTATATGGGTCATACAGACAATGGACCCGCTCTGTTTCCACCCTGGACGCCTTTGTAGATGTCATTGAGGGATCCAGTCTCTCAGATCATAGGACCTGACTTTCTTATGCAAGTGGGTGGCAGTGTGCCGTGCGCCTGACATTTAAGGACATGGCATAGTAGAGTTTATCCTGCATCTGAAGAGGGAAAAGGATTCTTATTGTGACAGATTCCAAACGACCGTGTAGATCCACTTGTAGTTCTTCCGATGCAATAAATCTGTTTAGTGTGTAAATGTTACTGCCAGGAGAATCAACATCTAGCGCTCGAGCTTGTTTGAAATGGATGAGAGTACATATTAGAGCCGTTGGAGATTCAAAGCCAGTCAATCCAAGCGATTAGATCACACTCTTCGAGAGCAAAATCGCAATCACAGTCGATCCCTTCATGTAACCTATCGTCTGTCTGTCGGACTGCACTAGTCATGGGCACGTGCAAGTCCACCAAGCCAGCCTGACGGGGAACGATGTAAACCACACGGCCGACACACCTCGACCCCACTACCTCCGCGCATGACTAGATTAGTTCACAGGATTTCCGCCATCGATGCACACAGGTCATCCACATCGTCATCAACTTGGCGTTTTGCCCCTTCTATGCAGTGACCGGCCTTGCAGCCCTCGCACAAGCCGCGACTGTGCGGGCGCCGGGAATGGCCTTGGAAGTACTCGGGCTCCGACTGCCGAATGCCACTCCACTTCTTCAGTCGATACGTGATCCGTTCTGTGTAGGAGGACTCATCGAGGACGGGTCGGCTGATGGAACCACAATCCCGACAGCGTTGGTGATAGACGCGCGCGTTGTACTCGCGTGGCGAGTACAAGCGGACCGTGATGGCGATGATCTTGCTGGACCACCCGCCGGTCTTACAGAAGGCATTGCGGCAGACAAATCGCCCCATGACCCTGGTGTCATAGTGCCTGACGACGCCCACGTCTTCATCGTTGGTATGGAATATGAATTGCAGACCCTCGTCGTCGAGGAGCGCCTGCACCTGTTCGTGCAGCGCGGGATACATGGACCATGGCTTCTGGGGCCGGGATCTTTTGGCAGCCTTCTTTTTCGATCCTTGGGGTTTACTCCGAGAGGAGGACAGATTGGACCCTGAGTTCATGAGGCTGGTGGCTCGGTCTGGCTCGGGCATGATCGAAATCCGGTTTGAAGTGGGCTGTCTGACGAGGACGCCTTAATGAGATAGTAGCGGCCTCGATTCTATACAATGAATTATAGTAGGAGATCTGGACTTGGAATCTCTGGAACGGTCGCGGCAGTTGAGCTATGTATCTATCTATAGTTGGCGGATTTATGGCAGGGCCCCCAAAGACGGGTAGTGCAGAATGACCCGTCCAGTCCGGGGATCATTGCGCAAGGCTGGCCGAGTGGGAATCTAACAATAAAAGGTGAGGCAAAGATGCATCTGAGCGAGAGATAGAGAAATTGATTCGTGTACAGTTGCAGCCTTCGTCGAGGCGGGGTTGGTTGGTGGCGCAGCGCGGTGCGGCACGAACCCTGCTCGTCTGTCTGGTGGCGCTGTACTAGTTGCAATTCGCGCCAATGATGTATGTACATCATTGCATCCAGAGAGAAATGTGGCACACCGTCGGGCATCAAAGAGGTTGGTAGAACTGAAATGTCAAGCCCACATGCTTTCCGAAACAGAGAATTGTAGTGCCTTGAGAGCAAGCTACTCGCCGATTGGCTCCACAAGGACTAGTTGTGGGCGCATAATGCTGATTAGCGTAGTAAGACCTCTTGCAGTTGGCTCCGGCGCTTGGAAATCGGTCGTTCGTATCCTGTCATTCGATATCAATAGCCGCTGCGGTGGCACAGCGTGCCTGCGTGAAGCTGGCATATCTAATGTCTGGAGCTGCGCCGCATGCAAGGCTAGCTCCATGTTTTGCGCATCGCCGAGTATATTGAAGACCCATCAACGGTGGTATGCACCATTTAGGGGGGCAAGCTGGGGAGGGGAAGTGAACTTTTTATGAGAGCTGATGCTATACTGGGTTCGTCTAAGCGCTTAAGGAACAGTCCTTGAGACAGTTAAGATATGCCCAGCCACGGAGCATCTGAACAGCCCTATATATGCTCCGTCTGCCCCTTAGTTGTACATACCATGTTAGTCAATATTTCACTCCATTCTCCTTATCGGACGATTTCCTGCCAATACCTGCGATACTAGCAGCACAAAGCTGCAATGCAACCCACTATTATCTCCACGTTGCTCGCAAACGAACTGCGGCCAGATTCTGAGGCCGCCGCAACCATCAGCCAGGTGCAACACCTAGCATCCTATAATTGGATTGAATCCGATTCCCCTACGATTGCTATCCCCGGCAGTCCTAATCTGTGGAGTCCACCGTGGACAACCAAGAGGAGACGAGGGAAGCTGTTGAAGGTGCCCAAGGACTCAGGACTGCTGTACATCGCGCAGAATGCAGCGCGTCACCCGGCCAGCCCGATGGAGCCTCTCTTCCGCACCTTGTACTTCACTCGTCCCGCCTTCGACATCAGCGCAGTCGACATTGTGACGGACCGCAACAACATCCGGAAGCTGTTGACATTCATCAACCCGAAACACAACAGGAGCCGCCTTGAGGATTTTACCATTCAAATTGAACGACAGGGGAGGACCATGCTTCTTTGTCGCCAAGAGATATGGACCCGGGAGTTTATACCTCGCCGGGAATTTCGCGGGTTCGGCCATGAGTTTGAGAACGCAACCACTAGCCGTCGAATCCCAGACAGTACAGGCCACTACCGAATCGTGTCCTATGAATTTGCGGGACTGTCGTGTTTGGTGCGGTATGAGACCGACGGATACGTTCCGCCGGGTGACGACGTGGCTTCAGCGATGGGGCGGAGCAGCCCGAGTATCTTAGGTCCCCCTACGGTCATTTCTCCATATTCGGCGTTGAGGGTCTGCGAAGGAGGCCAAACCGTTCCAACGCAGTCCATACTGGAGATCAAGACCAAGGCCGAGCGAAAGCCTGTGGATCTGCAGCAGGTCCTACCTCAAATGTGGGTGTCCCAGACGTCTCAACTGGCTTGTGCCTACTACATACAAGACGGCTGGTTTATTCCGTGTCAGCCGACAAGTGCAGAATCCGAGATCCGAGAATGGGAGGAGAATCATCAGGACGACCTCCAGCGGCTAGCAGCCTTGCTTAGATGGTTGATTGTGTCTGTTCCCACGAGTGGCCAGAAGGCCACGCTGGAATATTATTCGCAGCGCAATCAGCTAGTGATCTCCCACGCCGAGCGTGCTGCGATGCTTCCGCCGGATCTCTACAACAGGTGGTAAACCAGGCTAAGGCGTTCCTTTGCAGCTATTATAGCAGCAGGTGTCGGTGTCTAGGGGCTTAATGAACTCGAAGGAGGCCCCACCCCGTAAACTGTGTCGTCCTGAGTGCATGAATTCAAGGCCGAGCGGAACAAAGGAAACCTATCGCTTGCTGTGCAGCGGTCGCCCACTACCAGCTCTCGACTTAAGAAAAGGCTCTCGGATCTTGTGGAGTCTGGTAGACCTCAAGGAATGTGCAAGCCGGCTCGACTCGGTGATGAACTTTTCGGATCAGGGTGCATTGGTTCTTACACTTGGGCAGTCCCGGGAATGGTGTGGCTGATGACATGCAGGGGAATCCCGAGGGTGAGGGGAGGCTATTCTGAGCTTGCAAATCGGGTTGGGTGGAGATATCTGGTTATTCCACTGTGAATACTCTAATATATGTTTCTATAAGCTGAAATCTAGCAGTATTCTCATGAGAGCTGCCTGCTTTACAAACATGGCATCTAGTCTACCAGTTTGGTCAACACGTGACTGGGTTGGATACGACTGTATGGAAACCCCGGAGATGAATCTTGGAGTTGAAACCAAATCACCCACAGCATACCTTTCCTGTACGGCACAGAATCTGGACAATTAAGCGTATTAATAGCACTAGCACTTTTTACTACTAATACTAGGAGAGAAAAAAAAAACATGGAGTTAAGAAGCGGCCCCTTGGTCCTTGATTCTGCTCTGCAATCAGCTGGATGCAGCAAGAAGAGCTGTGTACGCTTCCCCTCCCTTCCCCTCTTTCTGTTGCGCAGCGTTGATCTGACTCGGTGCCACTAGCACTGCGGAAAAACCTGTCTGCTGTCCAACGAGCAGCGCACCCAAAAACTGCATGTGGCGTGATGATAACACCGGGGATGCGGGTGTAAGCTCAGATTGCAATGCGCAGTGTCAGGCGGGAGAGATCAACATCGCCGGCATCCGATCATCTTGGGGCGGTGGATTCATGAATGATGGCAATACGGATAAATGTGGTCGAGGATATAAAGTATTCTGCTGCCCGGATCCGGAGTATAGTGAGGTTGTTGACGGATGCGCTTATGCCGATTGGTATGTCAATGCTTTTCCCAACCCGAATAGATGGGGTGAACATTGACTTTGATCATTAGTGGCAAGGACTGCCCTAGCGGCAGTAGGGAGATTCGTCAAGAGGGACACTTGCTGGTCCAAGGGCCAGAAGTACTGCTGTTCGACCCCCGCTGATTTGAGCGACTGCCACTGGGTGGGTGGGAGCTCGGGCAATGACTGTGCGAACGCCAAGTAGGCATCCACTGAGCTGGCTATCGATCGGGCCCAATATGGTGATTCCAGCTCTGGCTGCGACTGTAGCGGAAAGAAGGTCGCGTGTTGTACTGTGAAGAAAGCAGCTCGCGAACCAGCAAAGTGCGGTGCCGACTTGTGTTCGCTCTTCCCGGGCTGGTGTCCGGACGACAGCAGCGACGAAAGCTCTGTTTTCTACCGGAAACGAAACGAGCTCCAATCGCTCGACAAGCGCGGAATCCGCACCCCATACAGAGTTGAAGTAGGGGCAATCACAGTTACTATTCTTTCCGCGGCATATCCAAGTATTGGAAAGCTCTTTACTGTCGCCAATGCCGCCGACCAGGTACTTCGGTACGCCTTTAGGACCAATAAGAACTACTGGACGAGCACCGCCATGCCAGTGATAACCCTTCCGGCTGGGGCAATTAGCACCGCTCTACTCAAAGGCTTGAACTCGGAACATGTCATTGATCTTCGTCTCTTGCTCCTCCCCACTCCGGTCACGTTCCCTCATATAAGATTCAATTTCGTTGATAAGCAAATTCGGACTTGGAATCTACCTTTGATGTGAGCTACTTAGATTACTATACTCAAATTAGGCTTCAAGATAAGAGTCCATGGTGACATGTCAGGCTTTCTCAAAAGTGGCTATGATCACGTGATGTTGCAATACCTGGAGTACCACGGAGCAAGGTATAAGTTGAGTATTCCTGTAACCCCCCCCTCCCCTCCTCCTTCCCGTGTTCTTGTCACTCTGGGCCACAAAGCTTGGTACGAGATCTTTACCATGACACCCTTGCTTGGAGGTGCCAAAACTCTTCTCAGAAGACGGCTATGCCAAACATCACACACCGCCGAAACCTTTCCATTTTACTCTCTGCGGCTCGTCCAGAAAAGTCACCGCCCATCATTCCACCGCATCCGACCGCAACTATGCACGAAAAAGAGAACATTACAACCTCCTCAAAGGTCGCTATCATCATCAACACTTGCTGTGAGTGGTTATCAAGATTCCAAATGTACCCCGTGGAGGCGCTTCAACTCGAATCCAGCCGATGTGATCGAGAAGCACATGCTCGATTGGGGTCACCGGACCTGGGGCCTGGTTATCTACCGATGCACCTACAGCAGCGACGCAGATTGGGAGGAATTTATGTCCCGTCTTTTATATCGTTTGAGGAGCAGACTTGAGCATTATTATGATGGACTGGATATGCTTGATTCCTTTCAACTGACTGTAATGGACGATAAAGCGCGGTTCGACGGGGCAAATCCAGATGCGATACGGGGGCATTTTGACGAGTGGGCGCCTGCGGCATGTGAAGCCGAGCAAGGGATTTTGCCTACTGTTGCTCGGTATATGTGCATAGCACGGTACGGACTCTGTATCATGGTGGACGAGGAGGCCCTGCGCTCTGTTCTGGCTATCCCACACGAGGACCTGGATACCCGGAGTTCCACCGGCTTTGTGATTCTGGTGCATGGGAGGCACCACGAGATGCGGGCGGGTATAAAGGAGTGTGATGAGGAGCTAGAGGATGACGATTTTTAGCCATTAAATGGCTGCACGCGGGAGGATGTGGGCTGGATGAGGGTGTGCTATGATCAGGCCCAGCTTTATGTTTGCGCGCACATGAACCAGAGCTATGAGTGGCAAATGGAGTACAGACGGCCTCCTGAGATTGGTCTCTACTGCTGATCTCTTCTTTTCCTCTGTCCTGACGCTGTTCCAATTCTCGATTGTCCTCTATGACTGTGTTTGCCATTGCAGTTGGATGTTAACCGAATGAAATCGAACACCGTGTGCTATCCAGAAAGTCCGCGTATATAGCAGTCGTGCCCCTGCAACCGCGCAAAATGTTAACCATGGTACACTTAGGTTGCGTGGCTCTTTGGGGAAGTTTTGATTCTTGGGCAACTAAGCAGGATTCAACCACTGCGTCAAAGCCAATTCAACTGTCAACCACCTTATCTTTAAATGAATTACTGACCTTCGCACAAGAAAGTACACAGCTGGGCCATAGACTGTCCAACATTCCATATTATAAATTTATACTCGACTCACACGCCACTTTCATGATCCTAATTTGCGTTTCCGAATTACCCTCTTTGTGTTACCATGATCCGGTATTGTATCAGATTCTGAACTTGTACAGTTTTACAATGAAATATTATGTCAATATGAATAACATGCTTGTGATACTGATAACCTCTTCTGGACCGTGGTCATCATCTGCTTCTCAGATCCCAGAATATTATTTTTCATTTACCCTTATAAGGGTCACTTTGCAAAATGTATATTTTGCTCGCTCTCTGTAAGAATTGCCTGTTTGTATGCTTTAACCTACGGCGATGCTGGCTATTCTACTTGCAATGTATATCCGAAACCTTGCTCGTGATCACAATGTTATCAACATCTCAATTCCACACATTGTTTTCTAATATCCTGCACTGAAGACCATGGTGAATACATACAGTCTATACTAATCCCTCATCTATAGTGGTCACGATTCCTGTCTTCCATGAAACCGCATTTTACCCTCGCGTCTTCGAAACTAACGCTACTTCAATCGGGAAACCTCTAACTTAATAATCATGTGCCCGGTGTGCATCCAGTGCTCTTCGAAAGTTCATTGTTCATATAACCGAGATCTTCAGCCCGAGTTTCTACACAACCAGATTTTGCACACAATGCAGACACCAGCACCATTCCGGATCTGAAACATCTCGATGCTATTAGAGGCATAGACAATCCGACATCAACATACCATGGTTAGATCGATAGAATAGAGCTTGAAAGCTGCAAGCGCCAGTAGCAGAAATCTACCAGAAATTGCTGGGAATCGAGAATCCTGATACTCCGACCAGCCTTATCAATCCTGTAAATTCTCAGTATTTTTAGTTCCAGGAAGTAGAGAAATGCTAAGGACTTTGGTGTCCAAGTTTTGAAGACGTCAGATAAGGTACCCGGGCTTGATTATTCCGGGACTCGGGTCGGTTTGACCAACTTGGAGCGAATACAGCCGAAGTAAGTCCCGGTATCTGGAGGGTGGGAGTTTGCAACAATGCGGCGGAGCCGAGTGATACCTGCAGTGGCAATGAGGCCCGCATATCGGTCTGAAGTCACCGGTCTGAGCCAGGCAGGTCTGTATGATGGAAGAGGCGACTAACTCAACTATATTGCCTCTTTTTAAAATTGACCCATCCCTACAGAGGTTTAACAAATTGAGGTGGCCGTAGAAGACTGAAATCGATTCTCCTACTTTAGCTCGCTGAATCTATACACTTCCATCATTTCCAATGGCTGGCTATATGTTAACAGCTGTTTCAATAATGCCTCAATAAATGCCGCAAGATACTTGCGTCAGACTAGAGTGCTGTAAGTTTGTCAGTTGTCGGACTCGTCACAAGTTGACTCGTCGGCACACCATCCATCATAGTCCGTTGATCCTCGCCACCTGATCACGACATCACCTCAAGCTTTCCAGATCGGTCATGATTAGGTGGAGGGATACCCCATACTACGTAGACAAGCTCAACTTCAAGTCCCTCAAAGATGCGATGGTCGATGCCCATTAGGTAATCGCCACCTCCCCTGACCCACCACCGACACCGCTTCTCCTTACCCGATCTGACGGAAAGTGGATACGACCTATCTCTTCAGCTGTCCCTCTCTGCACGCCTCTCAGCCACGCCTCACAATTCCTCTGCTCAGCCTCACAGCCCCTCCATGCCCCTCCACCCCCAAACCACCCAGACGCTGTGGCTGTCTCGCCAGAAATGGCCCATCGGGCCTTCACCGTCACGATTCCGCTACGTACGTAGACGAATACGGATCCCCACCAGCCAAGCAGTCAATGCGGGCATTACAGACCGACATGGGGTGATAGCCCCCCTCCGACGAGGGAAAAGGAGAGCGACCAGCAGCTTATAAAAGGGAGCTTCATGCCCGTCGGAACTGCCATCCATTCCTCATCTCAATCCATCCTCATCCTACCTCAATCTACTACTCCCATCTCACAGCCTCCATCCCCCAAACCTCCACCATGAGCTTCCACGAGTCCGCCGTCCACGGTTCCATCCGCCTTGAGGGCCCCTTCCTCCACGCCCTCCTCCGCGATGCGCACGGCCACGAGCACCCCGCCCACATTGACCTGAACCACTTCATTGGCAACATTGACGGTATGCTCCTTTCTTCCTGACTTCGTCTACCTCCCACCACCAACTCCAGTCACTAATCTTACGGCTAGGCCACTTCCAATGGGGCGGCCACAACTTCTTCGAGACCGCCCGCGGGGTGCACTTCGACATCGAGGGCGGGGCCCATGTCCCCGTCGTGCGCGGTGAGCTCCGCGACGAGCACGGCAACTGGCACGTTCGCGACATCAACCTGGCCGAGCGTCTGTTCAACATCGACGGCCACTTCGAGTTCCGGTAGATTTAGCGTTGTTCATCTCGATGACATCTGAATATTAGCATTGTTTTGTTGCAATTCCTCTTTTTCCTAGTCCATCCTGGAGTAGCGGTCAAGTTTGTAGGCCACTGGTCCGGTACGTCAGGGGCCGATCGGGACCAGACCCAGAATTAGGGTCTCGGATCCAGCTACGTGGAAGCCAGTGGAAGGAACGAAGAAGATTGATCGGCAGGATCGTGTTTCGGACTAGGTATGGTACGGGGGGTGCCGAGTAGGCTAGTAGACGAAAGGCAATAATTCGGCCGCGGGCGATCATAACATCTTGCCGTTGAGGGTTAGTCGGTCCCACGTGCTAAATCAAGTACGGGCTGTATGAGTGGTGGTTCGGGTCGGGGATAGCGGAGTTGTCTCAGCCCCGCCAGTGTGTCGGGTTCTGAGGCGCCGATGAGTCGGGCCCCTTTTCTAGGTTCCCTTTGGTTGGAATGTGGAAGTGTGGGAGATCACACAAGATGGTTGATTTCATGATCATTGTGGACGAACAGTGCCATGGACTTCGAGCTTTTACAGAAGAGTGTGGACAAAAGATGGCTACTCGCAGAGGGTGGTGAGGAATATTGGTAAGAAACATATCTCTGTGACAGCTGATCTCTAATCGGAGGGGAGGACCTATCTTATCTGATGGGGGTGGTTGGATTCTCAAAGAGGGTGGAACGGTAAGGCTGTTATCTAACCTGCTGCAAGAACATGCTCCTCGGTCCTATTCACTTGTCACGAGTTTCATGTGAGTCGGGTGAAATACGTTTGTGTTTATCATCTTTTGATTGCCCCGGTTCCTCCTACCAGTTCCTCTTTAAAGTATCGCTAAAGTAAGCCTTGACGACACTTGCGGGTGACAAGAACGGATATACATGTGTTTGCAACAGTATAACCAAGTAGTAAAGAAAAGGTATCTGTCTAGAGTTGTCATATCTGATTGGCAGGAATAAAGAGTCAACCCCCAAACATCAATCAATGTCACGATTGATATAATCAATGGCAGATTCTACAAAAAGCTATTGCAAATTATCAGTGGTTGTCCACCAACATGGGGAAATGCAATAATGAATGAGTACTGGAGTAATTTACTCCTGGTGTGATTGGACAATGTCAAAGAAAAAAAAAAGATCATAGCATGTCCTGGTTTCGATCCAGGGTCCTCCGGGTTATGAGCCCGGCGCTCTTCCCCTGAGCTAACATGCTTGGGTTGATATTATGTTACAAATTTTATGTTGAATATCCCAAGAACGCAAATCGCAGCACCTTCCCTCAGTATCTCGACAGCCATTTCGATATCTTCGGCCACTGTAAGACTGGATAAACTCTGCGAAGTAAATTCTTGTATTGCTTGTTGCTGCCTTGGAAAACTCTTTCGTGCCAAGACGGCTTGGTGGACCGTTGGCTATGCCGATAAACACCAAATTGTTAGCTCCCGGTCCAGATAGATACAGCAGCTTCCCAAGGCCACAGAAAAGAATATGAAGACTCAAACACGGCATTGCATGGTCAATTGGAACATGACAGGACAACAAGTAACAAGACAATAAGAAGAGCTCGGGACAATGCCACTGTTTATGTACTTTGCGGAGTGACATCAAAGTAACGCAACGTCTTTGACAATTGAGTTGCGGGTGGCTGCCTCAGGCGGGCATTATGTAATGGGGAGAGCCACTTGCAGGCGGACCAATATCGATATGCTTTTGATTTGTCATGACTCCTGATGATAGTTACATCCATCGAAAATACACGCCTGAAAGCACTGCAGACTGAGTCAAGACCCGAGACCGGAATCCCAGTTGCAGAGTAGTGGCTGGTAATTCCACCCCTACTGCCCGAACGGTGCCCTGAGTTATGCTGGGCAGTCTCAGCCACCCTACTGTACAGTACCCTACCTCGACTGACATCGGAGAATTCCCCTGCCATGAATCAACAGACTGCCCAGCGGCGTAAGTCCTTTGCGAATTTGGACCGCGCAACGATACTAATAGAGACCCCAGTTACGACCACTGAGGAGGACCACGTGGAAGCGATCGATCCAGCTCTGCTCCGTGCCAATTCTTCGCCTTTTAACGCGTACGACTGGATACACCCCCAATACTTGAACGATTACACCGACCAGCCTCCGTCTTTTATAGCAGAGTTGGGCCTCGGCCGCCCGCTCACTGCAGTGCCGCCAAGTGGGCAATCAGACGACCATTCACTATCAGCTCTCTCTCGCATGTCCGCCGCCGCTCCTGAATTCCAACCATGGGCCGGGCTAAGCGATTTTTCTCCGAATGGTGGTTATCTGCGCTCAACTAGAGCAGCTCGTCCTACTCCGGACTCTTCTACTGCCAGCCCGGGTCGGCAACTCCCTCGACGTCGAAGTCGTTACCTGACCCGTCAATCCGGAGCGCAAGCGGGCCCAATTGTGATTCCTAATGCCAGCAGCGACCTGAACCCGATGGCAAGATGGCGGAATTCACCCCCGGAGGAAGAGCCAGCCTTGATTCCAGACATCATCAATGCGCTGAAAGCAGCCCCAAGTCCGCTGGAGAGCATCAGTCCCAACGGAGCGGGAGGCAGTGGCCATGCATTCCGCCACTACCGACGAGCCGCGTCGACCACCAGCGGCGAGTCCAGCGCATCGTCGCGGGACTCCCAGCAGTCTGGCCGCTCGACCTCGTCGGCACCGGATCGTCTAGGGGTGCAAGGGCCCGGCAGCAGGGTCCGGAAGGGCACAGCCAACCTCCGGAAAAAGCAGAGCAGCACGACCACCAGGACCACCAGGACCACCAGCTCTACCCAGGCCCTGCGCCGCTACTGCTGCACCTTCTGCTGCGACCGCTTCAAGAGCAAGTACGACTGGGCGCGCCACGAGAAGTCCTTGCATGTCACCCTGGAAGCGTGGTACTGCGCCCCCTTCGGCACGACCATACTCTCCGCCACCGCGCCGCAAACCACGCGGTGCGCCTTCTGCGGAGCCCCCGACCCGGACGCCGGCCATCTGAACGACCACGACGCCACCGCGTGCGAGACCGAACCCGGGACGCGCCGCTCCTTCCGGCGCAAGGACCACCTTATGCAGCACTTGCGCCTCGTCCACCACATCCTCCCCACCCCCACCAAGGGGGGCGGGGGGCCCCCGGACCTCGAGCGCTGGAAGGTCGGCCAGTCGGGCATCACCTCGCGCTGCGGGTTCTGCGACGCCCGGCTGCGCAGCTGGGAGGCGCGCGTCGAGCACCTGGCGGAGCATTTCCGGGGCGGCCAGACCATGGCGGACTGGCGCGGCGAGCACGAGTTCCCCGCGGACTTCGCGGCGCTGGTCGCCAACGCCCTGCCGCCGTACCTGCTGGGGTCCGAGTCGCGCAGCGTCATCCCGTTCTCGGCGACCAACTGCGAGGTCCAGGACCACTTGGCGCAGATCTCGTCCCGCGCGCGGTGGAGCGAGGCCGACCGGCGGGCGGCGCGCGAGATCGTCGCCCCCGCCGTGCCCAGCGTGGCTCCGCCGCTGCAGGCGATGGCGCCCGGGGTGGCGCCCGATCAGCTGAGCTCGTTCACCCAGGTGCTCACCCTGCATCTGAGTCGGTTCGCCCGCGAGCAGATGCGGAAGGGAGTCGTGCCCACGGATGAGATGTTTCAGCGGGAGTCTCGGCGGGTGCTGTACGATTCGGACGATACGTGGAATCAGACGGTGGCGGATAATCCCGAGTGGTTGGCGGCGTTTAAAGGGTTGCATTGTGAGAAGAATGGGGAGGGAGAGGGAGAGGCGGAGACTGATGTAGGGGAGACTTGTTAGTCATGGGACGTGGACACTACTGTGTAGGTTCTTTCATGGCTCAGTCGTGTATTGGGCTTTGGGAATGATAGTTGAGGTTGCAGACACCACAGATGGACTTGTGGTCGACCTTGGATGGAGGGTTCGACAGGTATCGGAGGTCTATAAAATCTCGCCATCTCAAATCTTATACCATGAGAGTACAATTATATTGGTTGAGGTATGAAGGGCGTAGTCTTGACATAGGGCGTGTAAAAATCCCTTGACAAGGCGTAGGGCGTAGGGCGTGGTTGAACAGACAAAAGCATCGCAAACCTCGGAAAGATAACGCAGTGCAAGCTACAAGTCAAATTCAAACCATGTTACGACTTCTCCGTCAATCTCGATTGCCATCGACCCCGAAGCCCCTGAGCAGGAGCTGCTCACATACTGCAACCATGCCCTCCAAACTCTCCCCTCCGCAGCCACGAGTCCACGTCCTCGGCCTGGGCAGCATCGGCATCTTCACAGCCCACGGGCTGAACGAGATCCTCCCAACCCCGCCTGCAGTAACCCTGCTCCTGCACCGAGAGACTTTATACAACGAATACATTCGCCGGGGCAGCCGAACCACCCTGCACACCGCCAGCGGCCAGACCACCCACCACCGGGCCTACGACCTCGAGATCTACAACCCGGTCACTCGCGCCTGGCACAGCCCACCCCCCTCGAACGAACCAGCAACCCACCCCATCGACCACCTGGTCGTCGCCGTGAAAGCCACGCAGACCGTCGCCGCCCTCCGCCCGATACAGCAGCGCCTGACCCCGTCCTCGACGATCCTCTTCCTCCAGAACGGCAGCGGCATGATCGACGAGGTGAACGAGCACCTGTTCCCAGACCCCGCCACCCGACCAAACTACATCGTAGGCGTGATCTCGCACGGCGTGACATTGAACACCGCATTCGAGGTCACGCACACCGGCGCCTCCGCCATCTCACTGGGGAGAGTCCCTCGCCACGCCAGCCAACGCCAGCGCCCCGCCAAAGAGGCAGCGTCAGGGGAAGACTACCTCCTCGACGCCCTTCCAACCTCTCCCCTCCTCACAGCAACAACCTACCCCACCTACGCCGAGATCCTGCAGATCCAACTCGAAAAGCTCGCCGTCAACGCCTTCTGCAACCCCGTCTGCGCGCTGCACAGCGCCCCGAACAAGTTCCTGTTCACCCAGCCCGCGCTGCGCCGCGCCGTGCTGGACGAGATATCCGCCATCGTGCCGCGACTGCCCGAGTTGCGGGGTGTCGAGGGCGTGGCGGCGCGGTTCGCGCTGGACCGGTTGGAGGACACGGTTAATGGGGTGTTGGAGCGGACGCGGGACACGACGTGTTCGATGGTGGTGGATCTGCGGTGCGGGCGCGAGACGGAGGTGCGGTTTATCAATGGGTATTGGGTGCGGCGGGGGAGGGAGGTAGGCGTTGATGTTGCGGTGAATGAGAGGCTGATGGCCGCTGTTTTGGAGAGGGGGAGGCGGTCCTGAAGGCTTCCCGGGGGAGAACCCCCGGACCCCCCTTTCTTTCAGCTCCCCAGTAAACCTCAGCCCAAGCCCCAGAATACAGGAGCGCAGGTTACCGGGAAGCTGAAAGAAAGGGGGGTCCGGGGGTTCTCCCCCGGGAAGCCCTATTCTCGGATTGGGAATGAGGTTTGCTGGGAAATCGAAAGCCGGGGAGGAAAGTGGGGTCAGGTTGTTTGAAGAATGCGGCTTCTGGACAATAGTGTAAACATATTCTTCCTATCAGCACTTAGTCAGTTCTAGAAATATATTTGCTCATGTGGTAGTGGTTTGGGATCTGGGGATGATGTAGGTGGTTGTCTGTGGTGTTGGTTGGATGGATGGAGGATGAGGGGCTTGCTGTGTGTTGGTGCTGCACTTTGATGTAAGCTGTTCTGGTAGAGAGGGATCGAGTACAGAATGCGGAATTGACAGTCCATTGAAGCTATGTTGAGCTATATCTGATGGTTCTGCCTGAAACGAACAGGAAATTCAGATGCCGAATAGAAACCCATACACATAGAGATCCCACAAAAGCGCCTCATGCGCACAGCATATCGCAGTTCCCCCGCTATAGCTGACAGGGCCGTCTGCTTCCCAAAAGTACACAACAACACTGAAAACTATTATAACTATATATACGTATTCATTTCTACCCACCCGACTAGATATAACCTAGAAATCCTTCTTCAACCTATCCACGGGAGGCAAAACGCCTTCCTTCTCCAGCACCGAAAATGTCTCCTCCAGCTCCTCCCACGTATCCGCATACCCCGTCCACCCCAGCTTCCTGGCTTTACTCATCGTCCCCACGCAGCTCCAGTCCCTCCCCAGCACGAACGTCAAGAAGTCCCAGGTGGCCTTCTCCCACGCCTTCTGATCGAGGCCATACGCATCCCGCAACTTGCGCCACGCCGCATTGACATCCTCCCGCCGCGCCCACTTCTCCGGATCCACCTGCAGAAACAGAGTCGGCGACCCCTCCGCCCGCACCCCAATCGTCTGCTCCTGCTCCGTGATCGGATGCGGATTCTCCATCCGCACCGTCGTCGCCTCATAGTCCCCGAACCCAGCAGAATCGGGCCCGCCGCCGCCGGGGAACATGGGGTCGGGGAGCGTGCAGCCGAACCGCGCGGCCAATCGCAGCCACAGGTTCTGGAAGCTCTCGGTGTCGCCGTTCATCACGTTGAAGAGGTTGTTGCCCGCGTGCGGGGCGGTCGCCGCCCACAGACAGAATTTGGCGTGCAGGTTCGCCGAGGTCCACGTGTTGAAGGCGAAGTAATTCGCCTTGCTGCCCGGGTAAGGTAGCAGGGCGCCCGGGAGCACCTTGCTGACGGCGCAGTACAGGCCCAGCGCGGTGGCCTCGTTCATGAAGTTGCCGCGCGCGTACCCTAGCACGTCCTCCGGCAGGGTCACCACCCACTCCCATCCGCCCTGCGCGGCCGCGTCGGCGAGGATGCGCTCCTGCTCGTAGTAGAAGATCGGGGGCCAGGCGGTGCCACTCCCACCGCTCCCATCGGTGCTAGCACTAGCACCCGTCTCGAGTAACGGGTCATCCTCCCGGAGCGGCTGCTTGCAGTTCCCCAGATGCACGCCGTAGTGCTTGAAGCCGCAGGTCAGGACGAAGCGCTTCAAGTGCTTGATCGCGCCGGTGAGCTCGAGCGCGCGGAGGAAGTTGCGCAGCATGGCCGCGTTGACGCGCGTGAGCTCCGCGGGGTCGTCGCGCGCCAGGTAGGCGCAGAAGAAGACGTAGTCGGCGCGCGCGCCCTGCAGGCTCTGGGCCATGTCCTCGGCCGAGCTCTGCAGGTCCAGCGTCGCGTGCTGCACTTTCGGGCTCGCATAGCCGGGGTTGCTCCGCGAGAGGGAGTAGATCTTGTTGTATTGGTTGTCTTTGCAGAGGTGGTGCACGATGGCGCTGCCGGTGATTCCTGGGTTGGTGGTTAGCTAGGGCTAGGTTGGCGGCTCGCGCGGGGGGGCATACCGGTAGCTCCGGTGACGATTGCTGAAGGCATTTCGACGGATGATTTTTTAGCTCTGGTAGATCTTGAATACTTGCGGTGCGAGGGAAGTCTTTGTGATGGTAGTGTGGCTTGGTCTTAATACAATTAATTGTGAATGCTACGATCGTGGGTCGGTAGTATGACGTGGGAAGACTCTCATCGCCAACAAGGTTTGCTTCCCCGCAGGGAGTGATATCACCGCTGGTGGAACAAGCCACGCTACCAGCCACATACTGGGATTGACATGACACTGACGGGTTCGGAGCGCATGAAAGTCAATCGCCATCGTGCTCCTGCAATCCATGGAACAAGCCATGTCAGCGCCAAGACCGGGGTTTGCTGCGCCCTACACGCCCTACACGCCCTACACGCCCTACCACTTATCCGACGATCCGGTCGTTCCCACTCTGTGAACCACGCAACCCCTGGACGATTACTAAAGTCCCCGAGACTCAGTACGCGCCTGGAATTCATTTTCCACTCTCCGCAGCTTAGAAATTATACCGAAGACAATGCCGTACGGAATCTTCGCGCATTGCTCCTCTCCGCCGGGGAGGGGAGTATAAAAGCAGTATTCTGCATCGTTACCAGATGACGCCTTGAATATTGCATTTCACTATCGTACGCAAAAACACAATGACGAACTGGCCCGATGTTCCCGTCAAGCCCGCCCCGGGCGTCTCCTTCTACACGCCGGCGCAGACTCCCCCCGCGGGCACGGCGCGCAACCCTCAAACCAGCGGGAAGCCCATCCCGAAGCTCTTCCAGCCCTTGACCATTCGGGATCAAACCTTCCAGAACCGCTTGGGAGTGAGTCTCATCCTCCTCCTATCACCAGAAGACTGCACCTGGCACGGCTAACTCGCTCCATAGCTGGCACCGATGTGCCAATACAGCGCCGACGACGGCCACATGACCCCCTGGCACACGACACACTACGGCGGGATCGCGCAGCGCGGGCCGGGGATGATGATCATCGAGGCCACGGCCGTCGTGGCAGAGGGCCGCATCACGCCCGGCTGCGTCGGGCTCTGGAAGGACTCGCAGATCGCGCCGATGCGCCAGGTGATCGAGTTCGCGCACAGCCAAGGCCAGAAGATCGGCATCCAGCTGGCGCACGCCGGCCGCAAGGCGTCGACCCTGCCTCCGTGGCTGGGCGGCGGCGTGGCCACCAACGCTGTCGGTGGCTGGACGGACACCGTCAAGGCTCCGAGTGCCATCCCCTTCTCGGCTGACGGGATTGTGCCCCGGGCGATGACTTTGGTCGAGATCGAGGAGCTGAAGGCAGCGTGGCGGGCGGCTACTGAGCGGGCTCTGTCCGCTGGCGCCGACTTCGTCGAGATCCACGCCGCGCATGGGTACCTGCTGTCGAGCTTCCTCAGCCCCTCGGCAAATCACCGCACGAACCGGTACGGGGGCAGCTGGGAGAACCGGGTCCGCTTGCCGCTGGAGATCGCGCAGCTCACGCGCGAGACGGTGGGTGCTGATGTGCCGGTCTTCCTGCGGGTGTCGGCGACGGACTGGGATGAGACGGAGGCCGGGTGGAAGGAGAATGACACAGTCCGTTTCGCCGAGGCGCTGGCGGCACAGGGCGCCGTGGATCTGATCGATATCAGTAGCGGAGGGATCTCGAGCTCGCAGAAGATTAAGGGTGGCCCTGGGTTCCAGGTCCCCTTCGCGGCGGCAGTTAAGAAGGCGGTTGGCGATCGGTTGCTTGTCGCAGCGGTGGGGATGATCAACAATGGCGTTCTGGCGGAGAAGATCCTATATGAGGACAATCTGGACGTTATCCTGGTTGGACGAGCGTTCCAACGCGACACCGGGCTGGCGTGGCACTTCGCCAAGGACCTGGACGTGGAGATCGCCATGGCCGCGCAGATTCGCTGGGGGTTCACCAGCGTCCGCAATGCGTCGGAGTACATCCAGCCTAACTCAATGAAGGCGTCGATTTTTGATTGAGCTGGCACGTAGCCAGGGGGGGGGGGGGTTGTTTCTGCCTCGGAGTGTATGTGTTAATAGACCATGATAGACTATAGATGTTCTTGGCTTTCGTTTGAATGTATATTTGATCTTTGATTACATCGACCACGGAGTCTGTAATTTTCTGGGCTCTTTATCTGGATACGTACTTGTTGTATACTTGGTCAACGACCTGAGCTTTCTTTTGATTCCCCCTCAATTTCGATGTCACTACCAAGCCAGAGACTCCATCTCGGTTTGTGAAATCTCATCGTTGTGCCTGCCAGCCGAGCTACATATTACTCTGACGAGGGTGAATTCACAGCTTAATGATGAGACCCTCGCATGGAACTGCGGGGCCTCTGCTTTTAAGGCGAGTACGGAGCTCTTCTAGGAATGGGAACTGCCTGGCAAAGCTGGGCCGGTCCACTCCCTACAGTGCGCCTTGCGAGAGAAGGATGTAGCGGCAACACTACGCGAATTAACTCCGTTGACAGCATTCGCAATCTTTTCGTCTTCATTGAATCGCTTGTGTAAAGTACTTTGCACGCATTTCTCCCGATAGATTCTCCAAACATTCACATTGCAGTACACAGATCCACCCACAAAAGGAACCCGGTACACTAAGCCCACATTTTCTTAAACTTGTTATCGAACTCCACCCGCAAGAGCTTAAACATCTCGAGAACTCGCTGCAGTCCTTCCTGGTCGAACACGGTGTCCGTTTGCTGGCATGCTTCCTCTTGGGACTGCTCGTCGTTGTTGGTGGGCAATGTTTCATCAATAGCAACTGGAACAGCATCCGCGTTGCTCTCAGATTCATCGTCCATCGTATCCTCCCAGCTAGCCGGCACTTCTTCTTTTGGATCAGCGGCGGATATAGATTTGCCTCCTTTCTCATTCGCCTCCTGCTTGACCACCAAATTCTTCTCCCCAACAGGCAGCACAGTGTCGTCCATACTGCCGACCTCATCCGCCTCCTCCAGCACATCCCCACACCCCATCACGTCCAAACCAGCCGGCTCTCGCACCGATGACTTCGAATCTGACTTCAGAAAATTTTCAAAACTGGCGACTATCGTCGCCAGTATCAAGGAGAAGCCATTCAACAGGAACCACAGATCACCCCGCCGAATCATGTTCTCCTTCTCTAGCGCCGATTTATTGCCATGCTTGAAGAAGTCGTACAGATACGCGTTCAGCGGAACTGCCTCTCCATCCGACTCGACCGGCACATGCGGGATAACGGACTGTTCGAGCCACACGCCCTGACGCACAGACTTGCAGAGATGGGCGATGGTTTGGGGCGGGTCAGGAGAAGAGAGAGCGACGAAGGCTGATGTGATCACAGCCTGGGTGGGGCACATAAATGCCGTTCTTACGCGCTTGTCACCGGCGGCCGTTTCAAGGATCGAAGTCGTGCCGCCTTGCTTCAGCTTGGTCAATGGAAGCATGTTATCCAGGTCGTGGAGATGCTGGTTAACGAACGTGGCGACGTAGGTTGAGTAGATGCCCAGGGTCTCGCGATTGTGATGCCGCAGGATCCGCTCAGCGGGACGGGGGAGGGGTGGAAGGAAGACCACTGATGTTGACTTTTTCTGACGTTGGGAGTGGCGCTTGATCACCGAGGGATGGAGGGGCTGCCGGCCAAATAGGTGCGACATTACTATCATTAGGGTGCGGAGGGTTCGCTCAGAATTCTCCTTGAGGTGTTTGCTCAAGCGGTGGAAATACCCTGCTTTGAGGAGAGAGTGAAGAGCGAAACTGGAGTTCTCAGTGTAGTAGAGATGCGAAACCGCGCCGGCAAAGTTGAGGGGCACACCAGTCTCATCAAGGAGGTGGTTGCGTCGGAGGTAATCAATCGAGAAGCGTAGATGGTGAAGTACTGTCTGTCTGGACTCCGGCCCGCCAAGGTAAATGCGCGGACTTGACAGGATCGAATCAACAACTTTCTTTGCGAGAGTAGCCTGGCCCGATTCATGAAGTAGGATGCAAAGTCGAAGTACCAAACTGGTGGTGATGGGAAAATGTCCGTTGAGGTCGGGCAGCTTGGAACTCATGAGGCGACGGACTTTCATATCGGGGATGCCCTGAAAGACGACATTACCTAAGTAGTCAAAGCCACGGCGACCCGCGCGTCCCGCAGCCTGTCGAAAGTTGAGGGCTGTGAGGAATACCGAGTCACCCGCAAATACGACCGTCTTGCAGGGCATGTTGATACCCAGAGCCAGCGTGCCAGTAGCTATAACGACGCGCAGGAACCCCTTCCGAAACAATATCTCGCACACATTGCGATACTTGCGATTCATACCTGCATGGTGAACCCCTATTCCACGTCTCAAAGCATTGATGAAGGTCTGAGGTACATCAAAGAACTTTAGCTCCGCAGCACAAGTTTCGAACTCCGATTTCGATAGCGCCTTCCCATTTGCGAGAGAGAATCTATCAAGCGGCTCTTCGGGGTCGAACGACGCATACCAGTCGGGTTCCTCTAAAGCAGCTTCTCGGAGCCGGTCTGCTCGTGACATCTTGTTGGCATTGTGGCTTCTGGCTTTTTTGGCACGAGGCGAGCTGGATTTTTTCCATGCCTGAAAACGGGCCAGTTTGCTTTTCCATTCTGCGTCAGACTCTTTCCAAGATCTTTCGGCCTTTTGAAGCTCGCTACAAATGTGATGGCAGATTTTCTCGCACCAGCTCCGGTCATAGTTGAAAAACAGGGCCGGAAGGGCGCCTTGCTCGGAGAGGGCACAAATGAGCGGTAGAGTTGTCTGCAGCAGGGTTTCTAGGCCGGCCAACTTCGAGCAATAATCGCTCGCGGACGATGAAGGATGACTAGCAGTTTCCTTATTGCTCGCAGTGTCCCCTGATAGCTCTTGCACCACAGCGTCAAACGGCGACTTGCGGTCTCTCATCCATGATGCAAGAACTGCTTTCAATCTAGCCTCGAAAGGGAGGACATCGGCTTTGGTCATGATTTCTGGCATCATAGCTGGAGATAGAGAGGCATCAAGGGCAAATTCCTTTTTCTGACATTTGACCATTGCTTGCCAGAGCTTCAAGCAGTCGCGGGGCTCAAGTGAAAGATCGTCTGGTATGCCTCTTGAACGGTCGATCAAAGTCGTCACGGGGTGTATATATTGCATGTCAGAACATCCATCTAGACCGAGGGTTGGAAGCACTGCGGGTTCCGGGAGGCCATCAAAGTTAAACCGGGCTGGTGGGTGATAGATGTACTTCCTGAGATCCGACCAACGAACTTTGTGCTCCACTGTTTTTAGTTCGAAGCCATTTGCCCGTTGTGTCAGGCTCAGCCAATTGCTGAACTCTTTGGGATTGCCAACAGTTGCAGAAAGTGCGACGATAGGACATGGTGCAAGAAGAAGTAGCTGCTCCCAGACCACGCCGTCCTCGGCTTGACCGATACAATGCACCTCATCGAAGATGATCCGCCTGATGCGAGAGGACCATGACTTTGCGTTACCTGGCGCAAGAAGCATAATTTGAAGAATGTGTGGCACTGTGATAAGTACCTGGCACTTGGTCGGGTTGTTGACTCGAGTATCACGAGTGTGAATGGCCCAGACAGACTTTCCAGCGTGTTTATAGGACTTGGTGAATCGAGCCTCGATCTCTGCAGCGACTTGATTGACAAGGGCTTTGGTGGGCGCCACATACACGAGGACACCATCATCACTTTCTTGAAGAACTTGTTTGATTGCATAGAATCTACACATGTCAGACAAGTCTCCAAATAAGGCTTGGATCACTCACGATATGAATGTTTTCCCAGCACTGGTAGGAGCAACCACAAAAAGACTCGCCTTAGCATCTATCTGATCCAGAATCTCTCGTTGCCATCTATCAGGCGCAAAGCCCCTCACTCGGGAATCTGGGGCTGACTCCATGTTGCGATCGAGAAAAGGTCCTGCATGAAGAAGCTGGAACTCGCGAAATGACAGTCCTATACCTAAGCCCGCAGTCTTGGCTCCTGGGAACGCAAACTCAAATGTAAGGGATTGATTGCTATGAGGGACCAGTTCGACTTCCGGGAGTCCCAGCTCGTTCGACGTTTTCGAGATGCAACGGATGATGTCCTCAGTGACACCCTCTCGCACCTTGGCGACCTGCAGAATTGTATGCCAAATGAGCGCGACTATAGGCATTGACTGGCTTTGCTTGCCGGCAACGCATCGCTTGCGCCAAAGACGAACCAGGGTACTTATCAAGTATGTCAATACTTCAGCCTCCAAAGAATATCGCTTCTCTTCTGGCAATCCTTTGAGGTAGGCCTTGGCGTTCAAGTACCGCTGAGCAAGACTTGACTCCTTATCGAAGTAGCGGCGTTGGTTTTGCCACACTTCCATTTGCTTCTCGATGAACATCTTCTGCTTGTCTCGACACTCGGATGAAGGATTGAGTCCTATGGCGCGACGGGGATTCTCTTGGTTTCTAGTAGGTCTGCGATCAGAACCCCCCTTAGATTCCCGAAACACCGCCTCAGGCTCCAAGAAGCTACCGGTCGCATTTGTGAGACTAAGAGCATACTGCCTGATATCTGTCATCAAGCGCTGGTGACGACGTTGGATCTTCTCAGGCGTTGGGGCGGGTTGCTTCACGTCCAAGGGACGGCGGGCATTATGCCAATGGGTTCTCTCCGCGAAAGGTTTCGAAAGCGCAGAACTCGAAATTCCCACAGCGGAGGGTTCAATGTCCAGAAAAATGGGTCCCAGGTGTTTGTCCAAAACGCGGTTACTGAAAGGCATGACAGAGCCTGAAATATTCGAGTGACTTTTGCATCCGGAGTGCGTCGCTTCTTGCGTGTGCTCCTGGCACTGGCGGTCTGCCGATATGACGCTGTCTCCTGTCACGATACCCCTGACAAGTTCCCGAGCACAGATTCTGTTGATTGTTGATACGAGGAGGTTATATTTCTCCCCCACTCTAGAATTGGCCGGCATTGCGGGCCATGAGCTCTGATCCCTGTTCAGGGCCCCGAGAAAGATCCTTCCGTCAATCATATCGACTAAGTCGCAGGCTATATTCTCATCTGCACTGATTTCTTGCCAGATGGGAGACTGCAGGACGGCAAGCGCCATATTGTTGTACCGTCTCAGGAAATCCGCCCCAGGCCCAGAGGCATTGGGTTGACATGGGCGGTCACACAGTTGACACTCGGACAGAAATGCCGTGTGCAGCAACATAGCGTCCATGTATTTGCCAGCCTTCTCACGTTGTTTGCCAGTTTCTTCCAAAGCACTGAGAGTGAATATAACGGCCCATTCACGCTGGGATAGGTTCGGACGTGGGACACTATTGTAGATCCTCTTGAAACTTTCCGTGACTCGCTCACTTAGTTGACCGGTAAAAGAACTGTTCTTGCAGTGGGACACTACGGCAGAATGACACACGTCAGCCGTACCTTCTCGCCGATTGAGCTCGGTTGAGAGATCATACCGCGAATAGTCTGCGAGTCTATATCCCTAGCTCCATACGACTGCTGCCTAGACATACCGAAGCCCTCAAGGATCGTAGAAATGACCTGTACAGATTAGTACGTGCTATCCTCTCAACATGATAAGCTCGACTTGCCTTAGTATCCCGAAACTCGAGACTATTGATGAGCGAGACTGTATAGCCGCAAGACAGGGACCAATAGATAAAACGTCGGAGCGTGGCGGAGTTGCTCACAGCGGCCTTATCAATCTTCGCACCGGCTTGGGGTCCTAGTTTTGCAGCAGTATCGTCGCGGCCTGCTCCAGAAGGGTTATGCTTCTCCTCATCATAAATATAGAGGGCATCATAATCTTCTGCTTTCTCGGCGCAAGGCTGCTGGTGGGTCTCCAGATCTTCACCATCATGACACATGATGAAGTAGGCATGGGTGGCAACAAGGTAGTCGTGGAACTCCGTGCAATCGTACGTCTCAAAACAGCGGATGTGCATAGATGGGATAATTGCTGGCACGTGGCGAATCAGATGTTGCACGATGACTTCGCGAGCTAGACGATACTTCGACCAGTTACCCGAGCTGCTGCGCTGTGGGATGCATGCCTCTGAATGAGCTGCGAAGAAGACAATGTGAAAGTGACATTTTCTTTGCTGCAGCTGTGAGAGAAATCTCTCAACGATGTAAGTGGCATGGAGGAGCTGGAATCCGAGGTCAAAGTCCAACAAATCGTCGGAAAAGCAGTGGCGTAGAAGCGAATCGCCCTCCAGTATGAAGAGCTCGTCTCCCGCATAATCCCCTATGAGGTCGATGGTGCGTGGACTAGAAAAGCTTTTCCTTTTCAAAGCAGGATGAGTTAGCTGATGGTGGAATACGGGTCAGGCCACTGCAGGAAAGAACACACCCCTTGAAAAGGAAAGCCCAGTCAAGATCTGCCGGCGTGTCTGAGGCACTCGACATGTTGACGTGACACCATCCGCTTTGTGTGTACTGTGAAGGGCGAAGCTATGGCAGATGTTTGAGTTGTTATAGCCTTGAGGACAAGAAGAGATGAGAAAAGTATGCTGTGTGATGAGAAGAGGGGAAGGACTAGGATGTGGGAAAAGGAGATTAGTAGGAAGTGCAGGGATTGCTGATGGTTGCGTGGCCCCAGCTTGATCAGCCAGAGGCCTAGAGGCCTTAACGGGAAGCTGCCTGCTAGTGGACGTCGATATTTCCACCATTCACCGTGGCAGGTTTTCCCACCAGCGAGTGCCACAGCATCTGGCTCGACCGTCTAGGCCTATACGTATTCAGGAAGAAAGCGAAGGGAGTCCGAGAGTCTGGAGATTCTTGCAGACGGCTCAGCTTGGCGGCTCCTCGAATGTTGATAGTCATGGAAAGTAATGTACAGTACGGAGTACCTCGTAGCCGATGAGACGATAAGACGATAAGACGATAAGAGACAGTGTGCCTTATCGATAAGGCTGACTCCACTTGTGCCTGTCTGTCCATCCCCCGATTCGGTCTAGACCACCACAGCCCCGCCTCACGTGATCTCAAATTTCACTCTTTCACCCTCCGATCAAACAACCTCCCCCTCCACTCATCCAGACACCAACAGAACTTCGAACAAAGTCTACACATCCAGACAGAAAATGCCACGAATACCCCTCGCCCCGCTCGCCTCCCTCACGCAAACCCGCTATGTCATCCACCTGACGACCGGCAAACGCCTCGTGCTGTTCCGCCTCCCCACCATCGAGCCATCCGCCACCTCCCCCGCACCGAAGAACGAAGCCAACGGATGGTCCTACTACGCCATGGAAGCGGAGTGTCCGCACGCCGGCGGCCCGATGCAGGACTCGTCGATTGACATCGAAGATTCCGCCTACGTGGCCTCCTGCCCGTGGCATGCGTACGACTTCAACGTGGAAACCGGGGAGTCAAGTGTCGGGATCAAGGCGTGCACATTCCCCGTGGACGTACGGGGCGCGGTGGAGTTCGGGGATCAGGTGATGCTGGAATACCCAGAGGACGGGGTGGGGTTGGTCAAAATGGAGGCCGTCAGTGAGAAGATGAAGCTGAAGACAGAGGTAACGGGCAAGCGTGACGACACCAGCAAACAGGCAAACGGGAACAACGAGACGGCTGCTTCTCCTCAAGAAGCCACAGAAACCGACGCTGCTTCCTCTGGCCCGGCGGTCTACCTCGACGACAAGGCGACCGTCTGCGACTGGTGCGCGCACATTCTCAACACCTCGAACCCGGAGCACAAGATTGAGCTGACGGCGCACCTGTTCTCCATCTTCACGGCACGCGAAGGCACGAGCAACCAGATGGAGATCGGCGACGGCAGCGGCGTAAACCTCCCGGCGATTCCGCCCCGCGACGGCCTTGTCGACATCAAGCCGGGCCAGATGCCCCGCGCGGGACGCGGCGGCACGCAGAAGAGTCGCATCATGATGCTGCACGCGCTGGCGAACATCGAGCAGTGGGCGATCGATCTGGCGATAGACATTTGCGTGCGGTTCGCGGCGTTCCGCACCACGGCCGCGGACCCGCGGGGTCTACCGCGCGCGTTCTTCCACGACTGGTTGAAGGTCGCCAACGACGAGGCGAAGCATTTCTCGCTGCTGCGGACGCGGCTGGAGGAGATGGGCTCGTTCTTCGGGGCGATTCCCGTGCACCATGGACTGTGGGAGTCCGCGACACTGACGGGGCATGATCTCCGCGCGCGGATCAGTATCATCGCGTTGGTGCATGAGGCGCGGGGCCTGGATGTGAACCCGATGACGATCGACAAGTTCCGCAAGGCGGGCGATGAAGAGAGCGTGCAGTCCCTTGAGATCATCCACAATGACGAGATCACCCATGTGACGACGGGGCATCGGTGGTTAACGTGGATCTGCGGGCAGGAGCAGACGGATCCGGTGCAGGTGTTCCGGTCGAATGTGCAGCAATACTGGGTGGGGGCGCTGCGGGAGCCGTTCAACACCGAGGCGCGCATGCAGGCCGGTCTGGACGAGCGGTATTACGGCAATTTAGTGGGGTATGGTAAGGCGTGAGCCTGCAGAGGACGATGCCATTCACCTATATCTTCAACTCACCTAGGGAGTTCGCCCGTTTGATCTGTCTGCGCCAGGCTTAGCAGACAACGACACAGCGTCAACAGTGTCCCAATCCCACCGCGGGGATTGCTTTGTGGCCGAGACAACCAAGCAGAAGCGAGAAGCACTGCAATTTGTCTGTGCGCTCAAGCACTATTCACAAAACCTGTACCAAATCCTGCATCATGTACATAGCATACCCATTAGCGTTAAGCAACGAGCCCAACAAACCATTTTCCATACTGGGCATCCTCCATCCCATCCCCCCTAGCATGCGAATCAATGCCAACCTCAACGCCGTCCCCACTCATACCCCGACTCCGAGTGCGGCAACAGCCTACCTGCCCCAGCAGCAGAATCACCCTCCTCCCCTGCATCCTCCGCCCCATAACCCCCAACACTGCCCCCCTCCGCAACCTCCCGATCCAAAATCCGCTGATACTCCTCGCGTCTCTGCCGGACACCCACACCCTCAGTATCAGTATCATCTTTATCAACCCACCGACCCCCGACCCCTCGCACGCGTAGGAACCAAAATGCAATCTACCCCAAAACAACCACGTTAGCCACAATCCAAGCCCAATGAACACACACATCCCCGCCAGCCCAGCAGTCAAGTATCCCTTCGCGCTCCCAACAATCCCACAGAATCAAGCCAAAGCCAAAGCAAAGAAAAAAAAAAAAGAACATACCCTAAGAACCCCCATAACACCCACCACCACGCCCAAAAACCACAACACCGTCACCTCCTCCGCGCGCCACACCCCGGCACAAGACCGGGTATACCCCACCTGCAACACACACGCATCATCGCCATGGGTCTTATCCTTGAACGGCCACGCGCGGTCCCGGACGCTGCGCAGCCCGCAGCACTGCAGGGTATCCTGGATTCGGCGGATGGTTCCGGCGTCGCGGGCGTGGAAATACCGTTGCCAGGTTTGGTCGAGGGTGCAGGATTTTAGTCCTTCGGTGGTGTTGAGGTGGTGGAGGGTCAGGGTGAGGAGGATGGCGCTTAGGAGGGTGTGCAGGGTGTTGAGTAGGGAGGTTATTATGGTGGATTTCGGGGAGGCGGTGCGTTTGAGGAAGGTCGTGGCGGTTAGGGTTGCTAGGGTGTAGGGGATTAGGAGGGTGGTGAGGATGGGGAGGATGGGGGGAAGGGGCAGGGAGAGGGTTTGGGTGCGGGTCCAGGCGAGGCTGTACTTGTTAGTGTTTCTGGATGGGGAGGGGGTGGGATGCGGGGCTTGGGGGATGCTAAGGGGTTGGGGACGTACATTGCGAGGATGAGGGAGAGGATGGAGAGCTTTGAGGTGTGGGTTAGTGTTTCTGTTTTGGTTTAGTTGGATAGGTGGAGGGAACGTACGAGGGCGACGAGGAGGTGGATGACGAAGACGGAATTAAGTTTGCTGGGCATGGTGGTGGTGGTGGTTTATTGATGTTGATGAACAAGTTGAAGCTGAAGTTGAAAACGATTTGTGAGGTTGTTGAGGTAGTTGAGGTGATGGAGGTGATGGAGGTGATGGAGATGATAGAAGAAGAGGGGAGAATGCGGGGTTGAGTGACACATGCACACCAGCCATACATGTACTGTACTTAAAACATTCACCAGCAAGACATCTGAGTAACCATGCAAGACCTATCACGTAGATTGGACGGCATAGAGTGATAGGGGGGAGGGAAGTATACTACGTACAGTACAGAAAACTACCAAGATAAACACAGCCAGTTTATGTCATGCAATCGAATTCCATAGAAGACGTATATAACCAGTATAGCCTCAAATCCAATCTACCAAACCAGCAGTGACTAAGTTTCTTCCAATGCTTTTATAGACCCATGATCTTTGCCATATACCAACCTCACTCCCCACCAAATATCTTTCTAACACCCCACCCCCGAAACCCCCATCACACCCTCCCCCGCAAAAACAACTTCTCCACCGCAACCCACCTCCCAAACCCGGGAAACTCCCCCACACCCCCATTCCTTTCCAGGACGCCCTTCCGCTCGATCTCATAGAACCGCCACGCCCGCAACACCGCCAACGCCACCGCGCCCACGGCAAACAGCCCGCCCACATACACCTTGGCGCCCAGGTACCCGCCGCCAGCGAGATCGACCAGCCGCAGGGCAATCACCTCCGCCACCGTCGTGGGCGCCACGAGCATGAAGCAAACCAGCCCGAACGTGGCCGGCAGCCGGTTCAGCCCCACCACGTCCGTCAGCACGGGGGCGACGGTGCCCCAGAAGGTGCCGCAGACGGAGCCGGCCAGGAGGGCGAAGAGGAGCAGCAGCGGGTATGAGGACAGAAACACCCAGAGGGTCAGGCAGAGGACGGCGCAGACGAGGGTCGTGACCATCGACACGTTGATGCGGCCGTGGCGGTCGGAGAAGTAGCCCATCAGCGGCCGGCCGACGGCCAGACCCAGGTTGAGGCAGGCGCTAGCGATGGAGCCCTGGCTTGCGGTCAGAGAGATGGAGGTCGCGTAGTTGGGGAGGGAATACAGGAGGGCGATGAAGCCCAGGTCGGTGGAGGTGCCCCAGATGATGATGAGGAGGACTTCGAGGTGGGTGAGTTCCGTGGGGCTGCAGAAGAGAGGGGTGGTGGTGGTGGCTGCGGGGCGAGAGTGACTGCGTCGGGGTCGTAGAAGCGAGGGCGCGGGATGAGGGCTGGGTCGGTCGCGGAGGAGCAGCGAGCACAGGAGGTTGGCGCCCAAAGCGCACGCGGCGAGGACCCGGTAGGTGCCCTGGATGCCGATGGTCTCGATGCTGCGGCCCGCGATCAGACTGTATGCCAGTCCGCCGAGGCCGGTGCCGGAAGATGCCAGCCCGGAGGAGAAGCTGCGTTTGCTGCTGAACCACTTGGGCAGGATGGCCGTCGCAGTCAGATACAGAAAGCCCATCCCGGAGCCGAAGCAGATGCCTTGCGTCAGGAGGAGGTGCCAGAACTGTGTGGCATACGAGGCACTGAAGAGAGCGGCGGAGACAAGCACAGTTCCCAAAAGCAGCGTGGGCATGGTGCCAACTGTCTGGTGAGTTTGCGTGACCAGAGGACCGATGAGCAGGCACTGCCCAATCGAGACCCCTCCGATCAGGGCGAAGCCCAGGTGGCTGGCGTTGGGGAAGGTTGAATGCGACAGGAAGTAATTCAGAATCACTCCCCACGCGCTGCTGACCCCCCAGGTGTGCACATTGATCATGAACACACAGAAGGTGCACACCCAGGCATACCCTCCGTCGGGAGGGATGTCCTCAAACGAGGTCACGTTGAGGGCATTATCGCCGCTGTTGTCGAAGTCTTGCAGTTCCAGATTGCTTGGGGCAGCAAGTCGTTCCCGACTCGATTCGTTCATTGCGAGTATCCTTATAAAGGTTTGTTTGGATGGGGAGATTGAGGATGCACCGAAGACAAAGATTGTGTGTGTGCGAGCAGGGCTTTATATGCACATGATGCAACTCACCCCGCAGCCACGATGAGTCAAGTAGACCGCGGTCGAGACACCACCCCAATGCAGGCCAACTCAGTCGCACACAAACCTAACTCGTTCCGATCAGCTGCAGCGTAAAGATGATATGGATTATGTTGTCGCAGAAAAATTCTCAAGAGAGGAATAAGATGGCGCCAAGGAGTAGGGATGATGGGAATTATACGTGGGCTCACGGCCTGTCTAACTAACACTAAATTAAATGACATAACTCTTTTGTACACATCACTGAGAAACACCAGACTCAGTCTTTCCATTCTTCTACAGAGAAAGATTGATTAGCATAGTTCGAGATAGCGTGGACACGAGACTCACCAGCTTGCGGCTGTAAGAAACACCAAGGTTGCTGTTGCTCCGCGAATCGTAGGGGAAAGGAGCAGTGTAGTTGAAGGTAGCAGTCAGCCCCTTCCAGGTCTTTTTGACCTGAGACAAGATGCCGTGGCCGGCCGAGCAAGTACCCGTAGTAAGAGGCACGGGCCAACCGGCCGTGTAGGTGCTGTAGTCGTCATCGGAGAGCGGACCGGGGTGGGTTTCGTTCATGTAGAGGTTGGCGGTGTCAACTTCGTAGTTGACATAGCCGGTCTTCTCGGCCACCCACTTGAAAAGGTTGGCACCACAGTCCCAGCGACCCAGCGACGGGAGACCCCAGTTGGCGGACATCGAGGCAATGACGGAATAGTGGGTATAGAAGGTATCATCGGTGGTACCACGGAGGTTCTCCGGGACGGCACCACCTAGCAAGAAGGTATAGACATTGTTGCCAATCGCGTAAGTGCTGGTCTCGTCGAAGGTCAGCATAATGAGAGTGTCCTTGGTGAAGTACTCGTTCTCGAGAAGCTTGGTCAGGAAGTTGTAGGTCCAAGCCCCGGAGGTCTCGATGCTGGAGTCATGGCCGTCATTGGTCATGTTGGGGGTGATGAACATGTACTGGGGAAGACGCTCGTGCTCCAGATCCTCGTAGAAGGTAGTGAAGTTCTTGATCTGGCGTAGGCGAAGGGCATCTTCCGTCACGGAATCGAACAAGATCAGAGGGTTGTGCTTCCGCACGTACACGTTGGCACCGCTCTCCGGGTAGCGGTACCCCTGGTAGCCAGGGTAGGGAAGAGCCTCCTGATACTCTCCCCACGCGATGTTCTTGGTATCAAACAAGTCCGCGATGGTGGACACATTGCTGGGGATCTGGTGGAAGTCATCGTTGTCCATGCCGAAGGTGTCACCGGCGGCCGAGGCACAGTAGTTGGGCTCTGAAGGGTGAGTGATAGCCCAGAAGTTGCTGAGCAACAAACCCTTCTTGGCCAGCTCAGCCAGGTGGGTGTTCCCGGCGGCAGTATCGTAGTCCTAGCCAGATCAGCCATGTCCTGTCCTGCACTAGATGGTCGGGGAATCGACATACGGTGTTCTCCAACCAAATATTCACGAAGCGGTTGAACGAAAGACCCTTCACATTGGACACTGGTGAGTATGGCTGGACAGAAGCCTTGGCTGCAGCAATCTCCGCAGCGGAAGGGTACTCCTCAGTGGTGGTCTGCGCGAGAGCAAGCGACAGACCTCCAAGGAGGGTCAAGACGGATTGCTTGGTGAACATGATGCCCGATGGATGAAACGGAGGCCAGGTGAGTGATTAGAACCGAAGGGCTTGCGGGGTTGAGGCACGAAGAAGGAAAGAGGACATGAGAGCACTGCGATTCTGGAAGGTCTTTATATCTGGTTTCTGTTCTCAAGTTTGCGATGTCTTGCGATGTCGGACGAGATGGTTAGCAGCTCATGGGGGCATGTGTTTGCATCTCCACTGCCGATAGGAAGCTGTGCATGTAACTGCACTCAAGCGATTGGCCATGTAGATTTAAGCGATGGCATCTAGCCCCTCCTGCATGCACTTGATTGCGCAGCGCGGTATCTAATCTCCGACGGAGAGACCGGGAAAAGGCCGGTTATGCATGGGTGTTGAGAATGACTGGCAGTTCTGCAGGGAAAAGTAGATGGAGGAATCATGGAGGAATCATGCACGTTGCGATTCACTCGGCGCTGACTGGCCAGCGGGAGAGCGGGATGGAAAGTGGATGGAAAGTGGGCCTGAGGCCAGGCCACCGGCACGTGCCCCAGCCAGCTGCAGCGACGGGCAGCACAAACCTGGGGGGAGATTAGAACGCCTGAAGAAAAACAATAATCATAATAACAGGAAAAATAGAAAATGGAAAAAAAAAAAAAAGAAAAAAAAATCCCCTAAGGTAGAACAAATATATCAACCATGCTATCATTGCTACTCATTATTTGCAAAGCGACTGGAAATCTATCATCTATAATATATCATGACTAGCGATGAAAGACCCCTCCCTCTATCAGATCAGATCGTCTAAGCAAAGAACTTGGCCTCCCCCTCCTTGAGCTTGCCAGCGCCGACAAGTCTCTGCACCTCCTCGGTGTACACAGTCTTGACAGCGGCAGCGTCCTTACCAGCAGTAGTAAGGCGGCCAGCCAGACCAGCCAGCTCCTCCGCATCGATCTTGCTGAGGATAAGATCGACGTCTCCCAAGACGGAGTCGACCTGGGCGGCCGAAGGAGCCTCATCGAAGTAGTTGACATCCTTGACGGATCCCTTGACAACACGCTTGTTCTTCTTGGTGGCGTTCTTAGCGGCCTCCTTGGCCTTCTTGTTGGCCTCGCGCTCGGCCTTGGCGGCCTCCTCGGCATCCTTCTTGCGCTGCTCCTCCTCCAGGCGAGCCTTCTCCTTCTCCTCGACGAGACGCTTGGCCTCAGCCTCTCTCTCGAGACGCTTCTTGTCCTTGTCGGCACGGGCGGCCTTGCGGAACTTCTTGATTCTCTCGTCACCAGCGGCGCAGTCGTCGACCAGGTGGCGGAGACGGGCGGTGTCCTCGGTCTTGCGCTTGCGGCGGGCGTTGGCGTTCTTCTTCTCAACGTGACGCTTCTGGTCACGGCTCTCGTTGTCATCGGGGACGTCCTCGTCCAGGTACTCGAAGGTACGCCAGCTGTCGAAGTTGTACCAGAAGTTGTAGAACTCCTCGACGACATCCTGGCTGCTGTTCTCGTCACCAAGCTCGGGGACGGGCTGGATGTTGGAGAAGCGGCCCTCGGAGATGAAGACCTTGCGCCAGAGCTTGTAGAAGTTCTTGGTAGCCTCCTTCTTGGTGGGGGGCTCGACGTCGGCGGCCTCGTCGACGGAGTCGAACTGGCGGCGCTTGACGGGGTCAGAGAGCACCTCGTGGGCCTTCTGGATACACTTGAAGAACTGGTCGTTCTCGTCACGGTCGCCCAGAGCGGCCTTCTTGTCGGGGTGGTGACGGAGGACCTTCTTGCGGTGAGCACGCTTGATCTGCTCGGGGGTGGCGCGCCAGCGGTACTTGGTCAGGCCGAGGACCTGGTAGTGATCTTGGCTCTGCAAGGGGTTAGTATCGAACAGTAGCAGTAATTGCATCCACCGGTAAACCATACCTTCCAGTCCTTAGCCTCTCTGGCGAGGAGCATGTTGTCCTCGGGCTCGGAGATCTCGCCAAGGTCATCCTCCTCGGTCTTCTTGACGTTCTGCTGGGCCTGGATTCTCTCATCCTCGGAGAAGGTACGTCCGTGACGCTTCTGTAGAAATGGTAAGCATCTTACCCGGAAGTCAGCTTCAAGCAGGATGGAAACATAAAACATACTCTGCGGGCGTGAGCCAGGAAGAAAGGACCAACAGCCTCGAGGTTTCTCTGGGTGGCGCCAGAGAGGGTGCCAACGGCCTTGAAGTCCTTCTCGGCGCTCCAGCCGGAAGGCAGGGCGGGGAGAGCAAGGTTGAAAGTCTGAGTGGAAGTCATGATGCCCAGTGGACTTTTGAGATGCCTCGATGGAGATGGAATGAGACAATGGAAGACCCCAACAGGAAGGTTGTGTGACGGCGGGAGAAAATCGATTGAAGGCAAGGCTTCTCGCCCGCTGCGTTTTTTATTTTTTCTGCCCCGACTTGCCGCTTGCCCCGGAGCCAATCACGGGTGGCTTGTTTCGGAGGTTCTTCGAAAGCCTCGAGTCCGCTGCGAAGGTCACCTGCTTGTCAACAGCATAGTTTCTCTCAACTACGATCGGATTGATTTACATCTTGTCTCTCACTTCTCTTCTAGCGAGACACTAGAGACTGTACTACAACTCCACCTCTCTCACAACCACTTCCGCCGCTCGCTCTTCGCAGCCACCGATCCGCAAACCGTCACTTGAGACTCATACTCGAGTACAAGCCCAGACCGTTCACCCCCGACGCAACACTCAAGCCACTCATCCTCTTCACAAATCTCACACGTTTCGATATGGCTGCCCAGGGTGTCGTCTCCGCACGCAGTGCTTACCGGCAACTCCTCCGCGCGACCCGCGTGGCCTTCCACAGTCCGTCCACCCCATACATCCGTTCAACAACCTCTCTATGACCTCCGCTGACTTCTATCCTTCTTGAACAGACGACCTCCGCGTCATGGTCGCAGCCCGTCAAGAAGCCCGCCGCAATTTCGACAATCACCCGCGCCAGGGCATCGACACCCCCATGCAGATCAACCACGCCATCGAAGTGGCCAACATCCTGCGGCACAACATCGTGCAGGGTGTCCGGGAAGATGGCGACGAGAATGCCAAGTGGGGTGCGCTTTGACTCCCTGGCTCACCCTGCCAGAGAAAGACAATGCTAACACCGATCATAGAACTCCGGATCCATGACGAGATCGAGCGCGGCGACAACGATTCCATCAAGATCGCCGGGAAGAAGGTCAAGGTGGACAAGCCCTGCTCTGCCTGAGCACGACGTCGATTGTACAGAGATAAGACTACAGTCTAATGGGCTGGGGATTCGGTGGTTGATTGCAAAGATATGCATTGCGGATTGTATTATAGTATACCCGAAGTTTTTTTTCCTTCTACTTCTCTCCTTTCTGGCGTCACTTTGGGGTATTTCATGGTTTGATCAATGTTGTAGAGATAGACAAATGCACACACAAAATAGCGAATAAAAAGAAAGCCAAAACGCCCGCTCTCAAACATACATCATATGGAAGCTCCCTATGTCCTTAAGAAAACGGTGTCAACGAAGAACAATTTAATCGCCGTTCAAACTGGAGTACTGGATTTCACCAGAACCCGGGGGTGGCGCCACAGCGTAGTTCCGGGGTCTTTGTTCCTTTGCCAGGTCCTCGCCGGCCGCCGTGATGGCTCTCTTGCCGCCATCGGCGGAGGCGCGCGGGCCCACGGCCTGTCGGCCCTCGCGGGCGTTCTTCATCCGCTCCTCGCGGTCCATGTTGTCCAGCGGCTTGGGCTTGCCCCACCGGACGCGCAGGGGACAACCTTGGAGCACGGCCTTGCCCTGGCAGTGCTTGGCGGCCGCCTCGGCACCCTCGCGGGTGGCGAAGTTGATGAACGCGGAGTGGGCGCGGTGGGAGCAGATCAAGGAGCGCAGCGAGCCGAACTGAGTGAAGAAGGTGCGCAGCTCGTGCTCGGGCAGGTCGTCCTCGACACCCGTCACAAACAACGAGGTGATGTTGGGGTCGGCGGGCGGGTTGATGTCGTCGGCGGAGGGCGGCACCTGCGCCGCACTGGGGAAGGGACGCCCGCCGCGTCCACCACGCATGCCTCCTCCCACTCCGCGTCCGCCCCGGCCGGGCAGCGGTGTGCCCCTCCGGCTGTCGCTGGTGCGAATCGGACCCGGCCCGTTGCCGTACCGGCTGTGGCCGACGGGCGCCTCGCTGGAGACTGTCGCGGAACCCTCCCCGTCTTCTGGCGCCGCCTCGATCCGGCGCTGTTTGCGGTAATAGGGCTCACTGTTGGCGAGTCTCCGGAGCAGCTCGCGCGCCTTCTCGTCGGTCTTCTCGTACTCCTCGACCGCACCGCGGCCTTCCTCGATCTCCTTCTCGTGGCCCTGTGCGTAGTATTCGCGGTTGATGGTGCTTTCCGGACCCGGGGCGACCATTTTCAGAGCGGCATCACGAACGACGATGGGCAGGCCGAAGGACAGATCGAGCATGCAGCACTGGCAGCAGTTCTTGAGGCGGGCGCAGGTGAGGCAGATGGTGGTCCGCTTGGTGCGCGCGGTGCGGTCGGCCTTCCAGCGGAAGATGGTGAACGGACGCGTGCACTGTGACAGTGTTAGCATCGTGGGCTCGAATGTGCGCGCAGAGCGACGGGGGGGGGGGCTACCTACAAGTTTGCATTCTGCGCCATGGTCCTCTTTCAGCATCTGAACGTAAGGATTGTCCGGGAGACAGCTCTCACAGACTGACGGGAAGTCGGTGGTCTCCCATCCGGATCGGTTGAGATCTTGCTTGATCTGAGCAGGAGGCATGGTGGTGGGGTAGTGTGAAGCTCTGTTTGGGACTCCAGCGGCGAAGCTCAGAGGTGAACCGGAGGAGTTGACAGCGGCAGCAAGAACTTGGATTATCGATAGTCATTGTGGCTGAATGTGGCTAGTGCGGGTATTGTGGCGAACAGATTACATAATCAGCTAGGCTGAGTTATGCTATCACGTGACAGGGGGCTCCTGCATGCCGTTGACGTTGATCAATGGACTACTTACTATGGTCATAATGGGGCTGTGCAGAGTATAATCTAGCATGTGAAAGCCAAAGAGCATTTCATCCTTGTCCGCACGCCTGCCAGCCCCAAGATGCATTATTCCCTGAATTGATGATGCCTGCCACTGAGTACGCGGAGATACGCAGATCCGCGGATACGCAGATACGCGAATACGCAATACGCAGCGGAAGCCACCAGGAACGAGATTTGGCGGGTGAAGATCAAGGCTTGGAGGCGCGGAAGATGCCTGGCACTAGACCATATAAGGGAAGGCGTTGTTCCATCGTCCCGTTCGGCTGCATGTTTTTCCCGGCCAGAACCCCGGAAGGCCCGATCGGGTCTAGTGCGGCCTCGAAATGGGTGTTTGGTTGGCTGGCCAGCACTGCAATGGTGATTGGCTGGGGAAATGTCAAGTCCACCGCCTCCCTTTTCTTTTCCCCGTTCTTCGTGTTTGCGTGTTCCCTTCAACTTGGAAGGACATTACGGTGGCCCTTCCCTTCCATCTCATTTCATTTCATTCCATTCCACTTCACCTCCTCCTCCTCCTCCTCCTCCTCCTCCTCCTCTTCTCCCCCTCTTCCTGCCTTTCTTTGCTGCCTGTTCGGCTTCAATTCTTTTTCTATTAATTCCCTTCCATTCAACTGGGTCGTGGATATATAATTGCCTTCTCTTCTTCTCTTCTTCCTTTCTTCTTTCTTCGCACAACCCACTTTTCTTCAACCCGGCTTTACCCCCTTTTTAATCCCCACCACCACCACTTTCAATCCTCAAAATGGCTCCCACCGCTTTGGAACAGGAGAACCATGTGCGCGACGCTGAGTTCAACCGTGTCCTGCACGGAAAGTCCGCTCAGGCCCAGGGTGGTATTGCTGCCATGCGTGGCAAGGACGCCGCTGCCCAGAAGGCCGCCATCGACGAGTACTTCAAGCACTGGGACAACAAGAGTGCCGAGGACGAGACCGAGGAGATTCGCGCGGTAAGCACTGTGCAACCCGCGCCCGTTGCCGCTGGGCCAAGCTAATCAATTGCAAACATCAGGCCCGCCGAGCGGAGTATGCGACCTTGACCCGACAGTATGTCTCCCATCGCCGCTTCTGACCTCAATTGCCCATCTAACCCTCTCCTCCTAGCTACTACAACCTGGCCACCGACTTCTACGAATATGGCTGGGGAACTTCCTTCCACTTCTGCCGCTTCGCTCCTGGCGAGCCCTTCCGCCAGGCCATTGCGCGTCACGAACACTACCTGGCCCACACGATGGGCATCAAGGCCAACATGAAGGTTCTCGATGTTGGCTGCGGTGTCGGCGGACCTGCTCGCGAGATTGTCAAGTTCTCCGACGCTAACGTCACCGGATTGAACAACAACGACTACCAGATCGAGCGCGCGACCCGCTACGCCGAGCGCGAGGGATTGAGCCACAAGCTGAACTTCGTCAAGGGTGACTTCATGCAGATGAAGTTCGAGGACAACACCTTCGACGCCGTCTACGCCATCGAGGCCACCTGCCACGCCCCGGAGCTGGTGGGTGTCTACAAGGAGATCTTCCGCGTGCTCAAGCCCGGCGGTGTCTTCGGTGTGTACGAATGGTTGATGACTGATGAATACGACAACGACAACGCCGAGCACCGCAAGATCCGTCTGGGTATCGAGCAGGGTGACGGTATCTCCAACATGGTCAAGGTGTCCGAGGGTCTCCAGGCCGTCAAGGACGCTGGCTTCGAGCTCCTCCACAACGAGGACTTGGCCGACCGGCCCGACGCGATCCCCTGGTACTATCCTCTGGCCGGCTCTTTCAAGCACATGGGTACCATCTGGGACTTCTTCACCATTGCGCGCATGACCTGGTGGGGCCGTGGGATCGCGCACCGCTTCGTCGGCGCCTTGGAGAAGATCGGATTCGCCCCCGCGGGCTCGCAGAAGACCGCCGACAGTCTGGCTCTGGCAGGTGACTGTCTGGTGGCCGGTGGTGAGAAGAAGCTGTTCACGCCGATGTACCTGATGGTTGCTCGCAAGCCCGAGTAAACGGATTGTTAATACGATATCACGCCTGTACAAAATTGCGTTTCTTTGCGACCGCATCCCACACGAGCATTCATAGACGGCGGCGGCGGTCTATGTTCTTTAATATCCAGGTTTTCGTTGTTGTTTCCTTCTCCACATGTTATATTGTTGCATACCGCCGTGGGATGCGTGTCTTTATGTGCTGTGCTGTCCGTTTGGGGGCAGTGGACGGATCATTGCTGAGTATGTGCTCATGGATGATGATTTAGTTATAGTTAATATCAAGAGATGACATATGCAGAAGTGTTTCAAACGTATTGCGTATTGAGATTCCGTCAGTGTCTGTCTTTCGGCATCTCACCTGACGATTTCCATTCCCTAGCCCTCGCCCTATTGTTGTCCCTCTCTTCCTCATCGAGCCATCCGCGAAGGGTTGATATAGAAGCGACTGGATCGGTCCTACAGGGCATTAACTTCAAGAACGATCAACTCAACACCTCCAACCCAAACGTCACGACCACAACCTCCCTGCCCTCCCCATCAACCCTCAACCCAAACACCGACAAAACCCCCAACTCCACCAACGCCCGCTCATCCACCACCGGCTCCCCGGTAAACCCAAGCCCCCGCCACACGACCTCCAACCCATCCTCCCTCCCCCACCGCGCCAGCACCCACTCCTCCCTCTCATTCTCCGGCAAGACAAACCAAATCCCACCCCGAAAGCAGACCACCTTGCCCCTCAACCCCGTCTCCGTCGGATATACCCCCTCCAACGCCCAACTCTCCCACTTGACCTCTGCCTCCCCCTTGCCGTCCGGAAGACAAGCATAATACACCCACTCCTCCCGGCCCTGGCGGGTCTTCTCGCGATTCAACACATGCACCCCGCCATCGGCATCGACAACCTGGCCCTCCTGGTTCATAATTCCGCTGCCGCGGGGGATCTCCCTGACCCGGAGCCGGGGGTCCTGGGAGTCCAGGCCCGTCGTTTGTTCGTCGGGGAGAGTGTGTCCGAACGCGCCGGTTGCAAGAACCTCATCTGCATTGTGGGCGCCCCGCCACCGCACGCTTACCGTTCTGTCTGGGTCAGCGGGGTTAGGGTTAGTGTCCACCTCAGCGGAAGCGTAGTATAGCCCCTCGTTATTCTCGGGCCCGTTCGGCCCCGCCTGTGCCTTGTGGGCCGTGGAGGTCGGGTCCCCTGCTCCGTCGTAGGGGACGAAGTGCCGGTTCGTCCAGGTCAGGTGCAGCGTGTTGGTTGGGGGGTGGAAGGAGAGGCCGTTCGGGTAGGGGTTGCAATTTTGGCCGTGCAGGTAGAGGGCGCGGGGCGTGGGGTGGGGGGTGTATCTTCCACTTCCTGGGGTTGGGTTTGGGGTCTGTGGGTTGGGGTCTGTGGGTTGGGGTGTGGGTGAGCGTGTATCTGTGGTTGTGGCTGGGGTGGTTAGGGCTGGGGTGTAGAGGTATAGGGCTTCGGAGCCGGCGCCTGCTCTGTTTTCCCTTCGTTAGGTGGATAGGTCGGTTTGAAGGAGGTGGGTGCTGGGCATGCGGGATAGGCAAAGGGAAAGGAAAGAACACACCGTCCGATACGACACTCGAAGAACAGGTTCTTCCCTGCGGGGATGAATCGGGGGTACGTGACGTCTTGCAAGGTACTGCACCCCGGCAGATGGGACTGCACGGCCCCGAAACTGGCAGCCGTCCAGCTGGTCTTGCGCGTGTCGTAGGCCAGCCCCGGCTGGGAGAGGCGGTAGTGCAGGGTGTCGCAGTGGTGGTCGAAGGCCAGGTGGATGGTGCCGTCGCCGGCGCAGATGCCCAGCGAGATGGTGTTGTGGCCGTCGTCGGTGCGCTGGGGGTAGTCGGTGAAGGTGAGGTGGTGCCATTCACTGGTCTGGTTGGAGAGATCGCGGCGCGCGAGGGTGAGGAAGCGCGTGGTTGGGTCGGGCGTCGGGGTGTAGAAGGCGGCGTATTGCGTGTGGGCGAGGGTTGTGAGGGCGCTTTGTTGGTAGGCGCACGCGTTGAGGCGGTGGGTGGTAGGGGGGTCTGGTGTGAGGACGGAGATTTGAGGGTTGAGGTCGGGGACGGTCATGGTGGTGGTGGTGGTGGTGGTGGTGGTGTTGAGGGTTGAGGTGAGGTTGTTGATGTTACTTAATGTGGTGGATTCGTAGTTGTTATCTTGTAGGGAGGGTACCCCTCTGTCTGTTCTCTGCTGGTGGTGGTGCTCTGTCCAACATCTCTCCTTGAAACCCCTGACTATCTCACAAGATAATTCTATACCAAGAATAAGTGCCGCATGGTGTTTGGTGGAAGAACTCGATCGTTGCTCACCCCGGCTTCTCCGCGTTTTCCCCGCACTTGAGCGTCACTGCAGTCGATCTTCTCCCAATCCATCTTTGAGTCGACCTGCTCGCTGGTCAATTCTCCGAGACACCTGCATGTGGGCTGACGAACTGCTCTCAATTTATCCGAGGGGCTGCTGCTGGCCAGCCAGTGGGCCAGATAAATAACCGAGGGGATGTACCTAGTAGGAGCGCAGGAGCTCCATTTATGGCCACACGACTCCCAGGTCAAGCCGGTCAACTGTAACTCCATCAATCTTCGGTTGTGTACAGTACAGTATTTCACGATGCCTACAAGGAAACTAGGTGTGTCCGCCGTAGTCAGCGGTGTGTTGACTACTGCGAGCGTGGCCCACGGCTTGAGCTTCGAGATCCCTTCTTCTGTGCCTGCCAATGCGAGTGCGCAGATCGATGCTGCGCCGGTGGGCTTGTCGTGAGTCTTCTCTGGATCTCGTTCATTCCTGGTATGAGAGCTAACAATCCAGATTCGAGTTCTTCGCGTTCCCCGAGTACTTCGAGCAGTTGTCCCTGACCGACGGTTGTCTGGGAGTGCTGGCCGATGCATATGGAACGAGTCCCCCGATCCGGATCGGGGGCACCACCCAGTGAGTTCTACTCTTCGAGTCAATCTTCGCAGCTGACCGAATAGGGACCGCGCGACATACAACGCCTCCCTATCGTCTGCCGTATCCTACACCGTCGCCTCGCCGGACGACGCCCCGGAGACTTTGACCTACGGAGACTCGTTCATGGACATCGCAGCGAGCTATAGTGGATCCGTGACCATCGGTATGAAGCCACCAGCCACCTCCCAGTCACCCACCGTACTAACCCTCACAGGGTTCAACCGACGTCTGGACAACCTCAACAACACCATCGCAGCCGCCAAAGTCGCCACATCCACGATCGGCAACCTATACGCCATCGAACTCGGCAACGAGCCAAACTGTACGCCTCCCTGTCCTGCCACTCCAACAGATCTAACCTCCACCAGTCTTCACATCCAGCGACCCCATCGCCGACGGCAAATCCTGGACCGCAGCCGCCGACGCCGTGTCGCAGGTGGCCTGGCAGAGCTCGGTCGGAACCGCCCTCGACAAGACCGCCATCATCCAAGCGGGCGTCTTCTTCGGACTGGGATCCTACGAGGTGACCAACCTCGTGGGCGAGGAGGAAGACACCGATGCCGCGCAATACGTGCGCTCCTTCTGCCACCACTACTACCCCTACTCCGCCTCGACCGCAGACCTCGATGGGCTGATGAGCCACGAGGCGATCGTGGAGGGCGTGACGGCGTTCCAGTCGCAGGTGTCCGCGGCGCATGAGCTCGACAAGGATTTCGTGATGGGAGAGACCAATTCCGGTGCGTCCACTGCATCCTGGAAGTGGTTTACCAACTAATGTGCGAGCAGCAACCGGGGGCGGCGGAGGGATCAGTCCCACCTTTGGCGCGGGCCTGTGGATCTTGGACTACGCGATGCAGGCGATTATTCTGGGGATCAAGGTGGGGAAACAAACCGTCCACGTGGATGCTGATCTGACAGAACTGACACGGTCGACAGCAACTGTATTTCCACCAGGGAACCATTGGCAACTGTAAGTGGTCCATGAAGTGCAGTATGAGGGCAATACTGACTCTGACACTAACACATGCAGGTCCGTACTGCTGGTGGGACGAGACCGTGAACGCCCCGTTCTTTGGCGCCTATACCGCGGCGCTGGCGCTTGGGGGTGCGTCGCAGGTCGCGCAGTTGGACAGCGGCGACAGCCGGGTGGCCGCGTACGCGATCTACGACAGCAGCGGCGCGCCAACGCGGGTGCTGCTGTACAATTCGGAGTACTACACCTCAGGGACACGGAGCAGCGTCGACATCACCCTGAGCGGCCTGTCCTCGACCACTGTATCAGCCAAGCGACTGACGGGAGATGCAGCGACGACGACCGTAGGAGCGGGGGCCATCACCATCGGGGGACAGACATTCGCCAACGGGACGTGCGCATTGCAGGGCACGGAGGAGACGGAGACGACGGCGGTGCAGAGCGGTCAGGCGACCTTTACGGTGCAAGAGTCCGAGGCGTTGCTTATTTATCTATAGTAGGATGGATCAATCAGATAAGATGGGGTCGCGCAAGGGGTGGATGGATCGCGGGTGAATGTATAAGCATAAGCATAAGCATTGAGCAAATCTTCCCGATATCCGGAAATCCGGCACAAGCTGATCCAGACGGACCCCTGATAAGGTCACTCAGCAAATTCGCTCGCGTCCCTTCGGGCCCCGATCGAGGCCGAAGTCCCGGCCAATGAGAGCCATGGATCTGCATCTGCGCCGGAGATAACGAGTTTGATTACTCGAAGGGGATAACAGGCCGAATTACTACGCAGCCAGCGTCGACAAATGATGCATCCACGCCATCCGCCATGCTTAGGGTTAAAAGTCGCCCGCTCGCCTGCCCTGGAGCTAGTGGTTGGCCTGATCCCTTTTTTGTTGCTTACATCCTGGACTCTTATCATTTCAGGCCCATCTCTGCGCCCCGTGTGATCCTTCTGTTCCTTCAGGATGAGCAGCGCCGAGGAGTCCATTGACAAGGCCGAGACGGGGGTCAAGCCTTCTGCGCCACCCGCCGGCGTCTCGTTTTTCGATCCTGCCTTATCGCCAGTCCGACGTCATGTTTTCCTCCAGTGGGGGAAGACCGGTGAGTTTGGCCCATCTGACGGTAACCTAGTGCACATCAAAGCTGACAATTGACCAGTATTAATTCTCTGCACCTTCATTCTGGGCATTCTGTCGCTATTCTGGGCCGTGCAATTCAAGCTCGAGACGCGGTTCGAGAACCTCACCGTCTGGGTTGTCGACTTCGACGGCCAAGTGGAGCCCTATCGCAACACCACCCCGATCGTGGGCCCAGCCATCACCCACGTAGTCGAGGAGACCGTTCGCACCAACCCGGAAGCACTGGGGTACACGATCCGCTCGCCGGCGGACTTCAACAACGACCCGTGGGCGGTGCGCCAGAGCGTGTACGACGAACACGCCTACGCGGCCATCATCATCAACGCCAACGCGACCGCCCTGCTCCAGGGAGCCGTCACCGGGGGCAACACCTCGTACGACCCCTACGGCGCCGCAGAATTCATCATCATCAGCGCGCGCGACGAATCCACCTACTACAGCTACATCCTGCCCGAGTTCTGGGGGCTGGAGCAAGCGGTGCGCAGCTACTTCGGGCCGCGCTGGATCCAGAACCTCACGGCCAGTACCAGCACCACGAACCTAACGCAGACCCCGGCGCAAGCCCTCAACCCGGCCATCGGCTTCACGCAAATCGACCTGCGCTTCTTCGGCCCGGCCGTGATCTCCCCCGCCACCAGCATCGGGCTGATCTACCTGATCATCCTGGCGTTCTTCAACACGCCCTTCATGATGCCGGTGCACCTGCGCTTCCTCAAGACGCCCAACAGCCCCTCGCTCAAGATCCCGCAGTGGCTGCTGTGGCGCATCGTCTCGAACATCGGGACGTACTTCTGCCTCTCGCTGTTCTACAGCTTCGTCTCGCTGGCCTTTCAGATCCCCTTCACCAACCCGCCGGCCTCGCCCGTCGAGCCGGCCGACAACCCCAACGCGTACGGCCACGGCTCGTTCGTGGTGTACTGGATGCTGAACTGGGTGGGGATGTGCGCCTTGGGGTTCCCCTGCGAGAACATGGCCATGATCATCGGGTTCCCGTGGAGTTCGCTGTTCTTGATCTTCTGGGTGATCACGAACGTGGCCACGGGGTTCTACGCCATCGATCTGGCGCCGCGGTTCTTCCGGTGGGGGTACGCGTGGCCGCTGCATCGGAGTGAGTCCCCTTGCCCAAATAAACCCTACCTCCTCGGTAGATCATGTATGGTATGAAATGACAGTGCTAACCTGCTGGAACAGTCGTCGAAGCCCTCCGCACCATCCTCTTCGACACCCACTCCCGCATCGGCCTCGACTTCGCCGTCCTCTTCATCTGGATCGCCCTCTCTATTCTGCTCTTCCCCTTCGCCGCCAAGTTCATGCAGTGGAAGCAGAAGCGCGGGTGGGCTTGAGTGCTGCCCCTGCCCTTGGAGCGGGTTCTTGCTGTCGTGTTGTAATAATAGATTAGACTCTTAGATTATTCCTAACATAATATTGATTTTCTTCGGGTTGGGATATGCGAGAGATGTAATCGTGAACTATCCACGTACTACCTACCATTGTGAAGTAAGAGAAGTTAGGGTACAACTAACGGTAGCAAAAAGAAAAAAAGAATGGATGAGCCCAGCCCGGCTCGATCAGGCAACCTTACGATCTGGAGTCGTACGCGCTACCAATTGCGCCATAGGCCCATTCTTGATGACTAAATGAGGTGCCCGCAGCCTATAACGGGGGTTTTTGAGGGTAAATGATGTTCAAGAGTTGTTGTTGCGGGTGAGGGCACAGTACAAACCTGCGCCCCGAGCAATAACACGTATGTACTCTTGGTCTTGGATCATTCTTCTGGTCTGCTCGTATGTATATGAGGGGCTTTACTCAATGCGACGGACTTCTACTGATGGTTATCTCCGAACTGTATAAGCTCTTCGCTTTGCCTGTAGATATGTTTCGGGCAGACCACCCGGCGGGAGCGGAAGTAAGTCTGCATCGTCATGCTGCGGTAACCCCGATGTCGCGTGCGTATGTGTACCATGATACTCTGCGCAAGGTTTCGACGGCACAACCGACCCAAGGATCAGGATGTTTCCAGATGTAATGACGCAATACGCCGTCCCATTCTTTCGGGACAAAAAATCACATCACACGGTGAAACAACGTAAATTATCCCACCTCTATAAAAAGGTGGTAAAAAAGAAATGTCCCGAGGGAGGTTCGAACTCCCGGCCTTGGGATCGCCCAGAAGTTGCGCTTCCGAGTCATATGCTGCGATATGAGACCCACGTGATAACCAACTACACCATCGAGACAAGTTGTTGAAGACAGCACCGCTTTTGCTGGGTTTGACCAAAGGGTAGCGGGAATTAGCGAGCGTGTATCCGGTTTGCAGTGTGTTGGATTTTGAGGGCTTTAGTCTATGGGTGGTTGTGCTGGAAATCTACTGGATTTGATTAATTTTATAGAGAGATAGTATTTCTCATAGGACTCAGTCTGTGGATTAATGTTTTGTTGTTGGTCGTGAGATTGTGGTGTGGTATTATGCCGGGGTTGCGCAAGATATATAATCTCATCAGAGCACAGACTTGGCCCGAACCCTCGTCACGGCCTAATTATTCCAGCACCACACTGCTAAAGATCCAAGATGGATTCTATGCCTTTTGTCTCTTGTTCTCTCCCTTTTCTCTTTCTTCGCAATAGCCTCTCTCCCATGGAGATACTACCTAAAATACCGGATATTATCACCAGAAATTAGGATCAGGATTATTATTTACGCACATAAACACAGCACTGATTTAAACCCTACTCAATCCGCACCGCCCAGCACTGCAAGGATAAAATCAGAAAGAAAGACAGAGCACGACAGTAAAAATGGCATTGCCGCGACGGCCACGACAAAAATCAGTTTAGCACACACTCAGATAGCCCCTCGCAACATGGTCCCCGAACTATGCATGAACCGGACCCCGATGCAGTCGAATTGGGTATCCCCCGGCCCCAACGGCAGAACCAGGATACAGTCCAGTCCGGTGGTTCATACTTATGCCAGCTCATCTCGTAGACTTGGTTTGCATGGGACATTCAGGATATAGGGGAGAGTCTGAAACACGTGGATCTTGATGTGTGGGAGTGGGGTTCAAAGTAATTAAGAATAGGACTGGCCTTGGCTGGGATGGTGAGTTGGGTTACTACCCCGATTTCTTTCTTTTCCTTGTCTTTGTGTTCCATCTTGTCGGATTCTTGAGTTAGAGTCGATACCTGAGTATTGGAGAGACAGCAAGAAGGTAGGAGTATAGAAGATGCACAACAATATCTAAGCCTTAGAAACAGCCGTCAAAGTATTCACCATCGACACAACTTCACCGACCCCGCAACCACCACCCTCCTAAAACGAATCAACAACAACACAGCAAAAGAACCACGATCCATCTCCCTTCACCGCTGCTAATCCTTCCGAATGACCGTAAACTCCCTCGTCGGCCACACCACCGCCGAAAGGAACGTCGCCGCCTGCACCAAATCCACCACCGGCGCCAGCACGACCGTCAGCACGACATGCACCGGGATATCAAGCAACGCCGTGGCATGGTAGTCCAGATCCTCCATCAGACACGCGACGACGCGGCCGTGCAGCAGCACGGCCAGGTTGAAGGTGGTCCAGAGGAAGAAGCCGTGGGAGACGGAGATGGACCAGCCGCCGTAGATCATGGTCATCATTCTTCCCCACAAGCATCAGCAATCTTTCCCCAGACAATGGACAGCCGAGAGCGGCGAGCCCAGCATAGCTAGAGACGAGGGAGAGGCACGTACAAGCAGAAGTGCGCCACAAACTCCAACATATTAAACATCACCATGACGCGCAGCGCCCAGCTGGGGATCATCAGCTCGCCGCTGTACCACCGCCGGCGCTGGCGGAGCAGATCGCCCAGCGTGGAGGGCGCCTGCTCGCGGGCGATCGCGTTCAGCCACCCGAATTTGAAGCCTTGCTTCGCGGCCTGTTCTTTTATCAGTTATCCGTCTGTAGGGCTTGTGCTGCAAGCTCACGCCCTACTCCCACACCCTGACCCAAAAAGTCCACCGAAGAAGGGGGCAGCACGTACATAATACGCGAACCAATGATCCTCCGTCAAACAGTCCGTGTCCCAAGTCACCGCGTTCTCGACCGTGCCGTTCAGCAACAAAAAACTGCCCCGCATGAACCCGAGCAACGGCTGCCGGAAGAACCGCACGGGGAGCTGATACCGGCCGAAGTTCTCGGCGATGCGCAGGATCTCGGCGACCGTGGTGAAGGGATGTTTCCAGTGTGAGGAGGCGTTGTAGTAGATTGTCCCCTGCCTTAATTAGGGCTTTGCATGGAAGGGAGGGAGAGAGAGATTGAGGCCTTTAGGGATTGGGGTAAAGGCATAGGACAAGTGCGCACCATCCCAATATCATCGCTCCCCCGCTCGATAAAGTCCAAACACGCCTGCATGAGGTAGTCGTCGATCTCCGTCTCCTCGTCCAGGTGCAGCACCCAGTCTCGGTCGGTGAGGCTGCTGTGCCGCCGGTACCATTCCAATACTCGGGCCTTGTGGGTGGCGCGCGCGGCCTGGAAGGAGGGCGGGCACTGCAGCTGCTCGACCCAGCTGGGGAGGAGGGTGGTGAAGGGGTTGTGGGCCGAGTCAACGACGACGACGAAGCTGAGGCGGAAGGCTTGGCTGAGGGGTTTCCAGAGCTCGACGGTGTGGAGGACGGTCTTTTGTTTTGGTCAGTACGGGGAGAGGGATGTTGCAGTGACAGTACTTCCCTGGATGTTCGTCGCTTTGGTGACGAGCACGACTCGCAGACTGCGGAAGGACCGCTGTTTCGGGGCCTGGGCGTACGAGAACGGCCGGATGGGGAGACACATGCCCCAGAGGATGTAGTAAGGGGGAAACTGGGCGAGGAGGAACGGGGTGATGATGAGGGTGATGATCGTGCAGTCGCGCGTCCAGAGCACCCCCGGTTGCACGATTGCCTCGGGGACGCCCGCCCACACCATCAAAGAATATACTCCTACAGCGGACCAGTAAGCATGAGATAATCAGAGACAGGCCTTGCGCGTACCTAGAAACGATAAAAAGGCTGTGCACGGGTAGATCGCCCAGTTGTAGTTCAGGACCTGGAAGAGCTTCCGCGAGCGTCGATCGAGCAAGGGCTTCCGTTCCAGATCGACTTCATCTTGAGAACGCATGGTGAAAACAACCGAGACGAGACAAGCCTGGGGAGGGCAGAGGGGCGTAGTTAGAAGTTTCAGCCTCTCGCCTTACCACGAGGAAATGTAGAACGCTCGTGACTAAATCCCAGCAGATTGGATGTGGAGTGAGACTCGAACCACTGTCCTGGAACATCTGAGACACGACTCATATATGTATGCAATTGGCAGCCTTTCCACAATGAATAACAACCCCGGTGAACTGGCTTACAGAGAGCCCTGCAAACCACTAGCCCTGCCTCGCAAAAGCAATGTGAAGCTGACTGGGACTGCATCAGCGATAACCCCCGCTGACAATGTTTGAACCCCTGTTCAGCTTTCAGCCTGCTTGCAAAACCATCATACTCAGCTCGATGGCCGTGTTGCGGCGATCATAGTCCTGATTGAGATCGATCGGCGAGAACCTTAGCCAGACTCGCGCCCCTTTGGTGGGTGGACGAAGGCGGTTCGCAATAACAGCAACCACGAGCCTCCACCAACCGCGACGATGTGACCGGCCGTCTCAGCGATAGTAGTTCGAGATAAAGTCGATGTAAGTCGTCCCTCAAGTGTGGTGAATACATGAACCATCTGCAGTGCGACAGCAGCCACGCAAGTTCCAGAGCTGAAAATGGTACAGCATCAAACATACCGGTCGCACAGGATCGAGCGACTGAGAAGTTGTGCAACATCTTCCTTGGAAAGCCTTGATTTATCTGCAGTGTGACGCATAATGGGAACCAGAGACTAATTAGACTGAGAACACAGGGCTTCTGCTACTCTTTGGGGAAAATTACCCAAGGAAATCTTTGCGCAATTCAGCTTTGCTTTCCACAACTTTATACTCAGGAGTGAGGAGAATAAGTTATGTGTGAGTAATGCGTTTCTATTCATAAGGAGAATAGAAAGGGGGAAAGGACTTATATACCACCTGCCTCAATTGAGTCCAGGTGATCTGGTTCGTAGACGGACCGTGCTCCCTTACTCCCTAGGATGCATGGCTATTTGTACAGTCTGACCTGGTTATTTTAATGGGTCATGATAGGACCATCTGGGCATCACGCGCGTAGTCAATCGGGCTACCTACTACTCCTGAAAGCTCAGAGATCCGGTTATGAGAACTTCAGCAGGGATGGTTCAGCCGTGGACGAACCATCGATCCATGCACCATGACACATCAGCGCAACTGGGTGAATGCATATCTGTAAGCCTGATTTTCACTCTTACATCAGGGACTCACATCGAATATATACAAATTCATGGTCTAGAGGTTATCTATAGTGTCCGTGTACAAATGAATATACCTCAGCCCTCACAGTAACTTTTCCGCTCCAGCAACCCCAACGCGCGCGAACACGCCCAATCCTGGGAGTTGTCGATGGTCCGCAGCTCCACCACGAGCGACTCATCCCTCTCGAGGACCATGGAGCGGCGCTTCTCGACCCCATCCGCATGATACGTGAGGTGGGCCGTGACCTGGCAGCCCGCCGCGTCCGTGGTGAAGGTCACGCCGGGCGGCAAGGGGGCGGCGCTGCGCCACACCTGCGCCAGGTACAGCTTGAGCGACTCGTCGAGGATCTTGGCGTTCATGGTCGAGCTCATGAAGCCCTCGTCGGAGCTCCAGGAGCGCAGCAGATCGCTGGCGAGGCAGTAGAAGGTGTGGTCCGGGCACACGTGGGCGGCGATGTACACGGCGGCCACGATGGTGCTGGTGGGCGCGAACGCGGGGCGGTCCGGCCCGTCGAACTTGCGCATGACCGTCTGCGCCGCGGCCATCAGGCTCTTCCGCTCGCAGAGGTGTCGGTCCGGCACCGGCGGCTGCCGCTTGCTGTACGTCGCGGTCTTCAGCCCCAGGAGCAGCGCGAGGCAGGTGAGCCGCGTCAGCTCGACCTCGCGGAACTCCTTGCGGCGCGCGGGGTCTCGGCTCGTGGCCATGACGGGGCAGGTGAAGGAGGTGGTCCCGAAGGTGCGCAGGCAGAAGTCGTCCAACGCATGCTGGTATTGAGTCAGCAGGGCGATCAGCCGGTGCTGCTGGAAGTGGATTGTGGAGTAGTTGCTCGCGATTTCGGCCTCGGACGCCGACATGCACGTCGCGATCAGCTCGAAGCCGGTGTGTTGGAGTGGCCGGAAGGCCCTGCGCGCGTAGGAGAGGCTCTGGAAGGGTTGCAGGTACGTCTCGTACGGTCGGTCGTAGACGAACTCGCTGTCGAAACGCAGGGGCTTCTTCAGACCATAGTAGATCGACCCTTCTTGGAAGTTCATGAAGGACTCCACGACACACTCATCCACTCCACCGGAGCTGAGTTCCAGCCCTGATGAGCGTCGCTCGATGTTCATCGTATGCAAGATCTGCAGACCCCCTTGCAGATGGAAGGTGGCCTCGGTGACGTTTCCACGCAGTAACTCGCAAATAATAAAAAGCAAACAGCAGACCAAAATGACTTCCTGGAGCTGCGGATCGTGCGACGCGCGTCTCTTATGGATGAGGGCAAATGAACGTGAGGACTGTTCCAGCGCGAAGCCGTACCAGATATTGCGCAGGAGGTGCTGCTGCCCGGGTCTTGGAGTACGGCCTGCCATCTCGTTGGCCTGGCTCACTGCCCCGAGCGCAACGACCGCATGGTACACCGCGGGTTCCGTGCAGGACAAGCAGAGAATCAGTTCCCGCCATAGAGGCGAGTCGAAGTAGCCCACGAGCTGCGGGACAGCACGGTGCTGAAAGAAGGAGAGACAGCGGCTCTCATCCGAGGTCACCTTCCACTGGAACTTGGCTGCGATGGCGGCGCGGATGGTGGCAGATGCGCCGTTGGGAGCGGATAGTACAATGGCTTTGGCGGTGGTTTTCTTACGACCACCCCCGGGAGGCAGCCGTTGCATGTCATACGCGCAAATGCGCCCGGTGCTTGTGCAATTGTTACATGCTCCAGGGGATTCATCGCATTTGACACGGCGAGCTCTGCGCAATCAAGATTTTACAGTTAATCTAAGCCAGTCTGTCAGGTCCAAAGTAGACTACTTACCGGCAGGTCCGACAACCGGTGCGGGATCTCTTCGAGAACGCCTTTCTTTGAGGCTTCGAGAGGATAGCTGTATCGATCGGGGACTCCATGTTGGGAATTGGGAATTTGGCAGGAAACGCATGATGGAACGATTGCGCGAGATCGGATTCTCTTTAAATATCAGAGTCTAGCAGTAGGCTGCCTCGAATAGCAGTAGACTGGCGTGACAGGGGTCTTTCCCCCTCAAATCCAATCACTGCGGTGGATCTCAATTGGGCTCAATCAGCCGGGTTTTAGTGCCATGCCCGCGAGGCGCCGTTGCTGGCCTAGAGGCAGATTGTGCAGGTTGGAATATTTCGGCAGTATCCGAGATACGGAGCTCTAGAAAAGCTGTGCAGTGCTTTGATCCCTGAGGGAGTCTTGAGTAATGAATCAGGGTCGCATCAAGCGAGAATCATGCTAATTATATCGAAGATAATGTAAGGTGAAGTACAGATGTTTTGTATCTTGGAGGAACGAATGAGTGGGAATGGCTTACATAACTGAAGTAACAATTAATCAGCAGTATGTCCAGCAAATCAAAGCAGCAGAAAGAATCAAATGTAGACGAGATGGCCAATCACAACAGCTGAATAAGGTGGGGACTCAGGTATTTCCGATGCTTTTATGAACCTGAGGCATCGAGAACAGCTTAGCACCCCAGAACAAGTGAGCAGATTGAGATAAAACCATTTGGTCCAAGGACCTGGAAGAGCGACTCTCCAGCAGCTCACCTGGCGTGGGAGATAATACTCAGGTCGGAGTTAGTACCAAGCACCATCATTGGCAAGAGGTAGCCTTGTTCCGATAGGTACTTCTCGTAAGTACAGTCCAGAGACCTCAGGGCTGCGTGCAATGTGCCCTACTATTCCTCAGAATAGCTTTTGACGAAGTCTAGCAAACTGACGCCGTGCGCTATAGAAAGCCGACGGCAGGTCGTGGCGCGATCATCGTTGGCTAGCTGTCTATTGACACAAGGTATAGTACAGTACATCTATTCCCTGGGTAGGCCACCACAAGCCACCAAACTATACTATACTTCCACCGGAAACCCTAGAGCTTCCACACCCACGAGAAATGCCCACGAACACGATCAAATCCCTGCTCCACGCGAACCCAGGCGACCGCCAGGGTGGACGCGACCATCAAAGCGCCGACAAAGATCGCCATATCCAGGTAGCTGCGCGAGGTGGTCTCACCGTTGGACGTGCGCACCAGGAGCCCCGCCACGGGGGTGCCGACCAACCCGGCGGCGCCCTGCACCATGTACATGATGCCGGTGATGCGGGGCATTTCTTCAAGACCGAAGAGCTCGACCAGGGCCGGGGAGAACAGCCCGATATAGGCGCTGGCGAACAGGCCATACAAAACAGTGAACACGATGAAGCAGGCCTTCGCCGCCGGCAGGTCGTGCGGCGAGGACCCCAGCAGCGTACTCGGGATCCAGAGGCCCACCGCGCCCACCGCACTCAACAGGGTGACCACAAAGAAGGAATTCAGGCGGCCCAGGTAATCGGCGAGATAGCCTACGGCGACCTTCCCGATCGCATTGCACGCGTTGCTCAGCGAGGTCCAGTTGGCGCCCTCAGACTCACTGTAGCCCAACGTCTGGCCGTACGAAGAGATGTAGTAGACCGGAGTATAATAGGCCGCGCTCTGGAACGCCGCGTTGAGCAGCTGGGCGAGGAACTTGCGCTCCCGAACCAAGGCCCAAGGGGGCAGGGGCACGCGACAGAGTCGTGCCGGCAGCGACTTCGATGCTGCTTCCTCACGAAGACGGCTTGCTGTCCGGGGCTCCCAGTACAGTACGGCGCCCGAAGCGCAGATTAGTACAGTCGACAGGCAGCCGACCAGCCGGAGGGTATCCCGGAAGCCGAGGGCGGAGATACAGGCCTGGATCACGGGGGCGAACACCAGACCCCCGATGCCGGTGCCGGCCGAGATGATGCCCAGGGCGAGGCCGCGGCGTTCGGAGAACCATGTTGGCGGTACGATCATCGAAGGCATGTAGGAGAGACAGCTGCCGATGCCAAGGAGAAGCCCCTGCGAGAGTTGGAAGTGCCAGGACGCGGTGCCGAAGCTGGCGAGGATGTTGGCCACCCCGAATATAAGGCCGCCCACGTATACTACAATGCGGGGACTGAAACACTTGCACCATGCCACCACAAAGGGCGCGCCGAGCTTCATCATCGCCGAGGACAAGCTCCCGATCAAGGTGATCTCGGCGGAGGAGGCGCCGGTGAAGGGAGTGCCGTGGCGGGTCGCCATTTTCTCATACTCGGCCTGGTAAACCCCATAGGCAAAGACAACCCCACACGCGGTGAAGTTAAGCATGAATCCGGACAACACGATCAGAATGTAGTGTCTAGCGGGGTTAGTCCATGCCAAGCTGGAGGTCCCGGGCTGGAAGCTGAGGCGCGACGTACCGACGGGAATGGTCCCTCTTAGGGCTTTCGATGGGTGGAGGCGGTACATTTTCAGGTTCCGACGAATCCGTCATATTCTGAGGTAGTACAGCCACAGAGGGATTGGGGAGGTGAAACGAGACAATCTTCGGCAGCAGGCTTTGCTGTATTCTGCTGTTCTGCTGTTCTGGCTAGATACAGTCAATTATCCCAACGGAAGAGACAGGATTTATACGCCATGTCTATCACCCTGTCTCCGGACTTTGACCCCTGCTTCCCGATGGGCTTCAGCCTGTTTTGTAAACTGTACCTGGCGGGTGGTGGCCATGGTTCACTCCACCCCGCCCGCACATGTTACCAATTCCAACTTAGAAGGGAAAAGGATACCAGGATCGGAGATGACGAGGGGCGATACCATTATTTTTTACCGAGCTCTTGTCTCCACGGTAAGGCTGGCTTGGCATTTTGGAGAAGCGCAAGTTGTCCCGATTCAGCGGAACCCCAATTGATAGATGCAGCCTGAGTACTCCAGCCCTAATTCTGTACACATAAAAGCCCATGTAGTACCGTAACATAGTGGTCCACCTAGTAAAATAATCAAAACAAGTTCAACAGCTCTTCACACCCAAGTTCCAACCACCTGATCCCAACAATTCGTCCACTCTCTTCCCTCCCTTCCCCCCATACACTACGCATCGTCCGTCCGTCCCGCCTGAGCCACGGCATGTCGAGTCGACCTAGTACCACCAGCGCCCTGGGCGCGATCGGCAACACGCCTTGTGTCGAACTCACGCACGTGGTTCCTCCCGACAGCGCCCGGGTATTCATGAAGCTGGAGAGCCTGAACCCGACGGGCTCGTACAAGGATCGCATGGCGCAGTCCGTGATCGAGGAGGCGGAGCGGCGCGGGGATCTGCGGCGCGGGATGACGGTGGTGGAAGCAACGGGCGGCAGCACGGGGTCCTCGCTGGCCTTTGTGTGCGCCGTCAAGGGCTATGCCTTCCGGGTGGTCTCGTCCGATGCGTTTGCGCCGGAGAAGCTCAACACCATGACCGCGTTCGGGGCGCATCTCGACCTCGTGCCCAGCGGAACCGGGACGATCACCCCGCGGCTGATCCCCGCGATGCGCGAGCGAGCGCGGCAGATCGCCGCCCAGGGCGCCGGGTGCTACTACTACGCCGACCAGTTCAGCAATCCCGATGTCTTCCCGGGCTACGAGACGCTGGGCCGCGAGGTGCTGGCGCAGATCCGGGGAGAGATTGACGCCTTCTGCGGAGCCATCGGCGGGGCCGGCATGGTGATGGGGGTCGGAAGGACGTTGAAGCAGCGGTGGCCGGGGTGCCGTGTCGCGGTCCTGGAGCCGGCTTCGGCGCCGGTATTGACCAAGGGGTATGGCGGGGAACATTCAGTGGAGGGGATCGGCATTGGCTTCCCCCCGCCTCTGCTCAACCGGGACTGGTATGATGAGGCCCGCGCTATCGACGAAGCGGAGGGACGGGCCATGTGCCGACGACTGGCGAGGGAGGAAGGTCTTCTTGTGGGCACCTCTTCCGGTCTGAACGTGGTCGCCGCGCTGCAGCTGGCCCGGGAATTAGGGCCCGGGAAAACGGTGGTTACCGTGGGCTGCGATACCGGTCTTAAGTATGTGCGAGGGGATCTGTTCACTCCGAGCTGATGGTGGACCTGAAACTCGATCGAGGTGAGCAACGGGGTCAGCGCTCGGTTAGGTTAGAATCTCTTTTGGTGCCATGTAGCAATCAATGCCCGCACCCGGGCCAACCATGTTCGATAATTCCAATGCAAACCATGAGATCCTCGACTCTTAGGCTATTGAGTGGAAGAGGAGTGCACAGCCGAAGAGTCATCCTCGGACCCGTTACCGACTGCTCACCCGGAACCCCCGACCTCGGATGCGAGCCCTCCCTCCAGAATCCGCCAATAGGCCTCCAACACCCGTCCGATCAAGCGGACGACATCCCATACCGCATCGCCACTCAACAGCTTCTGCCAGATTTTGAGGACGTGGACGCAGAGATCCACGGGCGGGGAATTGCCTCGACCCCCCCGAGCCGCCAGTTCGCCGGCCGGATCCGCCTCCGCCACCATGTCCTTGATGTACGCCAGCAACCGCTCCGCCTCCTCCCTCTCCTGCTCACTGCCTGGATCTCTCGGGACGCCATGGTGCTCACGCTCCTCGACGGCCGAAGTGAGCGTGGCGTCGGTATCGTGTCGCCGCGCCTCCATGGCTAGCAACCACTGACTGGTGACAAACGCGCACTCGAGCGCGCAGAGAGCATGCTGGAGCGACCACGCGAACGCCTGGTTGCGGGCGACGATGTTCACGCCGATCTTGACGGGGATGCTGAGGGCGTGGGCGGAGTAGAGGACGGTGCGGGTGAGCCGGTGGTGGACGTCGTGGTGGTGGTGGTGGTGGTGGTGGGAGTGCTGGCGATGATACGCATACATCGACGCCGCGATCTCCCCTGGATTGTGGCTGGTAAGGGCCCGCCAGGGCCCGACGTCGATGCTCAGCCGGATGTACGCCATGCGGAGGAGGGCGGTCGCGTTGAAGGAGATCGGGCCGCTGGGCCCGCCGGGCCCCAGGAACGATTCCGGGTTCGCGCGACCAGCCCACCTGCCAGTTTTTGAGGGCCTGCTCGACGGCAGCGATGGCTGGCGGGGGTATCGTCGTTGTCCGGGGGCTGAGGCAGCCGTCGCTCTGCTGCCGGTGGTGATTGGTGGCGCGGAGGAAGTAGATGTGTTGGATTATCGCGAGGATGAGGGTGTATCCGCCGAGCGAGTGGTACGTGGCTAGGCTTGAGGTGGGCTGCTGCTGCTGCTGCTCGACGAAGAGGCGGGAGAATGCGGATTGGAAGGTGGGCTCTGCAGGCAGGCTCTTGCGGGCTTCGATCCAGTCGGCCTGGTTGGGGGCTTCCCACACGGTCTCTCGGCAGGGGAGACGGGTTTGCAGTTCGCAGTTCAGGATCGCAGGCGGGGTGTCATACACGATGGTGTGGAAGATGAAGAAGCAGAAGATTATGTTGATGGTGCGGTTCATGCCTTCGGCCTGGACCCAGGAAGCCCAAGATGGGTCTGGTGAAGGCGGCGGCGCCAGTAGCTTTTCATCGCGGATGTAGTTGGCAAGAGTGCTTTGCAATCCGACAGCTTCGTTGAAGATCGCGTGAGAGTTGCCCCAGGTCGCCATCGCCATCAGTATAAGGAGCGTTTGTGCCGGGGGTAGCGGGTCAAATTGATCTGTTTGTGGCTCAGTGGGATGACTTGCTGGCGCAGGAAAACACTTATCCCGTCGCTGGGTCTTTCTACGCTGCAGCCGCTCCTGGACGATGGCCAAGGAGGTCCGATAAAACATGATGGCATTTGCGTGATCGAAGGCTGACTGCGCCCCAATCGTCGCCATGGCTAAAACCAGCTCCACTGGACACTTGATAGGCGAGAACGACGGGACATGGAGGAAAGGTAGATGTCGGTGAAACCCGGTAAAGTAAGTGGTGATATAACGGGTCATCGTGTGGCGGGATGGAAGAAAAAATTGCGGAGGAAGTAGTGCCGCAAAGCTCTGTATCTGCGTGAGAAAGTGATCCCAGATTTCCTGAGTGACTTTCCATGGCTCCGCACTTGACTTAGGAGGAGGGTCGAAGGAGGGGAATGTGGAGGTGAAGTCATCAAACAATCGCGGCGCTTGCGGATCGTCCCCCACGGAGTCCGGCATGTCGGCGTGAAGCCGTGACGATTGAGTCCGGGTGCCATCAGAGAAGAGCGAAGTTGACGAGAAGGGCAAGATGGGCTGATCCATTGATAGCGCTGGGTTCATGTTTCCGTACGGCATCGCCATACTGTCGATGAAGAAAGCAATGTCCCCGAAATTGCTGGTTGGTTCTGGCCATGGTGTATGCAGCGGGCCGAGTGATGTCCCCGCTGTCGTTAGGAGGGGATCGACCAACGAAGAATTTGAGGTAGGGAGGGGCTCTAGCATTCCTGGGGGTAACATAGAACCGCTGTCTGGTGTCGTGAAGGCCGGGGAAGAGCCATCCAGCACAGGAGCCCTGCCGTCTACACTGGCCACCGGTACCGATGGGTTCGTATCACGCGTAGTGGCAGGAGTGACAGGGCCATCTGGAGTCTGAGTATTGCCCCCAGTTGGGGAGATGTTATGGGACATTCGAGTATGACGGGCCAGCAGGTCGCTGTGGCATTATCTCAGTGTTGATTGTCGTGACATGTAATGACGTGTAAGACCAGCACCTACCGGCGGGTGAATGCCTCAGTACAGCTGACGCAGCGAAATGGTTTTTCTTTAGTATCTGATTGACCTGTGAGTGTTTATGTAAATTGCTGTTGGTGAGGAGACAAGATCTCATACGTAACCGTTCGTGTCTCCGTAAGTGCTCGTTGCGGAGAAAATCCTTGGCACAGAACCGACATCGAAAGGCTCTTATCGGTTCTTGTGACTCACTGGGGTCTGAGCCGGCAGATCTAAGCCTGAAATTCTTTGTCGCTGGCATTGTGAGAGGACATCGAGTAATGAGTATCTATCGCAGAGACAATTCTCGCAAATTCGAATTAGGGATGGGTCATTCACGCCATCGCCCGCCTTACTAAGCCGCCCTCTTCTCTGCGTATTACGGTACAGTACAGTACCCCGGACAATGTTACAATACAACCTTTCAAAAAGCGGTACATAGTTGCAAATTACTCAGGCTCTACAGAAAGTAAACCCTACACACTGGACAACGACAGCTTCTCTGCTCCAATCACGGTAAGTAAACACTCATCTCAAAGCCATTGGAAAACGGCAGCGTCATGTTCTGGAAGCCATTCTCAGGGGACCGCAAGAATGCCAAAAGATCGGCATATCCTTTGGCCCCCGAGACGGTGTTATCTGTGAGCACCACTGCACCGCGGCGCAGACGAGGCAAGACCGTTTGCAGCGTCGGCAAGGCCAGCGCAGACCAGACTTTGAGGAGGTTCATGTCAGCCAACCTGTTACCAACCAGTCCACTAGGGTGAATAATATCACGAAACTTACTATCAAGAAGCAGTAGGTCGATCTCCTCCGGCAATCCGCCCTTTAACGTTTTCAACAGGTCCCCTTCGCGCAGATCAATGTGCCGTTCCACCTCGGGGCCGCACTGCGCCCAGTACCCCCGTGCCGCCGCCGCTTTGGAGGCCTCCTTCTCGGTAGCGATCACGATGCCCGGTTTCCCAGTACGGGCAGTAGTCTTCGCAACGGCCAGGGCCAGGTAGATAGTGCTGACGCCGAAGCTAGTACCGGCTTCGACGATATTTGTGGCGCCCATTGCAGTGATCAGCTGGTAGGTGAACTGACATTTATCTTGGTCCAAGGCGATGAACTTGTCGAGCATGAGGCGGTCAAACTGCTCTTTGGGATTCGCAGGGGTGGCGATGGTGGGGTCCTGACCTTGGAGCTCGCTCAGGATGCTCGAGGAAAAGACCTTGCCGGTTTTGGAGAGGAGAGCCTCTTGGTCCAGGGACTTCTGGTGGAGGTCGGCGAGGAGTTGGAGGATATGAGAGGGAGCGTCGACGGGGCTGGGTGCTGTCATGATTGTGTGTGATCGAGCAACTGAAGTCTTGGTGGACTCGATGGATGCTTTGGATGCTTTGATAGATGTCTTGGTAGATGAAGAAGTTTCGTCTGCCATCACGTTGGCCGGAGGAGGCTAATGAAATGAAATACGGGGTGCCTCGGAGAGAAATGAGGGGTATCCCGTGGCTTGGCATCTTGGAGACCCTTATATCTGCCCGGCCTACGGAGTAGACACCTCAGACATCTAGCTCAGTCGCGATAGAGAGTGAATCCAATGCCAACCTGACTATTGTCCGCTGTAAAAGTCCATTGAAACCGAAATAGCGCAGCCATCGGTTGGCTGCGCGTATTCACGACTCTAATTTAGCCCAGCCTTAGTGACATTCCATAGAGATCAAATGCAATGATATTGTTTCTAAACGCTCATCGTGACTGAAACTTGTCTTCGTGAATATTCAAGATCGATGAGGCAATTGAAGTCACCTCTCAATAGCAAGAACTACAGAGATCTACACGTGTGCATGCGGATGAATTCCACCCTCCCGCACCACGAATTTCGCAATGATCCGTGCCCCACTGGTGGAAGCACTAATGAAAAGGTAAGTACCTGGCTGTACTTGGTATTATGCACATTATATTACATATATTACATCATATATGTGAAGAATATTGGTCAAGGTGTAGACTGGATTTATATTACAGGCTTTTTTAGCAGGCGCCATTGAGATGTGGCTGCATATCAACTTCGGAGACCTCTGAAATTCGAGGCGAGGGAGGATCCCCGTACGAGACAGTACTACTCAATACAGTCATTCGGAGTTGACAAAGCTTTCCCCGACTCATCATTCATATTGCGGCTTGATCAGATCATCACCACTACCTCGTCTTCATGCAATGATTTTGAGCCCAACGTCGCCAACACATAGCATCATTGTCCTGGTTCGCTCTTTCTGTCTTCTTCCAGCATGACCGCAATCCAATCAGGAACTCAGGCAGAGGCCTGTCCCACACAGCCCCTGCCCGATGAGGTCAGTGAACATAGCATCGCTCAGGGCGAACCTCCTAATGGCGGATACGGATGGGTCTGCGTTGCCTGTATTTCGTTGATCAATGCCCATACTTGGGGAATGAATGGTGTAAGTCGAAGTGTGCACAGTAACAATCATTTACCCATATACAAGTATTCTGATTCTGGCATGGCTCGTGACTAGTCCTACGGAGTTTTCCTGGCTCATTACATCAAGGCCGATATATTCCCCGGAACATCTTCTCTGATATATGCCCTGATCGGTGGTTTAACCGTGTCGATGTGCCTGGTCATCTCTCCTGTGGGGGCGCTGACTACTCGTCGCTGGGGAACCCAAGCTACCCTCCTTATCGGCGTCGCCTTCCAGACAGTCGGCCTCGTCGCCGCGTCTTTCTGTCATGAGATTTGGCAACTTGTCCTTAGTCAAGGACTCTGTTTTGGCTGGGGTATGGGACTGATGTTTGTCGCCTCATTTGGCATCCCGGCTCAATGGTTTACGACCAAGCGCAGTCTCGCCAGCGGATTCGCCACCTGCGGGAGTGCCCTGGGAGGGCTTATCTACAGCCTGGGTGCCAATGCCATGATCGAGAATATCAGCCTGCCCTGGGCCTTTCGAATCCTCGCCATAGTTTCCTTGGTCGTCAACTTTGGAAGCTCCCTCTTTCTGCGTGACCGCAACACACAGACCAGGAATAGGCCCGCTGTCTTCAAGGCTAGCCTTCTGAAGAACATCGATTTTCTGCTGGTTCTCCTATGGGCTATATTCAGTCTGACGGCTTACATTATCGTGCTCTTCTCAATCCCAGACTACGGAGAGAGCGAAGGACTATCCGCCGATCAAGGGGCGCTGCTCGGTGCCTTAGTGAATCTCGGTCAGGTGGTAGGCCGGCCGGGGGTGGGCTTTCTGAGTGATCGGCTCGGCCGGTTGAACGTATCCGCCGTGATGACTTTTCTCTCCGGGTTACTCTGCTTGGTCTTCTAGACATTCGCACGGCAGTATGCATCCATAGTAGGTTTCTCAATTGTGATAGGACTGTTCATCGGGACTTTCTGGGCCTCGCTAGCCCCGCTCGTCGCCGAAGTGCTGGGGCTGCACGAAACAATCAACGGGCTCAACATCTGCTGGATGGTTCTAGTCAGTCCAATTACTGGTACGCGATGCCCTTCCCTTCTGCAATGCTCACTGAAATGCGTGACCTCTGACATGCCCGTCGGTACCACCCAGTTTCTGAGGGTCCGGGGTAAAGAAAAAAAGGGTTTCTTTTCCCTCTAGGGCTTCTGTGTTACATATGTCCGAGCTTCGACTTCATCGCGGACTCGGGGAGGTACAGCACAACTCCGCGCGAGAAGCTGCGTTCATATATCCCCGAAGACTCTGCATTGTCCCGTACCTTTTCCCGGGTTGTTGCCAACCATCCCCTAGCACCGCATAAGCATCCAGAAATAGGCATGGAAAGGACCGGTATGATATAATACGTCTTTAATAGAGATAGCGTAGTACTGTATTCCATAAACTCGACTTCTAACAGAGACTTGTAATCCTGTTACACCCGAAAGTAAAAGATAGATGTAGAATCACAAAACGGTTGTAACTCTTCTAATAAACCTTGTGGACTCAGTTGTTATGTTGTTGGGTAGCATAAATGGCTCATTCGTAATCTGGACAAAAGATACAGTAACTTGGATCAAGAAAATAGACTTTTAAACATCGAGTAATTTCCGCGGAAACCTCTCTTTGAAAGTGTATGCGGCGTTTTGCATGTGCCTCTGTGCGGTAGAGTATATCGTGACAAGTCTCCATAATGCCAAGCCTTACTCTTCGTGTCGGACGTATCTGGACACACTTGGAGACAGAAGGTAACCCCTAAGTTTCGTAATGAGGCCCTTCAATGAGGAAAATTTTTCCAAGTGTGACAGCCACGTCCAAACTTTTAGCCTGCTAAGGAGGTGCGTAAACTTCGAGCGAGCTTTTGGTGTACCCCAAGCAAAGATTCACTTAGCATTGTCTTCACGCATGCTCATACACCAGATACAGATTGCCACTGACAGCTAACATAGTACATCCTAGTTCTTTCTGCTCTCTGCTCCCTCTACTCCCTTTTTAGAGCAGCTCTGTTCTGCCGCTGTGACTAACACCATGGCAGGATTGCCACGGAAACATGTAGCAGGCCAATCCACCAGTCCAGCCTCCTAGACCTCGGTCAGGAGGGCGAGCTGGTACATACCACATACTCATCGAGAGTAAATCACCGGCCCCACAAGTGCATTAATCTATGCCATATAATCTCAGAGAGATCGTTCTGGGAATGATCTTTGAAGACGCGAAACCCTCACACCAAGTGAAAACGAGCAGTGTCCGACTGTCCAGCGCAATGCGGTCATTTCCGATGAGAAAGCTCCGAGCGTCGGGTCGGCCGTCACCAGACGTACAATCGCGTCTCTTCGACAAATAGCTGTCAGAGACCCGCAAGCACTTGTTCGGAGTATCAAAGGCCCTGAGAGTCCTGTCACAACTGATTATTGATCGGGCGTTGGACAGTGCCGATTGAGCGACCAAAATCGCTCAGCACCACGGTCTACGCGGCGTTGATGGGAGGGCAAAAGCCGGGAACTTGCTGCTGAGGGACGATTTAAGACCCAGGCGGCTGCCTGCTTTCTAGGCTTTGAATACGTGAAATGTAGAAAGCAGTATTCATTCCCACCTAGCGCGTCGAGCCCCATGAGCCACTTTCTGCCACTCCGTATGCCTAGTAGCAATAAACAGCGGTAGGACAGCTGCTGGACTGAGCATTGTACTGTACCATAATTTATTTGATTTATCACCGCTCGCAATATGACGCTGACCTATTCCGGCCCAATATCCAAGAATCTCACTAGTACGATCAAATTAGATGTATTATCTGCCATAAGATACCATGGCGAGCGACTCTCGTCACTCAGACCGCTTCCAAATTGCGGGCAAAAAGAACTAGCTGAGAACCATGACCATATAGAGTACCCAATGGATCGGATGCAGAACCATCGTGCCCATCTCCTGTGCCATGATGCTAACCAGGAAGGGAAAGACTGCCCCACCGTCACCTCCCAAGGCCCTGACAATACTCCGCGTGGGACACCATGGCTGTGGTAATTAGTGGCGGAAATATCCCTCCTATCTCATACGCGCCCAAGAAAAAGCCCTGGGTCGTGATATAGCTGCCAAGGTTTGCGCAGAAGACCATCGCACAGCCGACAAGAAGAAATGCCGTGATCACGATCGGCATAGATAGATTAGAGTGAATCTTAAGTGTTCTAGTTGATATCTTCAAGATTTCTAGATACATGTAAGTGTAATAGTCATATACTTAGTACTTCATTTATATTCTGGTCAAACATCGGTTTACAATTCTCTCTTTCTCTTACAGTGTTAAAACTTGTGAACCCCAAGCCAAGCCTATAGTGCTTTATTTCTAGATTAGCATAAAACTATAGGTATGTGATTTTAAATAAATTTTACAATCAAGGGTCTTGATTGACTTCGTTGAAATCTAATAGTACAAGAAAGTAATTGGGCGGGTGGACACGAGCTTCTATACAGAAACTGAGTAAAGTTTCACGGAACAAATGACAGGTAATCTTTTAGCACGGATACCACTTGATCGATGCCAAAGATGCAAATATGTCTCTCTGTGTGTACTGGAGATCTGCTATTGGAGGGCAGTCTTAGGATCACGTTCGGCAATCTGCGCGTTGTCTCCTGGTGTCCTGATTCGAACTGTGCGAAGTATATCTATGTTTAGATTCTACTTGAAATTGGTTGTCCATGTCAGCGATACTGGACTATTTCTGTTATAATAGTGACTAGAAGTTAAGAGGAATAGTGCACGAAAATTATATTGCCAGCAATAAATATGGACAACTTAAAGCTAAACAGGTTGGCTGTACTGAGTATTTTGAAGATTAAATATCTGGCAGTAGACCATCACCAATATAGTGCAACCCCCAAGATAAAAGATAATAACGTACTGTACATGGTAAGCTTACAGCTGACGATGAATTCTCAATCCACTTTAACTGAGTGACTTAATACCGCATCCCAAGAAGAAAAACAAAACAGCCAACACAATGGTGAGACAGCAGCACAGTTGATCCGGGGTCACACCGACTAAAATAGTAGGGATTGACGTGGCCCGGGCCCAATGACGGCAAGGTGTGGAGGGTTGTGGATAAATATAGGGTCGGCGGGTGGGGCGCAGCAGTGAATGGGGGGCAATACATCAAGTTTTATGGGGTGATCATCGCTGCGAGGGAAGGAAGGGTATTTATTCCGCTGCCTTCTTCCTCCCTCGCAGCTGGTGTCACTTTCTTTTCTCCTTCTTCCACCTTACTCCTTACTTAGTTATCTGTCTTTTGGGCTTCACACGGTCGTTGATTTTATCTGCATACTCTACAGCAGCAGTGACAACACGGAGTCGTTACAAACTCAACCACAAACACAAACACTCGCTTACGTTACCACCACCTTGAAACCAAAACAACACCTCTACCTGTTTACAGACCGCAACCAAAATGTCCACCTCTACCGCAACCACCACCGCAACAGCCACCACCGGCTCCGCCGCAGCCGCCACCTGCACGGGCAACCTCTACGTCCTCCCCGTCCAAGACGCCGCCTGCGCCCTCCCCAACTCGGGCAATTTCTCCTCGGTGATGGACAAATGCTGCTCGCCCGCGACCGTCACCAAATACGACAACGACTGCGGCCTGTACTGTCTGGCGCAGGATCAGACCGTCAAGACCCTGCTGGCATGTCTCCAGGACAACGGCGCCGTGACCCAGGCCTTCTGCAGCGGGAACCTGACGGCCAGCGCGACGGCCAAGGTCTCGTCCACCGAAACCGGCAAGGCGGGCAAGACGGGTACCAGCACGGGCAGTGCGGCCAGTGGCACAAGTACCTCCGACAAGAGTGCGGCGGTGGTCGGGCACAAGGTTTCGATGGGCGGGTGGGTCGTGCTGGGGATGGTGGTGTCTTCGTGCTTGTTTGGGGTCATGGGCTAGATTCTCCCTTGGAGGTATGCAATTGATCAGTTGGGTTTGGGGATCAGCTTGAGGTGGTTCTTTAATGATAATATGTGCCAACCATGGGAAGGTGGCTGGCTGGGGGAGAACCCCCAGACCCCCCTTTCTTTCAGCTTCCCGGCAGCCTCAACCCTAAGTCCTAGTGATGATAATATGGCGGGCTGTATTATAGGTTGGTCTTAATTAATCTCTATCGTTCTAATATGCACGAAAATCATTCCAGTACATTATCTCGAGCATCTGAGAAACTACACTCTCCACCCCCTATTACTACCTCTCATCTCCCAGCGCACCCAGAAACACGCGCCCGCCGCCGCCATCAGCAACGCGCCCACTGTTCCCGCCGCCCGCCGATACGTCCCGGCGTCCACCAACGCCGTGCGCTCGGGGATCAACAACCCCACTAACGGGGTACCCACCAGCGCCCCCATGCCCCGGATGAGATACAGCACCCCGTTCACACTAGTAAACTTCTCCACCCCGAACACCTCCACCAACGAGGCCGGGAACAGCGAGATGTACGCGCTCGCGAACGCCCCGTACAGCACCGTGAACACGATGAAGCAGCCGCGCGCCGCGGCGGCGGGCACCCCGCCGTCCGGGGAGAACGTCGCGGGCAGCCAGAAGGCAAATACTGCCACGGCGCTGACGAGCGTGGTCGCGGCGAGGGCGTTGATGCGCCCGAATTTATCGGCCAGGTGGCCGAGCACAATCCGCGAGACGAAGTTCGAGGCGTTGCTGACTGTCAGGAAGGTGGCGGCCGTGGTGGTGCTGTAGCCCAGGGTCTGCGCGAAGGCGACGTAGAAGAAGAGCGGGGTTGTGTACCCGGCAGATTGCAGGAAGCAGCCGGATGCTTGGGCGAGGAAGCGTCCAGAGAACGCGGTGGTGCGGTCGACAAGGGGGACGGTGAGGAGGCGCCTCCACTGCGTTCTGGAAGAGGTGCTGCTGGGGTTAGATGCGAGTTGCTCCTGCTGCCGGGCTTTCAGGTTGGCGTGGAACCGCGGTTCCCAGCGAAGGACGGCGCCAGCGCCCGTCACGATAGTCGTGGCGATACAGCCAGACACACGCAGGGCGTTGCGGAACCCGATGTGCGAGATCATCGCCCGCAGGACCGGGGGCCACATCATGCCGCCGATCCCCGTGCCGGAGATGATCACCCCCATAGCCAGGCCGCGGCGGGCGCTGAACCAGGTCGGGGCCACGGACATGGTGGGCACGTAGGCGAGGCAGCATCCAATCCCGAGAAGCAGACCCTGTGTTAGGGCGAAATGCCACAGCGCCCGGCTGAAGCTGGCAAGGATGTAGGCGACCCCAAACACCCAGCCGCCCGCGATGATGACGGCTTGCGGGGAGTATTGTTTCGACCAGGCGGTGGCGTAGGGTCCGGCCATGGACATGAGCGCGATGGCCAAGGTGCCGATGAGATCGATGAGTGCCGTGGAGGCCCCTGTGAAGGGGGTGTTGGGCTGCGCGGCCATCTCCTCGTATAGGGATTGGTACACTCCAAAGGCGAAGATGAAGGAGCAGGTGGTCATCATGATGAGGCAGCCGGCTGCCACGATGGCGACATAGTGCCTGATCTGTCAGAAGGGCAGACTTGGAACGAAGTGGTGATCTGCTCACCATTTCGGATACGTAGGGTCAGCGACTGGTTCATTTTTAGGTGGCTGCGTGCTGCTGGGCTCATTCTGCAGTGACTGCGAGATTGGTTCACTCTTGACTATCACCGACCCAGCGGTAAGTGTGACTTCTGCTTTGGAGTCCGCCATATTGAACCCCGCGAGAAATATCAGGGTTGTACCAGACCAAGGAGGGGATAAGCCTTTTAGGGCGATCTGATAAGGGGGTCACGGCCATTCCACTGCCGAGTTGGGTGCCGCGGCTGAACCTTTACCCGCCACATCGGCAGCCCCAGCCTCGCATCTCCCGGTCCCATCTGGAATTTGGTGACTGGCCCTACAGGGTCTCCAGGTGGAGATTGTTCCCGTGTCCTACAGCCCTAAAAAGCGTGCGCGTGATGCGGATTCGGCTAGTACCGCGCGCCACCTGAACCGAATCGGTAGTGAGGGTGCCGACTCGACCGCCAATGTTTTAGCATTCGACGTGAGAGTAGGTATTCTTGAGAATACTCGGTTTAAGTTAAGTATTCTTCATTTGTACAGCCGCGCGGACGGTAAATGCATTCCATAGATCATGGATGGCGGATGCTCTCCGCCTACTGGTCGGACGAAATCGTCTTCTTCAAATGCACCTGTTTGATACAGAGTTGTGATTGTCAGCGTAGCGGATAGTAGAGCCATATGATGCAGTGGTTGAACAAGCTAGCCAGGAGTTTATACATTGAGAAGTCAATTAGCAACGACCAACAACCACCAAGAATCCAAGAAATCGTTTCATACCGACTATTCCTGAGTGTCACTTTATCGACTGTGATTATGTTGAAATGGGCTGGGAGCTGCATGATTGCCTTGGTTTTGAAAATGAAAAAAGAAACACAAGATAAGAGAAAGAGAAGTGAAACCGATAAACAAGAGAAGAAGACAGAAAAACCATGAAGTGATGGTGATTTAGTTAGTATGAATGGGGGTTGGCGTTTTTGCGTAATCCAGGCCACGTGACCAAGCGATGCACCAAGCGAGTTGCCCACGTTCAAATCTTAGCTGGTTCATCAATCGACCAACCACCAAGGAATCAAGAAAACGTTCCATATCGCCCATCCCTGAGCTTCATCAATCGTTTACAAGTAATACAGACCAGAAGAAGCTTAGATGGCGGTCAACTGGGCGGCCATGAATTGACCCGTTTTGAAAACATTTTTACATCAAATCAGTGACAGTCATACTGAACATAAAAATGAACGAATAACAGCGGACACCAGAAATGTACTGCTCTAGTATCTTCTGATATAAAGATTGAGGAGTGCGATTCCCAATCATCCAGCCAGGGCGTGGCGCAGTCAGCCCCTCTTCCACTTTCAGCCATCTGATTGGTTGCCCGTATGTGTGTTGGCCAGCATGATCCCGTTGTGGCTGTGACTACCGCCAGCCTGGAGGCGTGGTGCATCAGACGGCTGAGAACCTGCATCTTACCTGTCTTAAACCCAGATCAGGCCCCTCTTTCCTACAGTTCGACTTCAGATTTCCCTAGACTACGTGGTGCAGGTCGCAAGGCGGAGATTTCGCGAGCTGTCGAGGATAGTACCCATGGCTTTGTCGCGATCAGCAAGCAAGCGCCTGCTGCCTGACGATGAGGATGATAACGATGGGAGCAGCATAAGTAGCAAGCGGGCTTGCTCCGAGACACCTGCAGAGAGCCTTACGCATGCTATCACTACTCCAAACGGCGACTGGTTCGGGGAGCAGCCGTTTAACGACCATCGAGACCCTTTCGGGTGTAACGTGGGCGGCCCGATTTGGCCACAGCAGGGTTGTCCGGAGATACGGGTGGAGGATCCATATGGGGCACTAATCCGGGATTCCGGCGTGGTGTCTGATTCGTTACGCGGGCTGGAAATCGATATGTCGGACAGCAATTGGAGTGCACAGCTAGGGGATAATATGGGCTTTGATGTGCAAGACCGCCATGGCGCCCTTGATGCGCCACACTGGCAGGACTTAGGTCAGAGTGGTAAGCCTCTTGCGATGGAAGAACAAATTGCCTGTACTTTTTCTTGCGCCCGGGCTAATATTACATCTGTTGGTAAGGGCAAGGAGGCGCTCCTTACCCTGTAACAGACATGTGGTTGAGACAGCAGTTGCCAGGGTACGAACAAGACCCAGCAGAGTCTCAGAGCTTCAGTGCCGATCTGGAACTTAAGGGTACCTCTGACATCCTGGATCCATTGATTGAACCTAACTTTGATTGGAATGCAATTCAAATGGAGTTATCCGGTACCAGTCCTAGTACAAATGAGCTTCAACTCAAGATCATCGACAAGTCAAAGGAACCGACGACCGATACAGACGAGGAACAGTACCGGGCGTGTATTGATAAATGTCAAAGCGAGCCCGTAACAAGCGTTGAATCAACGGACGCAGTGACATGGGACACTTGCTTTGGCGAGGTACGTAGAGAATCACACCTATCTCCAATCCCTACCTGTCGCAAGCTGACCGTTTCCCAGCTTACCGCTGAAGCCACCTCCACATTCAAGGATGACGGAAAGACAAAAAGTCGAAACCGAAAGTCAGCCCGGGTCGATCTAACAGCCCTTGGTGGAATCGTCAAAATGTCCTTCACGGACACGAAGAAGTACGCAGGCATCGTCGCTATGCCTGCGCTAGTGGATCTGCTGAAAAAACATCGTGTCAAGTTGGTCGGCACACTGTTCGCCGCTCCACTCAGTAAGGATGCTGGGATTGGGGAGTGTCAGAAGCCAGAGCTGAGAGTTATTGTCTACGGAAGTATCAATGACAAAGACGCGGTCGGGACTTGCTTATCGGACGCAGGAATGTACCTGCAACATCCCACAAGCGTGGAGTATGACTCCAGATTCCCATATGTGAACCCACAGTATCTTGTGCGACCTGGGGGTGAAATGCCTCGAATCGATGAACTCAGGGTCTCCGACGATGAGCAGGGCTCGCAGGTTTCGGAGAGGTTGAATGAAGGGGTCAAGAGTGAGCTATTCCGGATCCTCGACACGGTTAACACCTATGAGGGGTCCTATGAAGCCTGCTCCAGTCCAAGGTTGGCGTCGAGGTTGAAACCGTAAGTGAGATGTTCGTGTAGGGGGTCGAATTAGACGCTGATATTTCGATGCAGTCACCAGGAAGTGGCCTTGGCAATGATGATAGAAAGGGAATCTGGACAAATCGATGGTCTGAAATTTCCATCCATCTGGGAAGCGCTCGGGAACCACAGGTAGGATATCAGCAGCACTAGGTGATTAACACTTTTGAAAGCCGTTGACTGGTGGCAGATACCGACATAGAATCACGGGGACCATCGACACAGACCCTAGACCGATGCGTGGCGGAATCCTCGCAGATGTGAGTTCTTATTTTTACCCCTGCAATGGGACTGTGTCTGACCTCTGTGCAGGACATGGGCTTGGGCAAAACACTGAGTCTTCTAGCACTACTCTGCTGCTCCCTCGATGCCATAGAATACCTACAGCCACCTCCCGACAGCCCTCGGACGACTCTGATCGTCACACCGAAGACCAGTAAGTTGTAATGCTTCATGGCTTACCATGAGCGGGAGCTGACACACAAAGCTATTCTGGGATGGGAGACACAGATTAAAACGTAGGCGTGTTCTTGATATGTTGTCATTTCGCAGCTAATCTTGGCCCCAGACACATCAAACATAACCAACTTCGGTACTTCATATACCATGGCGCAAATCGAGGCAAAGTTAAACCTTCCCTGGTACGCGAGTACGATATTGTCATTACAACATATGAAACCATACGCCAGGGTTGGCGGACAAAGGATGGTTTAAGCACAGAGACTTGGTATCGCATAGTTCTAGATGAAGGTATGCTTATGATAAAGAGGCTGAGATGAAGATATGACATAGGGCTGGTTGCGATCTGACTCAGCCTAGCACATCGTATCCGGAGCCGGTCGTCACAGGTGTTCAAGGCCGTGAGCTCCCTGAAAGCGCACGTTCGATGGTGTCTCACCGGTACGCCAATCCAAAACTCCATTGACGACTATGGTGCCCTCTTGAGCTTCATGCAAATGCCGGTCCTGGAGACCAAGTCCGCATTTGATTATTGGATTGCGTCGCCGGTGAAGCGTCAGCAACCGGGCTATATCCAGACACTCCAAGCGCTCGTGGCTGCCACAGCTTTCCGGCGGACCAAGAAGACGCTTGATTCCGCCCTTCAGCTGCCCAAAAAGGTTGAAAGAACCGAATTGGTTCACTTGACGGCCGCAGATCGGGAGGTATATGACTATTTCAAAGCGAAAGCATCCAAGAAGGCAGCGGAGCTCTCTGGTGAGGCTCAGGATCCTGGAAAACAAGCCGGTGTAGATACGACCCTCGCACTGATTAACATCCTGCGGCTAATATGCGATTATGGTGAGCGCTTGCTACCTAAATCCGCGCTCGAGCTATGGCGCAACCGAGACAGACATGTTGATGATGTTATTGCCGCACCTTGGGAAAGTGTGGACGGCTGCTCGAATGAGGAAGACTTTGTTCTCGACAATAGCACACCGGCTGGTGATAGAGCTGCTGGTGGCAGTGCCAAGCTGTGGGACGTGTATGATGCTACAAAACGTACAACTAATTCCCTAGATGAGATGACAATGGAAGGATGTCAAGTGTCTTCTTTGGGCTTATCTCCGAAGGTGATAGCATTAGTGAAAAACTTGGAAAGGGAGCAACGAAGCACATCGCGATCAGGTTTGATGCCTGCAAAAAGGTAGGCTGCAAGAATTCCGCGCTTACAAGCGAAGACTTCCAAGTCCACTAAGTGATCAACAGTGTGGTTTTTAGTCAGTGGACCAAGATGCTCGACCTGATGGTCCCGGTTCTCCACTCCAACAAATATGACTTCGTGCGGCTCGATGGAGGATCGAGTTTAGCAGATCGCCAGCTAATGATCGAGCGATTCACAAGGGACGAGAGCTGCACGGTAATGCTGGCCAGCATTGGCAGTGCCGGAGAAGGGTGAGAGAACATGTATCCAATTTCCATGTTTGGTCGGCTGACGGAGGATTCACAGCATCGACCTCACCGCAGCCAACTCCGTGCACATTATGGAGCCTCATTGGAACCCAATGCTAGAGGCGCAGGCAGTCGACAGGGTTCATCGAATAGGTCAATCCCGTGAAGTTATCGTTACAAGATATCTCACTGTCAACTCCATTGAGGATGTATGTGTGACACTTACTTTTCCATCAAATTATCATACTGACGGGATTGTAGTACGTTCGTTGGGTCCAAGAAGACAAGATAGCAATCATTCAGCAGTCGTTAGCTTCCGTTCCAAAGTCACAGGCAGAGCTTGAACATAGGCGATGGAAGGTATGTAGTGTATTGTTTCCGAGTGCTTCCTTGATAGAATATGACTAAATCTGTTTCAGAAGCTACAGGCTCTTCTGAGTAACTTACCACCAGCAGAGGCAGCTGATTAGCCTGCCGATGAATTGGAAACTTCCCTTCCTCACTGTTCTTTGCTCTCTGATCATTCAATAAAATTATCATCGACGGTCTGCTGGTAATATCATGTGAGATTTACAATCATTAACGTGTATATATGGCTCAAGGTCGGGATTTCGCGTGCATTTATATGACACATAGATACAACGTCACTCGTCATTGGCTAGTTGCATTTTCATCTGCATGGGCCCTAGCCTGTTCTACCAAATCGTTCCATGAAACCCCGAGCCAACGATATATCTCCTTCGCCCCGATCTGGTCGGACATTTTAATTGAGGCTGAAGCGAGCTGTGCATCAGCGCCATGAAACAGAAGAAGCTTGGCAAATTCGGCATTCTTCGCTCTAGATTTGCGTGTTGCATATTCGAGTACCGAAATCTTGCTACCTTTGGTAATCCAATTAACATTGGCTCCATGTTGAATCAGAATCTGCCCAAGCCTTAAAGAGCAAGTTGTCTTGGCAACGTCCATCAACGCCTGCGAAATATCAATTTGTCTGATTTCCGGCCAAACAGAATCCCACAGTGAGACTAAAAAGTCTTCTCTGCCCGGTTTGCTTGCTGTAGCACCAATCACATCTTTGCTCATGACTGCCCAGAACAGTCTTCTAGGACTTAGTCCTTCCACATCTCGAAACATTGCAAACCATCTGCGGCCAATGTCGTGCATCTCTGCCGAATCGCACAGTGCGAATTCTTTGACAACCTCTACTGGCCTTCCATGCTCATCCAATTCCACTATTTGTTTTGCGTCAAGAAGCCAGCTGAGAAGGCCAGTATTTGAATCCTTTATAGCTTCCGAATAAACGTACTGTATTTCGGCAAATGGCAAAAGTACCACCGCAATTGGCGCAGACCCAAACCTTCCCAGTATCTTTCCCAGTTTCTGTCGGCTCCATAAATATCGGAAGCTCGCCTCCAATACCATAAGGGGAAGGGACTCGATAGCCTCAATATCGTTAGACCTGACTAGATCTAGGATAAACTTTACCTCGTCCTCGGGTGACATATGAGTGTCGTGAAGAATCTTATTCGAATCATTTGGCTTTCGATGAGCTTTGCTTGCATGCTGGTCTCTCATATTCGCAGACAAGAATCCAGTTCTTTCATACTCGCATCCTGGAACAGTGCAATTCCAAACGCGGGTATGTTCGGTTTCATGTCGCTTTTGTATTGCTTTGGACTCAAAACCACGGCGTTGAAGAGGGCAGTTTAAATACCCGCATTTGTAGGGCTGTAAACCGAACACACGGTCGAGGAGTCCGCATTGGCATCCGGGATTGTGGGAGCCGGAAGCGCACTGCATTCTTTTGATGTCTTGGTAAAGTCGAATTGATACTTGGGATGATACTAGTGGATCGAAATCAACCCATTTCGTTTCTAGACACATTATCATCCACACATCGGGCCAACAAATGTGCGATAAGGGGCATACCTTCATTCAGATGATATGTTTCTTGTGAGCACATATGACGGAATCGGTAGACGTTGTCAAGGAATTGATAAAGCTCTGAGTGACCTGCTCGAAAGACATGCAGAAATGAAGCTTCCACAATGCGTCCGTTAACCGGCGCGAGCGCAAATTGATCATTGCTCAGCGTAGCCATCAACATGTTGAGGCAATTCAAAAGGCTCGAGGGGACCTTTGCCCCATTCAAAAAGCGTAGGTAGATCTGAAGGACTTCAAAACATCTCTCCTGCGCATAGTAGTGCAGCCTATAACTACCTTCAATGAGATGCTGAGTAAATTGATCGTCATCGCTGACGACATCAGGATGGTGAAATCCCTGACAGAAATATGTAATGCAGGTTGTCGCTAAGTCGAGAGTTCCATCGATTAAGCTTATATGACCGCTGACGGCCGTACTAAAGAAGTATCTGAGTTGGTTAGCTATGTGCTTAGAGAGCCACCATTGCATATGTGCCTACTCTTTGACCGTAAAATGGACGAACTGTACGTATTCGCCGGCAACTTCGATTATTGGTCCACAGAGCTTGCTAAGATTTGGAGCTACGCTCAGCCTGTTTCCTGCATTGAAATTCCCGGGTTGAATACTCAAAGCTTGTTCCATCTCCCGCAAGGTTAATGGCGTGGGTGAGCAGCCCACCCAAGCTAGTATCCTTCTGGCTTTTGCCTTGACAGATGCCGGTCGTAGATTATTGATCCGAAGCAGAATTCGCGCATAGCTGTTGTTTACATGTGAGCCTTGAGCATTGGTTCTTCGCAATATTATGTATGAGACTCACGCGCTGTCCAGATCTTCTGGTAGGAGGCTCAGCGCTTCGCAAATCTCCGCGACGTCGTCTAGCAGCTCAATACTGCTCAAGACAACCTTGGCATATAAGAACATCCCTAAGGTCGGGTCAATCATATATCAATAAGATCTGATACATCAGGTCGATTATCTGTCTTACCATTGGCTTTTGAAGCTAGCGGCTCCATGGATTGGCGAATTTGCGTCTGGACGTCGGGTAGAAATTCACGACTGTCAAACATCTGTCTCAGCTGCTGACTTATAAATGCCTGAATTCCTTCCTCGTTTCTTTTGTCAATTCGAATTGACTCCGCTATTTTTTCCAGACTGGCGGCAATGTCGCTCTCTCGCCGACTGCTGATGAAAATCCGCGTTTCGGGGCACTTTTCGGACAGGAGCAGAAGCTGCTTGAGGAGAATACCACGCTCAAGCTCTTCTATCTCATCCACACCATCGACAACTAGAAATGCAGAACCCGCACAATTCAATAAGTCTCTGAGAAGCTCGACGGCAACAGTAACATCGCTCCGAATGCGATCGTGGGTGGAATGGCAGAGCACATCCTGCATATCCTCATTTCGCCCTGCGAGCTGGAATATCAAAGAGTGCAGCACGCTCAGAGCTGAGGTATTGCTACTGTATGTGTGACTCAGGAAAGCGAAGGCCGTGTGGGCTACTGTGCGCGCCTTGTCCACTGCTAAGCTGGCAAGGAATGTTTTGCCTTCACAAAATCTCTGGGTGTCAGTCTCTTCCGCTAGCAATGGGTCCTTCGAAGCTCACATACCGGCACCTGGAATGCCTTGAAGCCAGAGAACGGGCGGCGTCCCAGCAGAGAAATCCAACCAGCGAGTAAAAGCCTTGTCCCTAAGCAGCCATGCGCCCGATCCATCGCAAATGCGACCATGACACCAGTTCAGCTTGTCATCATACATCCTCGGGTTAACATCGGTCTTGATCACATGATATTGCTGTAGTCGCTGAGCACGTTCCTCGGCTTTGAAATGCTCCAACGCCTTCAATCGAGCCTCGTGTTCCTCGCGAATGTGCTCTAGGCGTACCCCATTTCGCATGAGTAAAGCGTGTCTTTCGATATGAGTCTTGACCAGGTTGATGCGATCTCTTCTGTGGGGCCAGACAGACTCGAAAAAGTATTTCCAACCTATGCGGAATCAGCGTCACATTTGGGCTCAGGGCCCGAAGCCTTTTACCGTCTATACGTACGCGACATGGTGAAGAATTTCAACCCCACCTGGTAAAAGTCCAGGATGTCCTTGAAGAACAGCACCATCAGATCATAGATACGACTGTTCTGCGCGAACAAGACCGCGCAATCCTTGAACTCCGGCAGCAAGACCCCGATATCGCCCGTAATCTGAAGGATTGCATCAAAGGACTGAGCCAGAACGCTACTCCACTGGAGCAGCAGCTTGATCGGACCCCAGATAAGGGCCATGACCTCCGGTTTGATCTGGACAAAGTTTTCAATGACTGCTGCGTAGTCGCGAAGACGGTTCAGGTAAGGCTCGATCTTAGCTAGGTGTCGCAGATGCCCCTTTCTGCCTTGTTCGGCCTGAAGCTGATCGGTAAGGTCGTAGACTTCATCGATGGAGGTAATGGAGAGGATCTTCTGGTAGACTGTGTCGTTGTTGAGGTTCGCTTTGAACTCCTGCACCGCGGCATCGAAGGCGTTCTGGATGAGACTCTGTGTAGCAGACATGCTCGAAACACTTCTCAATAGCTATCACTCGCTGTGAATAGTTGTTCGGGAAGAATTTGGGAGATTTTGGTTCTGGGTTCATGATTAGGCGCCAAAAGCCGCTCGAGGCTGGCGCTGTGGCTGTGTTGCGTCGTTGCGTGATAATCCCTGTCCCTTTGCTCCAATCAAGTATCAGTTGTAGGGCCATGTCCAAGCCTTTGTCGTTCGAGTCATTTTTCATGCATATTTCTTCTTCTGGGTTGAGTAAGCGATGGACTATGCCTGCCACCGTGCCATCTGGTTTGATCATAGCTAAGCTACTTACCCGTACTCTGCATAATTTCCCACTACCTTGGACACACAGCCACAGGGTATAAAGAAAGAGGGCTACGTTCCAACGTTCATACCGGTAGGGCTTGGTAGGGATGCTTACATTTTGTGAATGTAAATAGTAAATCTAGTCTTGGTTTTCCTTTGACTAGCCAGGGAAACTTTGGATTTTGACATCTTATTGTTTACAACCCAAGCTTCAAAAAATGGACGGGTATCCACCATTCTACTCTTCCAACCAGACAATCTTACTTTCTGTGAATCTATGAAACCCATTGCGCTAATCTAGCGAATAGAACTAGCCTGCTCTGGATGAATTCCCAAGTTGCACGATCTCAGTAAGAGTCAACGACACCTCCTTACAAATACCTGAGAACTAGACGCATGATTCATCTTCGACAAGCCACACTCCCGCTCAACACGCAGCATAACGTACTCATCAAGCATACCACCCTCAAAAGCGCTCCGCATCGCCCCCGATGGCCCAAACCGGCCCGGTCAGATTATGGCGACGAAAGATCTCAACTGCATCGCGGAGCGACCACTTCGTCCAGTCCGCATCGGCATGACGGCCGTACCACTCCTTGGCAAACGTCCAGATCTGGTCGATGGGCCGGACGTCGCCCTTGGGGATGCCGCGCGTGGCGCACCAGGCGTCAACCTCGGCCTCGTTGCGGAAGACCAGCATGACGGAGCAGGTGAAGATGACGTTGTCCCAGGCGTTGGCCATGGGGATGGGGAAGTGGATGACGTAGTCCTTGTCGACCAGCTCCCCGTCCTTCACGGCAATGGAGACCTCGTCTCCGATGGCGCCCAGGCGGGTGGTGAGCGAGGCCGTGCCGCCGGCCAGCTGCATTACCCCGAGCGAGCACCAGGCGCAGTTGCCCCACCATTTGCGCTCGCCGCAGGAGACGATGCAGGTTGTCGGGGCGGTGGAGAATGGGTGCGCCACCCAGATCTCGTCGGAGTGCGGGTGGAGGACTACCCCGTGGTAGTCTGCGAGTGCTTGCAGGCTCTGTCGTGCCTCCGGCTCAGTGCATTGAAAGCGAGTGGCGAGCTCGCGGATCGTGGGCGCACGCTGGTTGGTGAGGAAGGAGGAGATGATGGCTTCGTGGAGACTGGAGTTGTTCATGATGGCGAGAGGAATCATGGGTTCGAAATGCTGTAGGGGCCAACAAGCTTTTGTTCTTTTGTGTGTTGCGACGCAGCACTTGGTCTGTGAAGAGAAGCAGAAGAGAAAACGACAGGGGTTGTCCTTTTATATTCATGATACTGATATCTACCTTCTATCATGTCATACCGGTGTATCGGATCGGTGGACTGCCAATCACACTCTACATTTGGGTGGGGCTGCGCTCCGTAGGGCGTAAGTGACAGCGTTTTTCATGAGTGTGAAAGTTTTCTAGAATGTATTGGATCAGAGCATACGAAGGTCGATGGCAGGGCACTACATGTATGTTCATGAGAGTTATTAAGCGGATTAACATTATCTAACTGCGTCGCCCTGCCCGGTTCATAATCTTCTACCAGCACTCTATACTTGGCAAGGGCTGGGATCGAACTCTCGACCTTCGGGATTATGCCTAGCCGCCATCGAACCAATGATATCATCTATGATGGGTATACTAACCGCATATCGATCTCGGACGCGTGCTCAGGGCTGCACATCCGGCTGTGTCTGAGTCCGATACTCTGGGCGGAGGAGGCAGCGGTGGAAGAGGACTCAGGATATAGTGGTGCATCACTGTTGCGGCGGCAAGACTAGTATGTACCAATTATCAATCATATGATGTAAAATGGAGACACATAGAACCATATTGATAGGCAGACCTACGAGTTTTGTATTCCTCCCCCCCCCCCCCCCCCTCTCATCTGCACCCCTGCACGACCAACGTCAGCACTAAACCTCTAGGCCATCATAACGCACATAAAAGGAGGAATGAAAATCGTAAAATCTTGACACCAACGATCTGATCAAAAGAATCCTATTTCCCGGGACCTCAACCTCAACCTCAACCTACAAGCCCCAATTCTATCTCTCTCACCAGAAAGCAAGATGGGTCAACAAGCCTCCGCCCCGCGGCCCGGCACCGGGCTCCAGGTGATTGGAGCGGGCCTCTCCCGCACCGGGACCGCCTCATTCAGCGCCGCCCTGGAGATGCTCCTCGACGGCGGGCCCGTGTACCACGGCGGCACGCAGACGACCATGGGCCCGCCCACCGAGATTACCGCGTGGAACACGATCCTGCGCAGCTGGCTGGCCGGCGAGCCCAACCAACACAAAACGCTAGAGCTCCTGCGCGCGCGCACCGCCGGCTACGCGGCCATCACCGACGCGCCCGCCAGCCAGTTCGTCCCGGAGCTACTCGCACTCTACCCAGACGCGAAAGTGATCGTGACGGTGCGCGACCGCGACGGCTGGGTGCGCAGCATGCAGCAGATCAGCTCGCTGGCGCAGCTGTGGTTTCTGCGCGCCGTGCTGCTGCCGCTGCCGGGGATGCGGCACTTCGTGACCTACATCGCACTGCTGCAACGGCAGTGGGATCGAATCTACGAGGGGCACCGGGACAACGTTTGGATCTATGATCGTCATCTCGAGTGGTTGAAGGAGGTCGTGCCCGCGGATCGGCTGGTGTTTTTCGATGTCAGGGACGGCTGGGAGCCGCTGTGTCGGGCGCTGGGAAAGGAGGTGCCCCAGGGGATTCCTTTCCCCCGCATCAATGATTCCAAGGCTATCGATCGCGTTGCGGAGTATCATATCAAGCGCGGGTTGTTGCGTTGGGCTGTTGCGGTTGCGGTGGTCGGGTTGGTGGGGGGCTGGTGGTGGGGTTGTGCGAGGTGAATAAGGGCGGTTGGGTGCGTGAAACAGGTCCGTGATACCTTGGATCTAGTCATCACGGTTGGAAGAGGAAACTGAGGTGCAACCGGAGGCATTCAGTGTACAGTATAGTATATAAGGGAAGGGGCTAAGCAACAGTCGGTCTTCAAGTAATGGCGTCGTTGATAATCCTTCTTGTTGAGCGGAATGAGAGTCTAATCTTGCTTCTGTATTGTACATACGACCACAGGGTGTGGAAAACAGGGCTTCCCGTCCGCTCAGCCGTACTTAAGCCACACGCCGGGAGGTTAGTAGTTGGGTGGGTGACCACCAGCGAATCCCTTCTGTTGTATGTTTTTGCTTCTTATTGTTTCTCAATTAGTATCATCCCACTTGTCTTGCTACTGCAAAACTACACTCTACTCTGTTCGGCCGCCAGAAGGTGAGACATGATGGCAAGCAAGGGCCGCGATCTTACAATCGATCTATGAGATTAGGCCTCTACGGTCTACCCCTCTATTGGGCTAATAATCTGAGATTCCGATAGATGGTGGGGTACTAGACTAACCGTAAATCGAATTCGGACGCGAGCCCCGTTCCAGCCGGCTGTGCCCATTTCCGATACTAGGGGCAGAGGAGGCCAGCGGTGGAGACGGTCGATGTAGTAGTACGGTATATGGTGCCCGATGCTGACTTACCTGAATAATAGGGGACAGCGTAGAGAGGGGCAAGAATATCCAGATAGACCTAAAAGTACATACGGGGTCTCAGTACTGCATAGAAGGGTCGAGATGCGCGATGTCTTAATAGATTCAGGTTGCGACCTATACTGAACAATCTCTACGCCTCCTGCCCTTCTCCCGCCCTCGCCGCCCGAATCAGCTGCATATAATACTCCTTCTCGTCTCCTGTCACCTCATAACCGCTCCAGCGTCGCGCCCACTCCACCATCTGATCCCGATCGCACCCGCCGCTGAAAGGGTGCATCACCATAAACTTGGCATCCGACTCGCGCGACTTAACAGAGAAGTTGTGAAGGGTGAAGTAGGCGCCGCCGGGCGCGCTGTTGTGGCAGAAGTAGGCAAAGGTGTACCCTTCCGTCTTCAGGAAGACGAGATCGTCGTTGTCGTTGCAGGCGAGCGTCCAGCCCGTCATGTTGACCCCGGTCCTCCATTCGGGGTGGTCATCGCTGTCCGCGAATGCGTTCCCTGAAGTCTTTAGCAATCGAGTGCTAGAGCTAGATTGATCGGCGGGGAGTACATACAGGCATAGTAGATGCCCCATCCCAGCGGCCCAAGGCCAACCTCGAGTTCCCGGTAGTCGTCGTCGTTCATTCGCCGCATGGTGGTTAATAGGGCCGGAGTAGGACGGAAAGAGTAAAAATGGAGAGATTTGTTGCGCGAATGTAGAGGCTTGTGAAAGGGGGGGATTCGGTGGGCTGATATGTAAGTACCTGATCAGGTCCTGGGTAGCGGAGGCGGCTGTGCGCAGCGACTCATGTTCGTAGATCGATGATTATTTCGAGAGTGATCTGCAGAATAGCAAACGTGTCTGTACAAGATAGTGGCGTTCATGTCCCACTGCATGGTACCTACCAAGGAATTTCCCGAGAAGAATGCCAGCTGAGCAGCCCCACCGCGATCCACTCGACTCATCAATCCCCACAGTGTGGCTGAACTATTGTCTCATATGCGGGGTCCACATCTCGAAAGAGTTCAGCCGGCCATGGATGATGATATCGTCAACTGCCGCCGCAATGCAAGCAGTCGGGTCCGCGTCTGCAATTCTGGTGATCGTAGCCACCGGGATCCAGTATTCCATTAGGCTAATATCTTTTGCTGATCAGATCAAGTCCGCACGAGATGTTATCACCGATATCGCCGAGGATGTTTCCTTGAGTGTGTAAGAACGCGCCGCGGTGAAAACGATGGGAGAGATTCATCCAGGAAAGGGCTCTCTTCTGCAGCAGAGGAGAGGCCATTCGAAGGTGATCTCGCTGTTCCGACCATGAGTACTGTAGCGGTTAGATCATTTCAAGATGGGCACGTCAAGCTCGGAAACGGAACGAGTAGAGAGATTCCTGGGAATATCTTCTGCTCAATGACTATCTGCGGCCTGAAAACATGAGTGTCCGACTGACTGTGCACCCAAGCATTACCTCTAAATGATAAGAGAACTGCCAGACCACTTATCACTTGAGCTGGGGTCAGGACAAGGAAGACCTATCACGGTTCGTCTAGCCGCCAAAGGCGTGGTTGGGAAATACCTACAGAGACTACTAACTGTAATCAACAATATTTCTTAGAATATGTAAGACTAGAGGACATCCAACAATCAGAACAGAGAAATTACAACCCATAGGCCTTGGGATTCACTCTTCCATCCTGCTTGAAGAGAGTTCGTTATGTTTCATATTTAGAGAATCCTTATCACCTACCAGATCGTCATTCAATCGCCTGTTTGTCGTAACAGAATATTGACTTGGTGGAACCAAGCATATCCATGTTACGACAACAGGGGTAGGTAAACAGCCTGGTTGAGTCAGATGTGGTCCTTGAAAGATTGCCTTCGAACCAATAATACTATGCTATGCGCTCATATGCGTCGGCTTCCTGATGATTCAACCAAGTTTTTTTTTCTAGAACTAAGCCGCATTCCACGGACAGACTGTTGTGAAGAAACTTGTAAACATGTAAGAATTTCTGTATATGCTGACTTCTGACTTTCAAAATTTGCCACACTGGAAGGAACAAGTTGACTCCTTCTCATGCCCTTTAATTCACAACCTGCGAGTCCTGGTTGCTCATATTCTTCACAGCACTCATTTTTCGTAGGTGTGCACTCATTATGAATCATGTCGGGCCCGCTAATTGCGTGGGCCAAGCTAACCCCAAAATAGACCCCGCCCGAAGTTACCGAGATCTTAAATATCTCAGTGAGAGCCGAGGAGTTTGATAATACATACTGCATTATCCTGCCACTTGACAACACACCATCAATGGCGACAGACTCTCATGCCATCGTCTTCGGGGCAGCTGGACTGCTCGGATGGGCGACCTTGAACCAGCTGCTCTCCGGTTACCCCTCATCAAGCCCATTCTCTCGTGTCACCGCGGTCCTCAATCGACCCGTCGCCGAGTCTGACCTCTGCTTGCCTTCAGGACCGAACAGCCCTTCGTTTGGACTGGTTTCCGGGATTAATTTGCTACAGACAAACACAGATGATCTGGCAAAACAATTACAAGAAAAGGTCACCGGCGCGGAAGGGATAACCCACGTCTTTTATTTCGGTAGGTATCGGTCGGAAGCAGGGTTTAGATGACGAGTTACCAACATCGATAAGTCTTTGCGCCGTTCAACGATGACCATATCCAAGAGTGTACCCAGAACTGCGGTATGATGCAGCGACTGGCCGACGCATTGAACATCGTCGCCCCAAGGCTCCGGTCGTTTGTGTATTCCGGCGGATCAAGGGTAAGCATTCGGTCATGTAACGGGAGTGAGGACTAATATCAGCAGGGCTACGGTATTTACAATCCCAGTGGCGTCTTCCAGCCACCACTCGAAGAATCCATGGCCGACAGCTTACCGGCAGACTACGCCAAAACCGTCGCATATCCGTGGTTTCGAAAGATTCTGACTGAAGCCAGCAAGGATCGCAATTGGACCTGGAGTGAGGTCTGTCCGGATGCCGTGGTTGGGTTTTCTCCCAATGGCTCGGCGTACTCCCTTGCTCTTCACTGGGCGCAATACCTTTCTCTATATGCATACAATCACAGAGGCTCCACCGACAAAGAGATCGAGGTTCCGTTTCCGGGGAGTGAGGCTGGTTATCGATCGCTGTACACGCCCGTGTCGAGTGAGATTCTCGGGCGCATTTCAATCCATGCAGCACTACATCCCAAATCATGCGGTGGAAAGATCATCAACATGCTAGACAACGATACGCCCGTAAGCGCTAGCGACCTGTGGCCGGGCATCGCGGGCTGGTTCGGGCTGAAAGGGGTGGGACCAGCGGAAGACGACACTCTCAAACCAAGTGAATATGTCGACAAATACCGCCATCTGTTCGCTCAAAATGGGGTTCCGAAGGGACTGACCTGCGGCGTTGGTGAGGGGAAGAAGCAATTGGATTCCGTTGGGTGGTGGCTCACTTTTGACCGACAGTTCAGTTCCAAGAGGTTGAGGTCGGTGGGGTTTACTGAGCAGCGAGATCCGGTTGATGGCTGGCTGGAGGCATTCGAGAGATTCAGAGCGGCGGGAATTATCTTTTGAACTGCTGTGTCTGGTGGTAGTGTTATATGTACAGCTGCTCGCTAGCTTTATTTGGGATATTATCCTGAGAATGAATCTATGATCCCTACTTGCCTTGGTACCAGCGCCACCTTCCACTATCTCTCAAATTCTGGACGCGATATCAACCCCATTCCCAACGATTCCCCTTGGATTCCGTACGGCATGATACAATGTTCTCGGGCTTTTGGTCGCTGGTGATTCCTGGGTCATTGATAGCGGTTTATTCTTTCAAGTGGCTCATGCGGTGGATACAGCTCGAAAATTACATCCTCCCTTCCAGCATCCATCATTGGGTCTCTTTCCTCCTGTGCGTTTGCGGTAAAGCCTATCACGGGTAGATGTATCTTGTTAAGCCTTTCAAGCCTACGAACCTTTTCAGTGGCTGAGATCCCGTCCCGAAGATCAGCTCTTTATCGATAGGCTGAGAACACAGAGATAGGTCTGACGGCAACTTTGGCCCGCTGCAATTCACTACTAGTGACTGCGAATTCGGCGGTTGAGAACGTTGTCTTCCACCACGAGAACGTGCTTTTTTTCTTCCGCGTTACCCCTCGGGAATTCTCTGTTGGAGAGATTCCTTGTTAGGACGTCCAAGAATGGTCCGATAAATTAATATCCAGCCTGGTACCGAGGCTCAAGTTCGCGTTTCGAGCTGTTAAGAAGGGGCGTTGCATAAGAATGTAAACCCTAAGGAAGAGTAGTTCAAGCCAGCGACACGCCGGGAGTATTTGGGTGAGTGGGTCACTGACCACCAGCCAATCTCTTCTGTTGTATTTTCTTTCGACCTGTCTTTTGTGACTGATTGAGGAAAATTGTTGCATTTGAAATTGACTGCACTGCGAGGCAAGCTGCAGAACAATATCAACTTTAATTTTTTATTTTATTTTCTTTTTGTTTTTTTCCTGCAGCCAAGGAGAGGGAGAAAGAGCCGACTACTGCTGCATGACAGATCCACATGGCTTTCAATCTCCTTGACTCCATGTCGGATCGATCTTCAATCGAATGGGAGTCGGCCATCCCTCTTCGCCGTCCACGGAATCAGGATTCGGGCCGCCTCATGACTCGCTGTAGAAACTGCTTATCGTATCTCGGGCTCCACTGCGCAGAACTTGGCCCGCCAAGCAAAGGGTTTGAGTTATCTTCCTTGGCTCCCCTGAGGATCTACACTGCAGATCCTGCTTTTTATTCCCCCCTGAACAGTAAACATTCGAATTTGGGTTTGAATTCGGACCCTGGTGCGGATGAAGGATCACAGACCCGGCTGAGGGCGATGATGGGGCTGACTCGGGAGCGAGCGTAGGTCCAGACGGATGAATCAATCCTTTCTCAGAGACTTTCATATCCAACAGAAGATTCAACAGAGACGCAACGGAGGACGAAGATTGCGATGTCTCCTCAGCCCCACTATCTAAGATGCTAGAACAACCCTGCCAGGCCCCTATTGGCCCCGCTGATATAGAAAAGAGATTACAGTTACGGTGTAATGACGATCGCGGTTGATTTCCCGTCTACCATCGACCTTGCTCATTGCATATGCATGGTGCTCCGTGCAGGGTGAAACCCCACACCTAATGGATTGTCCGTAGGAAGAAGTTATATAGACCTCCGTCCGCAACTTTAGCGGGACCAAGAAGAAAGAGGAGAGCGATGTCAGAGTGCATTGGTCACATCGATGATGGAAAAGCAGCCTTTGGACAATACTGTGCCCTGCTCACTACCAGGCTCCGAGCGGTCACTAGAGCAGCAGATGGAGCTCTCGCCGCTAGAACTGTCGTTCTCGCGACAGCTCGAGGTGCATCTGACGGTTGCGCTGCCGATAAAGCTGACGCCGGAGGAATGTCTGGCGGCGACACGCCAGTTGATTACGGAATATCCCATCCTGGGCACGAGATTGAATCTGAAGGCGGGTTTTCGCAGTCACACAAATGACGTCTGCCTTCGTGGGCATGCTAACTTTCCGCGGTGACACAGCGCTCCAGGTTTGTAAAGGGGAAACACACACCCAGCAAGCTCGGAACAATCTTTCGAGCCAGGACAGTCAATTTACATCTGGAGGAGTTTGTACCATCGAATACCGCCGAGCTGTGCCCAATCAAAGCTGAGCCCGAGCCTGTCTTCTACGACCCCAAAGTACTAGAAAACTTGGTTCAATTCAAGGGAGGGAGGCACGATGGCCGACAGGCACTGTCCATCCGAACAGTGCATCTGCGAGATGCATGTGTCATTCAATTCATCGTTCAACACGCATTATCAGACGCCGGGGGTATGCTACTCTTCCCGGAGCCTCCGACCCCGGGTGGGCCCTGTTGCTGACGGGTTCTAGGGATTCACTGGATTGCCAGGACGTACTGCGCTCTGCTATCAGGCACGCACAGTCGAGACACTGCCATTCGACCCGAGTTTCAACTCAAACCAGACATGATCGAGGCCGGGCGAAGCGTTGCCGCTGATGACGATACGCCCGATCACCCAATTGCTGTTCGCTATTCGCAGGGCTTCCAGGTGAGCTGGGCGCGCTTCCTGGTGGCGTATCTGCGTCAACGCTTCTGGGCGATCTGTCCCACTTCCGCCCGTCGGGTGCGTCGAATGCTTTTCGTGCCACAGTCGTGGATTGATGGCTGGATGGCCCAGGCGCGGAGTAGGGGAGTTCAGGTCACGGAACATGACCTCTTGATGGCGTTTGTGTATCAGGTAACGTCCCTTAGAGCCACCCAGACCTCCTTGAGTCCATTGTTTCGGTGCCTCGTTTTGACACTAATTGCGCGTAGTCGGCCTTTACCCCAGCCGCCAAGGCAAAGGGAGCCCACACCGGCCTCATCTTCACCCTCAACATCCAACCGCATCTCGCCTCGGTCCCAGGCGCCCTGACTAATCCCTGGATCAATGTCCCGGTCTCACCTATTGCACCCGGGACGTCATCGGCATCGGACGATCTCATCGACACCGCCCACCACATCCGCCAGACCATCCAAGACGCCCGCAACCCCGTCTGCGTGGCTCAGATTATCGATCAACATCTGCCAGTGCGTGACACGCCCGCAGTCCCGCGCGGATACGGCTCCCGCACGCCCCGGGTGGCGCTGACCTCGTGGTGTCATCTACCCTGGTACGGATTGGACGTCAAGGGCACGACGCCCCTCTTTGTTCTTGGAAATACGCGGTTGAGTCGGCCATTAACGAAAATGGGAGTGCGGATGGACGACGGGTTGACGACGTGTAAGGCGAGGGCGTCTGCGCGAACTGGAAATGCGGATGGCGTTGGAGATGAGGGCAGACAGGCGGGATATTGGCTGCAGGGGCGTGTGAATGAAGGGATCTGGACGAGGATGATGGAAAAGCTGAATCGCAGTGGAGGATCTGAGGACGTGGTTACTTTGGATGAGAGCGCGATGGATAAGCGATGGGTGGTTGGGGATCACAAATAGAGGGCCGGAGGGGGGGCATTGTTGAGAAAGATCCTCGGTCGGCTTTCGGTTGGGCAACTCGGGGCGTATTCCTGACAATGGTTAATGGCTGCGAATGTCATCACAGAGGTCGAGGTGAAGAGGAAGAGGCAAGGAAAATCATTCAATATCACAGTAGCTCCCGGCTGTTTGTATGATGGGGAGCCTATATAGAGGCAAATCCCGACTATCTGCGATCATTTAGTGAATCTCCTTGAACCTGCCTCTACTACCGAATTCAAGTAGAACTAGGTATAGCTCTACACTAATTGCATGGCAATTCCATTGCTTGAATCATTCACATTATCTCCATGAGTACAGTGAAGTGTTCCCGAGCTGTGAGCGCAACGGCAATCCGCCGCATGACATCAGTAACCCTAGTGTTTAACTGGACAACTGCAAGCCTACCCACCCTTCTTGATTCCTCTTTCCTCCTACCCGTCAAGTCTGTATCTCTCTTTCCCAAATACCGCTACACCATCGACCAGCGAGCGTGATGTCTTTCATCCAAAGGACTATCTTTTTATCAAGAACCTGCTACATCGCCTTTCGCGCGCGGCTGATGATGATGAGTTAGAAACCCAGCGTGAGCAGGTATTGTCCAACCTCTGCGTCACGTATAAGGTGACAAGGGCGATGGAGCTGGATCAGATCTTGATGGATCCACAGCAGCTGGTGAGGCTCGGCATCCTGATCTTACGTCTTGACCTCACAAGTGATACTGACACCGATCCCAATATCCCTCCGGCTCTGAATCCGGCCAATTACTTTGTCCCCCTCACGTACAACTATATCCGAGAGCACCCTGTGGATCTGTCCAACTCGGCCACTGCTGAATGGTTTGACGATAAGGCAAAGGCCCTAGATCCGGATGTCAGGGGATTTGGAAATGAACCGGTCTCATCCTACGATGCGGCAGACCAACTTTCCAGATGCCTCCATATCGAGATGTCAAGCTCACGTTTGAATTGCGAAGACGAGACACAGAAGCTCACTTGGTTGAACAAGTGGCGAGTCACGTAAGTCTCGAGACCCCGAAACAGATCCAGCCTGTCTTTAGATACAAACTAAGCAACCTTTGTCAGGGACTGGTCCAATTTGGAATCGGTTTGCGAAGGGAAGGAGGTGGTCCCCGGCACCGAGATTATGTGGTACCTCGGAGCACTTGATGTTTGCCGGATTCGACCCTTGCCACCCCATGTCAAAGCTATCCTCAGCCACAGCGATGTTGACGACTCGGGACACACCCTGCTGAAGGCTGAACTAAAAGTCTTTGTGGCGCTCATGTATTCTCGGTGGTCTGTCGAAGGTGTGCTAGATATGATTGTTCCGGTCAGTTTCCAGGCTGTTTTAATTCTGGTTTAGTCAGTCGGTGCTAAAATTCCTGGCCTGTTGTCGCTAGGTAATGCTTGTCTCCTTCATTGGACGCAAGGTCCGATGTTTGATCACCATCCACGACGGAACCCAACTTCGAATCTCGAAGTCACCGCTCTACTCGGCAGAGGACGACGAGGTCTGGCAACATGTCAGACATATGGGTGGGAGAATAAACGAGAAGCTACGAACACAGATGCTACCGTTGACCGGTGTAGTAGGAAGTCGTATTCAGAATCCCATCAAAGTATGAACAGAAGCCAGGGGGAATCAAACTAGTAATTACGGCGTACTATATACAAAAGACCGCCGGGGACTTGCACCCCCACTATGCATTGAACCACATCCTCGCCACCCTCACGGGCAACTCATAGTCGACATCCAGATAGTATCGCCACGGACTCACGTTGACATGCAACGCGGTGCAATCATAATTGAAGACGACGGCCGCCTCGCGACCATGCCCAAAGGCGCGGATGGCATCCACAACCGTCATGCCGCCGTAGATTGTACACGCCACGCCCGCCAAACAGACATTGCCCGCGAACCCGAAGTCCACGTATGCCGCTCGCCGACGCCACTTGGCCAGGTCCCCGCCGCAAATCAGCCGGGCCAGATGCGGGAAAAGGCCGATGATGACAACCATGAAGATGGCCAGGACGGACAGGGCGGCGAAGAAGGCGACGTCCGAGATCCAACCCCCGAGTCGTTGGTTGGGCCACTGGAAGGTGAAGGAGTGGAGCAGCGACGGGGTCGAGCAGATCTGTGCGGGCGCGCAGGTTGTGGTGCCGGGCGCCGCGGCGAAGCGCGCCTCCAGGCAGTCGTAGGCCGGTTTCGGCGTGCCGGGCGTGTCGCGGAAATGCAAGGCGCGGACGCAGAGGTAGGCTGACGCCGCCCACTGCAGTGTGGCCACTGTGGCGAGCGTCCACCGGACGATCTGCGCCCTTCGTGGAGCATGGCGAAGCACACAGGAGTAGGGGTGATAGCGGATGATGTAGCAGTACTTCCAGAGGGTGATCCAGCCCAGCATTGAAGGGGGGGAGTAGTATGCCGGCCGCACGGCGAACCGGCCCAGCCCTACGCACCACCAGACGAAGGACCCGAGATCCCAGGCCAGGATGACCCACGTGTCCCACTCAATGCCCCGGCAGAGCTGCCCTTTCTTACTGTACAGGGCTTGATGTAGCTTATTCACCTGCCAAGTGGCCATGAAGAAGGTGATGGCCGTCTTGTTCCAGGTGTCGAGCGCGGTCGGCCAGAAGGCTGAGGGTCGGGGCGTGGAGGGGATGATCTTGAAGTCCTGGAAACAGCTCATCACCTCACACCAACTCTGGCTTGAGTGGCGCAAATGAGGACGTAGCAGAGCTAAAACGCCTCCTGGCTCGCTACGGAGACTCTCACGGATGACTGAACAGTTCGACGGTAGGGCGGATACGGGTGTGTTGATGCATCCCTTGAACCCTGTGTTTTTGTACAGAGCATAGTCAGGATTGTCGGTGCTGAAGCCCGTGTTATCCCTTTCGACGGCTAGTAAGACGGTCAGGACAATGCTGAGTCCTAGAAAGGATCCCAGAAGCAGAAGGCCAGACCATATGATCCCCGTGATGATATATCGGTTGCGTTTAGTGGTGGATTTTGGCGGGAACGCCGGGTAATCGCACTCGGCGTCGGCGGGGCCTCCCACTGGTACTGGTCAAAGCTTAGCCTTGGGACGATTGGATGAAGACAGTACGGTACCCACCTTCCTCCGCATTATCTGAGTCTTCTACTGCACGGTATTCCAAGCCGTAGAAGCGTTCGGTGGGTGACATTTCGAAAGGGCCCAGATGCCCGGTTTTACGGGAATATCTTTGGATTCTCAACAAATGACTAGAATTCGGCATTTGGCCAGGAAAGACTTAATATATGCTGCCAGAAGTGCCCGGGCACGTCGAGCCATGTGGCTCAGGATGCGGGCTAAACATAGCCCTAAGTTCTGCCAAGCACCCTCCGTTGGTTCCTGAACCCGTTAGCCCTCCAATCGTGGCGTCTGCTTCATGTGGCCAAGATCTCGGCGTGATCAAAGCCCTGCTGCGTAAGGCTACCATAGCCTTGGCTGAGCGTGGCTGGCTCTCTTTAGGGCTATAATTCTGGAAGTTAAGCAACTAAAAGTGGCGAGGTCAGGCGCCAAGGAAGCAAACACGAGAAGATTGGACGGCACGGTCCGATCTCTCTGCTGTTGGAACTCGGCTGTTCATGCTCCACTGCATTAGGGACCATGTGCTCGTACCCGTATGTACCCAAGCCCACCATGGAGCCTCGCTAGGATAGGACAGTCAATATATCGTAAAATGTGCCAAATAACCCCAATATAGGAACCCGTGTTTCAATTGAATCCGCAACTGACATGAATACATGCACGTTGGTAATTTTGGTTCTCTGAGAATCTGCCGGATGGGCGTTGCAAGGGAGATACTGTCTTCAAACGCCATGGGAGAAAATATGATTGACCATCATGTCCGATTCCAATATGGGATGAAGGGCAATGTGGGCCATTTGACTGCCACTCAATCCACGGCTACGATACTGCCGTTCACTATCACAATGATCGAAACCCCTTCCATGTTACGCATATCAAGCCTGTCAATTCGAGCATGTTTCAGCGGCTCCTTCCAAAGATCGTCATCCATTAGATCCGGCAGCGTTGGCTTCGAGCTCAGCTTCCATGATGATGAGCTTTGGGCGATGTCGAGATCCCCGGGAATAGCGACAGCGAGTGTCGCGGACCAGGTCTGGATGTATTCAAAGGATGTGGTCGACTTCAGTATCGATCCCGAGGATACCAACTCGATCAGGCGGAAACACCAGGGCAACTTTGCCCCCCCGCACAGACTGGCTGGAAGCGAGGAACTCGGAGTTTAGGGCAAGAATCCTCTTCCGTCCATTCATGATGTACAAGCCGCGCCAAACTAATCCGGACCCGGTCATATCCAAATCATTCGCCAGAATGGAGGCAGTTGAGAATCGTCCCTCACTGGTTGAAAGGGAGCGGTCTCCATCTGTGAAGCAGATCCAGCTCACATAGCGATCACACGGAATGTCGCCCAACTTCTGCCCTGTTGCTGCGTTCCATATGGTAATTTTCTCGTCCGCAGAGGCAATCAGCTCTCCGCTTGCCGAAAATGCTAAAGCGGGATTTTCTCCTCCGTGGTTCACAGAATGTAAAATAGTTCCCGCAGAGCTATACATGCTGATTGCCCGACGTGATGAAACAGCTATGGTGCCGTTGTCGGGCGAAATGGCCACATGCTCAGGCTCTCCGAACAGCTTAAACTCGCGGAGGGCCTTGTTCTTCACTAGGTCCCACAGGATTATATGTTCACAGTGCATACTGTCAGTCCATCCTGACGAAGCCAGTGCAAGCAAGGTCTTGTCTGGTGATAAAGCAATCTTGGGATCAGAAAGGTTCGAGACTTGGATACTGGTCAGCGGCTGTCCGCTTACAACATCCCACAGTAGGACTTGGCCGTCATACGAACCGAGCAAAAAAACCCTGCTGTCTGCAGAAAAGCTCATGTGGTGGTAGAAAGAATTTGGTGAAACAGTCCAGGTCTCTCTCAGCTCCCCGGTATTTCCATTCCGCAGTTTGACTGCACACAAATAACACGAAGCAACCGAGTTTCCATCGGGCGATACTTCCACCGATACAAGAGTACCATCATCTTCAACACTCGGGTTTTGGCTCTCTTGTGCAGACACTTCCCAAATAGCAACATCGCTCCCTTGACTGGATGCAATAAACCTTCCATTAGGCGACAAAGCAATGGCTGTATTTCCCCCGCGACATTTGCGGTTGATTTGAGCACACGTGGTCTGGATATCCTTCCAGAGACCATCGGGCCTGTCGCTCGTCATACATGTGACCACTGGACTGGATTCGGGGAACGAAACCCTACAATATGCAGAAAACTTTGCGTTCTGGCCAGAGCGGTCAATCTCCTGCTTTGCTATTTGTCCAGTTTCCCAGATCCACGTGGACACTGTCAAGTCTTCATAGATAATGGCAATAGCGGTGGAATCAGCCAAAAATGCTGCTTTCAGTACCATATCCCCGGCTTCAACCTCATGCAGCTTGTCCGAATCTGAGTCCCATACGACGACGTAGCCATTGGTCGATGCAGATAGCAAAAGCTTCCCATCTGGGGAGAAGGTCAGGGGTCTTATGGTACCACGACGCCCAGGATAATGGCAATAGCTGTAAACAATCGAGTCTCGGGTCTGGTCGAAGACGTTGATACACTTCCCCTCATCCACAATTGCAATCAACCGGCAATTGTTGGATACGGCAAGATTGAAATACATCAAATCAATGTTGCTTACCGGGACTGCTGCGACGCCGTGCGACAGCTTCGCTAGGATGTCACCAGTGTGTCCGTCCGCTATCAGCATCGTGTTGTCATCCAATAGACAGACAAGTTTAACTCCATCTCCTGAGAACTGTGTTCCAACAATCCTTGCTGGGTGGGCTTCAACATCGACCCATCTTCCGTCCCACACGTGCCATAAGCGGGCATTACCATTACCGAACCAAGCTGCCAGTCGTGTACTATCCGCAGAGAGGACAATTTGTCCAAACCCACTAGAACTGTCTCCATCGATTTCCAGGACACACGTCCAGGTAGCTGTTTCGAACAGTCTGGCTTTGGGCCCACTACCGACCAGCAACAATTTCTCGTCAAAAGAGAATTCCAATGAGCGAATTATTTCCAATGTGCCAAGATTATGTGAAAAAGCGCTCCAGTCGCTTTGTGCCTCCGGAAGCTGTGTTATCCAGGTTGGAATCTCCTCTTCAAACAGCTTTCGGACGACGCTATTCTGAGGCGCGCATGGAAGGGCAGAGGTATATATTTGTAATGGCATCTTCTCGATGTGAAGTCTGAACTTTGTTGTAAACCTTCTTGCCTCAAAGATGAAATTGCTCATCTTCTGGCTCATATCCATCTGCGTTTCATCAGCGTGCCGTTGTCATTGGCTGGAAAAAGAAATCACTTACTGATGTGAGAACATTGAAGGTGTTGATTGCTTGCGGAACCATTCCCACCAGGCACATTGCCTCCAGCCAGTGAATAAAATGTGTTTCAAGAAAGCCCAGAGTTCGGGCTTCGTCCGCGGGCGATGCATCACCACTACGCTCGAGATGCTCAGCCCAGTAGATACAGGCATATCGCACACTGTCTGGGAACCGCTTTTTAATATCCAATGACTCCAGGTTTATCTGGGATAGCTCGATACCGGGTTCCCGGAGGCAGCAAATATCGCGTCGCAGGTAGCACGACATCAATTCCAAGCAATGTTCGAACACCACGTGATTCAGCTCTTTCTCCTCCAGGTAAAATAGGTCATTCTTGCATCTTGAATGGTCAAGAAGGAAGTCTCGAAAGGAGAGGTGGACAAGTTGGATAGGTTGGTGTTCATTCTGTGACACTTCGATGACCGAACATAATTGTCCCAGAATCCATCTTATGTCGTCAATCTGGCAGGGAACGAGGTCGCCTAAGTCCATCAAAGACATTGGCTGCGACAAGACTATGATACAGCCCACGACTTGATTGAACAAGTTTGACATCTCTTCATCGTTGTCTGTTTCTCCGGTGAGAATAATCTCGAGAATTTGGTTGTACATCTCATCCAGGTTGTTGCCCTTTGAGTTGCCATCGAATCCATTGTCCAGGATCCTATCGAGTCGACGCTGAATGGTTCGCTCGGTCGCATCACGCAAGAAGCGACAGACGGTAGAGGCATAAATGAAGAGACCTTCTGTCTGGACGACGAGCTGTCTGAGAGACTGGGTGCCCGGCCAGTCTGCAGGCAGGCGCGGATGACTCTTTTTGATCGCAACCATCTCATGTTTGATCAAGCGAGTAATGTCATCTTCTCGATCATCGGCGCTGTTGACGAGTTTCACCTTTTTCAACGTCTGGTCGTGAATGTTCTGGGAGAGACTTTTGCTGTGGCGTTGCATGTCTGCTTCGGGTCGACTTGTGATGAGAACACGTATCCGCACAAAGCGAAGCTGATGTATCTGACTCAGGAGCCCTAATATCACCTCCAAATCGTCTTTGTAGTTATTTATCTTGACTTCACATTCATCTAGGGCATCAATGACAACCATGACCGTATCCTGAAGGTCACTTTGAAGCATGGACAGGGGCTCCCAAATCAGGTACCTCCACTGATCACGGAGTGTCCTTTGTTGGATATCATGATGATTGGCAATCGCTGCACAAACGGCATCTTGGATCTCTGGGATCACTTCAACCAGCTGACGAGCCAATGTCGGGAAGAGGTTCCGGGGGTCCTTGCAGTCCTGCTTCTTGTGGTCAAAGAAGAAACTACCCCCAAAGCAAACATTATCCGGGAGAGCACCGGTACTTGTTAACAATGTTCCATTCCGAAAGGCTGCGGCCGCAGTTCGGGCGATAGTAGACTTGCCGGTTCCTGCCATTCCTTGAAGCCATAGGATAGGCTTCTCTTCAGAGCCAATGCTCCATTGCTGAATCTTCTCGAGAACAGTTACCTGCGTCCCTTCGAGGCAGGTTCCCTTGTCTTGGTCGTAGAATCCATAGGCTGCACTAGTCACACAGGTCATAGATTTGAGTAGCGCTTCGTTGTGCTGGATCTGGTGGAAATGTCAGTCTGGCAAAAGTGATTGGAGGCTGCTGTCTTACATTCATATCCTTCTTGATGCCGATAGCCAGAGAAAGGGATTTGTCCATCTTTTCCTGCATTGACGCAACTGTTGCATCGATATGCTGGATGGTCTTTTGGGACCATTCTGCCAACATAGTATGGATTGACTTGTCAATCTGCTCGATATTCGTGGTCATCCCAAGCCAATCATCAGCAGTCACCATGTCTCTGATTCCCCGAAACAACCCCGACCGTGAAAATTGCCTGGCGAGTCGAATCTGGTATTCCAGTACCTGCTTAAATAGACTAATGGTTTGCTCTCTTATGGAGCTACAGAACCGGTCGACGCTGGTCATTCTACACCTTCGTTAGCCGTGATTCTTTAGCCTCCACGGACAGGTATCACCTTTCACTTTTACCAGGTGGTGCGATAAATACCTGGATATGAGAGCTCTGAATGACTTGATACCGAATCAACAATCTTGATATAAACTCGATACCCTTTGCTGCTTCCTCGACCTGGGTAAATGGCTTCAAGAGTAGCTTGCTCGAAGATCAGTTGATGAAATCGGAATTCTGTGCGTTGATACTCACCGGGAGCACCACCAGAACACCTGCCCAAGCAAGAGAAGCATGAGGTTCCGCGCTAACTGCCTGCGATATGACATCCTTGACGGACAGGATAATTTGAACAATGCGCTGAACCTGACTCCCGATCGCAGTTTGGCGACATCGTCTGGGTATGAAGAGCTGGCCGTCTTCCAGTCTTTGTAGGGCTTCGCGTACAAGCTCCTGTTGCGGTTCTGGCTTGCTGAGGCGGCCACTTTCTATTTGCCTTTCTCCATCCTGACCCTGATTCTTACTGGACTCGCTGACCAAATCTTGCTCATACGCAGCAACCAGGCGCCCGTCCTTTTCTCGCAATTCTTCGAGGGCCACTTTCCAGAGATTTCCCATCACGAGTTCTTCCAGCGTCTTCGTGGACTTCCTTGATGCAAGGGAGTGTGCCTCAGACGTCTCAACGCAAGGAGACGCGCTTCTTGGCCTGCTAGGCTCATCGTCATGATGGACTGGTTCAAGACAATTAGACCTTTCGGTTACCGTACTTTTCAGTATTTCCTCCTCGCCAAGATGCCGTGAGGAAAAGTTCGTCCTAAAACGGTCCTTTAACGACCTTTTGTCTTTGGCGTCGCTCTTATCCGGTGCTTTGTCTTTTTTCCCTAGGCTGTCATGGCCCCAAGCCCGGATACGTCTCATTGCGAGTTACTCGCGCTTTCCACAATAACATGTCCGATATACACGGTTTCGGCTGGTTGATCAGACAGAACTCGGATTGACGGGTATTGTGAGGGGAACGAAGACGGTTTTGCTGGCTGCGTGTGTGACGTGTCAGCTCAGCTTCTGATCCCTGTCCATCATGCACCTCAAGTGGGTAGTAGTCTACAGTTGTGTGGTGATTGGCCAGGTACGGGCGACCATTGCGGCTACTCGGCTAATGGAAATTCTCTCTTTTAGTACTTTCACTAGGTATTGCAGTAGCAGCCTACTTGAAAGGTTCCCACGCTCCCTACATATAATAAAGCAAAGATATTTATCGACTTGTAGGGGGTGGGATTATGATTAGACCCCACTCCTCCGTTCCTCTTCTCAATAGGGTCCATGTCACGTGATGTATTAAGCCTCGCTCGTTTCCCAATGTACTGAGGGCTCTTCCGGGCCAAACGTGTTCATTTTTTCTGAGAATAACTCCCGATGACATACTCATTAAAGTCGTCAGGAGTTGTATATAGGCTTGTCGACTCTCCCGGCAAACTTTACCTTTGCCGAGCGGCCGCAATGGGCTTCTGTAGGTAGGTAGGCTCAAGCTCTCCCCGCATGCTCTCGCCCGGTTTTTGACTCGGTGGTTCCCAAACTAAGCTCTCTTGAGTAAACCCGACCGAGGCCGGATGTTAATAAAGGTCGGGGGTCGCCAGAATATTCAGTATATAGTTTAATATAGCCAGGACCATCGAACTGGAGCCATGGGCGTTCACACCTCTCGAGCCGCCCTCCCAACACATGTATCGCGAGCCCACCCTACGTATACACCATTCGCCTCGGCGACATCGTCCAGTAGCTTACCAATGCTACCGTGGCGTCCGTGTCTTGACCAAACTATCCAGAAGGTATAAGGTAGATCGGTAGTATCTTGGTTCCTGTTCTGGTTCCCGTCCCATTCTCTGGGAGCTTCCATTAGATATTTGGCTATGTACAGAGGAATGCAGTTGGGCTGGGGCAATGCCGGCTCCATCTATGCATCTCCAAACGGCATGTCACCAGATTTCGCTTGCGCATCTTACAACTATACAAGATCTTTGATGGGACAAGTAAGACCTCGGTGACAGATAAAGCTCACAACTAAGGGGTCTCCAGCTCCGATGGCCGTTTCGACCCATCCAGCTCGGTGAGCGCTGGTCCGCCAAAGTGCTGTGAACTGGGTACGAGGAGCTGCTGGGTATAAATCTGCGCAGACTGGCTGGTAGGCGCTGATGACAGACCAGCACGCCCGGCGGTTGCGCGCCTTCGCTCGAACAATGCCCATACGATCGAGGCCAGCGCAATCACCCCTAAAGGCACTCCTACCCCGGCGCCAATGGCGGCGTCGTGGCTAGAGACACCTTTCGTACACGATGCCGTCGCGTTAGCGAGTGTGGATGTCTCATTCGACGAAGAGCACGTTGTCGTTGTCGTGGTAGCATCGAGGGTCGATACGTTGGCCAGCATCGCGTAGCCAACCATTGCGTGTCCGGTCTGCACTTCGAAGGAGCTGGCATTGTCGGGACAGACGACTTCCGAGTCATTGTTGGCGACGGGCGTCCCGCAGCAGTAGGTCGATACCCCATCGTAGTACTTGAGGTTGATGATCGAACAGCCGCCGGTGGGGTTGTTGTCCTCTGAAACACGGTCAGTGTGATGGCCCCAGCACACCTGGAGGGCGGAGAGGCGAGAGGGGAGGATTTCCGCCCCTCTCCCGGGTGGACAACGCACGGCAATATTGGGAACATCCGGTGCCCCACTGTGGATCGGTGCAGGCACCTCGACTCAGGACATATGGTTGATGGGTGACACTCAGGCAGAGCCCGTTGGAGAGGCAGAGATCGGTGCTTCCACAGCAGGAAGTGTACTCGTCGGATGAGCAGGGTACATTATCATCCGCTATCGCGCCCGAGGGGTAGTAGCAGACGCGAGTGTCGTTAGTCATGGTGCCAGGGGTATTGTCATTCAACGGGCGCACGAAGAAGTTGGATGCAACGTTGCAGCGGTTGGGAAAGGCTGGGTTCTCCTTTTATCATGGTGTGCTAACTCGATCGGCAAGGCTGAGCCGTCTGGCAGGATTTCCACCGGGGGCACACTTGCGACTGAGCCAGGATTTAGCGCGATTAGGTCAGAAGCCATGGAAGCGTAGTCTACGCTCTGACCCAGTCAACAGTTGTATGGTCAATCGTTATTTGTTAAGAGCTTGGACTAGATCAAAGCTTTGCCTAGCTTAGGAGTTGCTATAATGGACGGGGACTCTTGAGGGCTAGTCGTTATAGAAGCAACCCTAATCTAGCCGGAGCTGTGAAGAATTTTAAAACAGCAATCAAAGCGATATAGCCTCTAACGGTCAAGATAAGCAACCTCTAGCCTACTTAGAACTAGCACCACACTAAATCCAGACCTAGCAACCACTAATAAACACTTCACCGCCCTGTCGCACCATTTCCGAGAGGCTTGCTTTATGGCGTGGTTGCTTGGCTGCAAGAGCGGCAGACTGTGGGGATCAACAGTGGGCCAGCTGAACCCCCCTGACGTGTCATCATTCAGCACTCTATTATAGCCTCGCCTTTGAAAGGGAGCTGCAAAATCTGGCTAAAAGACTTTAAAGTAGAATCATGCATGCCCTAGAGCGTTATGTCCTGCAGGCTCGGAATGTTTAATGCGAATGGTGAGTAACAGCAAGAACCTGAGACTCTCCAGACATATTGCTCTGACTTCCCGCAACATTCGCTATCTTACCGTGGCCATTGAGCTTGGAACTGCTCGTGGGGTGGGGATATATATCATAATTAGTTGAAACCGCCTTCTAGACTACCTGGTTATTTTCTATTGAGTTGTTATCTATCCGATAATTATCATATGTATATTCCCAATGTTAATTCTTGTTCATAAGATCTCCCACTGACTACCACTCTTTCCAGGGCTGTCTGGGTGCCTGGCTAGCAAGGCATCTTGGTCGATCCCATTCAACATGAATTTCTTCTGCGCCGACCAATCCTGTTTGGGGAACTAACACCGGGCCAAGCGGGAATCCCCAAAAGAAAGTATATCCAATCCAATGCAAGAGTATAGATAGTTGAGCATCGAGTGAGCATCGATTTAGAAATCGTATAATTGCGCTCTGCAACATGAAATGATTCTGATGTCTATCCACTATCACAATCAATCATCATTTGTAATCAAAAGTTCTAGATAATAGAAGTCAAGACTAGAGACCACATAATCTAGCCCTGACCCCAAAATCTGGACTAGGACTAGACTATTCCTCAGCCCATACCCAAGTAGCGAGTTGGTGAAAACGGTAAGCTAACATGATAGTGACTGTGAGCATCTTAAATATATCCAGTGTCTGCTTCCTTCTACCTATCTACCAATACTCCAACGCAAACACCACCAACCAACTCCTCCCTCAAGAAACAATAAAACCAACATCACCTCTCAAATCGCGACTGCTCGCTCCAACATAGAACCTATATTGCCCTCTCGCAATCACCCACTCCTGACTCACTACATCCCAGTAACTCAGGTCCCTCCGCCGCAGCGAGAACACCACATGCTTCTCCTCTCCAACACCGAGAAAGACCTTTGTGAACCCCCGCAGCTGCCGCACCGGCTGGGCCGCCTCATCGGGAAACGAGACATAGAGCTGCGCCACCTCCGCGCCGACCCTACTCCCCGTATTCGTAAGCGTAAACCCCACCCGTAGCACCTCATCCCACAGATCCACCTTCCCCCCGGGGGCGAGCACGCCCGTCGCCCCACGCCGCGCCAGCGCCGCCTCATCCGCATCCCCAACGACCGGGGCGGAGTAGCCGAAGGTGGTGTACGAGAGGCCGAACCCGAACTCATACCGCGGGGCGACGTTGTACCGGTCAAAGTACTTGTAGTCCAGGTGCACGCCCTCGACGAAGTCGCAGTCGGCGGCCATGCAGACGGGCACGGGGTAGTCGGATTCGTGGCGGGCGATGGTGTGCGTCAGTTTCGCGCACGGGTTGACGGCGCCGTAGAGCACGTCGACCAGCGCGTGGCCGGACTGCTCGCCGAGCAGCGAGGAGTAGAGCACGGCGGTGACGTTGGGGTGGGCGATCCAGGCGTCCAGCAGGCGGGCGCCGACTGTGGTGACGGAGACGATGGTGTTGTTGCAGTGGTCGGCGACGGTGCGGATCATTGCGTCCTGCGCCGCGTTGCGCAGCTCGCTGCGGTCGTTGCCCTCGCTGCTCCAGGCGTTGATGAAGACCAGGCAGGTCTCGACGGCCGAGGCGTAGCCGGCGAATGTGGGCGGCGCGGAGGTCCCTGCTGTGCCGGTCACGGCGATGTATTCGATCTCCGGGAGGGTGTCGTCCAGCGCCCACATCATTTGGGTCCCGTCGGCTTGGGCTCTGGCCAGCAGAGCGTCGTAGGGGCTGACCACGTAGGAGGGGCTGCCCATGCCGGAGCCGCCGGAGAAGACGAGGTGGCCGGGCCAGGTGGTGTGGGTGTGCACGTCGTCCATGGTGGTCCCGGGCCCGATGAGCGTTGGGCGCGCGTTGGCGCCGAACACCGCGATCGAGCGCGGACGAGCCAGTGGGAGGGCGTGGTTGGTGTTTTTGAGCAACGTGATGGCCGCCCCGCCAGCCTTGCGGATCAGGGCGCGGTGATTGGCGCGCACGTCGATGGGGTCTGTGGCGCTCCGCACAGGCGGCGGGGATTTGGTGTCCAGACCCTGTTGGAAGTAGGGCATGAGGTTGCGGACGGCCATGTCGTCGAGGCGGGCCTGCGAGAGGGTGCCGTTGGCGAGGGCAGGGAGGAGGGTCTGGTTGTTCCAGAAGGAGGCGGCGCCAAAGTCCAAGCCGCCGTTGGCAGAGCCCAGGGCTGTGTGCTGACCTGAGGTGTCCGGGGTCACGAAGCCCGGGAATGCGAGCTCGGTCTTGAGGACTTGGTTGAGTAGGGCTGGGTTCTCGCAGGCGTAACTCCCATTGACACGGTTCATGGCGCACATGATGGCGCCCAGCCCAGCCTTGACCCCGTCGTAGAAGGGCCACAGGTAGGTCTCGTGCAGCGTCTTGTCGTCAGCGTTGCTCGAGTAGGCGGTGTTATTGCGCGGGACGGTGACGGCGTTATCGATCCAGTAGACTTCGGAGCGATTGGTCTCCTGCTCGTTCAGCAGAAAGTGCTTGCCGCAAGGGATGATGCCCGCCTCGCGGATGCCCTCCGTGGCGTGGGCGAAGGCGATGCCAGCCAGGTATACGTCCTGTCCGAGAGTCTCCACCAACCGGCCGCTCCAGGGTGTCCGGCCTTGCGGACCGGTGGTGGGTCCATTGATCATGGTGTAGCCCTTGTTGTAGAACTCCTGGCCGACGGCGTGGAAGCCAGCCCGAATCAACTCGAGGTCCCAGGTCTGGGCCATGGCCGAGGACTCAGGGAACGAACTGACGTAGAAGAAGCTTTCCAGCCCCTGGGAGCCATCGTTGCTGGTCAGGGGCTCAAACCCGAGGGAGGGCACGCTTTGCCCCGAGATCAGTCGGATCTTGTCCGCATCGGATAGAGTTGCTACCGCCGCGACGGACTTGTTGTACGCCGCAGTCCAGTCTTGAAAGTCCACTGGAAAAGAAGAGGTCAGCTGGCTGTGGGCCTGGAACGAGTGTGCGGATGCTGGCCTACCTTCAAGATCTGACAGCAGACCAGTGGTGCAAGAACTGGGAGGGGCAAGCAGCCATGCGACACCAAGGCTTTGCCAGCTCAGAAATCGACGCATCTTCGCTAGTGCTTGGTGGCTGCTTAAATGCGAAACCCATTGTCATGGCCAATCTTGATATTTGAACTCCATCCTATCGATGCTCTGGGGGTTGAGGGCAGCGGAAGCAAGCCTTCCGCCGTGATAATAACGTAACTGATAGCTTATCTGCCCTATTGCCACTGCATCCCCGTATGAGACTGGCAACCTATATTACCGAGTACATCTCAAAAGCAGGCCTTTTCCTTGCCTTCCTACCCTTCTCCATGCAAAGTCTTTCAAAATGCTGCACCTACTCCAGCGACTCTCGCGACCATCGGTCTCCTCCACGGATCCATTAACCTGGAGCCGCCTGCGCAAGGAACTGCTCTTTGCTACCATTATCCTGGGCTCCTGTGCGACCGGTTCCTTGGGCCCCCTGCTCGTCCCCGGCTTCGCTGTTGTCGCCGCCGATCTCCAGGTCGACCTCACCAGCGTGACCCTGCTGAATGGAAGTCTAGTCATGGCCCTCGGTGTCAGCGCCTACGCCTGTTCCTCCTTTGCCAACTATTTCGGCAAGCGGCCCGTCTACCTGTTTACCACCCTTCTGGTGCTCACCTCGTGCTGCTGGGCTGCAGCAGCAAAATCCTACACTTCGCTTATTGCGTCCCGTGTGTTCCAAGGACTGGGGATGGGTGGCTTCTTCGCCCTTGCGGGCACGGCCTCCATCAACGATGTCTTCGCCATCACCGAGCGTGGCCGCCGCGTCGGCCAGTGGAACTTTGCCGTCATCGTCTCGGTCAACCTCACCCCGGTCATCAGCGGATACGTTATCACGGCGCTCTCCTGGCGCTGGGCCTTCTGGCTACAAGCTATCCTCTTCGGTGTTCTCCTGGTGGCCATCATCCTATGCTTTCCCGAAACCACCTTTCCCCGTGCCATAACCGCCACCACCATCACCACGACCATCACTACAACATCCGACCCGGAAAAAAACCCAGACACCAAGTCCGAAACCACCAGCCTCGACGCAGAAGAGAAGCTCAACCCTTCACGAGTCACAACTCCGCTCCCCGTCGCAGAGAAACGAGGCAACCTTATCTTCACGCTTATCGAGCCCCTGGCCCTCCTCTTCGACCCTATCGTCATCTGGGGCTGCATCCTATGGTCCGTCACGTTCACCTGGACCATCCTCCTCGGCGCGGTGGCCTCGCAGATCTTCACCGCCGCCCCGTGGTCTCTGTCCACCGTCGCGGTGGGCAATCTCACGGGCATCGCCCCGCTCATCGGGTCCGCCGTGGGCACCGTGCTAGGCGGGTCGCTGTGCGATTTGAGCAGCCGCCTGATGGCCAGGCGCAGTCAAAACGGAGTATACGAGCCGGAGTACCGGCTCCCGGTTCTGTTCCCCGCGACGATCGCCATGGCCGTCGGGGCATTTGGGCTGGGCGCGGCGACGCACCGTGGCGACAACGCCGTCGTGTGCGGGGTGTTCATGGCGATCATCAACTTTGCCGTCGGGATGGGGTGTACGGGGACCGTGGCGTACACGAACGATGTCTTCGCCGAGCGGGCCGGGGATGCGTTCGGGCTCGCGATGGTGGCCAAGAGCGCGTTTGCGTTTGGGCTGTCGTTCGTGTTCAATGATTTCGTGGCTGAGAGTGGGACGCTGGTCTTCTTCTCGACGTTTGGGGCTGTGAGCGTCGGGGTTATGCTTACGTCGTTGGCGATGTTCTTCTGGGGGAAAAGGATTAGGGAGTGGTCCGAGACGCGTGATTTGCTGAGGAGGAAGTAGAGGCTTACTTATCTATATAGCGTGCCCCGACACTTATCACAATTTATTTTTTCTAGTAGTCTTATTTTTGTTTTTTTCTTCTATTTTTCTCGGAATGATTGTTGTCCAATACTGAGCCTTCCTCCGGGGTCCGATGGGTACCTTATTGATTAATGTTGCACTGCAGGTGCCGTCAACTGTCCAGATCTGTTGAGAATATTTCTAGATGAAAGTATGCGCTCCATAATAGCAAATATAATCGGAGCCAGTATGATTATTGTTGAAAGAGCCTTATCGCATACACGAAGATCATTGCACGAGACGGAAATTTACCTCAAATGGGGACTCGACTAGCAAGAAACTCGAGATAAGAAGTTTTTCCTTAAATTTTCTCTCACTGCAAGTTCCCATTTGGGACAAGTGATGATCGATACTAAAGATACTGGATTGTTCGTGTGGTATCTGGCTAGAATCAATCGGATCTTATCGGCCCCCTGCGACCCTCCAAATAAGGTTAATAACCAAGGTCAGATAGCGGCGGAGTTTCAGCATCCGCCGTGATATCAAACTGGAGTACAGCGAAGATAGAAGATGGGCATACTTCAAGTACTTAACAAGACGATGATGTTCAACTAGGTTAATGAGATGAACGAGGTCACCCAAACAACTACCAAATCACCTGGCGGAAACCCACCGCTCGACCCGATAAATTAATTAGCCGTGTAATTCTTTACCCAGGCCTATACAGTCAGTGGTCACAGCCGTTACTTATCGGGGATATCGGCTTCAACCCTAACTCATCCTATTTATGTATGTCTACCAGCTTAATCATCCACCACCCCCTGCCGACTCAGACCTTCACTCAGTCACTCAGGGCCACTACAGCCGGCCAGACTTGCTGTGGTTGGGCGTTGGGACTACGGGTCGAAGGCATGTAAGGGAGGCTGGGAGGTCAAGCTCGAAAGTGCAGGGGTACAGGCAGCTATCAAAAGATGGGTGGATTTCAGCTTGAAATCTTCTTATTCTCCGGTCCCGCCTTAAGATAAGCTTCCTAGACCCAGGAATATGTCATTCGGTGAAACCCTACATCTAGGAAGTCGCTCGTATAGCTTCTGGGCCACATCCGCAATATGATTGGTTCGCCAAAAAAAGAATACGAAGATTGTGCAATCGGGCGCAAAGATAGACTATAGTTGCTGGGAGATAGCATTCCGTATTCTTTTCATGCGTCAGGTCAAGGTCAAAGATTACGGGGTGTCTGATGAGGCCTGTCAGAGTGCTTGCAATGTAAGGGGGTGGGTTGAAGTACACCAAATGAAGTGGACCAAGGGAACAACTAGCTACCACCGAACCCTTCTTTTCATACGTACTCAAAACAAGCAGAATGTACCATGGGTACCCCTCGTGGTACATACTCATTTCCCGGTCTGAATCATCCGATATAGACGTCACAACCCGAGAACAATCTTACTTAAATGGCGTTGAATCATAGTGGTCGAGATCGATAATAATTCTATTCAAAGTACCACGTCAGACCCAAAACACCATGCATGTTCGTTGGGCATCATTTCTTCTAACTGCTATCCCTATAGCGGCTTCCTGGCCAGTGGATCATTGTGAACACAATTGTATCGTCTGGCTGAAATCGACCGTGGGCGGGGCAGACACTCAGTTCTGCGTCCATAATGGTCCTTGTGATATAACAAATTGGTTTCTGCATTGTGCAATCTATGACACACAGATCCAAAAGCAATCATACGGCTACTGGGGCTTGTTTATCCCCTGTTATGCCCAATGCATGTGAACGGTAGAGTATCCCTGTAACAGTGTCTCATGATCGGAAAGCTACTTACAAGGAGCAGGAAATGGTGCGGTAGTTAGTTCAAGCTATAGCAAAGAAAGAATGTACTTGGGTAAAACAACGCAAGGAAGGAGCTTGTCGCCCCAGGCTTTGACCAGGTTTATGGTTGTGGACTAGGGGCGGAAAAGGATAAGTATTCCAAATAAAAATCCACGGCTTTCCAAGACCTGTATCCCGGGCTACCTTAGTTTAAGAAGAAAAGATTTGCATCCTCCATTTTTAAGCCCTTTCTCTCTATGCTTATAACCACAGTTGTGATGTGAATACCTCTGTGAAAGAGCGCGGCTTGTTAGCAGCCGACTCGGCTGCCGCTGCGCCAGACAGCCCAACGCAATCACTCCAGTCACTATCACGGCTGTAATCGTGCGCACATATAGGGAGTATTGTGACATCGATACCTCTATCCCTCATCTGTACATACTATGAGCTGTCGTCCCTGTACAGACAGCTTTATACCATGGGTCATATATCCCGACATATAGAAAGCGCACCAACGCCTGCAGTGCCCTCTCCCTCTGTGCGTGATGTGACTACTCAGGGTTTGGTACGTGAAAGAAGAACAAGCAGCCAAAAAACATACAACAGAAGGGATTCGCTGGTGGTCACCCACCCAACTACTAACCTCCCGGCGTGTGGCTTAAGTACGGCTGAGCGGACGGGAAGCCCTGTTTTCCACACCCTGTGGTCGTATGTGCTGGAACAGAGCTGCTTAACCGTTTAATAGGTCGTGAGGCTGACTGTTTCTGCCAGTGTTTAGCCGTGTTTCCTCAGTAAACCCTCCAAATCAACACAGTGCCAGGATACATTCATCCATACAATGTTTCATGAGATACAGAGTTTGTCTTGTTGCGGCATTTTCTCCCCTGTCAGTCTGCAAGACAGAGAGCGCAATCAAGACATGTACAAGAACCTTGACAGGTAACATAGCAAAAGCCACAATAAATACATTGTACCAGACAGTGATATAAATTTAAGCATTACTATCGGTGAACAAAACGCACGGCCCGTGGCTAAGGTTGCCTCAGGACTTGCTCCACCAAATCCCATGTTTGAACGGCACAGAAAAGGGCAGATTGACGACAAGGCACCATCTCGGCGAATCGATTTGCTGGAGGTGATGTCGTGAGGGAGTTAGTTCGCATGACTCCAAGTCGAGGGTGCCGTCGGCGACTCGCCGGCGGAAAGTGCACGGGTCGGAAGTGTACCGAGTACAGTACACAGTATGCGGGGTAGGTCTGGGTTCCCCACATTGTAAACAATTCAACATCTCAACACCTGTGGATCGTAGCCCATTGAGGCCTTGGAGAGGCGATCAAACCACTTCACTTCGGCTAAATTCAGACAAATTTAGTCGGTTAATTTGTCGTCCATTTTCTGGCAAGTTGGTCCGCTGCATATATTAAGCTAGTGACCGGCCCCGCCAAAAGGACTGATTGTGCAACCTTTACCCTCATTGCTGATGTGTCAAGATGCTTCTTCCTCAAAAGGTGGCCATTGTGGCCCTGACAGTAGCCCATCTTGTCAATGCCTCATCAAAGCAAGAGCCCTCGTTTGCTCCCTCCCTCACTCGTTGGACAAACGGTCCTCACCTGGCCGTCGACTACTACCCTTCGCAATGGCCAGAATACATGTGGGAACACGACATCGCTCAAATGTCCGATGCTAACATCTCATTCGTGCGGATCAACGAGTTTGACTGGGCCATTTTAGAGCCTGCAGAGGGGCAGTACAATTTCACTCTTCTGGATAAGACGCTGCATTTGCTGCAACGGTACCACCTCAAAGCGATCATCGGGACACCAACGGCAGCACCGCCTGACTGGCTCTACCAAAATTATGACATCAGCTTTGTGGACTACACCAATGCTACCAAGCTGTTCGGTTCGCGTCGATACTATAGCTCGTCCTCGCCTGACTATCGTCGAATGAGTCAGAGGATTACGCAGAAACTGGCCGAACGGTATGGCAATCATTCCGCTGTGGCGGGCTGGCAACTGGACAATGAGTTTGGATGCCATGATACCGTGCAGAGTTACGATCACAATGCTATCAAGCGGTTCAGGACATGGTTGAAGGGCAAATACGGCACCATCGACACCCTCAATGCCGCCCAGGGCCGTGTGTTTTGGTCGAACCAGTATACCAACTTCGATGGGATTCACCCCCCGTTCATGGAAGTCTACACCCCCCCGCCTAGCCACCTTCTCGACTGGTACCGATTCAGCTCGGACATGATGATCGAGTTCGCGCAGGAGCAATCGAAGATCCTGCGACAGTATGCACCAACACATTTCATCACCACGAACATGATGATGGGCTTTCTCGAGTTCGACCATTTCAAGTTCGCCCGCGAGGTGGGACTCGATCTTGCCACGTTTGACGAATATCCACTTTCGGGGCCGAGTACCTTCTCGTGGCTCTCCCAAACAGAGCAGGCGGACTATCTTTACAGTGGTCTGCCCGATTGGCAGGCGCTGCATCACGCCCTCTATCGCGGCGTGGCGGGTGCGGCCTACAACAAAACAGCCGGCCCGTTTGGCATCATGGAGATGCAACCCGGCGTCTTGAACTGGAGTCCCTACCGGGTGTCGCCCTTGAGCGGGATGGTACGCCTCTGGACACACGAGACATTCGCCGATCTAGGAGACATGGTGTCCTATTTCCGCTGGCGTCAGGTTCCCTTTGGAGCCGAGCAAACCCTCTCCGGCTTATTTACCTCCGACGATGCCGCCGATGAAGGCTTTCGCGAGGTGCAGGCCTTTGCGAACGAAGATCTCCCGGTGTTGGTGGAAGCGCTCGATACTGACCAATACCAAGAAGAACAAGCGGATGTGGCTCTCGTTTTCGATTATATCTCCAGTCAAGTCTGGGACATCGAGCCCTACAGTGGCACCTGGAGTCCTGACACGACCAGCTATACAGGTACAGCGGTCAACTACCTGGACATCGTCTACAAATTCTACTCCGCGCTCCGCCGTCTGGGTGTTTCTGTTGACGTGATCTCGCCGGACCAGCCCATCCAAGGTTACGAATTAGTTGTGGTGCCGAGTCTGCCCATCATTCCCAAGGCCTTCGAGCAGTCGTTGGCTGAATACAGCGGGCCCGTCGTCCTGGGGCCACACACCGGCTCCCTTACAGAAACGTTCAGCTATTTGCCCGGCCTCGCCCCCGCCACAGGACCGATCCGCGACCGTCTTCCGATGAAAGTAACTCGGATAGAGACACCACCCGATTACGCAGGCAACAGAGTCTCGTATGCCGGCAAAACTTTCAACATTTCCGGCTGGGAAGAGTGGGTAGTGTGCGCGCGGGACAACCGCACCAGTGCCGAGACCCTGAGGTATGCTGCCCCGCACCGTGAAGGCATGCCGGCGGGCTGCGCCAGCAACGGCTTCCACTACCTTGGCGTCAGTCCTACTATTGATCTTCTCCTGGCATATTTGGGCGATGTCGCCAAGGAGGCGAATATTACCGACTTCGTGGGACGCCAGGTCAGCAGCGATAGTGACCTAGGACCTAACCTGCGGTTTGCGCGGAGGGGATCTCTGCTCTGGGGTTTCAACTACGGGTTGGAATCTGCGAGTGTTCCTGCTATTGAAGGAGCGAGGCTGTTGATAGGTAATAACGGGACTGAGATCCCTTCGGCGGGTGTAGCTGTTTGGAGGCTGGTGAATGAGGATGCTTGAGTGTGCTCTCGGAATCTTCGAGGTAGATGCGAATATCAACTACTGTTCTCTCCGGACTAACGGAAACGAAAATCCACTGTTGAGGTGTACCTCGTGAGCCTTACATGCAACTTTTGAATTAAAGCATCTCCAAACTCTGTTTATAGTATTTGCTGCAGCTAGACAGATAGCGAGGGATATAAATCATCAGGACTGATAAATAATCATCATTGGTAGAACTCATGATAAAATATTCAATGATTAAGTTTTTGAATCTATTACACTTAGTGATATAAATATGCAAATTGCTTAAATTCACTTATCAATCTGTCAAAGAGATAAGAATTACAATTGAGATGTGGCTGTTAACTGCACTAAATACTACACAAATACATTACTCATCGACTTCGCCATCGCTTACAGAGATCTGTCTCAGCAGTGCTCTACATTAGTGAGATATATCAAGAGACTACGTCTTGTCATTTTAGCTTTGATGCTACAAAACAAAATTTACGGCGGAAAAGTTTGAACGTATTTATCTTTCCTGTTTCTCGGGATATCATCTACCACATGTAGTATCAGATAAACAATATTTATCAATAACAACTGCCATGTAATATCAGACGGTTGATCCGAACTTTGCGAACGAGAGAGAAACGAAGGAAACAAGGATTGAAGAACAGCTAGTGCACTCACTACACTGTACGTAGTCGGTGGTTTAGATAAATGCCAAGGCCGTGACGATGCACTTGCAGTTGGCGCTAGCGGGCTTTTGCCGATCAGGGCGACCCGACGAGAAGCGCATAGGGAGGGGGAGAGGGAAGAAAAACAGATATAAATAGGGACAGAACGCGGCACATCCTGGCGATGGATCGCATCTGAACTAAACAACATACACAATAGACATTTTTCATTTGTGCTACCGTGCAGAAGATGTCATCCCACCCACGATCGCTGCTGGTGTTCGGTGCATCGAGCCCCACGGGCCAACAGATTGTGGCCGAGGCCCTCCGGACCGGGTGGAAAGTTACCATCTATGGCCGTCGGACCCTGCCGATCCACGCCCAGAACGCTGAGATTACAGTAAGGAAACCACGTGGTTTCGACTCCCCCCTTTCTTGCTTTTGTCTTACTCGATTTTCCTGCCTTGGAATTAGCTTACAAAGTGACCAGACATTAGAAGGCACACTCCAAGATGAAGCCCAACTCCGTCGCGCGATCCAGGGCCAACCAGTCATCGTCTCCGTGCTGGGCCCGTCCGGAATGACGATAAAAGACACTCCGTTCCCGGACTTCTACCGCCGCATCTTCCGGCTGATGCGCGAGGCACACGTCTCCCGCATTCTCGCGCTGAGTACGTTCAGCGTCCCCCACGCGCGGGACCGGTTTAGCCTCCCCTGCAGCCTGCTTGTGGGGATGCTCCGGGTCCTAGGGCACAGCGCATGGAGGAACCTTATCGAGGTGGCAAGGGCATTCGACGAGGACGCTGAAGATCTAGAGTGGACGTTGTTTCGGGTCGGGTTTCTGAAGGATCAGGGGCCTGGATGGGTGGTGGAGGGTTATGTGGGTGACGGTGCGTTAGGGTTGGGGGTCAACCGGTGCGACGTGGCGCGGTGGGTAGTCGAGCAGGCGGCCCTGGATCAGGCGGAGCATGTGCGGGATAAGCCGGGGATCTCATCCGCTTGATTGTGTTTGTTTGTGGTGCCTGCGACGTACTTACAGTTTCTTCATTAGCGAGTGTTTTGTGTTTGTCTATATTGTCGCGTTCGTCCCAAAATGGATGTTCGTGATGCTGATGGGAGAGATCTGACCGGGAACTAGACACCCTGAGGAGTCTTGGCTTGGATTCGTGTTCCTTGGCTCTTCCCCTGGGTAATTATGCGTATCGTATTCAATCGCCTAGTGTCGTAATATAAGTTCGACGTTTTCTCCCTGCACGCAGAACCTTTCAACAGGGGCTGAAAACCGGAAAGCCCCAAAATAATCCTCCACTCCCAACCCTTCCACGTGACCATGTCAACCCCTCATCGTGACTATACAGCCGAGTCGTGCTTCTCCTGCCGGACCAAGAAAAGGAAATGCGACCGACTGATGCCTGCGTGTTCGCGATGCCAGAAGTAAGAGGATCGTAAAGCAAACAGAAAGTCCTGGGTCTAGATGGAAACTAAGATGATAAACGGTTTGGGCCCTCAGATCGTCTCAACCGTGCTTGTACGGAGGCAATGGGGTCTACGGCAGCATCGTGCCCATCCGGCATGACAAACTGCTGCACGCCGTCCCCACAGCTCTCCTTCCTCACGCACAAGTCACCGCTGAGGTGTTCTCGTTCCGGGGTCGCAAGTCGTGTCGCAGATGTCGGCTGCACAAGAAATCCTGCGACAAGACCCACCCCGGTTGCGGGCGTTGCAAAAGGTAACTCGTCGACTGCCTGGTTCTCAATTCTTGCGGCCGTCCCATTCGTTCTCATACTGACACCCCCCGGAGGCTGGATGTATGTTGCACCTACGATGACCTGGTCCGAACACAATGCCTGAGTTCCCAGCATTTCTTCTCGTCCGCATTGATGATTCGAAGTCTGGACCTGCAACCCACGTACCCAATCGAACCCAGGCCCCATATCCCAGGATTAATACGATTTTGTAAGTGGACCAAAGGAACCCTGCGGCGGCAGACAGTGAGCTTATGATCCGACCCTAGTCCAGGAGCAGATGGGGCTAGCGGCCCTACAGGTCGAGGTGAATAGTATTGCGTATCATCTGCGGTCTTCGTGGATCCGCCACGCTCTGACCGATCCCTGTTTGTTCCACGCGACGCTTTACACGGCCTCGGCCGAGATGGACGCTATGCATGGGGCGCAAGGCACCGCCCCAAACTACGCCACCCTGTACCATCAGACCAACGCGATTCGGCTGCTGAATTGTCGTCTGGTCCGCGGGGGCTCGATGGACGATGCGACGATAGCTTCTGTGCTGCTTCTGGTAATAAGTGGGGTACGTATCTTCCCCGGTACCCGACCATGTTTGCCAAGTGTTGCGGCCGCTCAAATGCTGTCAATGTCTAGTCCATTGAAAAAGACCCGGATGCGACCGAAGCCCACCGACAGGGTCTCCTCCGCATGGTAGCCCTGCGAGGAGGGCTCAAACAACTCGGATTCGATGGGATTCTGGCCGAGATGATAGAGATGAACATGGTTCTGCCCATGGTCGTCTTCGGCCAGACCGACTCCGCGCTGTCGCCGCCCTTCACCCCCGATGAAGCCCTACCCGACAGCCTCCCGAGCCTCGCCCTTGACCGATTGCGCCGAAGCGGCTCGAGAGTCGACCCCACTCTACAACTGCAGCTGGTGCGCGTCCTCGAGCACATCCAGGACCTCTTTCTAGCTCTCGTGCAACCCAGCGAATCCTCCCATCTCTGGACACTGCTCGACAACGGCCCCCCGGTCATTCAATCCACCACGACCGACGACTCAACCTGGAGCAGCAGCGAGACCGCCTTTCTCCGCACCTGCCAGCTGTCCATGACCCTCCTGCGCACGCTTGCAGATCCCGGCCTCCCCTGGCATCCCGACACGATCGCCGCCCTGCTGCGCGACCTCAACACGAGCATCACCCACACCGACCCGGCCACGCGCCTACGCTACGCCCCTGAAGCCAGCCTCTGGGCCACCGCCCTCGGCATGGCCCTCTCCCCTGACGTCCACGGCCGACTGACCTTCTTGATCAACGAGCGCTGCGTCGTCCTCGCCGTCTCCAGCTCCAAGACGACCCCCCTCCATGAGCTCTTCCTCGACTGCTATTGCCGGCTACGCGCGCTCGTCAAGCTTCGTCGGCCGCCCGCTTTGCCCCCTTTGATTTCTGCTTCGTCGCCACCGATACCCATGCCTCTTGAGTAGCTGAAGATACTCGCTACTCGCTCTGCTTTCTTCCATTCGAATTACCAAAAGCGGCTTTGCCAGGATGCAATTCCCCGGGGCGACCTTCCGACCGCTCTTTGTTCCTAATCTGCGCTAGGGTGCTTGTTGTACGATACATCATCGTGCTCATTTGACTTGAAAAGACGATCTAACCTTGCATGGCTTTGAGGCGCCAGTGCAACGATACTGTGAGCAGTGGATTCCGGCAAGGCCTTTCTGCTGTTTGGATTGTTTCGCTTTGCGTATCATAATGTACAGCGGGAATTGCTCTGCGACGTCTTGTGTCCAAACGACTAGTAGAGAAATCCCTTCCGGGGGGCAGAAATAGTAGTCTCTCTTTTTAACAGCATTGCTTCCTGATCTCGTATTTTCCAAGTGAAATAGTTGATATATTGATGTAATGAGAAAGGGTACTACAATTGATGTTGAGACAGAAAAGGGGCGTACAATCAGATAGGTTTGGCAACTTTCTATATCCCCATCTTTGCACACTCCGTAAGCTTTGGTGCGGTATCATAGACAGCCTCCCGCAAAAAACCAATACATACGACCACAGGGTGTGGAAAATAGGGCTTCCCGTCCGCTCAGCCGTACTCAAGCCACACGCCGGGAGGTTAGTAGTTGGGTGGGTGACCACCAGCGAATCCCTTCTGTTGTATGTTTTTGTTGCCTGTATCTGCTTGCTCGCCCATGGCATGAATAGATAGTAGGGCAATCACTTATCAGGATCAGCTCGGAGGGTGCTCGCTTGGTGGCAAAGAGGGTAAAAATACTCGCACTTTCTGTTGGATAGATTTGCAAAGTATTTTACTTTCTAATCTCCTAGTCTTACCTCCTCAGAATCTTTAGACCATTCAAGTCTCAAGACTATTCTCTACGCCGCTGCTTATCATATAAAGATTAGTGTTTTGAGGAGCTAGATGGGGCTATGTTCGAATGCAGATTAAAGCATATCTTGGGTCATTCTGACCATCTTTAAGCTCACTCATATTTTCTTTTCACTGTCCGAACCTACCTATATCGATCTCTAACTGCCTTGAAGCTCGTAGCCATCTCTCTGCCGGACAACACTATGTCAATAGCATGTCTTCTTGATAAAATATTGATCTTACTAACGACATACAACATTCCGATCTGTCTGCAGATGGATGAGGCATACAAGGTACAATTTCTGCAGCCAATGAGACATAGCCACCTGTGCACCCATTTCGAAGGACATGCATAATGATGCCAGCTTGTCCAATCACTCACCCGGACATTCAAAAAATAGCACTGACGGGGGGTGGGGTCCGCCTTGGTATATGAAAACCCACCTGTCCTTCGGCTATATGCGAGCCATTGCCACACGGGAATATCGATTCGGCGTCAACTCTGTTACGTCATATTTTGCAGGGCGGCTCCTTAAATGGACTCGCGACAAACCGAATGATCCAGCCCTCGAAATAAGGAGAACCACTTGGCTCATGACTCTTGTTGGACTCCATTCTTTCATCGAGCGCAGTTCTCAACCCCGGCAAATGGCAGTCAAAGTCTTCCTCACCGGAGCCACCGGCTACATCGGCGGCGATGCCTTGTACCAAATCCACCATCGCTATCCCAAGTTCGAGTACGCACTGCTTATCCGCTCCGAAGACAAGGCCAAGAAAGTGCAATCCGCGTATCCCACAGCCCGCACTATCATCGGCGGTAATGACGACCTCGAATTGCTGGAACGTGAAGCGGCGTGGGCCGATATCGTCATCCGTACGTTGTCCATACCGCATACATTTCACGTCAGGCGTGCTAACCTGCTACAGACACCGCCGACTCATCGGACCACGTCAATGCCGCGACGGCGATAGCCAAGGGTCTGGTGCAGGGCCACTCCGCCGCGCGACCCGGGTTCTGGCTACACACCGGGGGAGCGGGAATCCTGACCTACTTCGATTCGGAAGTGACGAAGACCTTCGGCGAGAAGGATGACAAAGTCTTCAATGATCTGGAGGGTGTGGACGAGCTGGTCAACCTCCCCAGCGCGGCGTTCCACCGCAACGTGGACGAGATTGTCCTCAACACCGGCATTGACCATGCGGATTCCGTCAAGACGGCCGTCATCTGCCCTCCTACGATCTACGGTCCGGGCCGCGGGCCGGTCTCCGGTCGCGGACGACAGGTGTACGAGCTTGCGGCGTTTGTTCTGAAGGAGCAGTACTGCCCGCGGATCGGGAAGGGTCTGTCACGATGGAATAATGTGCATGTGCATGATCTGAGCAGGGTGTTTGAGCTCCTTGTGCAGGCAGCGTTGGAGCCCTCCTCGAGAGATGATCTGGAGATCTGGGGAGCGCATGGGTACTATTTCGCTGAGAATGGGGAGCATGTCTGGGGTGATTTGTCGGTTGCTGTGGGCGAGGAGACCTTCAGACAGGGGTACATCAAGGGTGATAAGCCCGAGCTTCGGGCTTGGTCGATTGAGGAAGCTGTTAAATCGTCGGCGGGATTCGAGGCGGCGAGTTGGGGGATGAACTCGCGGGGAGTGGCGGCGCGGGCGAGGAAGGCTCTCGGCTGGAAGCCGCAGGAGAGGGGTTTGAGCGAGGAGTTGCCGGAGATTGTAAGATCTGAGGCGACTAGACTGGGGCTTTGAGTACAGGGGACTATATAGATAGTGACCAATCTGAGTACAAACTTCGTCGCCCAGTACAACCATGCAACTGATTGAGAGACCATTTATCCAGAGGCTTGATGTGGCCGCGCACACATACGGAGATACTTTTCCTCAATGAGGTTGCCAGAATGAAGTTCTGAGTAATTCGGTGGCCTGTGCATCTATCTCCTGGCCTTCAGCCAACATCACCTAGCGTTATTCCCCCACTCGTATACTGATTTCTTGTTGACTTTACCTCTAACCCTACTACTTAATTCCCGGTAATATCTGGCACACGTCAGAAAGGGTTCGCTACAAGTAAGGTGAATTGTCCATACTATATGTATGGTGTGTATGTATTTAGCACACCAGGAGTAAAGTCCACCACCAGGGCCCTCTCAATTAACCCATCCAGGCTCCTGACAAACTCCTGATGTACATGGCCTCGATTAACGTAAAAGTCCCTGTCCGCGTCTGTTGCAAACTCAAAAATAAATGCATGTGTGATACTACCCTGAGTACGAAATCAACATCCCTCCTCACAGAAGCTTCGGCACCAGACGAATGGTAGTCCTACCTGTGCACCTTCAGGCGAATTATCCTTTTCACCCGACGCTGATTGGATATATGGTTTGCCTGTTGATGAATGGAGGCAACGGTCTTTGAGACTCAGCATTCGCTTGCATGCCTGGCTGCCTATTGGCTATGACATAACTTTTGAGATGCGTGGGAACACGAGGAAGAGAACCTAACAGACATTAAGAACTGCTTCAAGAGGCGCATCCTGCTCGAATTGGAAAAGGACAATATGGGTGATTGTCATCGTGGGCCAAACCCTTAAGGAAATGTCTGAAGCGGGGTCACAACGGGTGTTATGCATGACGATGCATGCCGTGCGACAAGACAAAACACCTAAGGTGGATCTTATATCATAAAAGCGACCATCAGGTACTAACAATGGGAGGTGATTTTGAGTTGTTGGCTGTACTGGGCGTAACCATCTGTCAACCATATAGCCGTGCATATAGACAGGGTATCAGTTTCCGCGAGTCATTTGTCAAAAGGCCGTCTTGCTCCGGATTCAGTTTCTTGACTACAGATCTATTTTGTGACAGGATCTTCATCAATGCTATGTTCTGACATGCCAGGACAAGGGAGATAACCACAGCTAGTCAGCCAAAAACAGCTCCAGTGGTAAATCGAACAGACTCTCCAGCATCGGATTGCCTTGCCAACAATCATCCCCAAGCGAAGCATTGAAAGTGAAAATGCCCGCCTCATTGGCAGCGTTCACAGCGCCGCCTACATCAGAAGCCTCAGCAGCGCCCACAGCACGGCTCTCCTGCCCACTCTCGGTAGTCCGCGGCTGCTGCTCCAAACAGCGACTCGACAAATTATCGAACAGCTGCATGATAAACGTCCCGCAGTCCCAGAATTCACTAATTGCCTTCAGAACCATCTGGCAGGAGTTATGCGCCGACCGACCAAGCCGCGCGACCAGTTTATTCGGGCTCCGCATCCGCTCATAGAACGCCGCCTGCGCGAGGAAGATCCCGTGGTATAGCTCATGGGGCACGCTGAGCACGGCCGATCGCGTCACGAGCATGCACACCACGGTGGAAATATGATGTGCGGCGGTGTCGATGATCTCGTCGACCTCACGCTCATCGCGGCGACACGTCTCCTCGCCGCGTCTGTGCCCGAGATAAATCAAGATCAGGTGGTGGTAGTATTGGACGGACAGGGCCGTGGAGAACGGATTCGAGGGATCCGGCACCTCGGCATCCCAGACCAATGTCGGAACCAGGTCTGCTTTCCACCGGACCAATTTTTCAAGGAGCTCGTCGGACATCACGGGCCGTCTTCCGGGGTAGAACCGGCTGATGATGATCTCGCGCATGATCTGGGACAGCTTCGCGGTCTCGATCTGATGTTGCGCATATCGGTGAGCAGCAGGGTCCTCCAGGAAGTCAGGGCCTGCGGCATCGTGCGCGAAATCCTCGATCGTCAACATATCTGCATCGGCCTGGTCCAGGTCAATGCGGAACGGACGCCCGACCAACGTGCCGCATATGCTGTCGCGAACCACCAGGGCCCACCACATTCGTCGCATTAGACTTTTGTCTTGCGGTTGCATGTTGGGTACTGCCATGGTCGAGCGGTGGATTCCTATGCCTTCGGCGATTGTCACAGCCGTGCTGATCCAGGAGTAAAAGTTCCAGTAGGTGTTTGGCCCGCCGCCGTAGAACGATAGGAGGAATGTGCTTTGGAGGAGAGTGATTTTATTCGTTTCATATCCCATGTCGAAGAGCGCTTTGGCCTTCTTGTAGAAGAACGAACGGGCCTCAGGCCGGGTCCGAAAGCCTAGAAGGCTCAGGGCGGACTCAGTAGCGAATGTTACCGCAATGAAGCTCATAGCATACGTGAGAATTAACGGCAGTTGCTCGTTCTTGGACTGTTGGATGAATTCCTGGCGATTGACAATCGGATAGAGCGGGTAGACGTGATCCAGGAAGATCGAGATGAGGGCATTCAGATGTGCCTTTCCCGGTGGGTTGAACACTCCCTTGGCACGGAGATACTCGAGGTCCTCTGACAACATATGTGTGGGCTGTGGCTGGAAGGGTATATTTCCTAGGGCCGTAGGGAAAGGCGGGCCTAGATGGTGTAGTCTCGGTCGGCTGTCGCCTTTGGAGCCACCCAACACGATAGACAGGGGAAAGGACTCTCCGAGGTACGTGATCGAACACTTGTCAATCCATTCTCGTCCGTTTTCGCGGTTGTTCAGGAAATGGTCGAACATCGCGGACCACGAGATTTGATGGTAGGAGGAGCCGTCGCCTGGAGCCTCCGCTGCAACATGGATAGGCGCAGGCTCACTCGCTCGCGGGCCTTCCTGAAGCCGAACCTGTGAGCTGGAGGTTCTAATGCCGGTCTGAGGCTGGGCATGGCCGATGCTTCGTGAACCCAATTCCGGAGCAGATGAACCTCTTGGGAAAAGCGTCGCAACATCAGACCCAAACACAAGTGGTACTTCAGGATCTTTAGCCCCGATCCGAGAATTTATATTATGTTGCGAGGGCAAATCGCCGGCGACACCAGCCGGGACTCTTACTCGTGATTCATGATCACTGCGTACTTTTTTCTGACGCAGGGCACTCCGGGTATACGTCCCACGTTTCGTCTCCCGGAGCACACAATCCGCGTGGCGATCTCGCACGCAGCGAGTGCATGGCATGTGTTGCATGCCGTCACATTTGATCCGTTTCTCATGGCAGCGCGTACATGCCTTTCCTGCTCGCATGCGCGGTCTGGTCGGCTGTCTGCTAGGGTCCCTTGCGTCCACCATGTCGCAATCATGTCGGCAATATTCGCTGGACGTCATGTTGAACCATGAGGGGGAATGAAAAAGACGACTCGGGTATTAGTCAGCGATATAGCCGGTGGCGGCAAGCATATACCCGGCTATATCGACCCTCTTGGGCTCCACACCCGTTACCCTCATTCACTCTTGAAGCGAGCAAACTCGGGTAAAACTTGATATCTTCTCACCCATCTACCGAATTCAGGATTAGTAAAATGGCGTTATCGGCGAAAATAATGTATTGTATTCTACCAAATGCGTTGGGGTCGCCTCAGTACCCAAAACCTTTTTGGTGCTTTATAAGAAACAGGCTCCATGTGCAGATTGATAAGTCTTGAAAGCTACAAATACTGACAGCAAAGTCCGGGCGAGTCTCTTCGAGCATCTGTCCAAGATACCGAGTATCAATCCCGACAATCAAGCATGAATCCTCCAGTGGAAAATGCAGACTGGCAAGGTAGTGATATCACAGCTACTCCTGGAGTCTACTTAGCCCTAACTAATTGTCGTCCGCCAGAGAAAGAGCCAACTCTCGTTCCTGACGCGGTCCAGGAACCACCTGTCTGGGCAGATATGACTAATGCATCGGAGGAGCGTAGTCACGGCTACATGCCGCAAATCCACCGTCCCCCGGCAGCCCTGGACCTCGAAGACGCTCCCGCGCGGCATGGAGCAGAGACCGAAGTACATCCTCGACCCCCACAGGGTGTTCCCTCCGAGTTTAGCGGCTTCACGGGCGAGTTCGTATTCATCCTACTCTGCTCTATGGGCCTATTCCTGTTTGGTCTCTTTCTCGGCAATGTCGTTATCAACCAGGCTGTATTCCCTCACAGACTCGGGGTCAGCGAAAGCAATACTCCCTGGTTGATCGGCTCTTTCCTGCTGGCGAACGGCATCGCTGTGATTGTGTCCGGGTCGCTGGCAGATCTGTCAGACCCGAGACTCCTAATGATTCTGGGCTTTGTTTGGCTCGTCGTCTGGAATGTCGTGGGCGTTTTCAGTATCCGACCTTCCCTACCTGTCCTCTTTTTCGTGGTCAGGGCCATGCAGGGGCTAGCGATTGGTGTCCTGCAGTCAACTTCCATGAGTCTGCTGGGGCGCGTGTACTCGCCTGGGATTCGGAAAACTAGGGTTTTCTCGGTCATGTCCGCAATGACGCCCGTGGGCTTCCTGGTCGGCTGTCTACAAGGCGGCGCCCTCACCTCACACCTGCCCTGGATCTTTGGAAGCAATGCCATGGTATGCGCCATCTGTGCCGTAGCTTCATTCTCCGGTATCCCCTCATTTGCCCCAAGGCCCGGTGCATCCGGTGATCAGCTATCGCTCAAGCACTTTGATGTGCTCGGCGCAGTCCTGGCGGCGATTGGCTGCGGCCTTATTATACTCGGCCTGACGCAAGGTGTCCCCAGCGACTGGAGCCCATACACATACACCCTGATCATTGTGGGAGCGCTGTTTCTTGTTCTGTTCTACTTCGCTGAAAGACGAGCATCTCGACCGCTTGTCGATAATCGGCTCTGGACCACCGCGGGATTTCTCCCACTAGCGATCTCCTATTTCCTCGGGTATGGAGCATACGTCGGCGGATGGATGTTCTTCGCCGTGCGGTTTCTCCTTACAATCCAGGGTCACGCTCCCATCACCGTGGCCCTATACTTTATCCCCAATATGATCTGCGGCATCCTTGCTACATACACCGTTTCGAAAACCTTACATCTCGTCCCCGGACATTGGATCCTCATCGCTGGAATGCTCGCGAACACAATGGGCCCTGTGTTCTTCCTACCTCAAACCCCGAACACGACGTACTGGGCTTTGTCGATGCCGGGAATTGCCCTCGTGACTTTCGGACCGGATCTGACATTCGCAGCCGCGTCCATCTTCATCACATCCAATGTGCCCCGCTCCTTCCAGGGCTCAGCCGGGAGTCTACTCGTGACGATTCAGAATCTGTCCGCAGCGATTGTGACGGCTATTGGAGACACTATCGGAAAGGAAGTCACCAAAGCCGGCGGGGACGGGTATAGTCTGGACCTCGGCGCTTTACGGGCGATCTGGTGGTTTAGTTTGGCGATTTCGCTCGCGGCGGCGGCGGTTTGTGTTGGGTTTGTTCGCATCCCGAAGAGTGAGGAGAAGGATCACGTCGAATGAATCTGAAGCAGTCGGAGACAGATGCAGCAAGTACTACGGCGCTCACAGGGGAAGCAGGTGGGTTTCATATGTCAATATAACAAAAGTTCAAGGCAATCTTGCAGGGGATGAGTTATTGGGGATGAGTTATTTCTATAATAGACAGACATGGAGAAATATTCCCAGTATCTTGGACCGCATTCAAAGCATACCTTCTGGCGCAGCATGCGCCGGCAAGACGGCAGATCCCAGAGTTCCATCTCTGCCCACAAGCCAGGTTACAGCACAGAGAAGCCTCTAGATCGCAGTCGCACTACGCGCGTGCGCAACCGTACTGACCATCCTCAGAGGCGCCCACCCGACTACTGACCGCAGAGACGCCACACGTTGGGAGGTTAGTAATTCGGTAGCTTCCCACCAGGGAGTCCCTTACATTGCATGTTTTAGCTGTTTTACTGGTCGTTTCTAACACCCGCGGTGTGTATCGTAGTAACCTCTAGTATTTGCCGCTGGCCTTTTGTTCATATTGAAGACAGACTTCAGATGTTTCTCCATTCTGTATACCTATTTCACTTGCGTAATGCAATCGTACTTAACACGACACTATTATGAATGTAGCCTCCCTAAGCGCCCACTGCCGCTGAATACTCGTTGCTGAACGGATAATCCACATATCCTCACGAAGAGCTGATTTGATAAAAGGTCTCGCGCTGGTACTTGCTCAACTCCACCCCCTGCTTGAGCCGATACACCAGATCCGGATTCGAGATGAAATGCCGCCCGAACAACACCACAATATCTTTGTTCGGGTACTGCTCATCGACTAGCCTCCGCGCGTTCTCCAGCCCATAGCCTCCAGCCACCAGAATCGGCCCATTCCAGCGCTCGATCGCAAAGTCCAACGTCTCGTGGCTCTCATCCACACTCCCGTCATAGACCCACGCGCCGTATATGCGCGTCTCAACGAGCGACAGGTACGCCAGGCCCAACCCGCCAGCCCGATCGACAATATCTGCAAACTGGGGGATCGGATCTGCCATGCGCATGCCCTGGAACCGGGACCAGGGACTCAAGCGGAGTCCGACGCGGTCCGCGCCAATCGCCTCCACAGTCGCCTGCAGCACCTCGTAGAGCAGCCGAGACCGATTCGCGACGCTACCCCCATACTCGTCGTCGCGCTGGTTACTTGTGTCCTGCAGAAACTGATCCAGGAGGTATCCGTTGGCGCCATGCACCTCGACACCATCGAACCCGGCCGCGCGGGCGTTCCGCGCTGCTGTCGCAAAGTCGACAACCGTCTGCCGGATCTCAGCCCGGGTCATGGCCCGCGGTGTCGGCGCGGCGGGGTTCTCGTCCGCCGGGATGGGAATCGCGCTGGGCGCCACGATGTCGATTCCTTCACTCGCCGCCACCGTTGGGTCGGCCGCCCGGCCCATTCCGAACAGCTGCACGTAGATGAAGCTGCCCCGCGCGTGCACCGCGTCCGTGATCTCCTTCCACGCCGCGATCTGGTCCGCCCGCCAGATGCCGGGGGCGTTGGAGAACCCACCGCATGCGGCGGCGGAGACCAAGGTCCCTTCGGTGATGATGAGGGTTCCGGGCTCGGAGGCGCGTTGCGTGTAGTACTCTTTCATCAGCGCGGTGGGAATGCGATCTGGGGTGGCGCGGCGGCGGGTCAGCGGTGCCATGCCGACGCGGTGCTGCACTTGGATGGCGCCGATCTGGAGAGGCTTGAAGAGGCGTGATTCCGTCATTGTGGTGGACTGACTTATCTGATTGAGCATAAAAGGTTGAAGTCAGCTAGATTTTGTTGTTGAAATCTGCCCCTCTTTTTCGCTATACCGGGTCGTTTATATATTTCTTCCATTCCTGCCTTCGAGTATTGTTAGCATAGTCGCCATCGCAGCTGAAAAATGTGCAGAGCCTGATAAAGTAGCGAGTTGTTGCCGAATGCAGGAATGATGATATGTCGCCCCGAAATGTCGGAGTTGATGAGAATATCTTGCAAGGGTCCAAGATCTCATTAGGGCAAAGAGGTCGTTCCCAAAAAGGAAACGAGATACTTCCTATTTGGGCATAGTCTGTCTTTGTCATTCGGATTTCTAAGCAAGGCTGCTGAGGCTTGGACTTACTGTTCGACACATTCAACGAGTATCATACCCATTATCGTTGCAGGACTGGCAGCTTAAGCAAGCAACATGGCCGGAGACTTTCAGTTTATTTCGATCCAAGTCAACGAGCCCGTAAAGGACAAGGCGACGCGGCGTCGGGCGCGGTCGCACGCGCTGAAGAAAGCGCTGGAAAGGAAACGGAAGGACCAGCAACGCTCTAGGACCAATTTCATTCTGACAACCTTTGAAGACCCGGATATCGATCCTAATTTCAATGATTCAGCTCAGACAGTCAAGCCATATACCATGACTTGTACCAATCCACCAGCTCCAGTTTACTCCCCCCTCTCGAGTGCTCTCGATCCGTTCCAGACCCTTGCAGTGGACTCTTCCAGGCTGCAGGCACTGCTTGGTGATTGTAAGTGGTTCCTCCTCCATTTGCTCGTTTCTTTGCTCTTATCCCGCTGATTACCCGGCGTCCCAGATAGGGCCAGGCAAGCTCCTGAGCCGGTCTTCAGCGTCGCCGAGGAACTGGCCTTCCAGAGCTTTCGCTCGGTCTTTCGAACTGGCTTCCAAGACCCCGCTCTGATTAATGCCGTGATGCTTACTCTCGCATTTGCCGTCACCGGCGGCAGTCTGGACCGGGAGTGTTTGCGGTATCAGGGTCATGCGATCACATATATCCGCGAGCGGATGGACTCGGAGCATGACGCTGCCTCGGAGGCGGTTATCGGCGCCATATTGCTGATCGCAGGTGTGGGGGTATGTTTAGTCAAATGACCCACATGAAATCCCTATTCATGTCTTGGTGCAGATAGTAAGTTTCCGCACTAGGCTCGCCTCGGACTGAAGCCCCAGGTCGAACTTCACATGGGCGCAGTGCAGCAACTGCTGCAAATCTGCCAGAGAAAGAGCATCCATCTGACTCCGGGAATCCAACGAGCCATATTCTGGTGAGTGACCCTTATCAACTGTACCGTTACTATGCTTACCAGTGTACCCTGACGGGCCATTTGATGTACTGATGTAATCGCCAGGCAAGACCTGAACTCATCCCTCATAGTGGGGTCCAAACGCATCGTCAACCACACCACCTTCGCCCCCCTCCTCTGGACCCGGGATGCCTTCGTGCCCAACTTCTATCGTCTCCCACCAGGATTTCAATCCCGGTCGCACATCTTCGGGGAAGAGTTCAGTACAGTTCTAGAAGACGTCCATGCTCTGCAATGCATCCGGAACATCCCGCGATCGTCGCACATTGATGCGTTGGGCATGCTGCATATCAACAACCACGTCGCCTCCATCCAGTCGCGGCTCAAGGCCCTGTCGGGGCTGAGTCGACTGCAGGAGTGTTGTCGTCTCGCGGCATACTTGTGCTCCATGACGCTGTGCTGTAAGATCTGGTGTGAGTTGGTGCTTCCGGTGAGTAAAATTGCCCCACGGCACACGGGAGTTCAGGAATCTTGGTTGACTGACTCCGTTTTGGTGGTCCAGTCGCACATGTCATCCCAGCTCCTCTTTAACATCAGGACGCTGCGTGCCGACGCCGACGCCGGGGCATGGGACGGCGATCGGGATGCTGATCTGCTCGTCTGGCTGCTCCATATCGGCGGCGCATTTGCGCCGGTCGGACCAGTTCGCTCGGGTTATGTGAACGTGCTTGCCCTTGATTATCCCCACATCTCGTGGGCAAGACTGCATCAGTGTATGCGACAGTTCATCTGGTCTGATGACGCGTTCTTGATGCCGGTCAGGGCGCTGTGGACCGAAGTCTCGCAGTATCAGTTGCGGGGAGTGTGAGGATTGAGTGCTTGGTTAGTCTGCATTCTTCCACCTCAGACTCAATCTGGCGGCGCCAGCTCAACTCTAAGAGCGTAATGATTTATGTCTGTAAATGATACATCTAAGCAAGTCTGCAAATATTGGGTGGAAAAGTCTGCCCATGTCGCTCTAGGATGCTTACATAGTCTGTCAAAACCTTGTTCTGATACAGTCAAACCCGTGGGAACCGTTCACGGTCCTACAATTCACCACATCAAGCTTATCAATCATGATGTGTAAGTATATCACCGGATTGGCGACCACCCGCCGTTTGTATTACGACCACACACACGCACTTGATCCAGCAGACTGTCCGGTATCCCGCCAAGTGGTGGAGAGGGGAAACGCCTAGGGGCCTTCCAAGTACCCGTCTCTCCCTACTAGGCCCTTCCACTTCCCTCCGATGTCTAGACGTCAGACCCTGACCACCGGGACGCGCGTAGCTTGTCCGAAAAAACGTATAGTAGAACAGCCCCGAGCCCGACGAACCCATGCAGGCCCGCATAAAAACCGAAGCTAGTCAGGAAACCACATCTTTCCACGAAGGGCACAATCCCGTCTGTGATGAACGGTTAGCAGCCACGCCGGGCATAGGCGTGGCTCGGAGCCCGGTAGGGGTAAGATCAGGCCGTCGACTTACATCCCATGCTGAAGGAGCCGAGGTCTCGGATCAGACCGATGATCGTCATCAGCGCCAAGCCGTGCGTGAGGTTGTTTGTACCGGCGAGATAGATTGCTACGGACAAGGGATGTTGTAAGTAAAAAGGTTGAGCCCTGTGGCCCCCCCCCTGTATGCGGGAGGAGGGAAAGGGTTTGGGATAGCACACTCACACATCAACTCCTGAGAGACACAGAAGGCTGTCAAGACAAGGAAATCTGCTCGGTACGGGGGTTAGCAGCTCAATTTGGGGGTTAAAAGTGAGGGACAGGAGTCGACTTGTATAAAAAGATACATGCAAACAATGGATCGAGACGCCGCGATAGAAGCCGTCGGCGATGGCGCCAAACCCTAGAAAACCGGACATTCCTGAGCTGGGGACAGTGTCAAGTTAGTGAATACGATGCGGGAGAAGATGTCAGCCTTATTCCTCTTCCACCCTGCCCCGGCAAGGGGAAAACGCCTAGCCAGGATCACAAGGATGGAAGTTATGAACAGGCGATCCTCAGGCTTCCTGTACGACCTAATACGACCCCGCGCACAGGACAGGACAGTACCGTACTGTACACACTATACAAACTGTAGATTACCGCGTGTCCGTCGGCCCGCTTCCCCCGATAACCGGGGCTACATCCGAGGCCCCGACGCGGTCTTCTGCACCTCCCAGTACTTTGGATCGGTCTCTGTGCGATCTCGAGGACGGGATATTCCTTCCCCCGTGGAATCAACCGTGTGGGTCGATCTGCCGCCTAAGAATCGATTCTGGTGGACTACCTATTCTAGCACCAGCGTAGACAGTTTTGTAGAGAATTTAGATTATCTGAACTCCCAACATACACATATTTCTACAGGCGAATCTCATTCCCTGAAGTGGTTGCTGTATCCATCTGTAATCGAACGCACGGCAGTGTACCCAAGCTGTCAACTTGCGTGCTAAAAGGGAGGCGAAAGCCTGCAAAAGGCATTTTACGACGAAGGGTCGGTTTCAAGGTCCTGTATTATCATCCTCAGGGATGATTATCAATGAATTTCGATGAATCAACTGAATCTGTGTACAGGAATAGTCCGAGCAATCACACATGAGACATGACTCTCTGGTCTACTCTATCAGAATTCCAGATCCCAGACTTGCCCGGAGACAAGACCCCTACCGGATCGAGAGTATCCTTCAGCAGGGTGGTGAATCGGCGCAAGGCACCCCCGTTGAAATCGAAATGAGATGCGACCTCGTCCATGTATTCGACGTGGGTGCGGTACTCGGTGTAACCCTGGGCGGCCGCGTCCTGCAGCAGATGGCGGAAGAGCCGGTCCATTGACTGTTCTTCGTGGGGGGCATACACCACGAGCTCGATGGCGAGCACGTAACGGGGGTAGACGTGGAAGTCGGCGAAGAAGTCGAATTGGGCGTCGATGGTTCGCTGCTTGGCCGTCAAGTACCAGTCGTACAGCTCGCGGCCCGAGGGGGGCAGGATGGGCGAGAAGCACACATGGCCACTGCCCTGCTGCCGACTGTTGAGGCTTTCCAAAGGGGCCAGAGTCGGGATTCCGCTGTGAGGGACTTCCTCGAATCCCACCTCATCCGAGTTGATGACCTGGGCCAGTCGCGCCGGGGAATTCGCGCCACTCAACCGTCGCCCCCGGGATGACACTGAACGCTCGCTGGATCGTCTTCAGCAGCCCCGGCAGCACTTCCACCGGTGCGTACAAGGAGAAATAGGCTTTCCAGAACCCCCACCCCTGTCTCGTGCGGATCTCCTCCAGTGCACTGTATGGGACGCAACTCCCCGGGTTCATGTACTTCTTCATCTCTGCGAGCACCTCCGGATTCTGCGAAGTAAGCGCAATGCGGAAGATATTGGCGATCGACGGGGAGTTTAGGATCACCGAGCGGCGCATGAGATCCGACAAAATGCCCACCAGCGGAACCAAATCAGATTCCTGTGGGACGCTGACTTCGACGGTGGCGTAGGCCTCCGGGGCCGGGGTAATATGCATGCCGATCTTGGTAACGACTCCTATCGTGGGAACAGTGAACGCGTCAGCTTCAAGGTTCCCATGCAATGCACCCACCAACGGCGTCGTTCACGTCCCTTCGAAAGGCTCGTAGATATACCCAGATTTGACTGATAGAACAGGCCGTCCACACTGGGACCATAGCCACTGCAAAATGGTCAGCCAGCCGATCCAACTCCACCAAAATATCACACCGACTTACCCCTTGAAGAGCGGAAACAGAGCACTATCTTTCATCGCCCCCATCCCCGTTCGGATGAGCTCGCCAGTCGGCAGGACCACCTCCATCCCACACTGGGACTGGGAATGCTCCCCCTGCGGCGTGTAGCCAAACCCACGATCGAGCGTATTCCCGAGAACAGACCCCCAACCAATGGCCGGGACAGAAGGCCACAAGTTCAACCCTCGCTTCTTGATCTCATGGTAAAGATCAAAGAACGAGACGCCGGGTTCTACAATCGCATAGGCGGACTCCTCGTTGATCTCGATGATTCGGTTCATGCGGTGAAGATCCAGGACTACGCAGCCTTTCTCGACCGGAGCAGCGCCTCCGTACCTGAAGTTGTCAGTAAGCAGAAAGCATTCGGAGCCAGAAGAGCGTGAATTGAAGGAAGCGGGTTCTCACCCTAGATTCTTGCCCCGTGAAACCGTCCACAAGTGAACAAGGTGGGCATTGGCCAGCCGCAAGATCTCCTGAACCTCGGGGACCTCCTTTGGACGGACTGCACCGCTGGGATCATGTTTGGCATGCAGGGCAAAGGGATCCGCATACGAGTGTTGCCCATGCGGGCCTTGCAGTGCGCCATGGCTGGGAGTGCGGGAGATGTTCTCTTCTCCGATCAGGGTGGCAACCGCATCGAAGAACCGCTGTAAAGAAGATGAAGCCATGCTGAGTGTAAGGGTGTATGACAAGTCCAGGTAAGAGTGGGTGACGCTGCTTGGGATGTTGTGCTTGGTCTTCCGCACTTCCCGTGGTCTTGTCGGGATAAATACAATATCGAAAGGCATCCCATCCCCAGCCTTTTCTCCGCTTGTTCGGCAATCCTCCCATAGAGTTGCGGGGAAGGTCATCCGGCTCCTGCCGTGGACAGGAGGATGTTGGGGATAAAACCCGCTTGCGACACTTCCAACCGCACGGGTTTACCCCCCGATGGTTACATAATGTGGATTTCAGGGCTATGCACCAGCTTCATTACTTCCATAATACAATTCTCCCCTCCGTGAATTGCGCGGCAATCTCTTAGGTGCCTTTTTAAATATAGACGGCCCTTTGTTACTGAGGGCTGATCCAGCGTCTTCGTCTCGCCTTGTGCGGTTACAAGTGATGCTGTGTGTAGCGCACTATTAAGACACTACATATATTGTATCGCAACGGTACCGGGCTACCTGCATCAATTCAACTGCCTTCCCAAGTCGGATCGCAAAGGCCTCGTCAACTGTGGAATCAGAGGTACGGTATACATTACTTCAAAGGCGTAGTCTGCATGTCCGATCCCGTGAAATATCCTCTAAACAATATCTACAAATTCACAATGCGTGGTTATTGGCAAAACGCGGGTCGGGGCAAGATCGGAAACGGGCCCCACGGACCCCGCGGGAGCCGGCCCGGGGCAATATGATATTTCCGCTACGTTTCCCTCTGTTGAGTGCCCGGCACTCAGTGGATGTGCTGGTGGTATGAAAGAAAAGAGCCGTTGAAAATTACTACAGCAGGCTGTAAGATACACGAATGGTGCAGTTGCCTTATCGTCATTTCGGTTCCTTCTCTCGTGCCTGAACAGTATGTGCCGGATGATGCTCGGCCTAGGGCGAATCCTGCGAGATGACCACTGTAGCCTGCTGACTGCGATCGAATCGGGAAGCAAATTAGGGCTAGCAGAGAAGCTAGACCAACAATCAACTAGAAGCAGTAATGCTGGTATCAATCGTGGATTGTGGATTGTCGTTTACAAAACAGAGAAATGCTCCGATCTTGAATGCATCTCGTAGGACAGGAGGTATTAAACCTCGATCGAATCCTCATATCTAAATAAGCCCGAGTACTTGATAACCAGGTACAACCGAGGTCGAACGTTTATCTTTTGCTTCGTCTAGAGCCGCCCATTTACCGCCGCTTGCTACCACGCAGTCAAATTTAGAAAGATGGTTCATGTCACCCAGCCAGAGGAGAAGAAGCTCCGCGTGGCTGTTGTGGGAGCCGGGCTCGCGAGCACGGCTGTGACCACATACCTGAACAAGTGTATATCCCCTTCCCTCTGGATAAATCTAGACAGCTAATCCATACCGTGACAGACTGCCCAACGTGGAGGTCCAGATCTACGAGCGGGATAAAGTGCAGAGATAGTCGGGCTCGTAGGCCTTCCCGGGCCCTCATTCCTACCACCCTATGTTCCCGGACCGGAAGTGCGTGAGCACTGACAATATGACCGCAGATGGATCGGAGTGATGAATAGCGGGCAAAGGATCCTGGACGAGCTCAGCGGTAAGGTAGGGATTGTGTGCTGTAGACGGTAAGCAAAAACAACATCGATCAGCATATTGCCTGGGTACTTCTGATAGTAGTATAATCTAGCTTTCACCGCGGGGTTGAGTCATGATATTCTGATAATCAGCATCTGAAGTGACCAGCGGACAATTGCCACTGATGTGATTTGCGGTTGACGCTTAAGCCGCGACGATACACTGTGTGGTCCACAGCTAAACTGCCTCATAGTCTAGCGTGATCGGCAAGCTTCAAAACAAACAGCAATCTAAAATAGCCTAACTAGATTAGCCAGAATAGTTAGCGCTTATCTCGGGGTTAGTCACACCAGAGCCGGAACAAATGCTGCGCGGGAGGGCTTGACCCCAGCCTGACATTCATGAGTCACATCACTCTTTGGTGCTGTAATGGGCTTTGTCCTCTGTTTGGGAATGCAGTTATGTCACAGAATATATGCAATGTCAAGGATGATGTTTTGATGAGACGCACTTACAGCATAAGGGTGAGCCGAGCTCGGCTTCTCCTACCACTGCAGTCGAACCGACTTCATACCAAGCTTTCCCTATGATCATGTCCCTTCGGCTAAGGGGCTCGCCTCTGAAGACCCTGAGTCACTGCTGAATGGGGAGATCAATCTTCGAATAGCCCGTAATCAAGGACGAGTGCGGTGACGCGTCATCCAGGGCCGGCAATCTAATGGACTACAGACTAGTGAGCAACGGCGCCACGGGTTGTTTGTTAGACCATCGCCGGTCCTTAGACTAGCCACTAGTCTCTGAATCTACGTTGACCAAGATCGGAGAGTCGAATGTATAACACCTGCCCTCTCACCCACCAAAGGGCTGCTGCTGCCTCTACCGTCGAAATGAATCTCACTACCCTTCCCACCGAGCTTATCATCCATACCTGTGACTACCTGGAAGTAGCTGACTGGTGTGCCGTTCGGCTTACCTGCAAGACACTCTTCCTTCGTACGTGGGAAGCCTTCGCGGACTCTAACTTCCAGACCGTTTGTGTTCTGATCACAAGTCAGAGTCTGAGCCGCTTGGCGGCCGTGGCTGCCGATGAGAATCTTCGCACACGAGTGAGAAATCTCTGGATCGTCCCCACCCTCTTCGAAGGATCGCTGGAGAAAAACCATGGTCTACCGCGAAATGAAATGCGACCACTACGGGAGAATTGTTTCGCTGCGAGTTGTTACGCGGAGGGATCCTGGAGTGACACTGAGCTCTCTAACCGTTTCACCGCTTACCAATCGATTGTTGCGGATCACTGTCACGTATTGAGCACAGGCACCTTTGCAAGCACTATTCGTGAGTTGCTCGCCTGCTTCAACAATCTGGACGGTATCGGGCTAAGGTCCTGTCCCACAAGGCTCTTACTCGATTCGACCCAGCCAGCGAATTTCCCCTGTTTCGGGGTACGCCAGCTTCGGCAGCAGCTGCCCTGCCGCAGTGCGACTGCTTCCCCTGCGTACCTGTGGCAGGAGAAGAAAAGAATGGGTGATAGACATGCGAGTGTTTTCTCTGCCGTGGTAAGCGCAATCATCTCCGAACAGCGAAAGCTGCAGAGACTCGAGACGTGCGATGATCATCACTGCGGCGTGGCAGCACAGGAGCTGACAATCCTGAGGACGGAGACGACAACACCAGAGTACAAGCGATTCTTAGCCCTCTTACAGAATCTTGAAAGCCTCCACTTGTGCCTCTCTGGCACAAACAAGTCGTTTACCTACTGTTATAAGGAAGATTGTCTGCGGAATGCGGTAGAGATGGTGGCCGCCGCCCCCAGCTTGCGGACACTTACCTTGTCGCCCTGCTACAACCCTGGCGAGCGCCTGCCGACTCAGGTGTTCTCCCAGCTCGCACCCCGCGTCCACTTCACACGGCTGACGGAGCTGGACTTGCACGGCGTTGATACTACCCACGGTGACCTGCAAGCGTTCCTGCGGTCCGCTGCCACTACCTTGCAGCGTCTTACCTTATCTTCGGTAAATCTAGTCGAACCTATCACCCCCGCCTCACCTTGTCATCCCGAACCCCACTCTGCCGAGAAGCACCAGTGGATCCTTGATTGCAGGGCAGAGATCGTGCGCCGGTGGCGGGCAGTCTGGGTCAGCCTCCACGACGAGATGGCCTCGCTTCGGTACTTGTGCATGCGGGACTTGTTGTTCCATGGCCATAGAGTCGAGGTGAGCGATCCCGCATGCACGCTGAGCGGGACGGCACCCCAGACATTGCCTTTGAGGTGCAGACAAACACGGACATCGGCGCAGAGATGCCCTGCGAGCCCTGTCGTCTTCGAGGCTGACAACGCGCAAATCACGCTGAGCGAATGGATACGCCAGTTGAAGGTTGACCCGGCCCAGCGAATGAGCAGTAAGTAACTTCCCATCAAAAGAGCATTTCCTTCCAGCGACCCTATTGCCCTTTTGTCCTTGCCCTGCTTTTGTCCTATCACTGCAATCTCCAAATAGAACTGATGTTCCAAAGGATTCTTCCGGCTGCCCTGGCGGCGGGAGGAGCGGCCCTCGCGGTCAATTCCTTCTGGCTCGATAGCCTGTTTCCGGCCGGCGGGTCCGGGTGGATGGAGTGAGCTCAGGTCAAGGCTCAGGTCAAGGGAATCATAACTTTTAGCTTCCAGTATATTGTATTTCACCCCGTCGAGTGTGGGATTTGTCAGCCTTTCGTTGTGTTAACTCGAGTTGCAGAAGAAAACGCTTGTGCCTGCGACCATTTTTACAATAGCTGAACACTGTTTTGTGGTTGTTTGATATCACAACGTAGAGGTAGAGGCTTTATGTCTTTTTTTTGTTAACAATAGGTCTACAACTTCAAAGCAAACGTGTAGATACGGCTTACCCAGCTTGGCAACAAGACACCGCGAGCACGCGATCGATGTTAATCAGCACCGAACTCTGGCATTCAAGACAGGGTTCGAGCTTGACTGGCTTCTGTCGGGCTAGCGCATCGATATTAGTGATATCCCCAAGCTGTCTTTTCTGAACGTTGTATCCAAGCTGGACCAGACTACCTGCTCAGCTAAGAAATACCGCTTACTTCCATGTACCCCGCCATCGTCCTCCGACTGTCGCCTTCGAGAAACCACGATGAGAAACAATGATAACTCTACTCTCCGGCTTCCTTACCATCTGAGATTATGCTCGTAACCGGGCAGTCGGAATCTCTCCTAGTCGGTAGTCAGTTTCTAGGATAGGACGAGCGTGAGTATGCTAGGCTAAGGCATAGGCAGGCAATAGCCTACCCAACCCCCAGCAGTTTTCAATCGGCGGATCGTTCAGCAGATTCACACTCCCCCGCCTAGCTTCAGGGGGTGCAAATTCAGTGCTGACGTGGTTGTCGCTTCGAATGCCGATTAGCTATTGGACCTGTGTCCATTTGCTGCCGCCATGTCTCGGATACCTACGCCGGCCACGTAGGATACTACTTTTCAAGGATAACCTCCTTCAGGCAGCAGCTTATCGTTACCCAGACAAATCAGCCGTATTATTTGTAATTCCAGCCTGTGTGGGTACTGCTGGGGTGATCTCAATAAAGCTTTCAATACTGTTTCCGTCAGCTGAATGTGGATGACACAGAATGGACAATTGCTATAGATTTCAATTATCTACATTACGCCGCGGAGGCTTAATGATACGCCGTGGCTGCAGATCCGGTTTTGCAGGTCGTAGTCTACGTGGCCGCGGTGGGAGGGTCTAGGTTGATTGACTTCACATCTTCACGACAAAGCTTCTTTGGAGAGGTGTGAGCGATCGGAATCTGCAAGTATCCCGGGGGGGGGGGGGGGGGGCGGGGGGGAATCTACAGGGGCGGGGGGGGGGGGGGGGTCTGACGGAGTATCAACGGACTGGATGCCTACTTTTTCGATGCCTGCGAGGACGTTTATTAAGAGCTAAGGAAGCCCCACGATTCTACATGATTATCATTCCAATTTTTTCTACTAGTTCGTTGTCAAGATTGCATTTCTCTGTTTCCCCCAAGCTTTGCCTACCCCTTCAGAGATTGGTTCTGCGAAACTCTATCACAGAACAATATTAGAAATGGAGGATGGTAATGTTACCCCAATCGAGATACTCTCATGTTGGTTCTAACTTGAATAGAACATTCAAGCACCGGCTCCAACCTACATACCAGGGCCCGTGCGTCGGAGCTGGGCTGGAAAAGGTAGTTGAAAAGGATCATTCTCAGCGGCGACGAAGCTGCCGTCGAACGATTCCTGAATGGTCACCCCAGTCTGGATCTCGAAGACTCATTTGAATTCAAGTTTCCCGGGGACGGATTCGATTCTGGGGCCGGGATGACTTTCTTGATGCTCGCCGGTGGTCTGGATCATGCTAGAGCTGTGCGTGTGCTGTTGGAAAAGGGATCCAACATCCTCGCCGAAACCGATGAGCTTCGAGATACCGTACTCCACTTCGCCACTCGGCGGAATGTCTCTATGGCAACCTTCCAAATACTCCTTGAGAGGGGTGGGTTTGAACTCATAAAGAGGCAGAACAAGGACAGGAAGAGTGCCTTGCACTTTGTGATAGATTATGGAGGCCCTGAGATGGTCAGATCGCTGGTTGAGAAGACTGAGGCATGCTCGGACAATGCCGCGAGTGAAGTTCTGGGCCAATGTGACGATGATGGATGGACAGCACTGCACCACGCAGCGTACAGAGGAAAACTCCACTTTGTGGAATATCTCCTGGAGCACCGGGTAAATGCGTAGGCCAAAACGGTGCGTGGAAGGACCGCGCTGCATCTGGCAGCTTGGGACGGGTACTGTCGACCTATTAGCCCCAGACGTCAATCCGTGGCTCGAATTCTCGTCGACAAGAATATTAATTCCACCACCCAAGGACATCCACTCATAAATCAAAAGGATGATGCCGGCTGAACGGCACGTCATGTTGCTGCTATCCAAAGATACCCTGATATTTTTAATCTCCTTCTCGAACGAGGTGCGGATTTGTATGCCACAACAGATAACGGAACAACCGCACTGCAGCTTGCTGCCTCTCACAATTCCTTGAAGAATTTAGAAACAATTCTCAATAGGCTTGATGTAGACTTCAAGCTAGCGAGCAAGCCACCTTTACACAAGGGAACGCATAGAGAGGCTCTTGAAAAGCGAAGAGACTTTGTATCCGCAAAGAATACGCTCTACTATACAGATCTGTGGCTGGCCGCTGACAGATATTCACTAAGCTCTGTCCTGGAGAACCTGGAAAGCAAGGCGCTTTTCCCCGAGCTCCCTGCACAAGATGAACCACATTTTCCGGATTCCGGGGAGATAAAGCATGTGTCCGATCTTCTCCTCCATTTTATGAGTCTCCATGAGCAGGATCAGCCCTTTATTGTGACTGATACCACCGACACGCCTACTATGAAGTTCAGGTTGGACAATCCCAAAATTATTGTGAATCATATGGATGCAATTATATACTAGGCCGTTCTGAATCGACAGAAGGCTATTTTAGACAAGTACTTGGCTGGATCACACTGTCTTCCACATCTGGATCGAGAGGGCATGTCATGGGCTGCTGTGGCCGCACTCGGTGCCGATATTACTATCACAGACACTATATTGAGAATTGAATACGGCCAGTCAGGAATGGGCGACTCCCATGCGACCGATCTCCTTAGTTTGGGAATTAGCAGTCAGAATCTTTCCTTCATTCGAGCTCTGCTACACTGGTTAGAGGCACAATCAATGGCAGATCGGCATGATGATGACAAACGGGATATCCGCGACGTGAAAAGCCATGGAATTCCTGTCCTTCCACCGTCGCAGATAGTGAGAATCCTGTTCGATAACAAGGGGGATGAACAGAATTTAATATCTTTATCCGCCTGCGGGGGTTCTTCAAGCCATAGGGATATCGAAAGTTTTCTATGGAAGGTCTTGGATCAGAGCGTCGGCAAGGATCGAGAGCATTTTGTCAATCTAGCAGAGGAAGATCAAGACAGAATCCTGGAGCTGGTAGCCCGCTATAAGTCTCCAGACAATGAGGTATACTTGAGCCACTACCTCGAGTATTTGTTATCTGCGTCCTTGACGTAAAATGTGCTTCGAAAGGCCGTGTCACTCAAGAAGCCCGTTGTCCTCTGGTGGCTCCTTTCTAACGGAGAATACCCTACTGAGGATGACATCAAGCATGCCGAGGAGCAAGCCAAATTCTGGGGTGAAGATGACAAGAATGGTCAGATTATCCTCGAGCTTTTCAATGATCCTCCGCCGATTCGGCAAACTAGGGCCCCGGCAGACGACCATCATCGCCCTAGCTTCGAACATCCGGCCTCAGACTTCGGTTCACCAAGGGGTACGGTGCTCGACTTCCTTTGCGAAAACGGTCAGGATCACTGCCATGTTCTTTTCCATCTCAAGCACTGTCCGGTAATCGATATCATCTACAGCAAGGGGCCTGAAACCATCATGTATGACTGCAAGTATCGCGAAGTCACAACACTAAGAGATGCTCTGCAGAACGCTCCGCCAGCTAATCCCCTAGGAGATTCTTGCGAGATAGACGATCCCGAAGAGTCCAAGATGGCGATGGAGCAAGAATTAAAGCAAGCGCAAAAGGGTCTTAGCGAACCAGACGTAAGATGGGTACATATCCCGGTGACCAATGTAAGAGATGCCATCCTAGGTGCTTCTCCGGTTTCAATCTCTCCCGCAAGCTAACTTCGAGCTTTTGCCACAGCTAAGATGCGTGAAGGTATACTTAGTACCCATCGGGTCCAATCGCATTGACTGACATGATCCAGGAGCTTTTGGTCCGTCTGTCGAAGGACAAAAGCTTAACGAATAAAGACCACCGACCACTCGCCTCATTCATTGACAACAACCAGGTTATACTGGATGCTGGTGGTCACAAGGCCTATATGAAGCCCCAATATGTGGTACAGGTGAGCCCAACAGTGCCTTTTTCTCGCGGACTACTCGGATCCTTGCACGGTGACATTGACTTCCATGGCCGGGACAAAGGGTGTCTGCGATCAGAGCCCGGCAGAGAGAACCACGCAACATTGTTCTGCGATATATGTCAGTAGGACGTCTCTATAATATATCCGGCAGGACAACTAACATGTGTAGTAGATGCCATTTCTAGGTTGGTCAAAGTGGCCACGCGAACTGGACCACAACTGTCCGAGGCAATCGCTTCCGGAGCCCGTTGAGTCCCAAGAGGACCCCACAAACCAGGAGCAGTCCTACATGACTCTCGATCAATACAACTACTCATCGATCAGTGACAACAGAAAGAGACAGTGATCAAGTTGCTGGGCGCTTCACTCGACCGAAGGATAGACGAGGCCCAGACAGCACGCCGTATTCAGGTGCTCCTCGGTACTCTCCTACAATACTTATCGTAAATCAGCTGTGGCTCTTTACGCTTGATGAGAGTATGTACTCATATCAGTGTATCTCATTTCGCGGTTTGGGGCTATGTTAGGCAGGGCGGTCTGATTGGCAGTAAAGCTGTTAAGTATAGAGATTTTAAGGCAACCGGGCTTCTGTAATGTGGCATGAATAGCCTCCCGGAGTATGCTCTTATACAGACACTCGTTTAGCATTTTACTGCCGTCATCATAGGTCTGGAACCGTTATAGACATATGATGCCCAACGGGTGTGCAACACTGGAAGAGCAGAAGCCAGGCCGGGTTCTCAATCTCTTTGATCAGGAATCTCCGGACTTGCTTGATAGGTAAAGACAACATCTGTCAGACAATATTCTTACGGACCAATACGAGATGGGTGCACGGATCATTTTATTGCTAGAACTCCGCTTTCCCCATATGAAAAGCGTGGGCAGATTCGTCTGCAATGATATGGTCTCACATCATGAGCATTGCTCATACAAATTGTGGCAACACTTCGGCCGCACATACCTCGTCATCTCCAGGGTGACGCGCCACCCCAGAACTATCACCACGAGACCCCAAATCCGACGGTGATACCAGGCCCCCAATATCCAAATCCTTAGCACGAACAGGCGCCCAGTCCTTCGCAGTGTGACTCGATCTCAAGACCTCCACTAGAAACTGATCAGTCTCCGTCGGATACGCTACCCCGGTCCGGTTCTCTCCGTCTTGGGCGATGCGCTGTAGAAGGTCCGCCCTGAGCGCCTCGGTCGCCAGCGCGGCCCAGACCTCCGAGTTGACCAGCCCCTCACTGTGGGGCCAGGAGTGCATGGCGTCAAGGGCCTGAACCCGCAACGTGAAGTCCGGACACTGGGTCGCCACGATGTGCAGACCACCGAGGACGAGTGGCTCGATGATAACGGTCGTCGTGCTGCGGGCGAGGGCGCTTATAACCGCGAGACTGCTCGATAGCAAGGTGGTGAAATCCGTGATAATCCGTGCTTGGTCACTTGCATCACTGCTGTCGTGTAGCGTGAGTTTCAACGAGACTGTCTGGACTACCTCGAGGTGCCGCAGCATAGTGACAGCGCGATGTTCCTTGCTCGTCAGCGTCTGCGCGCGGGTCTGATAGAATGAGTTGAGGACCCGAGTGAACTGCTGGTAGCGTGAGAGAATCCGCTGGCGAGCGAGCCAGAACGCGTCATATTCAGCAAGAATTTTGGCTTTCGGCGTTTGCCAGGCGTGGCCAATAAAGCCAATTGAGTGGTTGCTGATCCTCATGAACGCTACTCGGGCATCGGCCACGCTCTGGATAACAATCGGATAATCCTTCGTCACCCAGTCCGGCTCCTCGCGTTTGGTATCTTCCTGTTGCACAGTTTTCCAATATAGATCGGCCTCCATATCCAGGTGGTGAAAATAATCAACCAGAGCCGGATCAAATCTCTGCCCGCGGGCCTGTGCTTCGCTCATAATTCGCACCCCGTGTTTCACGTGCACAATAGTAGTGTCGAAGTTGCCCCGCATATGCTCTCCGATCACGAACAACAGGCAGCAGATTAGAACGGTGTGGATCAGCTGCGGGTCGTTGGATCCCTGCCGGCGTCGCAGCAAGGCTGATGCCCGCACCGACTGCTCCAGCGCGAACTTCAAATGATCATCATCGGCCTGTGCCCCAGTGAGTCGCATTCCATTGGTCTCCGCGGCTTGCTGGATCGCGCTCAGCATGTTCACCGCATGGCAGACGGCCGGTTCCGTGAAGCTCAGGCGCAGAATGTGGCTTTCCCAGAGTGGGGAATCAAACAGATCCGCGACACTGGACACGGTGCGGTGCTGAAAGTACGAGAAGCAGCGTTGCTCGTCCGACGTCAGAACCCATCCATGGCGCTGGACACACACCACCTGGGGTAAGGTGGTTTGTCGCCCCCAGGGGAGTCGATGGAGATCATAGTCGCATTTCCGACCGGTGGACGTGCAGTTCTTGCACGCACCGGGCAGTTCGTCGCAACGGATGCGGCGCGCACTGCACGTATATCAGGCGGATTTATGGGCAGCAGTTCCTCCGCAGAGCACTTACCGGCAGGTGCGGCATCCCGTCTTTGATCTCGTGTATGCACGACGACGGGCAGGTATTATGGGTTCAGTTCCAGGCATGGTAGCTTTTTGGTTAGCCTGCAAGCGAATAGCAGGAGGGTTACAAATATGATAATCTCTCCGTTTGCGCAGCACGAGACAGGAGAAAACGCATTCTTTCAAGTGCAAGGCACACACTTGATTATGAAGCCGTGGTCAACGGTCGCAGGTCCTAGTCTTGGCCCAGCTCTGATCTGAAAGTCGTCAGTGGTGGAAACATGGATCTGATAGGGATAATTTTCCTTGGATCCGGGGTCCAGCTAGCTAGGTATGAATAAATCCCCACGTGCGATTGCTTCCTCGCTTGCAGTCATTATATGCGTTTGCAGCCCCTGAGAGGCTGAGAGGCGCAGAGAAATGTGGGAACTGTGCCGTGTGTCTGTCTATAATATATTGAACTAAATTCACTAACGGCCTATGGCCGCAGACTGGTTCGATAATATGTTTGCTAGTGTCCCGTATAGGATAAGCACAGACTACCAACATATCTATTGTACATACCGATTCCCTTCTGGCTTCTGCATCACTATGTATCAAACCTACTGCACTACATGCTTTTGGTATCATTCGTTGCTCATACTTCCGTTTTTCTTTTTTTTTCTTTTCAATGTACAGAGCTAGCCAGAGTTTGCTCGGACGGGGCCAGAGTTCCGTGGGGTGTCGGGGATAAATTCCCCTTCGGGGTTAACTCTCCACTTTCCGAGGGGCCCCCCGCTTCGCCTCGGGGATAGAGAGATGCTTATGGAAAGGGAGCCGCGGACAGACCCTTCTAGAGTTTTCAAACCTATATTGCTGTATGTGAGTGGTCAAAGTCACTATACTATCTTTGAGCCTCAAATCAGCAGGATCCAGTCGTCCCTTACCATTTTACACGCTACGCACCTTGACTCACCCGTCTCCCAGTCAGCAGACCCCCGTCAAAAAGCAGACACTAAGCTTTCAGTCATAAAGCTTAATTGTTTTATATCTCAGTCAAATTTTATCTTACCATCAACAGAAGATTATGATTAGAATTGATATTCCAGTTCGATCGCTCAATGTATTATTAATTTCTAGTACAGTGTGTGTTGTCTCACGGCCTGCTGGAGAAAACCATGTATAGCTAAAGGTATACGTGAACATTGAGAGAATTGGATAGAACAAATCGCAGGGTAGACAGTACAGTGACCTCCCTACTTAGATATTCCCTATTCCCTCTCAATTCCTTCTCGAGGTGTTTGTATTTTCTAACGTCCCATTCAGATTTTTTGATTGGACCATGAGCGCGGGACATCTTCACCGCCTAAACGCTGCGCAACTATTCAAAAGGGAAATCTGGTGACCATTAGTAGGTAGGTAGACTTCTTCAGAACTAACCAAACAAGAGCCCTGATACGCTTAATAGGTTGAACGCGGACGAATCTCTAGTAACCGAGCTCTCGCAAATTCCAGAAGGCGATGAGTGGGAGAGAGATTTGTAACGGGATCCATCAATTGACCAACAGCGGCGATGTTGAACAGAGAAAACTTTGGCAAAATATATTCGTGCTAAAGACACGTTGAAATACGAACTTTAATATACTTATCTTACATGTTGCTTTCCAGAAAGGATGTCTCCCTGTTATTGAGACTTCAAATGACGACCAGCAATGCTACCTACAGCGCCTGATTGATTGAATCGTTGCCGCCCTACCGGGCTGACCATCTGCACGTGACCTGCAACAATCGACCAGACCACACTTCCTACAAGGCTCAGCGGAGGGTTAAACTTACATCGAATAACAAAAGGAAGGCATAAAACCCTCCCACATTTTAGAAATGCGAGATTTACCGATCGCCAAGAAAGTGAAGTCATGGGGTAACAGTGACCGATGAGCTCCACCGAGTATGTCGGTCGGCACGTGACCTTGTCGGGCTGGGTGGCTAGGTATAGTGACAGCATAACTTAAGTGCTACGAGTACAAATGTGGAATGCCGGACAGGGTTCCCAGTAGAGTTAATAGAAGAGTGAATCTGACCTCCTATCGCTATTCTTGCCTCGAAATCGTAATCGGAGATCAAAGCACGAGGAAGTGACGCAACGCCCTGTACTGCACTTGCCGACCACAGCCATACATCATTGTTCTCAACAAGTCGACTCCACAAAAACAGCAAAATAGACAACCAGAAAGAAGATCCAAGAAGCAAGAAAGGTGCCAACAAGATGACTGACGAAGAATCCCCTATTTCACCCAAAACCTTCGCCATCCCCGAACCAACCGTGACCTTCGTCCCGGAGACCGACCCCTCCCACCCGACAATCCTCCTGGAACCCTACCACGTCGACCTCCTCCCGGAATACGACTTCATCAGCCAGGAGTACCTGATCTCCGGCACCGCGCAGGGCCAATCATACTGCACGCGCCTGCTACTCCGGCGGCCCGCAGACCCCGCCCGATTCTCAGGGTTCGTGGTCGCCGAGCCCTCGCACCTGTGGGGCGGGACGAGTATCTGGCGGCATGTAAATCGGTGGGTTATGCGCAATGGTGAGTCGCCTCCCTATCCTTTATTCTGATCACGCGAAAGCAACCCGGATCGACGAGATCAACTCGAGGGAAATGGGTCTAACACAGCCTACATTGCGATGGGGGGAACAGACCACGCCTGGCTCGAAGTCGACTCGCAAGCCCCCTCAGCCACCGAGAAGATCAAGAACGTCGACCCGGACCGATATGCAGCCATAAATTCCATGGCAGCATATCGCAGGCGGGCCGGGACGGCGATTGCCCGCCAGATGAAGTCGGGGTTCCTGTTACCTGAGGATGCCGAGGTTCTACGGCGGGAGACGGTGGAACGAGTGCATTTCTCATGAGGTGGACACATGAAGCGAACTGGAATGCGGTATTTGCAGTGGGTATTAGGAGATGAGTTCAGTGATGACTGTGATATAAGTTGATACTAGTTCAAAAAAAACTCGGACCAAGCACAGTTCTTTCGACCACATACTCCCATCGCACTGTTGCTTGCACAATGTACATGTAGTCTTTTCAACTCGGAATTGCACTTGTGGACAGAATCACAAACGAAACGACGAAATGGAACTGACGATAAGACCAAAAATAGAAAAGAAACCAAACGTGTTACAAAAGCTCGGAGAGTACACATAATTGATTTGGCTTCGCGGCTTGTCCCTCATACACATCAAGCCCCGGGCTCATGCCGATGGCATTTAGGGCTAGAAGGATCCATCCCCATCATCACATCTAACCAAATGCCAGTCTGATATTTCTAAGAGTCGCAATAGAGACTGTAGTGAACATTTGCAGATAGAACTACCCAAGACAAATTCAATTTGCCCCTTATAATATTCAATTTATATACCCATGTGGAACCTTAACTTTCTCATCAATCTAGAACCAAGACTTAAAACCCCGCCCAAGAGCCCAACATCCTTTCCCAAAGGAACGATTACATAGCATATCGAAACGTCTCCCACTGCTCGAAATCCATCCGATCGTCATCCTCATCATCTCCACTAGCCTGTCCAGTATGATTATGAGCCGCCGCCAGTTGCTCGCGCCGCTGATTCTCGTAGTTATACCACGCCAGCTGGAAGCATGGGACGATGATCATGAGTACGTAGGTGCCCACTGTTCCACTTATGTCAGTATATATTCCAGCCAAGGCTCTAAATTCGAGCAAAGGGATGAGGTGAAACGTACTAAGCATTCGAAAGGCCAGCTCATACACTGGGGCTTGGATATCGAGAGAAAACTCTATTTCCCATGGGAGCCAATTAGTACATCAGCCCCACGGCTTTCTGGCAATGAATGTCATCTGGACAAAGGAACGGAGAAGAAAGGCTGTCCGCGTTCAGACATGGTAATGTGGGCGGCTTCGTTGACAAGAGCATGAAAGACCTCTACATCGCCAGCAAGAAGATGAACCCTCTTGGCGCGGACAAACAGCGCGGAGAGAAGGCTTTCAGGCTCGGAAACGTTGTGCTGCTTGCACACCTCGAAGGAGTCGTGAGCCAGCTGCTCAAAATGGGAAGCCTTCACAGCGTACGTGCCATCTTCCAACGCTAAATGCGACACAGAGAAGGCAGGAATGGCGTATAGAAGAGGCTTGAACGAAAGGGACTGGGAGAATGCAGTAGTGTATAAGTTGCTAGCTCCCCGCGGGCCATCATCAACTTTCGCGTAGCCCGTCATGGTGGTCAGATAGTGTTGGATCAAATGCTGCTCCTCTGCGCCTATGTTGATCTCCCGGGGGAAGAAGCCATCGCCATTCGTGCTTTGCTTGTCGGCATACACTTGCGTAGTGGTACTTTGGAGCTCCAGGCTATGTGGAGAGGGAAATGAATCTGTGAGACTCGTCGGGTTTGCGAGCCCCCCAGCGGACAACGAGAGCGGGTGATGATCGAGAAGGCCGGTCCCGTGGTGGAGATTCAGATCCACCGGGGTGAAGTCCAAGCCGAACTCGATGTCAAAAGGCAGGTCTCCCAGCATATCAACGCAGGCATCAAGTTCGAATGAAGAGGATTGATTGGCAGTTGCACCGTTGCCTTGCTCCGTAAGCCTTGGCACCTCGACAGCTGGGCTCGTCGCTGGATAGCCGGTGCTTCGCTCCCCACCACTCACCCGAGATACCTCGTTATCGTCAGCTACCGACTCAGTAGGCTTCGTCGCTTTGATGTAACGCGATCGCTCACGTCTGCGACCGATAGTTTGTCGTCGTTTTGGCGGTGGGCTGTAATGTTCCCCGGCCACCGGGGCGCTTCATCGGCATTCCAGCCCTAGCCGTCTGCAAGAAGCACAGCTAGATAGTCCGTCTGGTGAACCTTCCTGTGCCTCGGACTTGCATCGAACCTTTCGAAATTTGCACGTATAGCAACCTAGGGCGATGATTAATGAGCACGAACAAGGGGAGGATGATGGAATACCAACCAGGGCGAGTTCGCTGGCGTCCATTTGAAGTGTTTATAGCGAGCATGGATGAAATGGGACGCCCCCGAGGGGCTATGAATCAGGGGACAAACAAATGTGGATGGGATGGACCATGCGAGCTGTGGGCGAGAGCAGAATTTTGGAAAAAAGAGGCGTCAGAGCCCCCGCGTGCTGATTACGCGATGACTTTAAGGTAAGGATGACAGGCGTGGTTGATGGTTGACAGGGATTGTACTACTCTAACGTCAGACATGGTGGGAGATAAGGTATCTCGGTCATACGCCACCCAACCTTCTGACACGACCCAGTATTCCGGATTGGGTAGGAGACTCACCGCTTGACATCGAGCCCTATCTTTAACTCCCAGTCCCTGCAAGGTTGGTATCAGCTCATCAGCTTCCATGGGCCAAAGCGCCTGCAATCACTTCCACCACCCACATCACATGCACCGCGAGTTTGCATGTGCAGGGTGACTAATCCCTGCAGTCTCACCCCCACCCCAACCACTCTCATTTACTCAAGTTGAGAGCATGTTAGATATGTCAACGAACTTTCCTCCTTTTCTTCCCACCGCCACTAGAATCCGAGCCGGGACTAGGAGACGGCCGGGGATTCAGTACTTGTGAGAGTTGGACATTGATCGCCTCCCAGTCCGGCTCGCGCTTCTTTTCCGGAATGGCCAGTAAAATGCATCGCGCATTCCTGCCCGCTGGTCGCGAATGCCTCCTGCACCAGTCGCACTGTTCCCCGTTCACCCGCTTCTCAGCATCTGCGTTGTTCGCTATAAGCTCCTCGACTGCCCGGAGGTTTTGCTTCTGGACTGCATAATGCAACGGTGGCAGACCTTTGGTCGCATGCGGCCGGTCCTTGTCAGCCCCCTTGACGATGAGCTTGGTTAGCAGTCCATCTTGCCATTTATCCACAGCTTGGTGTAATGGCAAATTTCCCTCGTGATCATGGATGTTCATGTCAGTTGGGTGAAGCCCACAAAAGAAATAGATTAGCTCCCGGTAGCTCTGCTTGATCGCTTCATGGAGCGGAGGGCAGAGCCCCGACTCCGGCGGTGGATTGTCATTGACAAGCTCTGGGTACTGGTCACAGAATAGCCTCACGAGCGCCATCTTACGTTCTCTGGTCGCTCTGGATAGTGCAGGAAACCCGAAGGTAACAGCCAATGGTTGCCCGTGCTTATGCTGGCGTAGAAGGTCCCGCAACATACCGATCGATAACTCCTCAGACAGCGACGATTCCATGATGAACTCAGCGAGAGATTTTCCTTCACTGACCTTCCACTTCGGGTCAGCATCTTGCGCCACCAGGAGCTGCAGGACAGCGAGATTGCCAGACTTGACGGCGTAATGGAGCGGCGTTTCTTTATTCGTGTCCTCAATGTTAATCACGGGCGCCTTCTGAAGTACAATTTGGACGATTTCCAGTTTGGCCAGCTCCACTGCATAGTGTAGCGGCGTCTTCCCATTCTTGTCGCGGAAATCTGGATCAGCCTCTCGCTCAAGCAGCAGATGAACCAGACTCGAGCAATCTTTCTCAATCGCACAATGGAGCGCCGTCCTCCCTTTGTGGTCCGGCGCATTGGGAAAGGCACCTTCGTCGAGGAACAGCTTGACAAGCTCGGGGCTCCTGGTGCGTGTGGCATGATGTAGTGGGGTTTCCTGCTTGTGGTTGGCAATCTTGACGATAGTGTTCATCCGCTGCAGAAGAAGCGTCGACAACCCAACCAGTCCTTTGCTGGCAGCCAGGTGCAACTCAGTATTACCGTTTTGGTCCGCTACACCAATCTGAACATGGCCTTCGAGAACTAGATCGATAATCTCCGAGCGACCGGTCTGAATGGCGACATGCAACAAGGACTCGCCTGCGTCGTTCTGAATGCCCGTGTCTGCGCCTCGATCGATCAGAAGACGGCACGCACTCTGGTGCCCTGATTTCACAGCCTTCATCAGCGGCGTGAAGCCGTTGGCCCCCTTGGACGTGCTTTGAGCGTTGATGTCGGCCTTGTTGTCTAGTAGTAAAGCGATGGTGGAGGTCTGCCCGGCTCCCGCCGCCGACATGAGCGCCGTACTGCCGAACCCGCTTCGCTTTTCCACGGTGGCTCCGCGCTCAATGAGCATCTGGACAATTCCATCGTGTCCCAGTCGGGCAGCTAAGCACAGAGGTATGTCCTTGTTGCACGGTTGGTCCACTCCGATCCCCAGATCGAGTAGCAGGCTGACGCCATCGACGCTATTGGCACGGATCGCTTGTGCCAGGAATTTTGATCGCTCCTGTGTACTTTGACTTTCACATATCCAGATGGATTTGAGAATGGTGTAGATGCGACCGCGCTCGCGGTCGCTAGCTTGTTGAACTTCATGTGTGGTGAGCTCGTGGGTGATCTGGGAAGGCTGGAACTGTGGCAGGGGAATCGGCGGATCTTCTGGGTCATCTCCATTCCTGATACTGCTGGGAGGAGTGACATAGGTGGAGGGGGGGTATTCCGAGCGCACTTCGGCTGCATCCTGACTCTGGTAGATCTCATTCCAGTGGGAGGCTTCGAATTCAACTTGGTCTTGTAAGAGCCGAGATATGATGGTGTTTTGGTACTCGATATCGGGTGCGAGTGGCTGTTCCTCGAATGGCGGGTGAAGACTGAATAATTCGGATTGATGAGACGAAGATCCAGTACAATCATCATGAGATCGGACTTACCTGTTGGGATTGAAGAGCCGGAGCACCTCGCGGAGAAGTACCTTGTATTGCTGCAGGGCTACCAGGGCCTGAGGCCAGCGACCGGTGATATAACCTCGCGCACCGAAGCTGGAGCCATAAAGTCGCAGCTGCCGCTCAACTAGGTTGATAGAGTATCCGCACCCTCGCAGAAGCGACGCAAGGTGTGCAGCTGCAGGTGATATATGCGTCCGTGGCAGAACTATGTGTCGCAGCAACGATCGAAGCTCCTCATCCACTCCCGCAAGTGTAGCCAGAGTTTCATCTTGCGACGGGCTAAGGTATGGCTCGAATTGAATTTGAGAGACTAGGACAGTGACGCGCACGTCATCTAGTAGTAAGGAATGGGTCAACGAGAGGAGGTCATCTTCGACCGCGACCTGCATGTTGGCAAGTACGTTAATAAGGACAAGGAAAGAGCGGCTCGAGCGGGATTTCAAGCCACCAGCAGCGAGTGAATAACGAAGGGTGGGTGTAAGGTTTAAGGGTCTGATCCAGAAACAGGAGAGAAGATGAGATAGATCTCACAGAGATGGGGGATTGACAATAACAGAGAGCCATTATAACTGACAGTGTTGCCCGATGAGGCATACAAGGCTTTGTTGCAGCTCCTCCGCCTCACTGCCTGTGTTTAGTCATCGACATATGCTGGGCAACAACCAGGCGCGGTGACTCAATCATTATGGTCGGAATGGCTCTACAGACACTTCATGATTGGCCTATGGCTTCCTCTCTCGTACGGGCAGCAACAGCACTGGACAGCCCTTCTGTGTCTAGCCATGGGATGCCTACCAAGTGGCCGGCGACAGCTGTCATCACCGCTATTGGCCATCTCGCTGCAGTAAACACCGTCAACCTTAGGCACCCAGCTGAAACTTAGCGCTCGCTTGCTGCGAGGATCGGCCAATTAGCCAATACCTGAAATCCTCATGCTGACTTAAGGGGGAAATGCCTCTCATGCTGGGTTTGCTGCAGGGTTGACCCCGACCCCGCACCGCTGGCTACGTCATCAACGACTCTGTCAGCCCAGACTGCCTGGCAGTAAGGAGAAATCAATCTTGCTACCCAGTGACAAGGTGGTAGTAATAGAAATCATCGGGATGCACGATGTTTCAGTCTATATTTTTGAAGACTATCAAGTCGAGATACCAGGTGGGAGCTTGGTTAGGGCATGATTCTTGCCGCGATGCGTACTTTATATGTAGAGCCCAAACAACGCATCTGGTCTCCATCCTACCTCTCACAGCGCTTGTCCTAATTGGTTCCGTTGATAGAATCATGATACCCTGCGTAGGGCAATAGAGAGCGATGTCTTGATTGATCTGGTGTTTTTATGCTGAACCAGTTACTACATAAGTCCTCTGCGTGAATCGCCTCAGATCACGTGGCCCGGTTTACTCCGGAACGGCGACAACTTTCAAGCTGGCAACGGCAAGACTTGACCCAATTACGCCAAGACTACAAACATTGCAGAGTGATAAAAGATAGATAACATAATTTCGTGGTCATAATGAATTCAATTCATGGTGATGCAAGGGAGGAGCTGCAGGCCTTCCTTTCGCGCTATGAACAATTGGACTACATGGATGCCTGTGGCACTAGGAACGGTCACCTGACAGACGCCTGCCCACATGCATCAAAATAAGAAGTCATTTGGTACTGCAGCTTGATCAAACCCAGACTTTGTCCGGAAAGCATGGCAATTCACATCTCGGTGATTCATATTCCTTTCTGATTCTTCCATGACACGTGTTGCCTCACACGTATAAGATAATGATCACCCTCGAGGCTGTTGACCGGCCTTCCCGCATCTAATTATTATAGAAGTACAGGATAGTGCTATATTTATCGCCCTATGGCTCTAAGCCAGGTAAATTCATCCCCACTCTCAGTCTTCTTTTCCGAAACTTTGTCACACTGAACTGTCAAAATACTCACATCATCCGATCAGCCTAAGCCCCCAACTCTGCAATTCGACTACTGTAATGCCGCTACATCAACCAGCGTCAGCTAAGTCCGCAAACCCACGTCTAGATTGAAGGAGGCGAAGATACTCACGCTCTCATCCCCGGCCCCGATGACCGGCAATTTAGTCCACCGGTTCGCCCACGAGATCGGCGCTCTTTCCGTGACCAACCGTGCCTCGTCGGCAGACACTCGCTCGTTGAAGATGACCTCAGCGGGCAGGGTCGGATGCAGCACCGCGGGTCGACCCAGCCCGATCATGTCACAGTCCCCGTTCTGCAAGGGGTCGATCATTCCCTGGCGGGTACGGAAGCCCCCGGTCACCATCAGAGGCACTTCCGGGAATGAGCGCCGGATCGCCTTGGCGAAGTCCAAGAAGAAGGCCTCTCGCGCTTGCGTTCGAGCCGAGGGTCGGTGTCCTTGAATGGTTTCACTGGTCATCATCTATCAACAGGTTAAACACTGTGCTGCAATGCACCTCCTGCCCCTTTTCTATCTCGCATATTCTGAAAAGAGGGCATGGATCACTCACGGTAGGCTTCTCATACGACCCCCCACTGACCTCCACAAAGTCGACCCCGGCCGCAACAATCAACCGAAGCTGCTCAACGCACTCCTTCAGCGCCTCAGCAGACTGATGATCCACCGAGTTGAGTTTAATCCCAACGCAGAACCGCGGCGGAGTCGCCGCGCGCACGGCGCGGATGATCTCAACGACCAGCTGGGCCCGCCGCGCAGCGGAACCCCCGTAAGCGTCGGTGCGGCGATTCGTGTCCGCCGACAGGAACTGCGCGAGGAGGTAGCCGTGCGCCGCGTGGATCTCCACCCCCTGGAACCCCGCCTCCGCCGCCAACCGCGCCGCGTTCACGAACTGCTGCACCACCGTCTGGATGTCGGCCTGCGTCATGGCGCGCGGGACCCCGAAGACCACTCGGCTGACCGTCTGGGCCATCAGGCCGGGGCCGAAGTCCAGCGGTACGGCGCTGGGGGCGAGGTTCCGCGCGCAGAGGCCGCGGCTGCCGGCGCCCATGGGGGATTGGCGGCCCGGGTGGTTGAGCTGCACGATCGCTGGGGTGTGGCGCGGCGTGGTGCAGGCGCTGGCCCAGGCGCGCCAGCGGGCCAGCTGCTTGTCAGTGTCAATGGTCGGGTTGGTGGTCACGTCGCGCGCGTTGCCGAGGTATCGGTGGTCGACTTGCACGTTGCCTGTTGCATGTGGGAGGGTGATGTTAGTTGGATGCGTTCGTGATGACAGCAACAGCAGCAGCAGCAATAGCAGCAACAGCAATTCAAGTAACGATTCTACTTCGAGATACTAACCCGTCATGATCAATCCCCACCCTCCCCCTCCCCATTTCTCATATGCTCTATGGTGTACCCCCGTCGGAAGCCCCTCCCCATCCGCAATGCATTCCGCCATCGCGGCTTTCACAAGTCGATTGGGCAGTTGCAGCCCGCATGGCAGGGTCAATGGCTGTGCAAGGGGAGAATTCATCCTATTCAGTGTAGATTGAGTCATGCGGTGGTGGTAGTGTGGTACGTGAGAGTGTCGGAGTAAGGTATTATTTATACCATCCAACTGTAAACACTCTAAACGGAATCCTCGCCACTGCCGGGCATCGTCCCCCTTTCCTCTTCTCCTAAGAGCACGGAAATACCTTCGCAATCTCAGCTGCTTGGTAAGTTCCAGTATCTTCAGTTGAAGTTAGTCCTGTCTTCCCGCGCGGCTGGTGCTCACGAGTCTCGGGTCTCGGGGTTCGCAGCGGCTGCTGCCGTGCCGGAGAAAAGATACGCTCGGGTGTCGGAACTGGGACCGACCACGCCACCTTTCCCCCTTTTGCTGCGACTTTTCGTAATAATTCTCAAGTGTTTCCCACAAGGTCGAAGCCCAGACTGCCGTAGCCAGGAAAGGAGCTCGTATGTAGAGTATCCAGACCTGGATCGCAGCAGTGACCCACTGCCTAGGGCTTTTTCCGGTCTGCGGGCTTGGACCACGCGGTGGTCGGCACGTGATGCGGGTACGCTTTCCGCCGATGATGTATGCCAGTAGGGCCTATTGCCTTACCTGTGTACAGGGGGATTTTTGAGATGTTTGTGGATCATATTCCTGGCTTTATTATGGCCTCTGGCACTATTTTTGGATGGCGCAGTCGATGGATAAAGTCGTAGTTCATGAAAAATAGAGACAGACACGAAGAATGACTGGCATTTGTTTACTTTATCTATTACTCAACATGAGTACCACGATCGGGGCCTGAATTCATGACACGGTTCAAGAGGTATATGAGCAGAGGCACTTTCATTCTACGAGTTCATATAACATGCGCTTGTAAAATGTCTTGAGCAGAAGGGACAAGAAATTTCAACTCTGCACAGTGTGGTATATTTCCAAGGATCCACACTGCACAGTAAACTGGATTGATAATGGCAAACATACCACAGACACACGGGAAAGGTGGTTGAGTGACAGAATTAGAAAAGGATAAAGGATCAAGGAGATTAAAATGAAATGGAAGAGCGGGGAAATAAGAAGATGAATGAGGATGAGGGTTTCCCTCGTAATGCTTTATGGCGGAGTGTATAGGTCAGGTCCCTGCGGACTGGATTCTGCGTCATCAGTGGCACACTGAACAAAACTCAGGCCTTTCTCTTCCAGGAGCGTACCCGGAAGAAGTAGTACACCGCGAGCGCGAAAAGCACGTTGAACGCGATGTACGCCCACAGCAGGCCGAAGTTGCGCCACCGCTCGCTGTAGTAGATCTCGCGGCCCTCGAGGTACTGGTCCGCAGCCTGCAGCGGACAGTACTGGCATTGGGCAGTGCTGTTCGGGTTGAGAAGAGTGCCCGCGGCTTCTCCTGCCGCCTGGAGGTACGCTTGCATGTATTCCCCACAAGTACCATATGTTGGCGGGACGTCGAAGACACTCAGTTCTTTGTCGGCGCAGTGCACGGGACGGCCGCTCACGCCGGTGGCGATAATCGCATTGACTAGGTAGGTCATCGGGGAGACGCGGTACATAAACGTCCAGAAGCCCGGCAGGGCGACGGGTGGGACGAGCACTCCGTTGAACACCAACGTCATGTTGAAGAGCATTGTGGCGATTAGGCCCGCGGTCTCGGCGTCCGGGAGCACGGCCACCACTGCGTGCGCAAACGTCGACCCATACACGAAGAACTGCACTATTAGGAGCAGCAGCACCCCCTGGCGCTGCGAGTCCACAATCCCATACACGGGATAGATAAAGCTGGCGTACACGATTATGGCCACCAATACCTGGCATGGGATCTCGGCTAGTAAGTTAGCGCCGAGGAATGCGGCCCAGTGGTAGGTCTTGGACGGCTGTTCGCGGACTTCGTAGAGGTCGCGCTGTACGATGAACTGAGGCATGATCTGCTGGACTAACGCGGTGAAGATCGCGGTCATCATAAAGACGGAGAAGATTGACGATTGCAGCCCCTGTTCCGAGGTGCCAGGTAGATAGAAGGAGAAACCGACGAAGACTGTGTGGATGGTTGAGTTAGAACTTGTGTTTTGTGGAGGGCAACAGTAGATCAAACTTACGAGCTGAAAGCACTCCCAAGGCCAGCTTGCTGTAGATATACTCGGGCGACCGCCAGTACTGTTGAAAGATGCGACGAAGTACAGCAGCGAATTGGTCCTTGAACGGCATTGCAAAAGCGGTCTCCTCGGACTCAGTTGCTGGATCGGGTTCGGTTCGGCCGCTCTGAGGGCGTGACAGGTCTTGCTCGAGAACACGCATCACCTCCGCCGCTTCGGGACTTTGCTTCCACAACGCAGGCCAATCCTGAGAGGCCTTACTGTTGACCCCAGCCCCCGCGAGTTCGAGGATATACTCGGCCGGGTTCTCTGCGCTATCACACTTCCTCGCTCCCTGGCGCTCGAAATAGTCCAGCATCGTCCGGGACTCTGGCCCAATGTCGCCAAAGTAGACAGTGCGACCACCCTTAGCTAGGAACAGGAGGCGGTCAAATTGCTGAAACAGCATCGCCGAGGGTTGGTGGATCGTGCACAGGATAGCTTGCCCGTTGGAGGCCAGCTTACGGAGCAAGGCGATAATGGTCCACGAGGACTGACTGTCCAACCCGGAGGTTGGCTCGTCTAGAAACAGGAGCAAGGCAGGCTTTGCAGCAAGCTCGACGCCAATGGTAAGAAGCTTGCGTTGCTCAACATTCAGTCCCTCGCCCGGAATGCCTACAACCGCTTCGGCGAACTCCTCCATGTTAAGCATGCGGATAACTGGGATTGTGTCAGCAGACTGCAAAACGGGTTTCCAACCTTGACGACGCGAGCTTACCTGTTTCCACGAACTCATACTTTTCTGCCACGGGAACGGACTTGGGCTGTCGGAGAAGAGCGGAGAACTGTAACGACTCGCGCACTGTGGCGGTGTGCAGGTGGAGATCCTGTTGTTGCACGTATCCAGTGCTGCGTTGAACGCTCGCCCCGAGAGGCGACCCATTAACGAGTATATCTCCTGTCACGACGCCCATCGAAACACGCCCAGCTAGAACATTGAGCAGAGTAGTTTTTCCCGCACCAGACACGCCCATCAACGCAGTCAGTGTGCCGGGCTTGACCCACCCGCTGACATTATCAAGCAAACGACGCTCTTCCTTTTTGATCTCAATATCGTAGCAGACGTTACGCCAGGTGAAGGTATCGCGGTGCGGCGGTAATGGAGGCTCTGTTTCCTCTTTCTCATGAGGTGTGCTAAGAACCGTGGCCTCGGCCTCTTGATTGTACCTTTGAAATGCAAGGGGAACATGGCCGTGACGGAAAAGCAGGCTCTGAGCCCCCGAGAACGAGCGGGAGTTGATTTCGGTCGCCAGCAGGTAGACAGCGAGAAAGGCAAAGGTGAAAGCACAGAGAATGCCAAAGTTTCTCCACAGATGTTGATACTCATAGCCGTAGCTCACAGAGAGATACCGATCTCCGCTGACGAACAATTCCCCAGCAATCGCGCCCTTCTCGCCACAGATGAAGTAGGGGCCAGATCCGCTGGTAAACCCCGGGTATGCGGGAATCACAGCGGAACAAGGAAAGTTCCGACCATGAAACTCATTCACAGCCAAAGCTTCGAATGCATAACGGAGCGGGTTGATGTAAGAGATCCATTTGAACCAAGGGTGCATGCTGGGCTGTGGGAGAAGGTAGCCGGTATAGATCACTGTCGCAAGTAGAATGACTCCTGCCGCAGCAAGTGCCTGAGGGATCGCCTTCGAGACAGCCGCCAGGGTACGGAAGACCTGACTCATGCACAAGAGAGCCATGGTCACAAAGAGAAAGAAGACAAAGAATGGACCAGCATCGTAGCGTAGCCCACACATGAAATAAAAAATAATGTTGAACGCCAGACTGTTTGCGAGTTTGATTGGGAGATCTGCACACACACCGGCCAGGGCCTCCGAGAATGGGTGATAGAAGGCGTACGAAGCATGTTTCTCCACAATTGGACGTTGCGCATAGAGATTCTGGATTTCGGACACTGTGAGCAGCGAATTGAGAAGAATCGCGAAGAACAACGCGGACATTTTCGAGCTGAAGTCTTGCGTTCCGAAGGGTAATCCATAGTAGAGGGACCCGATAATCAACGAGAAGACAATCTGACCAATCATCAAGGTCAAGGTGGACGGTAGATCATTCCAAACACGCTGGTAGAACCGCACCATGCATATCTTAATCTGCATGGGGACAGTGATCAGGTAAGGAGACTTTGGACGAGCGTGCCGAGCTTGACGCATGGCATGACTCTCTTTGAATGCTTGGGTGGATTCGGAACTGCCGGTGTATCTTGCTTCGTACTCCGAGATTCCTTGCATCAACTGTTTGTATTCCTGGCTGTTTCGCCAGTAGGCTTCGAATTCTTCCGGTGTCCTGGGAACCTTATTCTCAAAGCCTGTCGAGGCTTGCCGCTCGGTAGGGTTCGTCACACTAGTCAAGAAGTCCGCAGTCGTCTGCCTGGCAGGGCAATGCCATCCCATGCTCTGGAAATACTGTTTTGCCTGCGAGGCAAGGCCGAAGAAAATCTCGCGTCCCTCGTACAAGACTGCCACCTTGTCGAACAGATGGTAAATTGCCTGTGATGGTTGGTAGAGCGTGGCTATGTGCGTTGTCCCAAAGACCTTGGAACCAATCTGTAGTGCCTTGACAAAGTCCAAAGAAGACGCTGAGTCCAGACCACGGGTGGCATTATCCCAGCAGCAAAGTGGCGAGCCTGCCAGTGCCATCTCTGCAATGGACACGCGCTTGCGCTCCCCTCCACTGACGCCACGAACGAAATCATTCCCGACCTTTGTGTTGACCGTGTGTAACAGCCCGAATATCGCCATTACGACCTCCCGCATATGTGTGACATACTCGTTTCGAGACATTCCATCGGGGCGAATCTTGGGGGCGCGTGCTGCTGCAGCGAAGTCGAGTGTTTGACTAACTGTGAGATGAGGAAAGTCTGGTATGGTCAGCATTCACATGTCAGGTCGAGGCAGAGGGGACGTGGCGGCTCACGTTTCTCGACTTCTTGATTATAGAGAATCTCTCCCTTGTAGTACTTCTTCATCTCCGGCTGCAGGATCCCGTCGTAGTTGAAGATTGCATCTGCGGACAAGTCGAGCCCCTCAGTCTCGGCAGCCAGTGCTTTTAGGAAAGTAGAACATCCAGCTCCTGGCCTACCAAGCACCAGCAGCATCTCACCGTGCTCGAGATACCCGTGAAATTCGTGCAGGATTGTTTTCTTGTGTTTGCCACGCCGTGATAGACCTCCCTGTACCGGAGCTAGGAGATTCGACGCGACAGTATGCTGGATTTGGATTTCCGCGCCATGGCCCTGCACAGTGACACCCCTGAAAGCCACCCCTGTTCGTCTTGCGGTTCTGTCTTTCTCAAACTGTTGGACCTGGTGCTTTGTCCATGCCAGATAGTCAAAGTCTGGGCTTCGGGGGTCGAGAGCTGTCGGTTGAGCTTCATCTGAGCCTTTGGCTTCGGCTGCTGATTTGGCGGATTGTCGAGTGGCGATCCTTCTCAATTCCTCGCGGCCGTTTTCGGGCCATGAAGTATCATGGTTTGTTGATTCATCATCGGAACTGCTCGCATTCTCCGTCTGCTTTTCCATGGTGAATGGATTTATCGATAGTGTCACGATTGACCGAAGGGCACGGGACTCGACATAGGTCGAAAAGTTGATAAAGCGTGAGATGCCATGGTTTATAACTCAGTGGTAAGGGCGAGAGTAATGATAAGCATTTAGGAAATTGTCTACCTGAGACCATACCACCAGGAGAAGACTGGTGATGGCAAGCCCCACTTGGTGGTAACCATCCTCCACTAGGGAGTGCTATTTAGTTTGCATGGGGTGAAGTTGAAGTGGATGGGATGAAGAAGCGTCGGAGTTGGATCGAGAGCCGAGAGAGGCGATAAACAAAGAGGGACTCGACTTCCGAGACCCGAGGTCACATGACTACGGAGCTGGCAGAAATCCCGTGCTTTGTCATTCTTATCTCTCGTCACCGCCGACCGCCGTCGGTTTTCAACCTCCTTCCATCCCAATCAGCAAACTGTACACAATTGAAACCCCAAACCATGCCGGACCGACTTCAACCTCGAGTTGCCAAGTCTTGCGACAACTGCAAGGCGAGGAAGATTCGCTGCTTACGTAAATAACTTCTCTGTTCTTCGTCAATTACAACTGCCCCCGAGTGCCTGCCTGCCTCCCCAGTGGTCTGATGATCTGACGTGGTTATGAACATTAGGACCACCGACAAGCCCTTGTTGTACCCCGTGTCAGGTACGCTACGCTCTTGAAAGGCGTCAGTAACAGGATGCCTACCTTTATGGTGAACGCTGAGCCTCTTGCAGAAACGGAACATTCACTGTAACTTTAGTCTGACACGGAGGCAATTAAAACGCAAGGAGTCGCATGTAGGGCCAAGTCCAGGTAGGAGACAAGCAACTAAATTCACGGACTTCAGAGTGGTGATGTGTATTCGATGATAGCAAGCCTTTCTGCATCTGATGGCATCCCCACTCCGCTTTCTACCGCCACACCTACGGATGGCTCACGGTTGTATGTCGACCATATCCTTGTCGACCGACGCGCAGATGGGAGAAACCGCGCTGCATGCTCTATTTTCAAGGTTCGACTCGCTCGATCAGTGCATTTGTACATAGCTTACCAGAACAGACTCACGAGAACCATGGTAACTACCAACTTGATATCGGGACTCGTACAACAGCTTACGATTTTGCTTAGTCCTTAGTACCGGCATGGCGTTCTTCTCCGAGAGCCACATCCGCTCACTGAACACTATCCTCGGTCACACGAGACTTCGAGATCTTCTCGAGGGCATGGGGCAGCATATGCATCAGCATGTGCATGACGCTGGGATTAGGTTCCGCAGCCCGGAGACTCCCGTCTATGCTGCCCCCGAGGATGCCGCTCGGTACATTGCCGGTCAGTCAAGACCCTCGCTGTGGCTGTGGGGATATATTAATGGTGGGTGTCATAGCATATTTCCAAGCCCTGCATCCACTCGCACCATTCCTCGATCGCACCAAGTTCGAGCAGCAAGCTTTTGGGCCTCGACTGGCGGAGCTCCTGGCAGAGAGTGCCCCCTTTAGTGCGTTATATCATACAGTTTTGGCATCAGGATGCCAATACACCGAAGGTGGCTCCTTTAAGCCGGGGCAAGGGAAGGCGTGGAAGTATTTTCAGGTAGCATTGGGACTATTCCCCAGTCTCCTTGGTCCTTCCGAAGGCCTGTTTAATGTTCAGGTGCGTCTCATTCATACTTGAACTAAACCTCCACTGACTTTCGCGCAGGCCTTGACAGCTATGGTACGTGACTAGTGTCTTTGTGATCGACCTTTATCGGCTTACGTTGGCACTAGGCGCTGTTTGCATCAAGTTTCTCTTGTGTGCAAATAGGAGAGACTTTAATCTCAGAGGCTGCAAGGATGGTGCAGGTCCTAGGCTACAACGCAGCCTACATACTGACAGAGGACGAAAAGCTCTGCCACAGGGTGTTTTGGGTAATATATTGGCAAGAACAAGTGACATGCTTCTTTCGAGGACGTGCTTCAGTAAGATGATCTCAAGTCGCAACAAAAAGGACACACTGTTAAGCGATAGTCTAGATGATCCCTGAGTACGACATAGGCTGCCCTGTGCCAGATGTGGCAGAGTCGGTAATTGGCCAGCTGGACTGGCTTTTAACCACCGCACGCCTCGGCCGGTTGATGTCAAGAATGTATGAGCGCCTCTTCTCCGTGAGTGCAGTGCAGACGCCGAAAGCAGAACGAATTGCAGCCATCAATTCGATGTCCGCCGAATTAGAATCATGGGCTTGCTCCATGAGCCCAGAGTTCCGGCCCAGTCAAACCTTCCGGTCTGCGAATTTCAGCAATCCATGTGCGCATGAGATGGTACTTCAATTGCGCACCATTTATCATGCCTTGTTGATGACCCTGTGTCGCCTTCGCATCCATCTCACCGCCGCTCAACCGGGTGGACCCGATCAGGAAACCAAGCGCCGACTTATGGACACAGCACGAGCCGTGATCTATGACTGCCGGCATATTGATCATGAAGCGCATGTGCCTGTGTGGTATCGCTTCCCCCCTGACCCTGTCGCCATACTTTTTGCCAGATAACTGACGGCCCTAACTAGGGAGCTCGGCATTGTCCCCATCTCCGCGGTCTTCGTCATCTTCGACTTCGTCATACACAACCCTTTCCATGCAGAGACCAACACCAACCTCGCCTATCTAGACATAGCAGCCGGGTTCTTCAGCCGGTGGGATATCAGCGATAAGGACACCTTGCCGCCGTCGACGCCCGCCGAGTTCTCCCACATTGCGCGTGAATTCGTGCAGAATCTACGCGCCAGGTCGCAACAACAGCCAGATACCTCGGGCAACACCACCAACAACCCTCTTGCTCGCCGCAGATCAGAGCACAACGTACCACCGCCGGCTTCCCAGCCACCCCGCGGCCCGCAAAGCGCTGCTGATTCCAGCCACACAGCTGTGAGTCTTCTGTTCCATCCTATCCCTCCTTCATTGTCTATGCATGACGATCTAACGCAAGACATTTACAATTTAAGAATGACGAAGCAGCCTCCCTCACCGAATACTTTAACACCTCTGCGACGAACCCAGACTATCTCTTCTACCCCGAGGATCCATTGCAACCGATCTTGGGCACCTCAATGTTCCCGACCATGGACCTGGCGTTCATGTTCAATGCTGCTCTGTGGAGTCCGCAATCTTCAGGACCTTAGGCCGCCCTGCCCGTCGTCACAAGGGTGATTCTGGCTTTCTAGGAGAGCTGTTAGTTGTATAACTTCGCTCATGTGGAACCGCGGCAATTGCTAGCAATGGATTCCCATTCCACTATATAATACATTTTTCCGGTGTCTTACACATCGACTTTAGCAGGAACAAGCACATTTTCTTATGCCTATCCTATTGATTCTGAACTGATATAGCCCGGTATGACCTTGATTAGTGCCAACTAGACGAGTACACTAAATTATACTGTCAAAAGTCCGCTCACGAACCATAAATCCCACAAAAGTAATTTGACCCTATAGATATTTGTCTGATCTTTAGCCCACGATATCGATTCATTATTCCAGGAGAATAGGAGAATGTAAATAGTTGACTCGGATTTCTTTATTGGAGAGGTCCTTAGGCTAGAAGCTACGTTCATTGTATATCTATACTTTGTACACAACCCGAAGGAAGGGTCCCTCTCATACTCAAAACAAATAATTATGAGAAAGGTTCACTCTGTCTTGTGAAGTCTAACGACATTCTCATACTTTATACAATGCTCACTAGAAAACGTTTTTTTTTTCTGTTTCAGATTTCGACGGTAATCAGACTTGTGGTTCGTGATTGCACCCATCCCTCAGCCCCTCTTCGCAGTTGCTACCTCTTGGCCTCAATTGCGGAAATAGAAGAACAAGAAGTATGGATTAGTTGATCCAGAGAGGAACCCATATACAAGCTAAACAGATGTATGAAGCACAACAATAACAAAATCCACAAACCAATTCTTCAATGGATACAGATTTGCGCACACCAAACAGAATCGAAAGGAACCGAGCAGTTACCCACCACATGCCCAAGGGACGTTGCTTCTGCCCTTCTCCTTAAGCGACAAAAGCTTAGGCACCAAGCTTCTCAACAATCCAAGCGGCGGCGATGGGGTCATAGTCACTCGCGTACGCCATGTGGAGCGACAGACTGTCGGCGCCCTCGGAGGGGGAGCAGACGCCATCGCCGTTGTTGCACCAGTCCGCGGTGACGTGGCGGTAACGGTCGTGGAGGTAGTTGACCTGGTATTCGAAACGGGGGTATTTCTTGCAATAGTGACTAGTCAAAGAAGCGTTTGGGGCATTATGCAATGCAAGGGAATACTTACGCCGGTCACGTTCCAGGTGTTGTTACCCATGTTGTAGGGCTGGTAAGGGGCGTGGCGCGGGTTGCCGTAGTAGACATTAGCAGCAACTATATAGCAGAGGGTCACCCGTGGTTAGTAAGACGGTACTGAAAGAAGAGAATCTGGAAGTGAAGGGTCTAGATGCCAGAGTATACTGCATGTACTGTGACTATTGTGCATCCCAGCTCTGCATGAACACATGGACGGAAAGGGGGAATAAGCCTACTATGCTTCGAGACCTCCTTCGAGATCAGCGGCTCGGTCGCGTTGCCCAGGGTCAAATCTCCACCACCGCCAGCAAGAGCGTCTCCCACAATCATGGCACCCTGGGAGTAGGAGATCAGGACGATCTTCGAGCGAGGACACGCGGCGGCATAGCGGTTGACTTGGCTGCCGACCGCTGCCCGCCCAACGAAGTAGCTGTCCGAGCCGGTCTCGCTGACGGCGGGATAGATGATGTTCTCGTAGTTAGAGCTAAGAGTACTCATGTTTGCCGCCGCCAATTCCGCCATGGTGTAGGTGGTACCGGGGTAGCTCTCGGTGGTGCCGCGAGCCAGCATGAAGTGGACGTCGGCGCACTCGGTGCTGTTGGTGAGGGCGGCCAGGGAGAGGCCGATCAGCGCGTTGAGCGCGAGGACGGTCAGAGTGTTGGCAATCATGATGTCGAAGTAGAGTGTACTGGTGAAGTTATTTGTGTTGGGCTTGGAAGGGAGTTCGGAGGGCTCGCAGTGTATCTTTTATAGATGGCTGGAGACGGAACGCAGCGGCGTGCCAGGGGTCTGGAGATGAAAAGGGTCTGAACGTTCTAGCTCGTAGTGGTTTCAAGTAGAGATTCCAAGCTCACAATTCACTGTCACCACCAATCTCTATCTACGAAGACACCTCCAAAATATAGTGGCATACGCGTCCTACTATGTGCGGATATCTTCTCACCCACGGCAGGACTGGCGCTAATAAAATAAAGTGCTTGCACGTCTCCACTGCCTGGGTCTATGAGAACCTGCAGCTGCAAGGGTCCACAAGAGGCTGGCCCTGAGGGACAAGCTTTCCCTCCCACCGGAGCGGGTAATATCTGAAGTACTGCAACATTCAGAGTAGCCCTAATTTTTGCGGTGGTGTGAGTATTCCACGTCCCTTTCTACGCTCGGGAACTACAATTGACCAGCATTTACTTGACTTCCCACGCTGCACGCTGCACGCTGCATGAGTATTCCTGTATCAAGATAGGCTAGAATTTGAATTTGGAGCAGCGCCCCGCCGCCCATTGAGGGGTGGAATGTTACCCTCTACTTGGGGTAACTTCGGCCGACCCCACTCTTGATACTCTCCGACCCCCGAGTACCGAGTCCCGAAAATAACCTCTGATTCAAGGCCTACTTGAGAGACAACGCGTGTGCGATCAGCGCTTCATGACGCGTTCGTCATCTATACTCGACACCAATCAAGCACACAGGGTTTGAGACAAGGTTCTAAGCTTAAATCTAGTATTAGCATCCGCTGATCACTACTATTTCGGTCATATCTTCAGGTATCGCTCGGTCACCACGGACAATTGACTCCAACTCATCAGGGCACGACACAGCCCCGGCAGTCGGTGAAGACAGTTATCCAAGACCTTGTTCCATTTCTCAGCTCAATCATGCTTAATTGTGCGCAATAAAAAAGAGTTTACGACACCTAAATGAACCATCGCCACGCTGCAGACTGCACGGCAACTCGATTATCAGTCCAGGTTCTTTATATCTTCCGCTGCTAGCGTATCCCCAGCTCAGCAGTCATGCTCGAGATGTTGCCAAAGCAGATTTGATATTCCCCGAAATTGCCAGGACTCTTCCAATCGACATGTCCCACTGCGCAGTTGAATATATGATGCTTGCCTGCCAAATCATCCAGACCAATCTGGGCAAGTTGAGGTCCTTGAACGGTCTAGCAATGGCAGCGGTCCAGTACAGTATTATGAGAATTCTTCCTACCTAGCATCTCACAAGAGTCTATCCCTAGCTGCAGACAAAGGAGTCTCCAACGGCACCGTCCGCCTGAAGGCGTACGTCGGCGCTTGCCCGGGGTTCAATGTCGTCTTGTTCGGCTCCGATCAAGTCTAATGCGCGAAGCCCCGTCAGTCAATGAAGAGGCGACCCTTGAGCAAAGCAAGAAGACAAGTTGACTATGAAAACAGGGAACAATGGACATTAGCGAAATGTTGGCCGGTGGCGGCGAGGATGGAACCCTCGGGCAATACCACTCCTAGACCGAGCCAATCTGTCAAGTGATATGAATAACTCGAACACTCGGCCCCGTCTTCGACGAAGTGATTTATGCTGAGGTAGGTGAATTCGCCCCTCCTGTCTCTTTCGTGACCACTAAATGCCGACCTGCAATGTAGTCTGTGAAAATTGGGATGTTCATTTCCTTTGGGTCCGAGGGCAGCTACATTGTTGATTGAGACTTCTGAGTGCAAGTTGACGGGGATCCATGCGAGCACCCGGGCTCACTGACGTAGCGGTCATCCACTAAGAATGGTACTATGTTTGAACAGGATGTGAACGCTGAGCTACAATATTGTCAGGCTGGATGATGAGGGTATCGGGCAAGTATACAAAACTGGGATAGCTCTTTCTACTTTCATTATCTTATTGGTCTAAAGAACTACCACACCTGGAACTGACAAGACCGGTCTTCCTTTGTACTTATTGCTAAGGCCCTACACTATGGAAAGCCTCCATCGGCAGCACTAAATGTTCTGGTGTATTACTTTCTGTAATTTCCTCCTCAACGCCTCATCTCATTCTCTGGGATGAACTCGTCAATCGATGGCGATGGAATATAGTCCCGGGCAATTTCTGGTGTGCAGATCGTCCCACGGTTATCTACATTGCCTTCAAGGCAAAACTCAAACCGAGGCAACGGCCACCACAGGCCTCGATGGGGTCTTATAATAATACCTTCGACCTCATAGAGCACTAATAAGATAAATTTGAAACGTCTTGGAAAGATTATTCAAATAAGAATGCTCCGAGGGGGTTCAAAGAGATTTAAAATACGGAATTGGGGGAGGGGGGCTCGAAAAAAGTAATAGGAAATGACTACTGAGCGGACGATCCTACCTAGAGAATAGTATAGTATTGGAAAGTTTGCTGCTAAGAGAAACAATATTCCATGATTAAATTTGACTACAACACGTCATTCTATTACCTTGCTGAGAACGAAAGCCTTGAAAAAAGTCAAGCAGCCCTTAATCTTTGCGTAAATCACGCGGTTCCCACACCCGCCAAGTCCACCAAAGCTTGCAGCAGAACATCCTTGTTGCGTCGCAAGAACCAATGGTCGCCATCCACCTCACGGAGCTTGAAGTTCTTCGACTGCGCACCCCAATGAGCCAATTCTTCGCGGTACGCGATATCATCCTGGCGCGCGGAAAACGCCACGATGGGCACCCCTAATTCATTCTCCTCCTGGTACTCGTAATCTAACAGGAGTGGTGCGTCATGATGGAGCATCTCCAGAATCCCGATGACGAAGTCCGGCTCGTCCACATAGCGGGTGACCGCCAGCAGATAGTCGGCGCTGCTGTCCCCGCTCAGACTCGACATCAGCAGTTCGCGCCGCTTCCACACCCCGATCAGCTGCGGCGCGATGGTGCCGGTGATCATCAGGGCGGGCAGGGGCACGCCCTGGCGGCGTAGCGCGCGCAGGACCTCGAAGGCGATGATTCCGCCGAAGGAATGGCCCCAGAAGACGTCCGGCGGCTGCTCCCACGATTGGATTTCGGCCGCGATGCTCGCCACGACTGAGGAAAAGTTGGGCAGTTCCTCGTGGGCCCGCGTCTCGCGGCCGGGCAGCTGGACGGCCACCAGGTCCAGACCCTTCGGGCAATCGACGAGGAAGGGGGTAAACAGCGAGGCTCCGATACCCATTGAGTGGAAGCAGACCACCCGTTTCCCGGTGCCAGTGCCCTTGAAGATCCACGGGGACAATGGCGTCAGTTCCTTCACCAGATCAACTACGGCTGCGTGTTGATAGGTCTGGGTCGCGTCCTTGTGACTTTCTTCCTTGCCGTCCGCGAGCATATCTTCGATCTCGGTTGCAAGGGACTGGATCTTTGGATTATTGTAGAGACGCATAAGGGGGACAGTGACTCGGAGCTCTCTCGCAATCATACCTCTCACTTGCGTGAGGGTCAACGAGTCAAAGGCGTAGGTGTTGATCTCTTCTTTCGGCTCGATCCGGCTCGGCTCGACGCCGATCACCTTGGCGAGGCCAGCACACAGGACCTCGATTACTGGTCTGTCATCCTTGGCCGATCCAGTTGCACCATCGTTGCCGGCTTCCCCCTTTTCATGCTGCACCTTGGCATAGTACGCGTCTTGCCGGAGGTGGTTATGGATGTCCACGAATGCGGAGAAACTGATGCGACCGAGGATACGGTGACAGGTCTTGCGGATAATGAGGCGCTCCAGGGTGGATTCGACCGTATCAAAGTCGAGTTGCAACAGCCCCTGTGCCTCCAATGAATCCAGGATGCGATTGCCAAGGTCCGCTGTTGTCATGCCGGCATAAGATCCCAAAACCCCGAGGCTGAGAGAAAGCCCTGGTAGACCACACGACTGACGGTGGGCGGCTAAAGCATCAAGGAACTGGTTAGCTGAGGCATAACTCAGTTGGCCAGGTTGGGCGATAACAATCGAGATCGAAGACGCCAGCATAAAGAAGTCCAAGTTCTTGTCTTGGGTCGCCTGGTGTAGATTCCATGCGCCAAGAGCCTTGGGGCGAAACACCTTCCAGAAGGCAGACATAGTCGTTTCACCGGAGGGAAGATTATTGATAACGCCGGCACAGTGCATCACCCCTGCGATCGGCGGGTAATCGGTAGTGTTGTTGAACATCGCTGCAACCGCCTCGTAGTCAGCGATATCAGCTTGCTTGATGATAATCCTCGCGCCCTGACTTATCAAGTCATCGATGGTGGCCCGATGCTCAGCGGATTTGGGGCCGGAGCGGCTGACTAGCAAGAGGTGGCGGGCCCCTCGTTTGACAAGGAAGCGGGCCAGCTGTAACCCTAACCCACCGGTACCGCCAGTGATAAGGTATGTCTTATCCTCAGACAGCAGCATTCGGTCCTGGGGCTTCGACTTAACAAATTCATGTTCCGGCATCTCCACAGCGACCTTACCGATGGCGGATGAGCGAGAAAGCGATTTGAGTGCCTTGGGGAATTCGGCAATAGGGAACCGGGTGACCGGGAGAGGCAATAATTTCCCACGGTTCAGCAAGTCGGAGACCTCGAGAAGCAGCTGCCGGTGGAGTTCCGGCTTTTGGACAGCCAAGGAGTCAACATCCACCACAAAAAGGGTACAGTTCTTCCGGAATTGTTGGAGGCCAACTCTCATGTTCCGGTAGACATCACTCTTACCCAGCTGGAGGCAGCGGCCAAAGGGAGCCAGGCAGGCAATCGACTGAGAAAAGATGTTCCCATTTGACGAATTGAGCACAAGATCCACGCCCTTGCCATGGGTCACTTTCTTAACTTCATCAGAGAAGGTCACAGACCGCGAATCGAATACAGCCTCCACACCATCGATGCCTTGGATCCAGGCTCGACGTTGAGGATTGCCCGCTGTTGCATAGATGCGAGCCCCAAAGAGCTTGGCGACTTGGATAGCTGCAATACCCACCCCGCCAGCACCGGAGTGGATAAGAATCGATTCACCCTCTCTCAGGCGGCCAAGGTAAACCAGGGCATAATAAGCTGTCATATATGCCATGGGCAGACACGCTGCCTCTGCAAGCGAGACCGTGGACGGAACCGGCACAACAAGTTGGTGGTTGACCACCACCGACCCTCCAAGACCCTTGGTGACGCGAGCCATCACCCGGGCCCCGACATTAATACCGCTTACACTGGCTCCTACTCGCGTCACAACGCCAGCGATTTCCATTCCCAGATTGTCGCCACTCAGCGCGTCGGGCGTAGCCTGATCGGATTGCATCCCCATCGACGTGATAACATCATTGTAGTTCAGTCCAGTCGCGTGGACTTCAATAGCCACGTCTCCGGGGCCCAGCGCAATGGGGTCCAGATCATGGATGGCAATCTCGCCGAAGGAACCACCGTGGACAGGCTTACTATAGTACCTTCCTCCTCTTGCGGGGACTGGCTTAGACCACCGGTCTTCAGCCTCGCTATCGACTGTCGTGACCTGGGGATAATAGCAACCGGAAGGGCGAACGGCTACCACGCAGTCGTGTCGACTGATGCGGGTATTTCCCAATACTGCGTCGAGCGAGGGCAGGCTTTTCCAAGAGCCGCGCAGGGGGAGATCGAGCACCTGTACGGAGATCCGCGGCAGCTCGTTTCTCATCACCCGAACCGCGGCCTGAACGCTGGCAGAGGCAGGGTCGCATTGAGTGTCCGCAGAGGTCAAGCAGCCGCCTTTGGTGAGAACTAGTACTGTCGAGCTTCCAGCATCGTGCTGTAGCCAGTTCGCAACCCTACTGAGAGCGCTATAAACCAACTCGATGTGTTTTTCAATATCAGGAGAAGCCATGTTCATCACAGCAGGTATGTAGATCATTACTCTGCGGTCCAAGCGGAACCCAAATTTCGCAGGATCGAAATCGCCAGTGGCTTCTTCGAGTGAGATCTGGTGGATAGGGACTGTAGGAAAGACATTCTGGAAGAGTCCGACCTCATCAATATCAGCGGCCAGGCCGAGATCGATGGAGATAATGTTCGTCAAGCTCCGGGGAACTCGGTCATCATACTCTGTTCCATTTGGCGTATGTTCGAAAGCGATCTCATGCTCCAGGGACCGAATAATCTTGGTTGAACCCAACCGCTTGATGACGAGGCTCTTGGCAGAAACCAGCAGTCGACCGTCCTCGGCATAGACTAAAATATCGACATTCAAGGTGTCATCGGTTTGACTCTTTACTTTCACGTTGGACCAAACTGACGAGATGCCGCGTGAGTCAAGAACCTCGACCGCTTCCAAAGTATAGGGTAGATAGACAGCGCTGACACCAATGTTATGCTGCACATAGGCGTTAACGATGTGAAAACTAGCATCCAGGAGGGCTGGGTGGAAACGGAAACGGGCTGTCTCATGCAAAATGGCAGCAGGTAGTTCCACACGAGCAAAGATCTCATTTCCACGCCGCCAGAGGTCTTTGACGCATTGAAACATTTCCCCATAAATAAGCCCTGCGTTTCCAATGTACTTGTAGAACTGCTCCACGTCCACCGGGGCTGCCGTCTGGATTCGGGCCTGGACGCTGCTCATCTGCTCAGGGGCAATAGTCGACGGATCATCCAGCATATTGATTCTACCTCGGGAACAGACTTTCCATGGCGATTCTGGCTTGGCATCTGGGGCACGAGTGGCAATCACATAGTCCTTGTTCATCGATGTAATCTCCAGTATGAACTGAGGAGCAAAGTCTTCAGCAGGACTCAAAATAAGTGGAGCTTCGAAACGTAGATTCTGCAGCCATATTTTTGATCCGGGGGTATATAGATCAGCAGCCATGTATGCTGTCTCTATATGGCCGGTCATAGGAAGTATCATAGCAGTTTCAACACTGTGGTCTTTGAGAAAAGGCGATGTACCAGTGCTGAGTCGGAGTCGTAATGAGGCACGACCATCGTCCGTCAGTTGAGTCGAGTCGAGGTAGAATGGGTGGCGTCCCTTTGAAAGTCTTGCCTGTTCGCATTCAGGATTTTCAAAGGAGAAGAGTTGCCGTTGAAAGGGGTAGAGCGGAAGATCGGTAACACGGCCGCTGCTACCATTGAAAGAATGGATGTCTGCAGGGACTCCGATCGCGTGCGCGACTCCCATAACTCTGGCAAGAGGCTCCAGCTCATTTTCTCGGATCATCGAGGGTAGGACAAAAGCAGGACGATCTAATGAGTTGGCAATGTCCTGAGTACTGGAAACCAGCACTGGGTGTGGACCAATCTCGACCAGATACTCACAACCATCCTCCAGGATTTTGCTCACGGTTTCAACATATCGGACAGGTTTGCGCACATTGCTAAACCAATATTCCCCAGTAATATGCGTACCTGGTTCGACGTCCGTTGTGACCGTGGAATAAAGATCCATGCCAGGATGGGTCTGTTTGCCTTGATAGGTAGACAGGTGCTCGATCAGTTCCTCTTTGCATGAATCCATGAACTGACTATGGTAAGGCACCTCCACCTTGACAAATTTAGCAAAGGAGCCACTTTTTTGAACATCAGTGGAGATTGTCTCCAAGGCGGATCTTTCGCCGGCGAGGGTAGTCATTTTCAAACCATTCATCGCAGCAACTTCGACGGAGGAACTGAGATTGTGGCGGGTAACGAACTCCTCGGCTTCAGTGGCTGATAGTCCTACCGCCAACATGGTTCCCTTGCCCGCCGCTTTGGCCTGGACTCTGGATCGGATATAGATGACCTTAACCGCTTCTTCAAGAGTCAACGCTCCGGAGACATAAGCAGCCGCAACCTCCCCAATGGAATGGCCTACAATGGCATTGGGCTTCACTCCATACGCAATCAGTGTCTCGGCCAGGGCAATCTGGATAGCCGCGATACCCGACTGGGCAATTACCGTATTCGACAGCCGCGAAGGATCGTTCGTATGATCCGCCGAAATCTCCTTCACGATAGAAAACCCTGCTAACGGTGTATAGATTTCATCAAACTTTGCGAGCGTCTCCCGGAAGATGGGCTGGTCCCGGGCCAACTTGCTGCCCATCCCAAGCCATTGTCCACCCTGGCCCGAAAACAGAAACGCGACTCGAGGAGTGGAAGTGATCGTTGCCGACTTCTTATCAAGCATTAGTATGTCCTTCGATACCTTGCCGGCGTCCACCTGATCAAGCCGGGCGCACAACATCTCTTTATCTGTGGCGGGGATAATGGCAACTTTGTTGTGGCAGCCGCGACGGAAGTTCAAAGTGTAGGCCGTGTCGCTGAGATTCGGGGATTTTGGTGCACGCAGGTGACTGGCCAGCTCACTGGCCACTTTCTGTAACGCGATATCAGACCGCGCAGACACCACGAAAACCCGCGGGTGCGAGGGGTTGACAGCAATCCATGTTTCTGAATTCGAGGAGGTTGGGGTGGAAAAAGAGGAGTCCTTCTCCGAGGGCGCCTCTCCAATGATTGCATGGGCATTTGTACCACCTGCGCCAAATGAGTTGATACCAACAAAGACCTCATCGTTGTCCTTGTTGTCCAGGAGGTTGGTAAGTTTGACCGGCACATCCAGATGGAGGTCGTCCCAGTCAATGGCCGGGTTCCGTTCGTGGTGATTGAGTTGCGGGGGTATCTGACGATGGAAGAGAGTCAGGGTCGCTTTGATAAACCCAACAATTCCAGCAGCTCCCTCAAGGTGACCCATATTGCCCTTGATGGACCCTATGGCAAGGGGAAGGCCGGTATCTGCATATCGCAGCTTTCCAATCTGGCTGCCAATAGCGCCTGCTTCGATAGGGTCGCCCACGGCAGTGCCGGGACCATGGGCCTCGACGTACTGAACCTTGGCCGGATCTACCCCTGCCTGAGAGTAGACAGACTTGAGCAAGGCTTCCTGACCTTTTAGGCTCGGTACTGTTAGCCCCTCTGCGGTATATCCGTCCTGGTTGACAAGAGAGCCACGGATCACCCCGTAAATACGGTCCTTGTGCTGCAGAGCTTGACTTAGTGGCTTGAGATATACCACAGCCGCGCCCTCGCTGCGGACATAACCGTTTCCTGCCGCGTCAAATGATTTGCACTGCCCATCTGGGCCAAGGAATCCACCCTTGGATAGAAGGATGGAAGTCTCGGGGCGTAAAATCGCGTTCACTCCCCCTGCCAATGCTGCATCACTGTCACCAGACCAGATACTTTGGCAAGCGAGATGAACAGAGACAAGACTGCTCGAGCAAGCCGTATCCAGACTGACGCTGGGGCCTTGGAGGTTTAGTCGATGGGAGACGCGGTTTGCAATAGCACAACTTGTACTCCCCATAGCGATATGAGGGGTAATATCATCGCGCTGTTGGGCTTCTGTCTGCATTGCCAGATGGTCGTACATGAAAGTTCCGAGAAAGACACTGGTCCGTGATCCCGACACCTGATCTAAAGGCGTCCCAGAGTCCTCCAAAGCATGAAAACTTGCTTCGAGAACTATTCGCTGCTGAGGATCAAGCTTGGACGCCTCGGTGGGATAAAAGCCGAAGAAGTCGGCATCGAAAGAGGTGATATCACGGACAAAGCCACCTTTCCGGTTACGGATTGCCCCGTATGCCTGGGAATCCGGGTGATGAAATGAATTGATATCGAATCGATCGCCTGGGACATCGGTAATGAGATCAAGTCCTTGGCACAACGCATCCCAAAATTTCTTAGCGGAATTGATTCCTCCTGGAAGTCTGCAGCCAATTCCAACCACTGCAATTGGCTCCCGCTGAAAAGTGGACATCGTCATAGTCAAATTTGTGTAGAATAGTTTTGGTAAGAACAATTTAGAAGCTTGGATGAGATTGTAGAAGCTAAGATAAGATTGTATAACAATGGTGTTGACCTTGTTGTTCTTCTTCCCTGATGCTGGGTCAGTACCGCCTATTTAAGTCTCTCGATTTGGGCATTCTTGGAAGTCGAGCAGATTCTATTACATTCGCTATCACCTGTTTTCTGCATGAAGAAACTTCAAACTGTACTCATGTGAGGCATTCTTGCCACAGTGTAAGGGAAAGAGAGATTTACTATACTGTGATGTACTTAGCAATGCACCTCTAGCCAAATCGGTTAAGGTGAATCTCTGGGAAAGTCCATGACGACGGAAGCTTACTCTAGGAACATCTATGTTCTTGGGAGGAGGCGACAGAGTGATGCGTCATCTACCTACTGACATCTTTGATTCATTTGATCGGAAGTGTGAAGATTGTGGATTTCAGGCTATCTCTAGGAATCCATCACACCCTGTAAAAGCTTGTATGCAAGGCCTAAATTCGGAAAACGCAAAGCTGAATTAGATACAACCGCCACCCACAAAGAGGAATGCCACAGTTGTTACACGGATACAGATGGAAAAATTGTGAAAAGCTGCCTCCAAGCAATCAATTAACTAAGCATATCTGTCAGGGAATCAGGGAATCATTTTCTATCTGTATGTCCTTTCCCATGTAATCTTATCTTCATTATTACTCTATGTATACAGCTTATTCTCTATATATCAATATTTAGCTTGGAGCAACAGTGTGTGAGATGATCAATGCCGTTGAAGTTCGGTAGTTAACCTGCCAGATAGAGTTAAGTTTCGGCCCATAGACGGCTGGTTTCCTGGAACTGTCAACCCACATCAAACCTGCATGGACTCTTGACCACATCTGGTAGCATTCTACATTCTTTCTTGGTGGCTTCATGAAGCAAAGCTGCCCCGGGTTTGCTCGGCAATGAGATTTACGGTGACGAGATATCTGCAAGGGAGGATTGGCAATTCCGAAGAATAAAACCACCCTTGCCGGGAGTCCCCATTCAGGTAACCCGGAATTCTGAAGACCGGATACTGAGTCAGTACTACCGTCAAGTCGCCCGATTATGGATCTCTCTTCTGTATCCCACTTTGGTACACAAATACCTGAATCATTGTCGACAATTAGGTTGATAGAATGTGGGCAAATTGGCCAGTTCGCAGCCTTAGGCCAGTGGGCTGCCTCAGGCCAGTTAGCTGCCTAATATTCCGAATTCCGATAACCCCGCAGCGGAGCAAAAGGCCTTGCTTTCCTGAATTGTTCTAGGCCTTATTCATTCTATTGTTCCTGTTCAATAGGAACTATTCACTATTCTGATTTTCATATGATTTTCATGTGTTTTTCATGTGCCAGCGGAAATCCTCGGAAATTTAAGGTAGCTGTTCAGTTATATAAGAGGAGGAAAGGCCTATTGATGTTAAATAATCAAGTTCAAGTATTTCAATCAGTTTAATCAAGCAAACAATCAGTTTCTTCAGAGTTCTTTCAGTGAGATACAGGCCCGCGGGTTTCGAGAAATGAAGAGCCCATCTCAGAATCCGATACTTTACCATGCGCCAATGATGCGGCGGGGGATGAGATGGTCCCCAAATTAAATGAATACTACAGGTGAGGTTTCACCCTAAGATCGGTGCTAACACCAGAGACAAACATATTGTCCCGCAGTGCAAGTAAGCAGTAGAGCTTCAGCCTGTGATCTTGCCACCAAAAGGCGCCATGTAAATAAGGATCTAAATACTTTTATTACTTATATTTTTTAATTTTTGATAGTTTTGTTATATAATTTACTAGTAGCCGGAGCTTTTTTTTATAATATATTTTATTTATTTCTTATTTTATAACTGTCACAGTGCAGACCTGATACACCTATTCCACCTGCCCTACCTGTTTAACCTGTTTAACCTGTTTAACCTGTTTAATCTATTTAATCTATTTAATTTATTTACCCCTAATAATCTGACTGTTTTTTTTAATAATTTTATATATAATTTATAATTTTTTAACTGCCTGTCTACTTCTAATTCTGTTTATAGCTTTTTAAACTATATTTTATATATAAATTTAATTATATTCTGATCCAGTATTTAAAAAAATATATTAAAAAACAAGTTATAGAGACCTGTTTAGCCTATACTGTTATTTCTACTATTTAGCTAAATTAAAAACTAGATATTAGTTTATTTTTTAATATTATATAGTTTCTATCTTTAGAGATAGTAGTTTTAATATAATATTTATAATCCTATAATCCCTAGTAATACCAAATAATCTAAAAGAATTTACCTAATATATTAATAAATACTTAGAAAAATAGTACTATTATTATAACCAGATCTACACTTTTACTGCTAAAGCAGACAATAAAAAAACTTAACTTAAATAAACTGAAATTATATAAGATACTGTTTTTATTTACTAAGTAAAACAGGCTCTAATTATAAACTGTTAGCTTATAGAAGTAACTACTACTAAAAATATTATTTTTTAAAAAAAAATAAGCCTTAAATAAATATATTAAAGCTATTTAGATTACTACTTTTATAGTAAATACCTTTATATTTACTCTAGAATCTGTATATACTGCTAAAAGTACTACAGCTGTTTTAATAAAAATAATTATATTAATTAATTTTAAATCTTTTACTTCTACTTTTTTTTAAATATTTATTTAATTTTATTAAATTTAAAGGTAACTGCTCCAACCTCTGCTGTTTTACTAATTAGATTTAAAAAATAAAGATTAATACTAACTAATATACTATATCTGCTTTTTATAAAATCTATATTATTAGATGGTTTAAAAAAAAATTCTATATCTAAATATAATTAAGAACTTTTCTGAGGTTTCTTAGAAAGACTTTATTGGACTCCCACTTTTGCATACAAATTGGGTGCGAAAGTGAGGTGAAAGTAAGAGAAAGATAAAAAAATTAAAAATAAGGAAAATTCAAAATCAGATAAATAAAAAAAAGGCTAAACTGCTAGAATTGATTAAAAACTGATTTAACTGAATTAAAACTGATTAAACTGATTAAACTAATTAAACTTCTAAATAGAACTTTAGGGGTCTTTTTATTCTTATTTATAGCCAATTGGCTATTAAAAACATATAAAAAACATATAAATTTATATAAAATTTATATAGAAATTATATGAATAAAACAGGGCCAAGAATAATAAAACCAGTGGTTAAATAGGGTCTAGAATAATTAATAAAAGTAAAGCCTTTTGCTCTGCTGTAGAATAAATAAAATTTAAAATATTAATTTATTAACTGGTAGTCTAAAGCTGCCAACTGGCCTAAAGCTGTAAACTAGTAAGTTTAAAATATTAGTAGTAAACAGGGCTTAAAGTAGCAGATAAGCAGAAATAGCAGATAAGTAGACTTTAAAATAGTATTTAGCAGTAGTAGTAAACTGGCAAGTCCAAAGCTGTAAACTGGTAAGCCTAAGGCTGCCAACTGGCCAATCTGCCTATATTATTAACAATATTGTTTATTAAAAAATATTTAATTAAAGTAAAAAATATCTTTTAATTGGTGCTGGTCCAGTAGTTTATTATAATTAATATATATTTAATATTTAAAAGTTTTTGTAATAACTGTATATATATCTTTTTAACAACTTTATAAAATATTTTTTAATCTATATTTTATTAAAAGAACTTAGCTTTTAATAAAAAAATTAAGTAGTAAAATTAATTATTTATTTAAATTAAGTATACTTAACTGTTTAGAATATTAAATAATAAATAATTATAAGATATAAAATTTAATTTTAAAAACTTAGTTTATTATAGGCTGTAGAGGTCTAGAAGAAAATAATTATTTAAAAAATTTTATTTTAAAAAAATAAAAAAATATCTGTAATAACTTTTTACTTAATATTTTAATGATTATTTATTTAAATATAATTAATAATATTTTTTTATAACTTTTGTAAAAATAGTAGCTTATAAAACTTGTTTTTGTAACAGCTGATCAGATCAACATAATTCTATTAATTTAGCACTATCTTAACAAAATCTTAAGTATAGAAAGAAAAAAAAAAAGAAAAAAAGCTATATATCTCTACAGTATTATCTTATCTATATATATATATTAAATAAAATAAACAGAGTAAATAAGTTAAACTAGTTTCATTTTAGTAGTCTATACTAGATTTATTTTATTTATTTTTATATTATTTTCTAAATTAGCTTTAACTGTCTATAGATAAAAGGTACTTTCTAAATCTATTTTAAAATTATTTTTATAGTATAATAGTAGGCTAGGCATTTTTTTAGGATTATATATAAAATTATTATTAAAATAATTAAATTTTAAAGCTTTCTCTGCAGCAGCTTTTAACTAAATTAGAAAATATTTTAAAAAACCAAAACTTATCAGATAGGAGTTGTAGAAGTTTTTTAAAAATATAAAAATATTTTATAAATTACTAATAAAATACTATATTAGATCTATTTTATCTAAATTTTTTATTTAATTTAGTATATTAAATACTTTTATTATATATAGAAGTAAAGGATTTTATTTATTTTATATTTTATACTTTTATTTATATTTATTAGTTTTATTTAATTCTAAGTTTATTTTAGTAGCAGATTACTAATAAATATAGACTAGAGCTTTTTAAAATAAAATACTAAATATATTTTAATATTAGCAGATAATTACATCTAGAAAATATTTTTTTTTACTTTAAAATTTTATAAAAGTTATACTATTTATCAGCTAGCTTTTTAAATAGTTAATTTTAATTTTAATTAAAATAATTAATATATATTTTGTTTTCTAGTTAAATTAAGATTTTTTTTAGTAATACTTAGCTTATATAGCTTATTATTTTTAAAAGTTAGTAATATTAGCCTTAATAAATTTTTAAATATTTTTAAGGCAGATTATAATACTTTAGATATAAACAATATTTATACTTTTTAATCTAGTATTTATAAAAAAATTTTAATTAAATAATAGTTAAAGTTAATATTTATATTCTATTTAAAATAAAAATATTTTTAAAAATATATATAGTAGATAAGTAGTAGTAAAGTCTATTATTAGCAGTACTTTTAACTATTTATTATAAAAATTATTAATAAAAAAAATTAGTTTTTAAACTAAATACTGGTTTATATTTTTAATTTATTTATTAGTTTAAAAATAGTAAGCTGTAAAAAGCTTTAGCTTAATTTAAAAAATACAGTAAAACTTTTACTAGAATTTTAAAATAAATTAAGATTTTTTATTAAAAATAATAGTATCTGGGGGTCTAGTCCAGATATAAATAAATTTAATAAATAAATAAATTATATTTTATATAGTTATATTTTTTATATATAAAATTAATACTATTTATTTAAAGAACTAGTTTACTACTATATATATTATATTATATTTTTATATATTTTTTAGTAGTATATAAAAATTTATAAATATATACTATTATAGTTAGTTAACAGCTAAAAGTAGTTAAAGTAGTTTCTATAGTAGTTTTTTCTAATAATTTTTATTTTTATAAATTATATAATTATTTAAATATTATTAAATATTCTTATTTTAAATATTTTAATAGTAATATTATTTAATTAATTTAAAAATTTTTATTTATTTAAAGTATACAGTTAATAGCTGGTAGTATATTTTATTTAATAGTTTAGTTTTTAAATTTTTTTTATTAAATACTACTAGGTGTTTTTTATATAGTAATAATCTATTTTAAAAAAAGTAAAGGCTGTTTAGATTATTAGTATTTTTTTACTTTTAAATAAATTTATCTAATTTACAGTTAATATATAGAATTTAGTTAATTAGTAGTAATTTTTTATCTAAAAAAAACAGTACAGATATTATTAATAGTTATAAAATTTTTAGATTTAGCTACTTAAAATATAATATAATCTAGTTTTATTTTTAGCCTATTAATTTATTAGTTTTTTTTTATTATATAAATATATCTACTAGTATATTTATCTTTTTTAATTTATATTAAATTTAAAAATAGTATTTAAATAAAAACTTAGCCTATTATACTTATAAGATATTTAACTTTTTTAAGATTATAAAATATTTTAATACTTTATAGTTAATAAATATTTTAAAAGGCTTTTTTTTATAGTTTTTCTAATTTTATTTTTTAGATCTTTATAAATTAAATAATAGCTAATATGTTTTTATTATAAATATTATAATTCTGTTTAGTAGATATTATAGTTTTTAAAAAAAAATATATTATTAGTTATTAATATATTAAGTAAAAACTCTAGTAATAGTTTTATCTGCAGTATTTATTTTTAATCTAGTAAAATAAATAAAATTATAGTAGATTAGTACTAGTATTATAATTGAAATATTTTTTAAAAATTTAAAGACTATCTAGTATTTTTTATTTTATATAAAGGGGGTATTTTTATATATAAGCAAAATTAATAGCTAATCTAGTTTACTATAATTTTTAATAAAATATTAATAAAAATTACAGAATCTAAAAAATAATTATATTTTATATATAGTTTTTAAAATATTTTAATTTTTAATAACAGTTATTTTTTTTAAATCTACCTATATTCTATCTGTTAAAATAATAAAATTTAGAAATTTAGTTTTAGTAATATAAAATTTATATTTATAAATAGCAGTTTATAAACCGGCTTTATATAGTTTTTTAAAAACTAATCTAATATAAATCTAATACTTAAAAATATTGTTACTATAAATAAAAATATTATTAATATAAATAGTTATAAATTTATTAAAATATTTATAAAAAACTTTATTTATTAATTTTAAAAATATAGTAGATTTATTAGTTAGTCTAAATAAAAGGACCTTATACTTAAATATACTATATTAAGTTTAGAAAGTAGTTAGATTCTCTAAGTTAAAATCTATATAAATATAGTAAAAACTTTATTTAATATTTAACTTTATAAATACTTTAGTTTACTTTAGTTGGTTAATAATTTTATTAATTAAAAATAGTAGATATAGATTTTTTTTTAATTAGTATATTAAATTTTTAATAATTTATATATATATAGAGTTCTTCTTTAGGTTTTTAGACTATTAAAATAGATAAAGTAAAAAAAGCAAAACTTAAAATAATAAATTTTTTTTTAGATTCTTAATAATATAGTATTTTACAGCTTTTAACTTTTCTACTGTTATTCTGTACAGTAGAAAAAATCTAAATAAAATTTTTTTATTTAACTAAATTTTATAATTATAAGTATAAAACAGCAGTAAAATATTAAAAGCTTATTTAAAAAATATTTTAATTAGATTATAATATTAAAAAAAAAGTTTTTGCAATCTTCTGTTATTTTTACTTAGTAAAAAATAATTATATTTTTTTATTAATTACTTTTTTAATTTTTTATAAAAAGGTGATAAAAATTTTTAACTTTAGCTTTTTTAAGTATTGTTAGAAGCTGGTTTTTTTTATTAATATAATTTTTAAATCAGCTGCTTTTAGTTTTTTTTTAATAATTAATATTTTTAATAATAAGTCTATTTTTAAATTTATTTTTTTATTTAAATATAATACTTTGTTTATTTTAGCAAATACTTTAGTTTAATTAGTTATATAAAATCTAGTCTTATTTAAATCTTATAAAGTTTATATTTAGATTACTAAATTTAATTTTTTATTTTATTATTTTTTAATAATTTCTTCTTTACAGGGGGGCTTACTTTTAATAAAATATTCTAGTAAATTATAACTGTATAAAGTTAATTTTTATATAAAATATATTTTTTTATAGATTAAAATCTTTTTACAGTATATCAGCTGCTAACTTTTTACTATATATTTTTTAAATCTAAAAATTAATTTATTTTTTTATTTTATATTTTTTTAGTATACTTAATTAATCTTTTGGTATTTAATAAAATGGGGGGGTACTATTTATAAAAGTCTAGATTAAATTTTATTTTTAAATAAAAGTTTATTAAATTATACTAATTAATTTTCATAGTAGTTAAACAGAACTTTCTACTTTGCCAACTATAGTTTTTTTTAAAATTATATTATAAAATTCTAAATCTAGTACTAAAAAAAAACCTTTATAAAAGGCCTTTTTTCTACTATTAAATTAAAATAGATTATATATATTAGGGGGGTGGAAGATCCTTTATTAAATATAGTTATATTTTAAGTACTTTATAGTTTAAATAATTTTATTTTTAAAAATATTTCTGCTTTAACTATAAATCTTATATTAATATAAATATAAATATTTACTTTAATATTTACTAGAATTTAGGCAGAAACAGCTATTATATTTTTTAAAATTAGAATTTTAATTATAAAACTATTTTTAAAAGATTTTAATAGAATTTTTAAATTAATATACTACTAGTTTATATTTAGTATATCTAAAATAAAGATTTTTTTAGACTAAGTTTTTTACTAATATATTTTTAGATTTGGTCTTTTTTATTACTTAAATTAAAAGTATTTTTTTAAATAGTTATAATTTAAATATTTAAATTTTTTATAGTAGAAGTATTTTTCTTCAGCTAGTAATATAATACAGATTTTTCTATTTATATAGGGTTTAAACAGGGTTCTAGTTCTATTTTTACTATTTAATAAAGTAATTCTACTATTTAGATTATTTTTTTAGCCTATAAATAAAATTTTATAATAATATTTTATATTTTTATTAATACTTTTAGAAACTCTGGTATAGGTAGTAGTATACTATTTAAAATTAATATTAGATTTATAAAATTTAATAAAAGTTAGTTTTTTAAGCTTTAAAAACAACTTTTAGTAAAGATTAAATTTTTAAAAGTTTTTAAAAATATCTACCTTACCAGCCAGGTAGTAAAACTAAGTATAAAAATTATAATATTTCTATTTAAATATTATTTTAAAATATATATATTTTAATCTAGTATTCTACTTTTAGTTTGGATTAATATAGATTACAGCTAAATAAAATAAAATATCTATTATATTTTTAAAAAATTATTTAGCTTTAGTTTTTAGTTTAAAAAGTAGATATTTATAAATATTATTTTTATAATAACTGGCTATATAAATTTTTTATATAAATAGGTTTTTATAATAGTTAATATTAGCTTTAAATTTCTGCTTAACTGTTAGTCTCCAGTTTTTTAAGGTAATATTTTTTCTATTATTAAATATTAGGGGATTAGAAAGTTTTATAGTTTTTTGAAAATATAGTATTTTTTAATTTATACTAGTTACTAGGGTTAATATAGTATTTTACTGTACCTTAACTTAAGTTACTTTATTTTTTAAATTTTTTTTTTAGTTTTTAGTAGATTAATATTATAAAATAGTACTTTTTAGTTAATTTTTAATTAAATTAATTTTTTCTTTAGTTTATCTGCTTTAGTTAATAGTTTATTAATTTTTTTTTTAATTTGCTATAGGTTTTTAATACTAATTTAAAAGTATATATAAAATTTTTTTTATAAAGATTATAAAATTCTTTAGCTGTAATATTTTTACTAGGGGTTTTACTAGTTTTATTTATAAATAGAATTAGTTTTTCTATTTTCTTTTTAAATAATTTAATTTTTAATATATTTTATACTATTATAACTGTTCCAGTTTTTTAATTTTAATATTAGTTAATTTAAAGTTTAACTTAGTTTAGAGTCTAGTTTTTATTTTTTAGTTCTATACAGCCTATAAACTACAGTAATAAAGTTTTTTTAGTTTTAATAATAGTTTAGTTATATATAAAGATTTTTAATTTTAAAATTTATATTTTTTTAGACTTATATTTTTTAAGACTAACTGTTATTACTATTAGCTTATATAAAAAAAAAACTTTTTAATTATAATAAAAATATATATTTTATATATTTAGTTATAAAAAGCTTTAAAAAGTAGATATTAAAAAAAATAATACTTAAGATTATATAATAGCTAATCAGATTAATATAATTCTATTAATTTAGTACTATTTTAATAAAATATTAAGTATAGAAAAAAGAAGAAAAAAGAAAAACAGCTATATATTTTTATAATATTATCTTATCTATATATATATATTAAATAAAATAAATAGAGTAAACAAGTTAAACCAGTCCTGTCTTAGTGGCCTGTGCTGGGTCCGTCCTGTTCACCCTCACAGTTTTTAAATTTTAAATATTATAAAATATAAAAATATACTTGTTAAGAATATGGGCAGATTAGCCAGTTGGCAGTTTTAGGCTTACTAGTTTATAATTTTAGACTTACCAGTTTACTACTACTGCTAGATATTATTTTAAGATCTGCTTATCTGCTATTTCTATTTACCCGCTACTTTAAGCCCTGTCTACTACTAATATTTTAAATTTACTAGTTTATAGTTTTAGACCAGTTGGCAGCCTTAGGCTACCAGTTAGTAAACTAATATTTTAAATTCTATCTATTCTACAGCAGAGTAAAAGGCCTTACTTTTATTAATTATTTTAGGCCCTATTTAACCACTGGTTTTATTATTCTCAGCCCTGTTCTATTTATATAATTTTTATATAAATTTTATATAAATTTAATATAAAATTATATATTTGTTATATGTTTTTAATAGCTAATTAGCTATAAATAAGAATAAAAAGACCCCTGGAGTTCTATTTAGAAGAATAATTAGTTTAATCAGTTTTAGTTTTAGTTTAATCAGCTTTAATCAGTTTTAATCAGTTTTTTTAATTAATTCTAGTAGTTAGCCTATTTTCTTATTTTTCTAATTTTAATTCTTTTATTTTTCTCTTACTTTTATCTCACTTTTGCACCCAATTTGTATGCAAAAGTGAGAGTTTAATGAAGTCTTTCTGAGAAACCTCAGAAAAGTTCTTAATACTTTATTATAAATATAAAAAATTTTATTAAAAAATAATATATTTTTTTAAAAGCTGTTTTATATTATTAATAATTTTTTTAACTAAAAATAAATAGTAGTTTCTAAGTATATATATAAGTGTTAAAAAAGATTATCTTTTACCACTAATTTTAAAAAATAAAATTTTTATCTTAAAAAAATAAAAATAAAATAATTTTTTATTTCTTTATAATACATGGAATCTTAAGGTTTAAAAAAAATAAAAAAAGCTAATTTCAAAAACTTATTAAAGTTTAAAAATTATTATAGTTTATAAAAATCTAAAAAATAGAAAAAAAAGGCTTAATACTATTTTTTAAAAATAAACTAAATAACTATAGTTAACTTAGAATTCTAAAACTACTTTATAAATAGTAGATATAAAAAGATAAAAATAAAAAAACTTTATAAGAATAATATTATTTTAATTATTAATGTAAGGGCCCAAACAGCCCTTCCAACCTTCGCGGATATCCGCGAAGGGAAATGTACATAGACAACCTAAGGCGGCGGTCACGTGACGGCTAAGCGAGCCGGCCGCGGCCGCCCCCAAGGGCGGCGGCTGCCTCGCGAGTTAGGCAAGGCAGCAACAACACCTTAAGGCAATATATTGGCACCCTTGGCTTCGCAAAAGCTATTCGTTCATCATGCTATTTCACCCTTTAGCCCTTATAATTAATATCTTTTTATATAAATATAATTTATTATATTATTATATATCACTAGTAATATCTGCAGTACTTTTTAGACCTAGCTGTTTTATAAGTAAAAAATTATATCTAAAGTCTAAAAATATAAAATTTTTTTATTTTAAGTAAAGCTTAATTAAGGATAAATT